GTGAAAGCAGTTCTTTTTTTAGGACTTTCTTAAGAACTGAGTATAAGGTACTAAAGTTTACAATTTTTCCGAAGTAATGAAAAGATGGGGCACGTAAATTAAAAAAAAATTTCAAAAAACTTTAAATTTTAAGTTAAGTTAAGCTCTTCTTTTGATCCCTAAGGTCATTTTAAGGGTTGTGTGAAGAGTAATGTTAATGGTCACCTGATAAAACAAACTCTTGATTTATAAACGTGTCATAAAGTCATCAAACATAGATATTATTGTTGTTGTCATACGTTTTGCAACTTTTCTTTACTTTTATTTTGAAATAATTGAAGTTTTTATGGGTTTTTGGTGAGGTTTTTGTAAAATACGTCAGTTTATACAGCGTCATTTAATCACTCTTTTTGAGCATATTTTTTAAAATTAAGTTTTTTTGCCTAAAGTTATATATTTTTTAAATTTCTAATGTTATTAATGATTGTTTCACATAAAATATTATAAAAGCTGACCTTGTGAATCAGACTTCTTTGGTAGAGTATTAAAAGAGCTGTTGTGCGGTTTCGAAACGTTTTGAATTGGATTACCTCGGAACAGTGTTTGTGAACTTTTGAAATGAACAAAGACTGATTTATGCTTTTAATTTTATGAAACGTGACTCTTGGGAGGAGGGGGAGGGGACGGTTTTGTGGTTTTTTTCAAATAATTTCAAACTGAATTTTTAAAATTCAAAATTTTCTTAAAATTTAAAGCTATGGCAAGGTTTGGGTATAGAGTAGGTCTTTATACAGGAGTTTTAAATGCACTGCGCAGTGGTAGACGGGGATTTAAAATTTTGGACGATTTTTTAAAGCGCAGTTTGTTATAGAGTAGTTCGTTATTGAGGAGTTATTCATAGAAAAGTTTGTTGTAGAGGAGTTCGTACTGTTGAAGGCCGTTACATAGGAGTTTGTTATAGACAAGTTCTTTTATGATTCATAGCGCAAAAAGCTTAAAATAGCTCGAAATTTTCAGCCATTGTTACTTCACTGTCTGCTTTGTTATACACACAAATTTGTTTACGAACATGTGCTCTTTTACCAACATTTGTCATTGTCTATGTGAATTTCTCACAAGATAGATAAGATCAGTCAAGGACGAGAGCTGGGAACAAAAGAAAATCATTTTAACGTTTTTAAGCGATTTTTAACAGAAAATGAGAATTTTTATCATTTTTGTTATTTTTAAGGCTTTTTGTGAAAATTTTGCTTCAATTTGAAAAAATTTCAAAAAAATCTTTAAAAGATTATAAAAGTTCAAAACTTCCAAGTTGAAAAAGCACGTTATGAAGAGACAGCTGGAACGTTGTGATTTATTAAGTTATGCCGCACGAATGAGGATGTTTGAGGTTACTTTTTCAGCCTCAAAAGAGGGCGTCAAGGGGGGGGAGTGAGTAAGACGAGTAAAGACAACGTAGTGGGTTGAATAATGGCAAACTTGTGGGTTGTATTCTTCCATTTCAATACGTACTCAACGTTTTTGTTTCAAAAAAATGTTTTGGTAACAAAAAGTTTTGTCGTTTTTTGAAGTTTTAAGTGATTTAAATCAACGACAAGACTTTTTTATGACATTTGGAAGTTATGTCAAAAGCTATGTTTTTTTAAAAGGTTTTGAGAATGAGAAATGTAGCTTTTATAAAAGCATTTGCTTTGAAAAAGGTAGAATAAGCAAAGCAAGAAAAGGCAATTTAGATTTTTAATGGGATTGACCATGAAATTGGCTGGTAAAAGTTTATTTTGAACTAAAGGGCAGTCTATGACTATTTTATGGGTTTTTGAGTACTAAAAGTGCATTTCAAGTCAATTTTCGAATTAAAATTTGGGTCTAAAACTACGTAGAATTGTTTTTAAAATAATTTTGGTATAGTTTTTTGATGATATAGCTAAATCTTTCAAGTGTTGTTTTTTGAATTTTAAAGCAATCTTTTGAACACATAAGAATATTAAGCGTATTGTAACTCTCTAGCCAAGGCTATTTAGCAATTTTTAAAACCAGTTTTCTTGGTAACTGTTTATGCTGTTTCATTCTAAATAGGTTTTGTATTAACAGCCGAGGGGTATTTGGTGCAATTCTCTTGTTAGAGTACTAGTCTTCTGTGTCTGATCGTTTTTCTTTTAATTTTTGTATAATATTCTGTGTAAAAGTTTTAAAATTTTTAAAATGTGTGTTTTTGAAATTCCATGTTGAATATCCGTAAACTGACATGTAGCCAATAACAATTATAACTAATAATTGAGATTTTTTGTTGTAAGTTTCAAAAAAACGGAAATTGTGGTCTATTTCATCACTTTTTGTCAGCATAACAAAATATAAACAAGAAGAGTCTTTTTGAATTTCGAACTTTCAAACTGGTGTTTTTCATAACGTGAAATTACTTAAGAAACGGACTTTTCTATACCAAAACTTTTTTATATTAGGTTTTTCACATAATTTTGCGCCCCTACAAATTTGCTTTGAGAAGGGGCGCAGAATTAAGTGAAAAACATAATAATAAAGAAATTTAAAATCTTTGAGTTATTTGTTATACCGAAGTTCCAGTGCACTGCAGTGTAGTTAAAAATGGTCTTTTGTAGTTTTCAAATTGATTAAAGTTACCTGTACTATAGGGCTGATTATTGGTTAAATTTTTTATCAAATTGAAAAACAATCCTTTTTTTACTGTTTTGGCACTTTTTTTACCGAAAAATTGTTGATTTTCAAGGTAATGGTCTTTCCTTTGTACTGCTTTACTGTTTGTTTTAAACTCTTGAATATCTTATTGATATTCCCACCTTGCTTTGTCTAAATAGATATTCTCACATTGCTTCGTCTAAATAGATATCCACACTGTGCTTCGTCTAAGTTGATATCCACACTGTGCTTCGATTAAATTGATATCCACACTTTGTTTTTGACTAAATTGATATTCACACCTTGTTTCGTGTGTTTACCTTATGCATTATTGATTGTAACCTTCACATCGCCCGTATTTGAAATTAAAATTCGGTCCGTTTATTCCTCGCTGAGTGCCTTTCTTTCTTCGACCGTGTATTGAATAATTCTTGTTTAGCCCTTCACAGATGCCGTCTCTCCTTTTTCTTTTGTGTAGACGTGGAGCTGTGGATTTATATTTTTGGCTATGTCAACTTGAGGTTTAGTACTGTCTATGATGTTTTTAATGGGGCTTTCTTAACTGATACTGATACCCATGAGAAACGGGGCGGGCCGGCTCTGAGCAAAACTTCGATCAGGCCGGGCCTGAAAATTGGGCCTGGCCCGTTTCTCATGTCTAGATACTGAGCTACTTCAAATCATTTTGATAGATCAAAAGCTTTCAAGCCTAAGGCTACTTTGTAAGGCCCAGTTTGAAGCAAAGTTCTTAAGCTTCAATGAATTTGCTTCTTGTTTGCTACTAATCCACAACCAAACTCACAGCTTACTAAATCTTATTACCAAATCCTACGTACTAAATCAACTTAAGTTTCCAGATTCTTCTTCTAATGCTATTTTAATGAAAATTTATGTAAACATATATTAGACATCATAGTGAAACATTGCTCGTTTATATTACAGTAGTGTTTTGCGCAATAACTTACAAAACTACTTGTTAAACGGTTTTCTAATCATACAAATTGAAATTACTTTTACGACGGACCGGTTACAACACGTAACGGTATTGGTTTTTATGATGAAATGTTTGATTCGATAAGCGTATCAGCTATAAATTAGTAGAAACGTATTTGCAAGGTCTTTAGTTGGGTAGTAAGGGTAGTAAATACATTGTATTAGGTTATATGATAGTACTTAGGTGTGGTAAATATATATTATTGGGTTATAATACATAAAGTAAATATATTGTATAAGGTCATGACTACATAGAGGGTAGCAAATATATTATGTTAGATTATGTTTGCTACTATGTTATGTTAGATTTTTATAATTTTTTGATAATTTAGTTCAAAACTTATTTTCAAAACACCTTTGACCAAAGTTATTATATACCAAGTCATATGCTGAGATTAACGATGTTCGTATCTTGTTATGTTAAGCCTTTTATAACCCACGTTCAAACACATTCACTTTTTGGGTTATTATAGATATTAATATTGTGTTACGAAATATAAAAGTCGTTGTTATGGTAACCTAAACAAGATTCGGACTTTTCAAGGCTTTAGTTTGGATTAGGTAATGTTTGGTGGGATAACTTGTAGTGCTTGTTTGAAGTACAATATTGTTTTTTAATGAATTTTTGGGTAGTGCTTTGAGTTTTGTTGCTAGCCTTGTTAGCCATAGCTTTAGCCCGAGTTTGAACTTAAACTTGAGCATGAACCTGGGCCAGGGCTAGAGCTGGAACTAGAGCTAAAGCTTGAGCTAGAGCTTTAGCATGAGCATAAGCATCAGCATCAGCTTGAGCCTAAGCCAGAGCCAGGATTAGAGTCAATGCTAGAGCTAGAGCATGAGCATGAGCCAGGGCCTAAACCTGAACTTGAACCCGAGTCAAAGCCACCGCCTTAGCCGTAAAGATGGTCTTAGCCAGGGCCGGGCGGGGACTTTTGGGGTGGGGGCAGGGGCCCAAAAAATCGGCACAGGGCTTTTCGCGAAAATTTTTTTCCAAAAATCCACAGGGGGGACCACGTTCAAATTTTTTCGAAAATTTTTTTCTGGGGGGGGGACCCCCCGTCCCCCCCCTCGCGCCCGGCCCTTGTCTTAGCATTACCTTCAGCCTTGCGTTCTTACTTCACTACCTATTTCAACATATATTATGCTCTAATACTTATCAACGCTTATTCCCTTTTTCTTTTGTCTAAACCACTCTTTTCCTAAACTGAAATTGGATATGTTATACGTGTCGTTTTGAGTATATTATTCTATGTTGCTGATGCCGACTAGATAGCTTTTGGGTATTTAATGGCTTTTCTACTCTACGCTATGTCGCGTTTTTTAAGTTTTAGAGCAATTTTTATTCGAATACCTTGTTTTACACGACTATTTTTAGAACGATGACAAAACCCTATAGCCAACGTCGTCCGCTGGTCCAGCCCACCGTTCCACCACCGTACCGTGATCAGTACCGTATTGGCCTTATGGACTTGAGCATGGATCAGCTTTGGAATCCGGATGCCGAACAGTACAAGGTGTTCTGTCGCATGGTTCACGTCACCAAAGCCGCGCTACACATTGGCTACATTCAGATGCTGATCAGCTTCGCTTTCAGCATCTTCTTTGGCTATCACTACATGATGGCGGTTACTGGTAACCTATCGGCTGATCACTGGGTCAATCAATACACTGCTAGATATATCAGCCAGCTACTGTTTGCTGTGTCTATGCAGTTGATTTTGGTGGTGGTTATGTTGCACGGAATCAGAAGTGAGAGGCGGATCATGTTGTTGCCGTATATTGGATATGCTGCTATTGCTATCTTGGCTGGATGTGCTCAGGTAAGACATTTGTTTTATGTCACTCTACTCTACAGTACCGTATTGTACCGTACTCTAGTTTATCCTACCTTACCCTACTTTACCCTACCCTACCCTACCCTACCCTACCCTACCCTACCCTACCCTACCCTACCCTACCCTACCCTACCCTACCCTACCCTACCCTACCCTACCCTATCCTACCCTACCCTACCCTACCCTACTCTATCTTATCTTACCATACTTTACTTTACACTACTATGCCCTACCATGCCCTATCCATATTATACATCCTTTTCCAGATCACCAACGACTTTGTGACCATCGACCGCAACCAGACCCCAGAACAACGTGCCTACTCTTCATCCCAATTCATCGGCCATCTAGTCGGTACTCTGATCCATGCCTGGTGCTTGTCTGTTGTGTGGAGATGCTACGCCTTCTTGGGCGAGAAGAAGGTGGCACGACAGATCAGTGAACAGCTGGCTGCTACCCACAACGCCTTCCAATACCCAGACCAGTTGTTGAGTTGCCAGATCCCACAACCTCCAGCCTACTTCGAAGTTGTCCCACATGAAATTCGTGTTGTTGCTGAAGAAGAAAAGGCCGAAGCCAAGGCTCCACTTAACGTTGAGGCTTAAGGTGGGGGTGGTTTTGGAAAAAGCAAGGTTTATATTGGTTTAAAAGTGGCATTTTTAGACTTTTAAGGTATCTTGTGGTCTAAAAATGGCATTTTTAAGGAGATAATCCTAGGTTTTCAAGTTTAAATCTTTAAAATTGAACTTTGAGACTTCAAAGTTTTCAAAACTTGACGATGTTACACTTGATGGTTTGCATTTTACACGGTCTGATAGATATATTTGTTGTTGTATAAATCTTTTTATGGTTAATTAAGAATTTTTTTCAGTATTTTATTAATTTTAAAATGATTTTTTTTTGAAAAAACTACCTAGTTTTTGAAATACAGTACAACTTTCTTTACTGTTATTAGGTTGTTCAACAAATTCTGCGCTCCCTAAGCTTGAAAATTTGCGTCGAAAGAGGGCTCAAACTTTTTTGAACAAATTAATATTTGAAATTTAGAATTTTAAATTTATAAATTTTAGTTAAAAGTTTAAATTTTCATGTTTGAAGCTACGAAACATCGTCATTACCTACATACGATCATAGTGTAGTCTTGGTCTGAATTCCACTAATTTTGTCAAAAAACACCCTCCGGGTTCTTCAATTATTTTTAGTTTTTCTAATAAATTTATTTATATCTCGTACGTTGTAGTTATGTCAATTGCTCCGAAATAAACTGTAGATACAAAGGATTGAGGTTTTGTTTGGCAAAATTTTAACTTTGTTACCTAAAATATAAAAAATTTTTGAAAACTCGAATTTTTTGCCGTTTTGTCAATTTTTTAAAAATTTTAATAATTAAAAAAAATTTTTTTTTAATTTCAAAAATAATATTATTTTTCTACCAAAATGCTTTACCAGTCGGTTTTTTTCTTATTTACCCCTCCCATATACTCCCATATATGCGCTACCTATACTCAACCTCACATTAACGGACTGATCAATTATAAGGCGATACCACAGCTGGTTGGCTACAAAGCCCACTGTACCACATGCTATTCGATTAAACATGCTAATGAGTACGAATTTGGATGCATGGATCCCGTGGCTGAAGTAAGAATATCTCAAAAGAAAACGTTACTGTAAGTGTTTTTATTATACTGTAGGTTAAACTAGCCAGAGCCCTAGCCCTAGCCCAGATCCCTAGTCCAGAGCCCTAGCCTAGAGCTCTAGCCAAATCCCTAGCTCAGAGCACTAGCTCAGAGCTCCAGCCTAAGCCCTAGCCCAGAGCACTATCCCAGAGCCTTAGCCCAGAACCGTAGCCCAGAGTCCTAGTCCAGAGCCCTAGCCCAGAATCCTAGTCCAGAGCCCTAGTCCAGAACTCTAGTTCAGAGTCCTAGCCCTAGTCCAGAGCCTTAGCCTAACCGTTATCCTTAGCTATATCCTTGTTAGTAGTACTCATACCTAAACATCCACTATATTTTCAGTTCAATGTGTAAAAATCAATCGACGGAGATCACTTGTAGACAAGGTGTGTGTTGTTGTTCCAACCTTGACTGTTACGATAGATTCAGGATGTTTCATTCCCTGACAGAGAAGAACAAGTTACAGGATATAATCGACCAAATCGCTATGGATTCTTGTTACCTATTTTCGAAGAAAAAAGGAATTGGCATGAAAAATGACAAAAGAAAGGAAAAGGTTATCCTCCATGATTATATCGTAAGTTTTACTGTAATCTTATAGTGCGAGTACCGTATGGGTGATAGTAAAATTATGGTAGGGTTGCAGTAAGACAAAAATCTGATTTTTTAATAGAGCAAAGGGTATTTCTATTCGGTTGTTCAAATAATTCTGTGCACAAATCCCAAAATGTTTTTTTAAGAGGGGCACAGAAATAACTGAACAATCTAATAGAAAAGGGTATGACTTGAATAGAGCTGGATCTAAGTCTAGGGCTGTGAGCTAGGGCTCTGGGCTAGGGCTCTGGCGAAGGGCTCTGGGCTAGAGCTAGAGCTAGAGCTAGAGCTAGAGCTAGAGCTAGAGCTAGAGCTAGAGCTAGAGCTAGAGCTGGAGCTGGAGCTAGAGCTAGAGATAGAGAGAGCTAAGGAATATGGCAGGACTTTAACCGAAAAGCTAGGATATAGCTAGTGTTTAAAACAATTATGTTTAGCTTCAAAACAAAGCCTCAAAACGCCTGATTTGTGGATTGTGCATGATGAGAATCCGAATGAATTCATTAGAAGCTCTATGCCTGGAAAAGTCAGAAGTTGGAGTTTGCGATAGTTATAAAACAATGGTTGGAAATGCTGTCAATTGTAATCCTGACCAAACTGAATGTTGTTGTAAAGTAAGGTTTTACTAATATAATATATTGTACCTACATTTAAATATGTCATTTTTGACATTTTTAGGTAACATTTGAGCCATTTTTTCACATTTTCTAAATTTTTGAAATTTATGACGAATTCTATGAAAGTTATCCTATTTTTATGACAAAAATACGAATCTAATATGCTAGTTAATATGAATTTAGGGACCAGCATGCGCCTACAAATTCCTTGAGATATTCCACAACTATGTACCCAGCCCAGATAAAACATCAAACAGCTCCAACAGGTTATTCACGTCACTTTCAACCTTATTTTTGACCATATTCGCTATTGTTAACCTAATATTTAAATAAACAATGTTAAACTCAAATTTTGAAAAACATTAGTTTACATGCCATTTTTAAACCAATACAGTTCTAGTATGACAAACTTGTCTAAAATATAAAAATTGTTTAGGCTTCAAGTATTTTTTTTTTGTTTTTTCCATTATTAAAAAACTTTAAAAACCCCTTTATTGTGGCTAAAAACCAGCAAAAAGAGATTCGATCAGGATGAGATTCGAACTCACGCGGGGAAACCCCAATGGATTAGCAGTCCATCGCCTTAACCACTCGGCCACCTGATCACGTTCGCTCCCCTTTTGAAGCATTTTGTGAAGGCATGGAGAAGATCAAAAGCTGTTTTTAGCTGCACAATGAAATGATTTAAATGTATTTTAACTTATTTTAAACGGTTTGCTAGCTAAGAAATTTGAAATTTCGTGGTTTTAGAGGAAAAGAATAGCTTGAAAATCAAAACTTTATTTAAAAAACATGAATCGCACTGCTATAAAGTGCTGTAACTTTTGAATAAACACGAGAAACGTGTTAAAATTTACCATACTCTAAGTATAAACTATGACTCACAATATAATAAGTCCAAATCTTTTGAGAAAAAAAATGAGAATTTGAAAAAAAAACAAAAAAAACTAAAAAAAAATTTCAAAAAATCGTTTTTTCCTTCAAAATAAAATTTTTTCAATTTGAAACCTTTATTCACTTTCACCTACCGAAGCGATCGGTTTGTCGCGAAATGAATCACAAGAAAACCAAATCCAACTTTGCCAGTCAAGCGAGTTCAGCCACCGTCCGATTATACGAACGACTGGTCGATGCACAAGTCAAGGTGGGTTTATGTTGTTGTAGGTTTGAAGAATGGGCTTAATTTTGAATATTTAGTGTCAAAAAGTTTTTAAAATACGAATAATAATCTAAAATTTAATTTTTTAAAAAGATTGGAGTAATAAAAAAGTCGTGTCGTTTTTGACCGGGAAAACCCGTGAGATTTGACGACAAGACTTTTATGACAGTTTTAATTGTATTTTATAACTAAACGTCGAGTTAAAAAAGGTAAAAACACTTGTTTCTATTCACTTTTTGACCAGTATTATATTCTTCAAATCTTCTTGAATCTCTAAAGTGACATTACTTCAGAAGCCCTATTCCCAACGTGCTAACACAATCGACCGGTATGGACAAGATTGTACCGTATCCAGTGAACGACAACATTTATCGTCTTCAGACACGTCTTGTGGGGTAAGTGGTACTATTTTTAAGGTCATGAACGTTGTAGTTTCAGTATGATATTGGATTTAAAATTGTCATATAAGGTTGTTCATATAATTCTGAGCCTTTCTCAAAGCAGATTTTTGTTGTTAGAAGGCTCAGAATTTTTTTGAACAATTTAAAGGATTATGGGGCTCAGAATTAATTGAACAACCTAAAGGATTATGGGGGCACATAATTAGTTGAACAATCTAATAACGTTTATTTTATCAAAAACTTCAAATTACAGTATCCACGAGGCCAATCAGACAGAATACTGTATCCAACTTCAAGAAATCACAAAACTGATGACAAATCACGTCGAGCCAGAAGTAATACAGCCAGAAAAACCTCACAAATTGTTGTCAAAAGACCAGTCAGATCGAAAAGTAGTGCAATATCTGCCAGTGATGATCAACAAGGTGCCGCTTTTACTGGTAATTCTTTTTTAAATTTTATGCTTGATATAACTTTATGTTCTGTCACACTTGATGTTAAATGGTCATTACTTGACTTTAAAACAGTAAAAACTTAACAGAGCCTTAGGCAAACTAAAAAAAACAAAAAATGAAGTCGATTTCAGTGCTTTTTTCACTGAAAATGACTTCATCTCCCAGTTTATGCCATATTTTTGTGAAAATGACATTTCAGAGCAACACAGCTCGAATTGGGGGCAGAGTCTGATACCGGTCGAGTGTACAGATCGGGTGGTTTGTCTAAACGACCGGCATTTCTTGGTCAGAGAGCTGAACTTGATCAATCCCAATGATGATCTACATGTAACTCAAGAGGAACTCTGCAAGTTGGTTGAGCAGAGCAAGATGTTGACTAGGAAGTGAGATTTCATCTTCAAGTTTACTCTACCCCCATCTTATTCTATTCTGCCTTACTTCACCTTACCCTACGCTATTCTACCTTATTTTACTTTACCTTACTCAACTTTACCCTACATTACCCTACCTTACCTTACTTCACCTTACCCTACCTTGCCTATATCATCATATCATACTCTACTTTGCGCCACCCTACCCTGAACCAACATACTTTACTCTACTTTCTTATAACTTACGTTATTGTAGGTACTGTACCTGCAAAGAGCCATCAGAAGAGGAAGAAAAATCAATCTACGACTTCAGTCAGCCTTCAGAAGACCACCGTGCTCTTTCAGTAGTCTTGGAAGATAAGAATCAGAAGAATGGACCAGAAAGAAGAGAGAAAGATGACCAAGTTGATGACAATGTCCTCGGAGATCGACTTGTTACTACTCCAGGAAATGATTCTAGTCCACATGATGAAGGTTGTCAGAACTGGTCGAATCATCGGGGTAACCAGCAGAATCTTGATGATATAGCCGAGGCAGCACGAGAGATGAGGGCAGGATCTTATAGTAGGCAGAGAAGTGATTGTGAAGAGAATGGCAGAAGGAGAGGACAGCAATGTCAGCCTTCTGAATCCAGGTGGAATCAAAGAAAATTGGCTTCTGAATTGAAATACGGATACAGCAGTTCAAATTCTCAATCTAGCAAAAGCTACGTGACTTTACCTTCAGAATTCAGTAACAGCTACGTCACTCCGACTTCTGAAACCAGGTTAAGTCAAGGAACTTTGATTTCTGAATCCAGTCCTGGCTACACAAGTCAACCCTCTGAATCTGGCCACAGTCAGCAGTATCTGATTTCAGAAGCCAGTCCATATCAAGTCAGTCTAAGAGGAAGCAAGTACGATGGTCGTCGGATTCTGAATCTGCCTCCAGACGCCCTTTCACCCAACTCCAGAAGGACTCAGGATCCAAATGCTTCATCCTCAACGACGGAAGTCTTCCAAGAACCCCCGCTTCATGTATCGATGGCTTCGACGCCTCCGTCACCGTTCAGTAGCCAGCCGGTTCCAATCTACATAACTAGTACTCCGATGGTACCGGCTCAGCCTAGAACTCCAGTCAATTCCCCGAACGAGAGTGTCAAAAGAGATCGTCATAACATGAGAAATGGCACAAAAATGGATGGAATCAACGGAAAGGGTATGAAAAAGAATGGCACTAGAGCTTATGGAAGACATGTTAATCATGGTGACAAAAGGGATGACAATATGGTGGACATTGATCAGGCTTTGATAACAATGACAGAGATATCTCCAGAGAAGACTCAGAGATCAGATTCTCCGCCACTGGTCACGGCCATCACCCTCAAGTCTCCAGAAGATGACATTTCCATCGTCACGGTACGACGTCGAAGAGCCAGAAGGCAAGGCATCTCTCCCATTGCTACAAGTACCAAGATACGACCAAACCAAGACTTGAGGGTACCATCAGAGACTAGTTCGGTATCATATGAAGGCGGCATGGTACCATTACAAGGCCACATGGCACCACAATTGCGCATAGTACCATTTCAAACCCAATTGGTACCATCTCGTAGCTCCAGTGTAGCATCTCAAGACTCCAGATCACCAGCTCCAAAAGAGAAACCGGCGTGGGCAGACAGTCCCTGCCGAAGCCACTCCTCCCCCACAAAAGAAATGGTCGACGAGATGAAGCAGTACATGAACCAACGTGCCAAACTGTACCAGTCTGACGAGGAGAACAGTACCACTGAAACCACTAACTTGAGAATGCAAGTCTGCAAAAGAACAACCGGTCGAAGCATGACCAATGTTTCGAGAGTGGCCACTAACACAACATCGACTGGTCGAGGTTCATCCACTAATGCTAGAGCAAGTTCGACCAATCAAGGTCCAGCTTCAAGAACAACATTGACCGGTCGGAGTTCATCTACTGTTGCAAGTTCGACTGGTCAGAGTCGAGCCAGTGACTCAAGAAGTTCAAAATCAATTCAAAAGTTCTCGGACAAAGGTCATGTTGTTGGACGAGGACGACCAGTTAGTGGAGTGTGCTCGAACTGCATCCTCAGCTGTTCCTGTGCCAATCCCTTGACTGTTCCACATTGTGGACGGAAACTTTTGGAGAATGTCACCCTGACTCCACAGTTTAATGTGGGTTTTTGAAATTTAATTTTTTTTTATTATTGAGCTTTTTAAAAATCTTGTCGTCAATTTATATTGTTTTGCACGTTAAAAAACGACAAGGCTTTTGAGGGCTTAATATATATTAGTTTACTCTAAGCTACCTTATTTTCAGACAGAACTAACCCCGGACGGTGTCATTCTGCACATCAAATACTCTGTCAGCGAACCGACTGGACTGGTCCGAGATGTTCATGCCATTTTCGATATGCCTTTGTACAGAATCCGTCGGATCATCGTCGATGGAATCGAATACATCAGCAGTATCAACATGTGATTCACGAGAAAATAAACTTTTGATTCTTCTTTCGGGCTTGTATTGTTCTTTCAAAATATATTTTGGTGCTATTGGTACACCCACTAGTACACTAAATTTCTGATTTTTTTTGGGCTTATGATGCTTTTATTTAGTTGTGTTGTGGTACTATTGGTCTACTTACTGATCCAAGAGCTCTAGATGTTACCTATTAACTCTATGCTTGCTTTACTCAAAATCTTGGCATTTCGTCTCATTTGCGCGCATTTTTTCGTTCAAAAGCAGGAATTTCTCTCGATTTGCTTTATGTTTTTTCGCTCCCGAAACCTGCCTTTTTATGCGTTTTTCTTGCCAAATCTTGTTATAAAAACACATTACATTCATTTTTACATCTTATAATATTTTCATAAAATAAACATCATTTTATTTTGTCGCAACCTGTCAGTTTTACCATATTTTATGTCGAAAACTCGCCCAAACTCTTTTGTTTCCTCGTTTCCAACGAAATTTATTCAAATTCCGTCGATTTTGCGGAGGAAAGATGGAGGTTCAATTACTTTTTGTTCGGGAGGTATGGGGCTGCCATTAAAGTCGCGACGATAAGCGTCTTTTCGCTGTTGGACTCCTTTTGCGATTTATCTTGATCTATGTTGTTTTTGCTGGTTTCGTGTGTATTTTTCCGAAATTTCCAAAGTTTTTACGTATTTTGTCATATGAACACCTTTTTTGTTGTTTTTTCACGGTTTTTGATGAGATAAAAGAATTTCTTTTTGTCTATTTAGAGCTGTTTTTGAGGTTGGGAGCTCGTGAGTGGACGAAGCTTTTTTTGGCGAGTTTTGCGAAATATAGTTTGTTTATGGAAATTTTAGATGAAAGAGATTAAAGATCATTAAAATTACTTGTTAAGTTTCTATTTTGGTGTTTATTTGACTGTTTTTTAGAAAGATATAACGAATTTACTATAATATTTCGGGTTGGGACACAAGTCGTCTTTTTGGTTGTTTTTTGCCATTTTTGGTGTTTCTTTTGAATATTCTTTTTTTAAATTAGAAAGATTATTTAATTTATTTGCTAAATTCAGGTCTTGGTTTTGTTGCTCCTATTAATTTTGAATATATACTTAAAATAATGTGTCTAATGCTATGTTCAGCTAAAATTGAAAAAAAAAATTGGTCTTGATTTTTTATATAAACTTTAAAATGTGTTGAAATAATTGTTTACACAACGCTAAAATTATTTAAAACGTTTTTTACAAAAGTTAAACATTTTTATTTTTCAGATAACAAAATTTATGTTACACTAGAGCACAATGACTAACTACGCGCCGGAAAGTGAGTTTCCAACAATGGCCAGTATTGTTTCGGACACAAACACGATGGTAGGAAGTAATTACAAGAGTTCCAAATCAGTAACCGACAGAACTTATTCATATTCGACCAAACACGAGGCTTACCGCAGAGCTGGAGACGAGTTATTGAGATTGGTTCAGATGCAAGAGTAAGTGACGGTTCTTTTGTCTATTTTTGTGTTTTTAGGTAATAGAGGAGTTTAATTAAAGATGGTATGCATTTTAAAATAAATAAACTTGAAGTTGAATACGCATATGTATAAAAGATTATAGGTAACAACTTTAATATCTTTGATAATGAAGATGTATTAATTTATGACATTTTTAGCTTGTTATTGAACGAAAACAATGAAAATTACTCGCCAAGGTCTTCAAAGTTTTCATCAGCGTAAGTTTACTTGTCTTACTTCAACTATAATAACAATAGCCTTGTTTTCTTATTACTGGACTATAATGATCATAATTATAACGTCAGTCTACCGTAACAAGAAAGAATTTATTTATAGAGCGCCAGAAGTGGCACGTCGTGATTCGCTGTACGATCCCTCACCTCAAAAAGTGATGCGAATCCCAGAGCCGGACAAAGTAACTGACGATATTGTTGCCCAAACACGTGAATCCAGATTGCAAAAAAGCAAAAAGGCCGAAAGTTGGGTAAAACAATGTTCGGATTTATCGAAGGGGCACAAGAAGTCAGAAGACGTTGCGAAAACAATCAAATCTAAACGGTAACGGACCTTTCTTTGGATTTTTCTTGAAATTTTAGGCTAAATAAAGGTAAAGGGGTTTTGCCAGGCTTGTGAGCTACTTTTATTTATATCCTTTTGCTACGTACAACAACAATTAATTGTCTGTTACGTTTCACTACTATAACATAAAGTATGTTTAGAATAACATCAAGAACGACTGATCGAGTATCCGACGAGATTCTGGTAGATTTATGGGACATTAGAGACGAATACAAGAGAGGATTGGTGATGGAAAGTGAAGCCTTGAGGAATATGGGCCGATCAAGGCTTGCCCAACGGCCATTCTCAACACAAGGACGGTTGGAACATTTGGAACAGCCTTTTGTGTCACCCAGATATAGTGATCATTGTGAAGTGTGAGTTTAAACTCATGATTTGTTATGCTTTTGGGGTAAAAATGTTGATGTAGACTTTGAATTTGGGGTAAAATGTGGCTGTAAACAAAGTTTTGATGAATTTTTGAAGATTTTTTGATTTTGGAGGGAAGTTTTTTTTATTTTTGTTTTGTAAAGGAAGTTGTTTTTCTGTAAAGAAAGTTTTTGCAGTTTTTTTATAAAAAAAAATATAAATTTGGTTCCAGCTGTTCACACCGCCCAATCTCCGAGCCATTAGTCCAAGACTACAAATACAAAACCGCGAATCAACTTCAACGTGAACTGCTACAGGCTCAGAAGCAGCTGGCTACATATCCTCCACTCAAATCCAAATACCCTCTGCTGAGATACTACCTCTAATGTGCCTACTTTACTTACCGTTTTTGTACATTGCTGACCTTTTTTGGAAATTACTGACTCCTTTTAAAGATTACTGACCCTTTTAAAGATTACTGACCCCGTTTCTGGATATTACTGATTATTTTGGAATTTTACTGCCTATTTTTTGAAATTTACTGGCGATTTTTGACTTTTCTGGATACTCGCTTTACTAACCATTTATATTTTGTCGAGTTTCTGAAACTCGTCTTAGTGATATTCGACATCAATAAATTTACTTTAAAATGTTGTGTATTTTTTAATGATTTTGTTTTTTATCATGGTTAATATTGATATTTTTATAGGTTTTTTAATATATTAGAATATGACATACACCATAGTTAATCTTATACTGAAAACACATAAATTATGTTATCTAGCTATTCTAATATGTAGCTCATTTTATTTTAACAATGGCAAATGTTTAGAAACTTTTTTTCATGTAACCAGCTCCATATTGTAATATACAACCGTTTTACAGAAAAAATGTCAAAACCGATGAATTTAATTGTTGCCATGGACCGGACCAGAGGTATCGGCAAGAATGGCACTCTACCATGGCATTTACCACAAGATTTTAAACAGTTTGTACGCTTAACAACGGAAACGACCGACCAAAACAAAAGAAACGCCGTGATTATGGGAAGAAAGTGCTGGGAAAGCATTCCAAACAAGTTCAGACCGCTGAAGAATCGGCTGAACGTTGTCTTGAGCACTAGTATTGCTCCTAGTGTAAGTTTGAGAAAGTTGGAATTTTGAATTTTGTTTAAATTTGTTAAATTTGAACGGAAAGAAGACATTTTGCAAGCCTTTGTTATAGTTCGCACTGTGCGATTAGTCAAAGAGATACATAAAGAGAAATGACGGCGTTTTCGAACCGTGCTTCCGTGGCGCAATCGGTTAGCGCGTTCGGCTGTTAACCGAAAGGTTGGTGGTTCGAGTCCACCCGGGAGCGAGTACTTTTTGCGACATTGTAAATTGATTTTTACTGTTTTTATTGGATCGAAAAATTTATTTTTGCGACTTTAAGAATGTTATGGTACTAGACTTTTGTAAAAGCCTCACAAAAGTAGTGAAAAACGTTTAAAAATTGGCAAAATGTAAGACTTTTAGTCTACAATAACATTTTTCAATCAAAAATTAATGAAACAAATAATTTAGCAAACCGATGACGTTGTGTTTTGCAAATCTTTGGAAGACGCTCTACAAATCCTCGAATCTAACGACAAAATCGAGACCATTTGGAACATTGGTGGACGACAATTGTACCAACTGGGTCTGACAACTCCAAATATCCATAAGATCTACTTGACTGAAATTCAAAATGACTTTGAAACTGATGTGGATTTTCCCGACTTTGACAAGGACAAATTTCAAGTCGAGTCGGTTGGAGAAAAGGTGGAGGATAAGGGCCAGGAATGGAAACTGATCGTCTACAAGAACAAGGACACCTTGTTTTAGATATAAAAATTTAAATTCTGTGAAAACGAGGTTATACTCTCGCTATAATTATACATTTTACTTACGAGTTTCGATTTGTATCAAGTCACTTACATATTAGTCAGCATCAATAAATATTTATATTATACTTGAGGTCTTATCATGGTGAAGGTAAACTTAATTTAAATTACTTTAGAACTATTAAATACGCTTGTTTTTGGGTATTTTATACATTGCACTATATTTACTTTTTTAACGTGCAAGGTATTTTGTCAATTTACAGCGTTGGACATGTTTCATCGTATAATTCTGCTGGGGCGCGGCTTGCAGTGTAAAGCTCCAAGCTATTTGCCGGCAATACGCGGTAATGTTTACAAATTTGAATAAATTTTTGCGTTTTTTGTTTTTAATTAATTTTCTGCATTTTTCTGGTTTAAAAATTGTAAAATTTGTGAAGGATTTGCTTGATAACTAGCTAATCGTGCTTTATATTATCCATGATCATTTTATCGTTGAAATACCATTTTTACATTACTTTTCTCTTTCCAGCCCCTTGATGGCTCGTCCTCTGGACGAGAGTTTGCTGCGATTGTTCAAATCGTTCGTGAATCGAAAAGACGCAGAATCTTCGGACGATGAATTTTTGAATTCCAAAATCTCAAGACCGGAGAAGCTCAATATCTTTGATTCAGAGGTAGGTTATTCAATTTGCTTTTACTTTTTAGACAACAGACGTTTCATACTTTAAAATCTTGCTAATGAACTAGAATTTACTTTGAAATGCACTTTTAAATCTCGCTTTTGCGGGAAAAGCGCGTTTTATGGGTCATTTTTTTCTATTTCTGGGTCAGGTCTTGCTTTTTTTTCTGTTATTTTTTCCAAAATTTTATACTTCGAAAAGTTGGAGGTAGAAAATTCGAAGAATGATCTTAAGAAAGCTTTGTTTTAGACGTTTGGACGTTTTTGTTTGTCTATTTTATAGGTAACAATACTTTCGTGACGTTTATTGAAAATACTACTATTTTTGTTAATTTAGGTAACATTTTGTTTTAATCTGCTCGTAAATTATTCATGTCAATCTGATCTTTAATTCTTTGTTTGAACTTTTTGCCTTTTTTAAAGGAACTTTTGTTTTATGCTTGATAATGTTGTTAACGTTATCTTTGCTGGAAATTATTCTTATTTCTTTCAGAACTCAATGAGATCTACTAATAACAACACAATTCCATTGAAATTGGATACTTCACATGTCGAAGAATTTTACTCATTAGCAGATTCATTACACGAAGAATTTGAACAGATCAATGTTAGCAGGGAAGCTCCATCAAAAGTTAAAGGATCAGTCGAGGAGTTAATGCAGAAAGTGCAGCTACAAGAAGCTGCAGAAGGCTATGTACACAACACAATAGACAGAGGTTGGTTTTTCGTTTAATTTTTTGTTTGAATTTTAGTTTAGTATTGATTATTTGAGGTTTTACATGAGAATCTACTATAATATAGCCTTTTTGGTGGTGCGTGTAGGTTTTTTTTATCTTGAACTTATCTACCTTTTTGTTTATTGTGTATAAATTGATTTCTGACGAAAGAATCTATGTCAAACCTTTTTAGTGCTAGTAGTAATAAGAAAGAAGATAAAGCACACAACAGACCAATACGAGATAACAGAGACGTTGTGTACAGAATTGGAAAGTTTATATGGCCTGAACCGGTTGGATGTGGATCACACTGGTCTGTGTCTAAAAAACGACAAATACACGATAGCATTTCTAGTGCTACTGGAATCCGAATTTGCAGATGACGTGATACGAAGGTTTCAGATGAATAATGTCAACAATCATGACTATGGTAAGTCGGTTTATCGACCATATTAGTAGCAATTACACTTTATATGTCTAGTAGAATCTTTTCTTTGTTTTGTATATAATGGCCTGTTAATTTACATCTGTTTTCATACTGTATTCTGTATTTTCAGTGCTGCTATGCAGAGGTGACCGTTTTGTTATGAGTTCATTGAAGGGTCTCAAAATAGCCTCAAAAACTCTATTAAACAAAGTTTTGGATGAACTTATTGATCGGACATAAAGCAACAACTATCTCATCTTCTCATTTGATCTCAGGATTTAACAGTATATTATAATAATTAAAATACGGTTCGAAATTAATAAATACGGTTATAATATATTTTGGCGTTTAAAAGGAGTTTAAGCAGTGTAATAGTGTTAGTTAGATAATAAGATATATTCTACAATTTTCGTAAGGTTATTTATCTAAAAATTGGTTTAAAGTTGACTTTTGCAAAATTTTGCATTAACATATCAGTTGTAATTCGGTCCCAACACGAAAACGACGAACGCAAAACTTGTTTGGCCTTCCGTTTTTCTTGTAAAATATTCACAAAAATTGGAATAAAATAGTTTTGAATGTTCTCTGATGTTCCCAATAAGCAGATGGATGTGCTTTGATATTTCTATACAATCAGATAATCTGGAAAACAATTGAAATTTAAACATGAGCGAAACAGAAGGTCCACAACACAATAGGCAAGCCAATTTGAATTATTCTGGAAGTGATTGGATGTGTAAAGGTCACTTTATGTTAATATTATTTTGTAAAACATGTAAAGTTTCCAGCACTGTCATTTTTTGAAACAGTAACTTATCTTATCAATTCTATGTTTGTTCAGACATATAGTGAAGGGGTTTTTATCTCAAGGTGAAGAGAAGTGGGTAAATTGATAGGAAAATTGGTTTGAACGTACTTTTAAGACATTGCAAACGTATCTTTATGCATTTTACTTCGATAATAATATAGTAATAACGATTACTAATATCAGGTATTAAATTTATGAAATGAGGATTCATCTCTTACCTACAATAATATCTTTATTTTCAGGATAAAGATGCATACAAATCCAATAGTTTACGTGTTGGTAGCACTATTCGGATCAGCATCATGGTTGTCAACGAATGCTGTGTGGATGGAACTGCCATTACTGACACATTCTTTGCCAGAACATTGGGCTTTACCTTCTTATCTTGCCTTGATTGTTCAAGTGAGTTTTTAATATTTTTGTTGGTTTTTAGGTAACATATTGTTTTGAAATGGGTTGCTGCAGGTCTTTGCCGATTTTTCAAACAATTTTTCACAATATATATTTTGACAGGCGAGAGTTATATTGTTACAGGCATAAGATAAGCCTATGTTAACATGGGTTGAGCGTAAAAGAGGTTTTTACATGTCGTTGGGCACAACGTTTTTTTCTAACATACTGAATACATATCGTCGGGCACAACGTTTTTTCTAATATACTGACTGCAGAAATTATTGACCACCCCCACTAACGTGGCAATGATTAAACCGATTTGGACCAAATTTTGTATATAATTTATTAACAACCTTGTAACAACAAAAACATAACCAGAACTAGCTTGATTATAAAAAAACTATTTAAATAACACTTCCTAAAAATTGGCCAACAAAGAGGGAATAAATTACTGACCACCTCTTAAAATATTGTAGGTAATGCCATTTTCCTTTAAAAGGTTGTTGATTGTGCGAAGACTGGAATCCAGGTCTAAGTTCTCTTTGATGATTCTTGCGGTCACCTTGTGTCCAGCACGAACTTCCTTCTCCACAAAACGTTTTATTCGACGAACAGCGGCAGGACTATTGTTTGCCGGACGACCAACTTTCTTGTTAGGAACCTTCCTGATGATTCTCTTCACAGTATTCCTGCTGCGGCCGGTCCTTCTGCTAACTTCCTTGATGTTTCGCGTCTTTTCGAAAATTTGAACGATCTCGTCTCTTTCCTCTTGAGTCAACATTCTGAAACCACGTTTAAAACATAGAATAATAACATCTTACCTTATTCTTGTAAAAATTCTTCGAAATTCTAGCAACTCCGTGCTATTTTCCAGGGTTGTCCATAATTTATTCTCACTTTTTTACCCCGAAAATTATTTTTTTTGTAAAACGAAATGTAACAAACCAATTGACATTTCGTCTTACCAGAACATATTGCAGTAAACTAGGAAGATGTAAGTCAAATAAGGTCCAGATCGGTTTACCCGTTGTCACGTTAGAGGGATTTTTTTGATCCCTTTTTTCCCCCTCCCCCCCTTCCTCCACACCGCTCGGCCCTGGGGATGGTCAATAATTTCTGCGGGCAGTAGAGTTTGTAAAATGTCTTAAGCAACTTTACTTAACAGAATTTGATAGAAATTATACGTTTTCCTACTACATATAATCAGTACATTATATTGTAGTATGCAAAAATTGATTGTGTTGGCACAAAACTAACTGTAAAGCCTTGAAACCTTACCAAACTTCATTTCAGATAGCATGTATAGGACCATTAGTATACAGTATACTAACAAAATGTTGTGGGATAACTCTATCAGCACCTGGATTGATATTTGCTTTGTTATTGTTATGTACAATATCAGAGTTTGGTCTAGCCTTCCTATGGTCGGTTACAATGCACATATTTGGATCATATCACTCTGTAGCATTATATCTGTTTATGTTTATATTAGCATTGGTTAATTCTACATCAAATGTGTTGTTCATGCCTTACATGGCAACGTTTCACCCATCTTATCTTACTGCTTACTTTGTTGGCATGGGCTTCTCGTCTTTGTATCCTAGTGTGGTTAGCTTGTTGCAAGGTAGGTTGTTGTTAATGAAGGATGGATTGTATAGTTTTTGAGGCTGTGTTTGAGGTTTAATTAAGTTTTGTCACATTTCAGGCTCATACACATATGAATGTAGATACGATCCCATTCAAAACGCCACTTCACCTATATTTTTATCGCCCAGGTTTTCGTTTGAAGTGTATACGGTGGCTATGGGATGTTGGTTGGCTATGACATTGGTATCTTTCTCGTTACTACACTTTTTTCACGATTATTTTGCAAATTTGGGCCGAGAGCCGGCTGACAATCTGGAGGTAGAACCAAAGGAGGACAGTCCGTTAAAGGTACGGGAAAAGTGATAAGATTTGGGGAAGTTGGGTTTGGATAGCTTATTTATCTTTATATTTGAAGTTTTTATAAAATTTTTTTTTAATTTTTAAAAATTCAAATTTTTTAATTTTTTTTAAATTCCAGGGCACCCAACCGACCGAAACCCAATCAGACACAACCGACCGGTCAAGTCAAAAACGCTACATTATCCTCTCTTTCTGTCTAGCCTTCATTTGTGCCCAGATGAACGCAGTAGTACCATCAGTACAAAGCTACGCGACCATGTCCTACTCATTGATAACATATCATCTGGCTTTAGCTTTGTCATCATTGGCACATCCAATCGCATCGTTCTTGCCGTTGTGGGTTCAACCAAAGAAGCTGAACCAACTGGTCGGGTTGACAATTGCAGCGACCATTGGATGCACGATCATCTTCATCATGGCTACACAGTCGCCAGATCCGATTGGGAGGAGTACGATCTATGGGAATGGGTTTGCGGTGAGGATTTTGAAAATTTGTTTGGAAATGTGGATTTAAAAATGATTTTTTTGAAATTTTAAATGGTTTTCTAATGTCAAAAAATTCTTGTTGTTTTTTACTGTGGAAAGCAATGTTAAAAAACGATAAGACTTTTTAAGATCCTTTAAATCTCACTGAAAACTCAACTTTTCTAATCTCAATGTTGCAGATAGTAATATCGATTGTAACAGCGTTCCTACACGCCTACGCTCGCACCGTTCTCACATCGACCATCAGAGAGGACACTCCTCAAAACGAAAATCGACTGTTTTGGTGTGGCGCCTTCATGCAAATTGGCTCATTCTTAGGAGCTTTAATTATGTTTCCATTAGTCAACTTCTCAGGAATTTTCACACAAGCTTATCTATGCTAAAGCTTTATCAAGTGCAATATCAGCCATATTGGGTCAAGGATAATATATTTTTCGAAATTTGATTTTTTTGAAATTTTTATTTTTAAAAAATAATTTTGTGAAAATTTAGGGTTTTTGACGATCTTTTTTCAAATTTTAAATTAAATTATTAACCTTACAGTACAGTAAAAACGTTATTTGTGAAAAAAGTGTAATATCATGTAAATATCAGGCATATTTTACGAAATTTTCAGTGATTTTTGTTGTTTGTTAATTCATATGATAATAAAGTTACTAACAGACATCTTCAAATTGTGTTAACATGTTTTATCAATCATTATATTTTAATTTTTCTTCTTTTGATCAAGTGTTATATTGTTCAAATAATTATATGCTACCAAACTTTGAAAATTTGCTTTGAGAGGGGGCATAGAATTAGTTGAACAACTTAAAATTTTGTTTCGCTAGCCAAAACGTCTTTTTATAACAGGAAACTAAAAAATTTACGTCAAAAGTCATAAGAAACAATTTTTTCGCTTAAAATCACAATTGCCGACCACTTTTTCCACCTAAAACGCTTTTCAACCACTTTTCAACTAAAAAGTCACGTTATACATGACAAACCTTAACTTATACATCAAACTTTAATGCTCAGACCACCGGAATTCCGAAAAAATGTATAAAACATGCATTTTCCAAGTTTTTGATAAGAAAAGGGCTAAAAAGTTGTTTGAAAGGCTTAAAATTTGAATTTTTTCTTTGAAAAACCAAAACATTTCAAAAATTTTTTGTTTTCTAAACTTTTGGAGCTTCATTGTAGCCCAAAAAGAGGTTCAGCCGAGAGAAATGCCTTGGAATCGACGTGCCAATATGGCCGTTTGCACCGTGAATCAATGGGCTTTGGACTTCAGTGGGAATCTGAAGAGGATTCTGAAAAGTGAGTTTTAGAATCGTAAAATTAGATTCCAGATATAGAAAATCTTAATTTATATCTGCTATAATACTTTATTTAGCATGCAAAGAAGCCTACGAGATAGGAGCACGAATCCGTTTGGGACCTGAGCTGGAGATCTGTGGGTATGGATGTGCTGATCATTTCTTCGAACTGGATACTCAGAATCATTCCTGGGAGGTGTTGAAGAGCATTGTGGATGAGTCTAACAATGTAAAGACTGTTTTGAGGTTTATTTTAGCTAGATTTATATTATACATGGTGTTATAGATGATTTTGGGCTTAATTTTATATTATTCTTGATGTTTTTGAGGAGTTTTGATGTGAAAACTAAATTTACTGGTCGAGACATTGTAGCTTATGATCTAGTAGATGTAAAAAGATATAATACTGACATTTTAAAGTAGTTTTACCATATTAAAAATTGTATTTTAGTTAAATTTTGTATTATCTTTGATGTTTTTGATCATTTTTGATATTTTCTTGATGTTATTGATATAAAAACTAAATTTACTGGTCGAAAAATAGAAGATTACGAAGTTTTAGACTTAGAACAATATAATACCGACATTGTAAAGCAGTTTTACGACATTAAAAACCGTATTTTAGCTGCCAAACCTCCTCATAATCACTGGAATGCCTATAAGATACGAAATCTCACTTTACAATTGTCTGGTTGCTGTATGTAATGGTAAAATCCTGTCGATATACCCAAAAAGCGCCCTTTGTGATGATGATGTCTATCGGGAAACGAGATACTTCACTTCATGGAAGAGGCGACATGAATATGTCGAGTTCAAGATTGACTCTGAATATGGCTTTGAGCAGGTATGGTCAAATATGTATGGTAATATGTGGTCATTTATGGACTTACATAGTTCTTTGTGTTGGTAATGGCATCTCGCTTCCAGGAGTACGCCCCCTTTGGCGATGTCTTTGTCCAAAGTGCTGATGGAGTACGAGTTGGTTTCGAGCTGTGCGAAGAGTTGTGGACCGCCAAAACCAAAGCGGTCGATTTAACATTACATGCGGTCGATATTGTCTGTAATGGATCAGGTTCACATCATGTGTTAGGCAAGTCTCATCAACGTATCAATCAACTTGTCCTTGGCCAAACTCAAAAACTGGGCGGAGTTTACCTTTACTCGAATCATCGTGGCTGTGATGGTGATCGTGTTTACTATGACGGAATGTCATCGATTGTAATGAATGGAAAGCTATATGCTCAGATTAACCAATTTGATATTGAGGATACTGTAAGTTTTTTGGGGTTTTAGAAGTTTTTTTTGGTATTTTAGAAGGTTTTTTGGACAAAAAATGGCAATTTAGAAAGATTTTGATATGGTTACTCTAGTTTTACCGCGGTTTTCAAACGACTTTGAAAAATTTCGGAAAAATGAGTTGATACGTTTTGTAAAGCATATAAAAATGTACATTTTGTCAAATTTTTGTGAAGTTATATCTTTTCGCCGCAGGGTTATATTATTTTAAACTTGCCACATACTCCAATTTTTTGAAAAAAAATCAAAATAATCGCTATGATGCTACTTTTAAGCCTATAATATGGTTTTTCAAGCATTTCAAAGTGTAAAAAAAGTTTCTGCATAAAAAAATTTTTTAAATACATTAATTTCACAGTTTAAAATTCAAAAACATTGACTAGGTCAAATCAAAACGAATCAAGAAGAGAAGAAGAGCACTTTCGAACGGTGCTTCCGTGGCGCAATCGGTTAGCGCGTTCGGCTGTTAACCGAAAGGTTGGTGGTTCGAGTCCACCCGGGAGCGAGTATCTCTTTGGACTTTTTTAGAGAAAACGATGGGGAAATTGCTTGTTTTAGGTAACATAGAAGTTTCATAAATTATTTTTGTTAATTTTTGAGTTGTTTGAGCTGCATTTTTTTAATGTTTTTGAAGGGATTTGATCATAAAATGATGTGAAGGCATAAGATAATGTTTGATATTTCAGTGTGTTACTAACAGTGTACTGGATTTGGACGAAATTACTGTTTTTAGGAACAAGAAGAGTCTTTGTGAACAGGTAAGCTAAAAAAATATTTTTATTTTTGAAAATTTTTCAAAATTCTTAAAAGCTTATCAAAAAACGTCATTTTAAAAAGTTATAACGTATAAAACACTATTTTCAGTCATCAAGGGAGCCACAGATACCATTCATTCGATTTGAAGCTAATTTACTGGAATCTCCTCAACAATTCACGGTACCATTATCGAAGCCAATTAGTACCAGACAGCGGTCGGACGAAGATGAGTTGTGCCATGCGCCACCAGCATGGTTATGGTCATATCTACGACGCAGTAAAATGGTAATTTTTTAATGTTTTGGAGCAGTAATTACGGTTTATCATCAGGACTTGTGGTTTATCATGGTGTATATTAGCTAAAATAATGTATAAAGTAGCCTTTTTAAGGGTTTTTGGAGTTATGTTAAGCTGTAAACTTAGGTTATAGTATTAAGAGTTATAAAAAATGGTTATTTTAGTCCGGCTTCTTCTTACCTTTGAGTGGGGGTCAGGACTCGGCTTCAGTAGCAGTTATGGTAAGGTTAATGTGCGAGAAGGTGTGCAAGGCTTCGAGAGAGAACAAAGGTGCGTTTTTATTTATAATAGTTATACATATTTACTGTTTTTTTTATTTACTGTTTACTGTGGGACTATATTTTCATTACAAAAACTATTTTTTTTATCTTTGCACTGTTCACAATTTTAAGACTGCACGGTGCAGCTATTAAATTATGGCATTTTGCAGCTAATGCCAGAACTTTTAGGACAAGCTAATGATACTAAAAGAATTAGTTTCAATAGCAGTTTTTTATTTTAAAATTTTAAAAAATTTGATTTGGTTTTGGGACTTTTATGATTTTTAAAAATACTTGCACGGTGCAACGTTTTTTGATTGCACCGTGCAGTTTTTATAACTCTTTGATTTCAAATTTAAAATGACGAGTTGATATCTTTTTTTATGATTGAGTGCCTAGGCGTATTTTACAACAGGTTTTAGTTTAAAAAAATTTTTCATTAATTTTAAAAATTTTTTGGTTTCACCATGAAATTTGGCATTATGCACCAAATAAACATTCCTTTCAGACAAAGAAGACTCGGCCTACTATTTCCAAGGTCAACGTGTTCCGGATGATCCGGCCGAGTTCTGTTCGCAGGTACTGTACTCAGTCTATATGGGTACTAAGAATTCGTCGGAGGAAACCAAAAAAGCGGCCCAAGACTTGGCCACGGCCATCAATTCGAACCATTCCAGCATTGTGGTGGACACGGCCATAGATGCGTTGTTGGGAGTTTTTAAATTGAGCTTTGGATTGGCATTGACTTTTTCGGTAAGGTATTATATTGATGAGTAGAGAGCGTACTGTTGCGTACTGTAACATAAAATTGTAAATATTGTAAAATTTGGTTATATGTAATTGTAAAGCATTAAAAGTTAAGTATTTTCTGAAATTTTTGACAAGATATCTCACAGTACAGCGAAGTTACGGTACTTTAAAAATACATGATGTAGGGTTACTGTAACAAGAAATTTTAAAATTTCAAAAATTGGTTGATAGCGGTTTTTAAGGCATTGAAAGCAAAGTATTTTTAGAAATTTTTGTTTTGAAATCTTACGGTACAGCGGAGCTACAGTACTTAAAAAATGCATTGTGCAGGGTTACTGTAACAATAATTGTGAAAATTTCAAAAATTGGTCGATAGGGATTTGTAAAGCATAACAAGTTGTTTGGTTTCTGAAATTTTTTAATGATATTCTACTTTACAACCTTGTTACATTACTTTAAAGATAAACAATGTAAGAGGGTTACTGTAACAAAAAATTTTTTTTTGAAAAAGTTGGTTGGAAAGTTTTGTAAAGCATAAAAAGTAGTGTATTTTGGGAATTCTTTGCTTTGTTACCTTTTCTTACAACGAAGTTACATTACTTTAAAGCATTGTATATCAAGGTTACTATAGCGTAAATCATTTTTAAGGCTTACATTGTTAGTAAAGTACAGCAATTTGAAAATAAGTCTAAAACTATAACAAAGAGTTAAATTTTAGTCCCCAGACAACCGTGTCATAATGGCCCTGCAGAACATCCAAGCCCGTATCCGCATGGTTCTGTCATATCTCTACGCCCAAGCCTCTTTAGTATATTACAATCGACCGGGCTCGTTACTGGTGTTAGCTACATCAAATGTGGACGAAAGTTTGATTGGATATGTGACAAAGTACGACTGTTCTAGTGGAGACTTGAATCCGATCGGATCGATCTGCAAAAAGGACCTGAGGGCATTTTTGAAATATGTTCATCAAGAGTACAAATGGGCTGGACTGGAGGTAAAATACGGTTTAATAATTATTGATAATATTTAATGCTTTTTGAAGTTGTGTTTTTGATTACGCGTAAAGGATTTTTTTGGTTTGAACAAAAAAAACAGGTTTTGAACACAATACCAATTTGGCGGGAAATTTAAACACGATTTTTTAAATGTGCAAAGTAAAATTTCAAACTTTGTCTAATCATTGGATAGGCACGAAATTTCTGTGGCTAACATTTTGTGGCAGTGTGATGTTTTTAAACTATTTTATGACTTTTTTTAAATTTGGCGCGAAATTCAAACATGAATTTTTAAAAGTGAAAATTAAAACCTGATTTTTTTTGGGCTTATTTGGTATGACACGGAGGTGTTGTGTATAAAATTTTAGTTTAGTTTAAGGATTTTTAAACGATTTATGGCATTTTTTTAAGTTGGCGGGAAATTCAAGTATGAATTTTTAAAAGTGCAAGTTAGGTTTTCCGATTTTGAATACTTATTGGGTATGGCACAGTAGTATTGCGTCTAAAATTTTAGGCTTGTCTGAGGATTTTTAAACGATTTATGACATTTTTTAATTTTGGCGGGAAATTCAAATACGAATTTTTCAAAGTGCAAATTAGAACCTGAAATGTTGTATGCTTATTATAGATGGTATGATGATGTTGTACGTACATTTTTAGCTAAATCTGAAGTCTATTTGTCGTTTAGTGATCAAAAGTTTTAAATTTTTTTAAAATTAAAAATTTTTTTTGAAAATTTAAATTTTTTTAAGACCGCGATGTTTTAAATTCTGATGTCATTTGTGTTTACAGTTTTCAACTTTGTATTTAACACTTCATATTTAGGCAATAATGGACGCGGTTCCAACCGCCGAGCTACGTCCTCTAGAAGACGGCAAAGTAGTCCAAACCGACGAAGACGAAATCGGCCTAACATACGACGAACTGGCAGTAATTGGCAAGCTGCGACGACCCGGAGGCTGTGGTCCATATGCCTTATTCCTGAAGCTGTTACCTCTATGGTCTGAGCGATATTCACCTAGACAGGTGGCTGACAAAGTGGGTTGTTGCCATTTCTAAATCGAATATTTGAAAAATATTACTTAAAAATGACTATATCTTACCACAAGGATCTCAAATTTGATATGTAGTTTGATAATTTAGGTAAAGATCTTTACCCGCCGCTACGCCATCAATCGTCACAAGGCTACGGTGGCTACACCGTCGTGTCACTGTAACAACTACTCTAACGATGATCACCGCAACGACCATCGACCCTTCTTGTACCCGGACTTTGAGTTCCAGTACAAGAAGATCGATCAGATCGTCAAGGAATTGGAGCAATAACTTGTGATAGTATTGGTATAATATAAACTTACAGTAATGTTATAGTCGTAATAAACAGTATTATAGTAGAATAGTGTGATATATTTAACCTGTTTTAGACAGATTTATCTTTTTACTCATTTAGATGGAACTTATGAAGTTTTATTTTTTTTTTGCAACGTGCGATAGTTAAGTTTGGCACGGTGCAAACTTTTTAAGCACGCCAAATGTCCTTTAAAAGAAGACTTATTTTAATGGAATTTTGGGTAATAATTATACTAATTTGTGTACTAAAACTGTTATATTGAAACTGTTTTAAAAATTCTCTCATCTACTGTATTTTAAACATTTTGTCTGACTGCATCGTGCGAGGATTAAAAACTGCACAGTGCAGGATTTTTTTGATTTCCAAAAAGTCATTTTTAAAATAACTTTGAAGTTTGAAATTTTGGGTGATAAAAGGATTAAAGTAGATGGTTTAAACGGTATATTAAACATTTTTAAAAATCGTTTTTAAATACTGTATTTTAAAACATTTTTTGGCTGCACCGTGCAAGAATTTGAAATTGCACTGCGCAGAGATAGTTAATGGGCCAATAATGAACCTATGTGAAGTTAAATTACAAAAGTAATGTAAAACTCTTTTATATAACCGGAAACTCAAATAAAATATAAAGTTATTACAAATTGTGATATTATAGTAGTATTAGGTCAACATGTAGTACCAAAAGTCAATATGAACAGGCATTTTTACCTCATAATCATAGTGTAAATCACTTTCAACATATTGAGAGCCTACAGTTTAAAATTTAAAAGTCTGTTCATATTACAACCCCCAAGATACTGTATAACACTATAATACCGTATACCACTAAAATACCGTAATGATATGCAAATTAATACCCATAATATGTGAAAAGTTGAGATTTTGTTAACAGAATCCGCATGTCTGACGACACTCCCTACTCATGGCCCCTCTGGCATCCGTACAGATTGTTGGCCGTTCCCTAATCCAGGCCATACAGCTTGGAGCACGGTCTACGCAGCTGGTTGGCTGGGCATTGACCAAAGGTCTGCCGGCCGGAATAACTGAAAACTGACATTTTATATCGTATATGAGTTGGAAAACATAAATTTGGACATTTTTTGATTTTTTATGTTTATCTATGATCAGATCGTTCAGAGGCTTCAAAGACACTAATAAGAGGCCTTAAAGACCGTGCTTCCGTGGCGCAATCGGTTAGCGCGTTCGGCTGTTAACCGAAAGGTTGGTGGTTCGAGTCCACCCGGGAGCGAGTACTTTTTAGTATTTTTTTAGTAAAAAAATGATGAAATTGATTGTTTTAGGTAACAAAGATATTTTTAAAAATATTTTTGATGATTTTCGGGTTAATTAAAAATGCGTTTTTTATGTTTTGGAAGGAATTTTTAATGATTTTGATCAAAAAATGAGGTATAAACGTAAAAACCACCAAATAAATCACGACTTTTTTTTACAAATTGAAAATATAAATTAACCTAAAAATATACTAGCACTAAACATTTTCCGTTATTTTCTTTAAATTTTTCCTCCGCTACAGCTAAAAATGGCAAGTTATGCCTAAAAAAGGTATAACCTCTGAATTTTAGCTACATTTAGGTAACAAATAAAGATTTAAATGGTAATATAAAAGAAAACATACATTCAACTTTAGAAGGAGCTACAGTGACCTGTGGGCTAGGATTGCGTTGGTCTACAGCTTCCAACATCACAGCCATTCCATCCAAAGTCTCTCGCGCCGTTGGGATCAGTTGAGCTTTGTCCAAAACAAACCCGTTCCAGGCTGAAATTTAAAATATTTAACTAGAATCGCTTCATGACGTATTTTACAATAGCTTCAAACATAAAAAGCAATTTTATTTTAAAATTTTAAAATATTTTTCACTTTTTGTTACCTAAAATAATATAAATTAAAATTGATTTTTAGATCAAATTTTTAGTCAAAAATCAAATTTCAGGTACTCTATGACATTTTAAGACTCACAAGTGTATGTAGGTCTTAGTTCAATTGTATACGTGTACTTGATCCCGACCGTTTCTTTGGCCCAATCAGCTGATCCTCCAGTATAAGCATCTGAAAGGGTAAAACGTTACAAAAAATTTATTTCTTCTCTTTTTTCACGAATATATTTTTAAAAAATGTATACACAATATCATTTCACACAGCTATAACCAAAAAGTTTTAAAAATATTACCCGTAATCCAAATTTAAAACGAAAAAACTAGGCGAAAAAGCGATTTTTATTGACTTTTCTAACAAAAAATAATAAAACAACAAAAACTAATCAAAAATAACATGTATAACCTTCAAAAAAACCTTCATAAACCACTGTAAAAACTTTTAAAATCCGAAAACAATCATTTCCACCCCCCAAAAACAGCAAAAAAAGCCTTAGCCCGATGCGGGGCTCGAACCCGCGACAGCCAGATTAAGAGTCTGGTGCTCTACCGACTGAGCTAACCGGGCACGCCAGCTTCTCTCTTATTTTTCTCAAAGAAACAAAGGGAAAAGGGTTTGAAAGGGCGCGAAAAAAGTTTTTAAATATTTTTTGAAAGCTTTTTATCAATTTTAAAAGTGAAAAATAAGTTAAAATAGGAAAAAAAAGGGTTTACATTTTTAAAATTTATAAAGTTTATATAAAAAATCAGTTTTTTTTTGATTTTATGAGCAAATATTCGGACTTTTGAGAAAAATTTGAGGAGTTGACCGCTTTTTAGCTAACATAACTTGATCAAAACCTATAAATTCTAAAAAAATTAAAGTCTAACTAATAAAGGAGATCCTGCCCTTCAATTACATCTACAAATTTCCACCTTGCTCTAACTTAAAATGGCATAAAAATCAAAAAACTCACAGATAATCTCAGGTCCAGAGCCATATTGATAAGCGGTTCCATATTTTTGGCCAATGGCGGCGACAGCTCGTTTGGCCAAGACTTTCAGGTCGTCAATGTCTTCAGGAAAGTATGTTTTGTCATTTGAGTATGGGTAGATGACCAGTTGGGAGTAGGCGTGCAGAGATACGAAGGCTACAAGACGCCGAGGTCCGAGCTTGAGGACGTAGTCACGGATGGCTCTGGAAAGAAATTTTTGGATTTTAGTAAAATTTTTTGAAATTTTGATATTTTTTAAAGAAAGTTTTTTTCATTTTTATACAAAATCTAGATTTATAAACTTTCATAACAAATTTTGGCCTTCCGCAGCCTGCGGGTGACAAGTTATACGACAATTAACATTTTTCATCTTGTAAATAAAGTTCATGCCATTTTATGATAAAATACAAAACAAAACGGTATAATGAAAAGTGGCATTACCTCGATTCCGGTTCACTGAAAGCAGTCCGACCGTGGTAGATCTCGGAGCATGGGTAGGTACTCGCTCCACCAGCTGAAGGACCTTTAATGTAAATGAAATGGATTAGTTAGTAAAAGCAAACTGAAGTGGATGTTACTATGGTATTATGTCATATTAGATGTTATATTCTATGTTATTGGCAAAAAATACTATTAGTTGTATATTAGGGTAGGGTAAGGGTAGGACACTGCTGGTGCTGGCTGGAGCTAAAGTAAGGACATGTTATGGGTAGGGTAGGTTACAGCAAGATACTGTAGAGCATGATAGGATATGGTAGGTTACGGCAGGGTACGGTAGGGTAAAATAAGGTAGATTAGAGTACGATGGTCTACGGAAAGGTAATGCAAGGTAGGGTAGGGTAGGGTATGGTAGGGTAGGGTAGGGTTTAAGTTAAGTTTAGTACTTTAGAGTTACTGTAAGTAAAAATAAGGTACGGTGAGTGTTGTAAGTGAACCAATAGTACCACACTCACTGAACCGTTCGAAAGGCGGACCTGAGAAGTGAAAATCAAAGTTGCGATTCAGATCCACGCCACGACAGCACCGATGTTCTCCACTCTTCAGATGGCCACAGATCTCGGGCGATCGATTTTTTCTCCAAAAGCGGATTTCGGCCAGCTCTGGATGAGTACGAGTGTACTCGTAGCCATCTGGGTTCACGCACGGTAGAACGATGAGGTCGTTGTTCTCCAAATAACGAGCAATCTTCTGATGAACTGGCTGTTGACCGTTCATAAGGGCATTGGCTACCTAAAGACGAATAATTAGCTTGGAAGGAGTGTTGTAACGAAATGTCACAAAAATTATTGGATTTTCGTAAATATTTAAATTTTTATTTTTTTTTACCATTTTATGTTTTTTATTTTTTTTACCATTTTATGTCTTCTTTTACCGTTTTTTTAGCAAATTTTACGTTATTTTTGTAAGAGGATTTTTGACGAAATGTCACAAAATTTATCGATTTTTTAAAAATTTGTAAAATATCAAATTTTCTATATTTTTCAATTAGAAATGTTAGTTCAACATTAAAAAAGTCCAACTTACGACATATAACATGTAGATACCGGTGTGGACAGCCGTCCATTCACGAGCATGAATACCAGCATCGATCCAAGTTACTGTGCGAGTTTGGTCGGATGGGCGGCCAAACTAAAAACAAATCATTTTTAAAGTAAAGGAAAATAGTAACTCAAAATGTCATTTTAAGGATTAATTTAAAGAAATAGAAAATTTTTAAGTTTTCTGAAAAAAATTTATATTATACCAGGCAATTTTGAAGAAAAAAGGTCATAGCTCTTTGGAATCTTGAGTAACTTTGTCAAAACTATGTTTTCTTGAAAGCTTAGAATCTTCTCTTCAAGAATGGTACAACCATTAGATTCGATAACCCCAGCTTTTATTCTTTTTGGCCGATTTATATTACCCTACCCACTTTAAAATCTTATACCATGTCATATTGGTCAGAAAGATTTCATAACTCACCCAAAATGTAAACTTTTTTAGTAAAATCAAACTTTACTGAAAGCTCAGAATCTATTCATTCATAATACCACTATAAAACGACCCAAAAAGGCCATCAACTACCTATTCCGACCAATTTATTAAGAGAAACCCACCTGAATTCCAAAGATGTCTCTACCTTCATGTGTCTTTCCAATAGTGATGATCTTGGCTTTAGGACCAAGAGCATCACGAATCCGTCTCATATACGCCACAATCTCATCATAAGAGTAATATTCACCCATTATTAGGCCAAAAGTGTGATCGCCATCTACAGTATCTCGCTTACCGTGACTTAGAAAGCGAAGAGCTCGAGAACGCCAGTTTGGACCTTCTTTTTCTTTTATCAATCTGAAAAATTGAATCTATTATAAATTTTATTTATTAGGTAATTAGTAAGTGGAGATAACGCTGACTTGAATAGATCTTTTAAAATCAAAAAACCAATAACATTTGTGACACTTCGTAACAAAAGCAACTAAAATGCTCTAAAGTAAAAAAATCACGTCAAAAGTGACAACTAGCCTGATAATAAGCTAAAACACCAAATTTTCATATTTTGAAAAATCCAATAAAATTTGTGACATTTCGTCATAAAGTTTTCAGACCTTGTTAAACCTACCGTACTTTACAAACAAAACTTACTGATTAAGGTCTTCGACCAATACCTGGAAGGGGATTTGACTAGCCTCCAAGAATATTTGGAACTGAGGAGCTTGTTTTGGAGTTATCATGAGTTCGGCCGACTGATTGCCAGCTGATGGCTCTTTCCAGAAGTCGAACTCTCCACTATTGTAAAGTAAGTTCAGCGCCGTTTGATGGTCATCGGTCTTTGGGTTTAGACGGTAGACTTTGTATTTGCTGAAACGTATTTTATTTTAAATTTTCAAAAACTTCAAAATTTAAAAAAAAATTTTTAATTCAAAAATTTCAAAAAAGAATTTTAAATTTTAAAAAAATCAAAATTTTAAAAAAAAATTTTAATTTTCAAATCCTTACCTTTCATCCTCAATAGCACCATCAAGCACCAAAAGCCATATCGCCAGCAGTAGTAGCCTAGACAACGTGACGTAGCCTAAGGTCATGACAATCAGTCGTTAACCCTGAAAAACAACTTTCTGGAGAAAAGTTATAATAGTAAAGAAACGGAAACTACTCGCGGTGTAAAGTCAAAACACGTATCCACGTTTAATGTAAAATTTTTTTCTAATTTTATCAGTAATCAGTAGTTTTTGATTAAAATACAGTAGTTGTAAAACGTTAACAAGGAAAGTACCAAACACAGAGAAGACTAGACCATTGAGTAGAGCTTGCTGGTATACTATGAATACCATTTTTTCTATAGTACTAAGTAATATATATATAGTACTATGGATAAATTAACTCCTACAGTTTCTTTGGCTCAATCTGCTAATCCTCCAGTATAAGAGCTGAAATGGGTAAAGCATTACAACATTTTTCATTTTTTTCTCTTTTTTCCCAAATATATTAAAAAATACTTTCACTATATCGTTTCACACACCTGTAACCAAAAAATTTCAAAAAATATTACCTATAAACTAAATTTAAAACGAAAAAACTAGCCAAGAACGCAATTTTTATCGACTTTTTGAGCAAAAAAGATAGAAAAAAAACAAATTTTCCTCAAAACTTTAAAAACCATTATAAAAGCTTTTAAAATTCAAAAACTATCACTTCCACTGCCAAAAACAACAAAAAATGCGTTAGCCCGATGCGGGGCTCGAACCCGCGACAGCCAGATTAAGAGTCTGGTGCTCTACCGACTGAGCTAACCGGGCACACCCCGATATTTCTTCTTTCATAAGAAGAGAGAAAGGGAACGTTGTCCAAAAAGGTCGCGCAGTTACTTTTACGGATCATATCGTTTGGTTTTTTGAATTGAAAATTCCTTTTCCTAGGAAGTTTGCTGCGTAATTTAAAACCAAAAATGGCAAGAACTTCCTTTACAAATCAAGAAGTTGCAAGAACCTTCTTTCTTTACAAGGCTAATCGTGGCAAGGACTTTCTTTACAAGACTCATTATAACAAGAATTTTCCTTCCAAACCAAAAAATAGCAAAAACTTTCTCTACAGATCCAAAAATGACCAGAACTTTCTTTACAGTTCAAAAAATAGCAATAACTTTATTTACAAGGCTTATGACAAGAACGTCTTTGACAGATCAAAAAATGGCCTTAACTTCTTTTAGAGATCGAAAAATGACAATAACTTCCTTTACAAATTAAAAAATCGCAAAAGCTTTCTTACTTTTACAATTCGTGCCATAACCAACCAAAACATTACAATTCAATACGGCAAAACACTCAGCATGACAGATAGGTTTACATCTGAATCGGAACAATTTCTTGAAGACGAACCCACATTTAAAACAAGAATTTTAAACTTTGAAAAACACGTTTTTCACCTTCAGCAATATTAAAACAACATTTTTTCATCGAATCGCTAACCAAACTGGCTTCATAACAGTCGTCTGAACTTAAAACAATTGGACAAAACAGCAAATTGTATTTTTAAACACTATTTATGTACGTTTTTATTGTAAAAACATACATAACAATTTTAGAAAAGACGAAAAGTTTTAATGAAATTATATTATTGTAGGTATGAAAGCTTACTTTTAATATTTTTACCATTTTTAAAAGCATTTAAATTTTCAAAATCCTTTTAAAATTATTATAAAAAAGCTTTAAATTAAATTGCCACATCATTTTTTATCATTATCTTAACTTTAAGTTATCAAAACAAAGCGTAAAAGATCAAAAAAGTTTTCCTCCCCGGCCGGGAATCGAACCCGGGTCTCGCACGTGACAGGCGCGGATACTTACCACTATACTACCGAGGAACTGTCCCTCCTTCCCTTTGGAACTGCTTTTCTCTTTCGTTCCACGGAGAAACCTTTGGTTTTTATCAAAAACAATCGTTTTCGTCGTAAAAATATTGTTTTTGTAATTGAACAACATTTAAAAATGGTAATAAAATAACAAGTAAACATTAAAAAGTCTCTGAAATTTTGTTTAGTAAACAAATATGTTATTATCTACTGGAAACATTGTCAATATTCAAAGTAATAAACAGCAAACGTTGGAAAATCAAAGGAAACGACATTAAACCTTGAAAAATCAAGGAAAATCAACGTAGTGTGACGTTTTTTCGAGATTACAATGATTGGCTGATGTCATTACTTCTGTCTGTACGCTAGAAAATAAAGCAGAAAGAAGATTTTAGGTAATTGTGAGGCTTGAGATAGACAAGAAAGCTTCAAGAAGTCTTCAAGGAAGCTCGATTAACTTTTACTTTCGTTCAAAGAAAATAAAAAATTTTGTGTTCATTATTAGACCATTTACCTAATTCTGTGCCCCTTTAAAAGCAAATTTTTGAAGTTAGGGAGCACAGAATTAATTGAACAACATAGTTTAACGCAAAGCAGAAAATTTTTAATCAAAAAATTACAACGACTTAAACCTCCTAACTTGTGAAACTCAAAAAACCTTTAGTTACTTATTAAACCTCAGAAAAAGTAATTTTTTTAGTTACGCAACTGTCACATCATCCACAAGATCAAACGACATACGAAAACGTTTTGACAAGACCTGCGACGTCGTTCGAAATGTCAAAAGGTTGAAAGTGAAATTGGAAATCTTGCAAAAAAAGTGAAAACAGCTCGTTAAAATAAAAAAATGTCTGGATTCCAGAGTTTTAACCTTTATATATCTACTGATCAAAAATTATACAGTGAGCTCTCTATATAGTGAACCATCTGTATAAGCAACCCTTCTTACAGTAAACAAGAAATTCGGCCTCGCTAAGTCAATTTGTACGAAAAATCACTCTGTAAAGACAACACCCACTATAGTAAACACAAAATGTCGGTTCTTTCGGGTTGCTTATAAAGAGAGTATTGCACAACAAGCTTCCTACTACCATTAAACTAAGTTTCTTCGAGCAGTAACAAGCAAATTTAAACTAGTATAACAAGTCAGTATTGGCAACCGTATTTTATAACAAATTAGCTTTTTATAAAATATGGTTGCCAATACTGAAAAATTAAATTTGGTTTTTTACCGTAGCCTTTAAAATCCGGATGGATTACCTTTATCCTTTACATAAAGGTTGATCCATTGAACCGCTCTACCCAAAAACAAACGCCTGAATAGTAAATATAATAACAATCGGCTTATGCAGTAATAAGTCATGATCCTTTAATCCAAAGCCTAATCCTCAAAACTAATGGACTTTAGTCTAACAACAGAATTTAAGCCTAAATATATAACTATAGTCTAAAAATACAACTTAAGCCCAACAAAAAGCCAAAAGATATAACAGCCGGGCAAGAAGACAGCCAAGCAAAGCTTGACTATAATATTCGCTGAGACAAGCCTCATCCATCAACCCGAAATTCGACGTAAAATTGGAGGAAAACGTTGTAAGTGAAACTGCGCAACGGGACGGATCATATTATGTTTTTAGGATTCACGTTACTTTTCCACCTTACAAAGTGAGTCTGATCAGCTTGAATGTCTGAACTTGGGGGTTTTTGTTGAACACAAAGAACATCGAGTGATCTTCAAAGATCATTATGGGTATTGTTTTGGAGGTGAGGGGGGTTTGGTGTCAAAAATTTTCCTTTTTTTCACCTTCTACTCATTCTTGACATAACAAGAACGCCCGTTATGGTCAATAAACAACTCCAGAAACCTAGCTACTGATAAAAAAAAATGTCAAAAAAACCTTGACCATAGTCAACCCAAAACTATAATAAAAACCCTCAAACCTCCAAAAAACCTACTGTATAAATCGTATAAATTTTCAACCTTTTAAAACGTCCAAATTTCAAATTAAAATTAATATTTATTCAAAAAGGGCTGTTGATAATCAAACTCGGATAAGAATAGATACAACGAATAAAATACTTAGACTACAAATTGTTAGCGAAAAACAAGTTCGATATTCGTGCATTTCCAATAAAAATACAAAAATTTCAAAAATTTACGTGGAAATTGGAAAAAAGAAAACATGACGAAAGATGGGTGCGGCCAACGTTTCGTGCAGTTTGTCGACGGAATTTGATTAACAAAATACACACCAATGTTCAAATCACTCTGAAATTGCGTTTATAAGTTTGAATGTTTACAATCTTCAAAAAAGTTCAATAAAAATTACACTATGTTATACTGGTCTAACATAAACATGGAAATTGCCAAAAAAATACATTTTTTAAAACGATCCCAACCCTACTCTTATATCAATATTAAGTTTTAAAACCCGGTGAACTGTATCTTGTTCCCTCCCACCTTTTCTAATCAAAAATCACCAAAATCTTTCTCGAAATAACCCAATATTAGCATTACCCATTTATTTATATTACAAAAACAACCATAAAAACGTACTGTATGCTATAAAAACGCATGCGAATATCCGATTCCTTCTCACCAACGCGAATGTAGAGAAATAACTTAAGAAGAGAGATTACAGCACTGTTTCTTGGACTGTTGGTCGTTCGAAGCGGAGAGTGTGATGTTGTTCTGGCTGTGTATGGGGGCCATACGGTCTGGTGGGACTTGTCGGGTCGAGACCGACTTGTAGATCTCGGTGAGGATGTTGGTGAACGCCTTCTCGACGTTGGTCGAGTCCAGAGCTGATGTCTCGATGAAAGAGAGTTGGTGTCGTTCCGCGTATGCGGTCGCTTCTTCGGTTGGGACGGCGCGAAGATGACGCAAGTCGGATTTGTTGCCCACCAACATGATAACAATGTTCTGGTCGGCGTGATCGCGGAGTTCTGTTAGCCAGCGTTCCACGTTCTCGTAGGTCACGTGCTTAGCGATATCGTATACCAAAAGGGCGCCGACGGCACCACGATAATAGGCCGAGGTGATGGCTCTGTAGCGCTCTTGCCCGGCGGTATCCCAGATTTGTGCTTTGACGACTTTGCCTTCAACCTGAAATTTCGACGATTATTTAACTTGCAACCATTTTTTTTAAACTTTACAAAAATAAAATATCGCTTCTAAAAATATATAAATTTAGATGTTAAACACGACTCAACTATCATTTCCAATATAGCCTATGTCAACCGCATTTAAAAAAACTTTCTGACAAAAAATAACTTAACTTAAAGATAACATACCTGTATGCTGCGTGTAGCAAACTCCACACCAATTGTAGACTTAGATTCCAAGTTGAACTCGTTACGAGTAAACCGAGACAGAAGATTAGACTTTCCAACACCCGAATCACCAATCAGTACAACTAAAAAATAAATTACATTATTTTAAAAATTTGATAAAATAAATCATACTCCTTATTTTGTCATATCACTTATTAATATAAAATATAAGTTTTAAACAACAACGAATTCAAATACAACTTCAAAAAAGCCAACTTTAGCACCCAATTTGCTCAGGGTTTTAAAGCAATTATGCTAAAATGCTGAATCGTACCTAAAACTCAACAAAAAATAACGATAAACTTACCCTTGAAAAGGTAGTCGTATTCATCATCACGGGAACCCATATTGACTTAATGCTGTCCAGATTTGAGCGAATGAAAAGGGCAAGTCCAAGGTTTTTACACCTAAAAAAGCAAAAGTTACATTAGTGTTTCGAAACATGGCATTAAAACGCATAAAATTACTCGTAAAATGAGCTATGCTCATATATATGCGAAAAAATAATAGAATTATCAGTAACTCGCAAAATAACTATCAATGGACCTCGAACTAATAGTCAGATGTAACTAAACTATCAAAAAAAGTATAATTTAAGTAAACTTTTCATATATTACATAAATACCTCAACAAAGCATCAAAAAAACCAACAAATCCATCGTTCATACTTCCAAATTCATCTTTCATAACCCTTCCAATGACAAAATTCCAAATCACCCCTCTATTAACATAAAACAACATCGTTATGTGAACAAAGCAAGCATAAGAACCAATCTCGTATTTGGAGACAACACTCACAATTCCCTCGGCCTGATTCCCTTTCATTTTCCCAAAAATCGCAAAATAAACAGTCTCAACCATCATAGCAATGCATCGAATAATCAGAAAAGAATAATCGTTTTGTTCTCCCACAATAAGAGTCGTTTTTCCAATTTGGGGGAAAGTCAATCAATAATTCAGTTTTTTCATATGATCAACAATATCGAAATCACTTATGTGTAAAAGGGTTCAGTAGACAAATTACATCTGTTGCTCTTATTTAAAAGATAATGAAATTAACCTTCAAGATTATGACAAAACCCCAAGTTTAAGCCGCCAATAAATCAATGAGAATCCAAGTTTCGCACGAGCACAAAATCAGCTCAAAACCGTACTCGCACCATTGAATTCAGCGTGAAAAAGGGAATCGCGACGTTGAGAGGGCGACTAGACATCCCAGCAAAAAGAGCGAAAGAAAGACACGAGAGGAGAGAAAGCGACGTGGCAGCAGCGGCCTTTCGGATTTCCGCTGATTCAAAAAAGAGGCAAGCACTGAAAACCCCCTTGAAAATAAGGCTGTCGATCAAAATACGTTTTCCCCATCAAAACCCGTCCTGTATCCCGCTAATCAGCTGATTGTGTGAAAGATTAATTACAATCATGTTCGGAGTCAAGTTGATTTGTCAGTGATTATGAATAGTAGAGCCTCTTTGGTCAGCAGCTATGAATAGACATGTTTTACTGAATCCACCTCAAATAGCCTTAATACACGTTCAAAATAATAACTTCCCAATTACTACTTATCAAACCAACCTGTTACAAAACTGATTCGTTAACAAAGAACCCCTATATTAGACCAAAATCCTCCTAAACAAAGCAAAAAATCATTTAACTTTTACGGTTAAAATCAGTACTACATGACAATCAAAATTACCTATACAATGAGACAATTTACAGACAAGAGAACCGTATAATAAATTAGCTATTTTTAACAACAACATTGACCTTTTCCAATCAAAAGCGTAACAAAACAGACTTTTACCGCCGGAGGGCGTAGAGAAACTCGAGCAGGTCATTTGTCAAAAAAACAAGAGTCAAACACTACTTTTTACAAAACTACCATTGAAAAAGCTTAATTGGTCCTTAAGGTATCAAAAAATAAAGTACTGTGGTAACATATAGATGTTGGTCTTAAACCTAAAAAACTTCTTATATCGATAAAGCCATAATTTACCTTAACAAATTCACTAAGAAACCGATCTGTGAGGTTGTAGATTTCCCTTTTAAGGTTATCAAAAAATATTTCCATAAAACATATCAAACTAGAAAGGGAACAAGTATACCATCACATAAAGTATACAAATGTATGCAAATCTCCGCAACCAAATACAACAAACCCTCTCAATCCCTACAACATTACTCTGTCATTGTGTATAGACCAGAATCCTAATATGATTAAAATTAGTTTCCTATAAAAACTATTTTTTCATTTTTAAATTGTATAAAAAATATTGAGCTACCAAACTCCATCTCAAAAAAATTACATATTATCCAAACCAAAAAACATTAGAAAAAAGGTTTTTGACTACATTGGCCAAAATCAAAAGTTCAAAATTCAAATGAATCAGAAAGAGTTTCTTTCTAGTTGCCTACCCCCAATAACCCAAAAAACAAGTCTATCGTTTTACAAATTATTGTCGCTTGAATAATCAAACCACGATGACAAACTTTATCTCCTTCGGTCGGAATAAAAACCTCGAATTCAAACTGCTTGTGACCTGGTTTCTCTTTTCAATTCTCGCACTGGAAAAAGAGCGAGCGATGAACGCGTGGAGGCAAATGGAGAACACCTCGATTTTGGTCATTTTGTATTGCGAAAACTTTGAACAAGTCATTCAAGGGTATGGCTTAAGGTCTCGTTGAAATTTGGTCTGTATTTTGTCTTTATTTTGAAAAATCTTTTAATTTATTGAAAATAATGATTTTGTTAAGTAAGAAAGTGGTGTGTAAAAGTAAGCAAACCATGTGTAAAAAAGTTCGGCTTCAAATTTTACGAAAAGTAAGAGTATGAAATCTTTTTTACTCCATAATATCCTCTGCAAAACAAACAAAACCCACTCGGATAAAACATATTTCATAAACAAGGTAGAGTAACCCATCAAAACAATATGGGTGAAGCTTCTAAAGGAATAAAATCAAACCTACATCAAGATTTACAACTAATTAACTGGTCGATATTTAGAATCGACAAGTTGATTTATTGAAAGCCTTTTAGCTTTGTAGTAAGCTTATTCAGAACAAAGATTCAAGACATTAAATACCGTTTAAACAGTAATATTAGGTTGTCCGGAAAGTTCTGCAATATTTATTCACTTTTGAACTAACAATAATAACAATATAATTAACAACTACAATCAATCAAAGTAATTACCGTCTGAATCAATACAGTCTTGCCAACGATTTACAAGCTTTTTTATTCCACGATTGTAGAATTCCGGGTTTCTGGAGTTGATGAAGTTCTTGAAGGCATTCTTGGCATCGTCCGGAGTTTTGAAGATTCTTCCATTAAGAAATGAAGACAAGTGTTTAAAAAGGTGAAAGTCCTTGGAGCCAAGTCTGGAGAATAAGGAGAGTGCTCCAAGACTTCGTATCCCAGTTCCCTGAATTTTGCCACGGTCTTCTTTGCAGCATGGGGCCGTGCGTTATCCTGCAGAATGATCGGACCCCTCCTTCTGACCATTGTTGGAAGATTGTGTCGCAGTTTGTCAATCTGGGCACAGTAGGTGTCGGCCGTAATACTTTGGCCAGGTTTCATGAAATCGTACTGGATCACTCCAGAGCTACACCACCAGACAGTCACCATAAGCTTCTTTTCGTGCAATTCTGGCTTCGGAACGGGCTTAGGAGCTTCTCCACGCTTACACCAACTTGTAGATCTTCTAGTATTGTTAAACGAGATCCACTTCTCCTCAATAGTTACAATTCGATCCAAGAATTCTTCGTTTTTGCAGCGTTGCAGAAGCTTTTCGGAAGCACACCGTCTCTTGGCTTTTTGCAGATCAGTCAAATTGTGAGGCACCCATTTGTCCAACTTTTTGACCATACCCATTGCCTTCAAATGATCATCAATGGTACTTTTTCCACAGTTTAGTAACTCTTCTTACTCCCGGATTGTAATATGTGGGTCATCTTCAATCTTGCGCCTCAGGGCATCTTTGTCAAGTTTGCTGGGTCTTCCTGCACGTGGTTTGTCTTCAAGCTTCTCATCGTCCACACGAAACTTTGCGAACCATCTGGTCACCGTAGAATAACTCACAACATTCTTACCCTCATTTTCGTTTATGATTCTGAAGGTTTCTGCCGCAGTATTTCCGCGTTTGAATTCATTCCATATAATCACGCGCAGGCGAGATTTCTCCATTTTTTTTCTAATACCTAAAACAATACAAAAAAATGAAATTAAGTTATGTAACTTACCTTTTTGAATAATTTAGGTAACAAACAAACAAACAAAAAAAGAATTTTTTCTTTCCGTCAAGAAATAAATTTTTCCTGATTTTTCAAAGTTTACCTACTCAAATATTGCAGAACTTTCCGGACAACCTAATAGCTTTTAGAAACAAATAGAAATTCTAAAAATCATTTACAGTGATTCAGAAGGCATGGTCGGGCAGCAAAACCTTAACATGATGTATCATGTGAAAGATATCACTAATGTCCTTTATATTCTGTTCAAATACGTCACAAAATCAAGCTTAAAGAAGCTGAATTCTTTATAACAAGCAGCATATTAAACCAGTCTTGATTATTTACTACAAATTATAAAATAGTACCTTGTACTACAATCAGTTACTGCAAAGTTCATGCTTTTGCGTAGCCAAAAAAATAAAATTCAAGTGAAACTACGTTTACGTATAGAAACGACTACTTAAAAGAAACTTATTCATAGATAAATATTTGGTTGTTCAATTAATTCTGTGCCCCCTCTCAAAGCAAATTTTCGGGGTTAGGAAGCACAGAATTATTTGGACAACCTATTACTAAATATTTCCAAATATCTCAAAACAATGCTTTTAGACACCTATGTTTATATCCACTACCGTATAAACCCTGTTCCCGGTTTGTAATTTCTGATAAAAATCAAAACCATGAGTAATACGAGGCAGACATTTCGAAATTTAAATCCCTGCTTTCATATTCATAATATAAGAAGTTAGAGAGAAAAAGAAGTAACGAGATAAGAGTTCACTTCAGAAAGTCGGTTTCTGAATTCGTAATCCAATTATTTTTAAAATGAAACACTTAAAAATTCCAAAAGAAAACAGAACGCGCTTCAAACTGCTTCTTTACTTGTTCCCATGCAAAAGCAAAACTAAAACACTATTATATTCAATGAACGTAAAACCAAAAATTTAATACGTATAGCCTCTAAATTTCTTAAAGTTCTACAAAATATGTAGTATAATGAATCATAAGTTCTATAAGATTATGTTATCACACCAAACAGCCAAAAGTTTCAAAATAATTCCAGAACAAAGCTCTTTGCTAATATTACTTTCCCAAAAGGTCAAAAAACACATGCCAATCTTGTAGTAAACCTTCTCTTTGAAGCTAATTTAAAATTTATACCTAAAGCGTAAGCAAAATCACAGCAAAAACTCACCTTTTTTTCAACATCTTGTTCTCTTCGCACCTTCACTTTCCATAATATTTTCCAATTCAGAAGACTCAAAATAAAAAGAAACTACAATAATTTAACAAAAAACACTAATAAGCGTACCAAAGACACATACATTAAAAGACATTGAATGTACCAGAACATAGAAATATTTGATGAATCAATTAATAACAAATCTTTTCCTTTTCAAAACACTAGCTAAACCTCAATAATATCAACTTACGCCCATTCCAAACCCAAAAAAACATGCCCATGGTCAAAATATTGTTCATAAAAAAGTACGAACAAAATGTAGCGTATGAAGCACACAGAAGCCGAGCAAAACGATTACAGAAGAAGGAAAATATTTTTCGTCCGAAAAATCTCTCCGAATTACTCATTTTTTGCGTCCCCTCACGAAAACCACAGAACGCCAAGATTATACGGTAAACAGCTCGGAATTTTCGATAAATTCTTTTTTGAGGCCGTGAAAAAAGGAAAATTTCAACCGTTTTTGATGGTAATTTTACCTTCTTTTTGGGTATTTGAATAAATTTTGTATCGAAAATTGTAAATTATCGTATTTTTGATTTGGGGGTGTATTTATTGTCGAATTTTTTATTTGATAAAACTGGGTTTTTACTATTATTGATATGTTGTATATTAATTTTTCTGTAAGTCTCACTTCATTATTTCGCGTGTAAATGCCGTTACTGAATAAATATAGATAGCATTTTACAATTTTGCCTATCGGTATATTTTAATTGAACTCGTGCCTCTTTCTTACGTTATTTTATCTTATATTGTTTTAGGGTCCAAAAATGGTTCAAGCCAAGAAAGCCGCCACTGGCAAGAAACTCCCAGCTGTCCCAGAGACTCAGTTGAAGCGCAGAAAGCTCCAGGTAGCCACCAGCGTTCGTTTGGCTAACAAGAAGGCCAAGGCTTTGAAGGTAGGGTATTTGATTTCGTTTTTATTGATTTAGGTCTATCAGAATTTTGAAAGTTATTCTAATCTTTGGATAATTTTGATATTTGGTTTTAGTATGACAACTTTTTTATGCTATGGTTTCGATTTAGTTTAAAGTTTTGTTTTAAATGAGGTAAACAAGATGATGTTTAAAAAAGACGCTTGGTTTGTTGAAGCTTTCATTTTAAAGCTGTTTTTTAAATCTTTATTCAAAATATTGCTTTACTAATAGTCAATTTTTTTATTTTTCTCTACAATTTGTCGCTTATGATCAAAAACAAGGTTAATTTTGTAATTTTTAGGCCGCCAAGACCAAGAAGGTTCAGTACTTCAAGCGCGCCGAGAAATACATTAACGAATACCGTCAACAGAAGCGCAGCGAGATCCAAGCTCGCCGTGAAGCCAAGAAGGCCGGAAACTTCTTCGTGCCAGAGGAGGCCAAGCTCGCTTTCGTCATCCGTATTCGTGGTATCAACAAGATTCACCCTCGCCCAAGAAAGGTACTCCAACTTTTGCGTCTTCGCCAAATCAACAATGGTGTGTTCGTCAAGTTGAACAAGGCTACCATCCAAATGCTCCGAATCGCCGATCCTTTCATCGCCTGGGGGTACCCATCACAAAAGACCATCCGCGAGCTCGTCTACAAACGAGGACACGCTAAGGTCAAGGGACAAAGATTGCCAATCACCGACAACGCCATCGTTGAAGAGAACTTGGGTAAGTTAATCTTAAATTTTGAGAAATTTGATTTTGGCAGATTACATTGTACTTTCTGTTATTTAAATCCTGGTATTTTTAAATCTTAATGAGATCAAACTTATTTTAAAATTTCAGGCAAACAAGACATCATCTGTATCGAAGATCTGATCCACGAACTCTACACCGTCGGACCTAACTTCAAGAAGGCCTCCAACTTCTTGTGGCCCTTCAAACTCTCCAACCCCAACGGCGGATGGTCGAAGAAGGCTAACCACTTTGTCGAGGGTGGTGACTACGGTAACCGGGAAGACAAGATCAACGAGCTTTTGGCCAAGATGATCTAAATATTTTTTGGTTAAATTTGTCGTTTTTGTTAATTTGTTGGAATTATAAATCTGAAAATCAAGTTGTTCATATAAATTGTTTGTTATAAGGAATAGTTTTCCAGTTTTGTGTTCAATTTAAAGATAAAGATCGAAAAGTTCGTAGAAATCCTTTACAGTGAAAACTAGGTCTATCCGTATTTCAAGCAACTGAAAGTTTAACCTAAAAAAATATACCACATAATTTAAATGTTTCCCCACACTGTAGAACAATATTTATTAAAATTTATTGTAAAATTTTAAATCAAAATTTAAAGGTCAACAAGCACAAAATCAACAAATTGTATATAAGACTTCCTGCAGATTTAGAATCAATTCAAGTCCTTGAAAAACAATCATATTTACTCCACTGATAATACATTCCTCTTTTTGTTGGTGTACGACCGTAGAGACCATTCAGAATCGCAAGCATTTTGGATATCAATTGTGCCCAATATGATGGAATATGCTGCAAAATTCAATATCAATAGTAAAAATACGCTGACCCATGTAAGATATTCCTTAAAAATTAAAAAAAACTTACGTCGCAACTCAAATCTAGGCCCTTCCTCCTTTAGTTCGATCTCTCCACCTTCTCCTACTTTGTGGGTAAATTGTCTGAATGACACGAAATCATCAGTGTTAGTAAATGAGCAAATTCTCTTGCTGTCAGGTTTTGGGACCGGGAACAAATGCTTTAGAATCGTCGAGATCTAAAACAACATTATAAATTTACAAACATTAATTTCAAACTAAACTATAATATATCTGAGAAAAATAAAAACGAGTAAATAGTCCATATACGTAGATACACAAACCATTATTAAAAGATTTTAATTCATAAAGGCAGAAAATTAATCCAGCGTTTCATAAAAAATTCATAAACCTACCCTTTTTCCAACTTTGCTGTCTAAATTATGAAAGACGAGGTGAGGATAAGCTTCTGACATGTGTTCATGAGGAATGTCGTGTCGCATAACAACATTATTCAAGCTGAAGAAGCATGTAGGTCCATGTGGAAGATGAGAAACAATAAGAGAGTCCGGCGTACCACGAGTTTCGTTCAGGAAAACAACGTCCGTTACCTATAATAATATTATTTAATAATAGTCTATAAAATACATTTTATTTCACAAATTTTTAGGTAAAGCAAGATAAAATGCTAGCCTGTCTAAAAATTGAAAAATTATATAAAGCGTAACTTACGTTAGCACCTTTGCAAGCCTGGATAATACTTTTGACGTCATGAGAACCTCTGTTGACGGTTTGAGAATTCGGAATGGTCAACTTAATCTCCTTGGCAAATCGTTTCAATGCAGAACTTGGATCTCTGCTTGTCGTAATAACCACTTTTGGATCTTCACAACCAGCCCATTTGTATTCATCATCTACAGTGTCATCTTGATCTCCCCAATATGATCCTTCAACCAATTCGACCGCATCTTTCTTCAGGTGTGTTGGCAGAGCTCCATTATTATCTACGGCATTCCTGACAATGTCACGCTTCTCTTGAAGTGCTCGTTGCTTCTGTTCCACTGACTTTCGATATATAAATTCACGTCGTTCACGGATTTGACGTCGTAACATCTGAAATTAAACGTAATTATTAAAACCCATAAATTGTTAAATTCAAAAATCAAAAAAATTTTAATAAAATTAAAATCCATAAATAATAGTCATTAATAGTTCGACTAGTCCATTTTTTACCGTTTCAACCAAATTTTCACGGGTGTTTTGACGCAAAAGAACGATTATCGCTAAGAAATTCATTTTTTCGGGCCAGGGCGCAAGTCGGAAAAATTATAAGGGAAAATGACATTTTTGAATATACTGAAAAAGTTAACACCGAAAAAACAAAGTAATAGAGTATTTAAAAACTAGATTTTATACTCTTTCAGATACTATTTAGCTCTATGTCAAAACAATGTTTAGTTTTTTCACAATTTGCATTCAAAGTCCGCATATTAGGGCAAAATACAGTAAAAACTGACATTTTAGAGTATAGTGAAAAAGTTAACACCGCTAAAAACGAATTAAAACCTTTTTTCAGTACTACTTTTTATGCTGTTTTAGATACTATTTAGCTCTATGTCAAAATAATGTTTCGTTTTCTCACAATTTGCATTCAAAGTCTGCATATTGGGTAAAAATACAGTGAAAACCGACATTTTAGAATATGGTAGAAAAGTTAACACCGCAAAAAACAAAGTAATAAAGTATTCAAAAACTAGAGTTTATGTTCTCTCAGATACTATTTAGCTCTATGTCAAAATCATGTTTCGTTTTTCCACAATTTGCATTCAAAGTTTGCACATTGGGCAAAAATACAGTAAAAGCTGACATTTTGAAGTATAGTGAAAAATATAACACCGCTAAATACAAAATAAAACAGCATTTTAATACTACATTTTATGCTCTTCCAGATAATATTCAGTTCTATGCCAAAATAATGTTTCGTTATCTCACAATTTGCATTCAAAGTCTATATATACCATACTATACTAAATCATACCATACCAAACCCTATACTACCTACTATACCATAGTATCACATACCATACCTACCTTATCCTATCTGCCAAACTATATCATATCTTACCTTGTCTAATCTTATATTTACGACGGTACCGTATACTATAATATTTACCCATTGGTAAGAGTTCAGTGCAGGTAAGTAAGGCAAGATATTAGTATAGACAAATATGTCATGGTATGGTAGATATGGTACTGTAGGTAGTGTAGGGTATGTTAGAGTATAATATAGTAGTATAAAGTATGGTAGGGTATGGAATGTTAGTTAGTATAGGGTATGGTAGTACAGGATACGGTAGGGTATGATATAATAGGTAGAATAAAGTATGCCATGGTATAGTAGGTAGGCAAGGTAGAGAATAGATAAAATACGATATAATGGTTTAGTATAGCATAGTAATTAAGATAGAGTATGGTATGCCAAGTATGATGAGTACGATATACTAGGTAGCATAGGGTATGGTATGTTAGGGTTTGTTCCGGAGGTGTCACTATTCCGGAAAGTGACCCAAACCTTTTAAAGATTGTGAAGAAGTTAACATGGCATTAAAAAAAGTAATACTGTATTCAAAAACTAAATTTTATGCTTGTTCAGATAATGTTTAGCGCGATGCAAATATAATGCTCCAATTACTTAATAACTGCGTTTGAAGCTAACCTGCTACCTGCTATCCATTTCCAGCCTAATCATTTTTAGCTAATTTGCAAAAATTAATATTGTCTAAAGCCGTGTAAAGCAGACCTATATCAACGTTTTGTTCCTTCTCTTATTAAAAATCCTTAAATACAAGTGCCAGTTCAAAAAAATATGCAAACAAAGTTTAAAGAAATACAGCAAAATTCGCTAATAGGATTCCGCTTAAAAACCCCCAATATAGCTAAAGTTTTTAAATCCCAAGAAAAAATGCTTCATTAATTCTTGACTAAAAAATCCGGATATAATGAAATTCCCTACAGCTAACAGTGCTTTAATCCCATTGCAAATTGCAGTTCGTTAAGTTTTAAAAAGTTGCCAACAACAACAAATTGTTTGTAAACAATTTGTTGTTGTTTGTTTGTAAACAAACCTATAATATTTTCATTTTACGTCTTTTTTATTATTTTTGTTTTATTATAAAAAGTTCATAAGCTGCCTGTGAATAATAGAGCAAACGTTTCTTCGTATAACTTGTCACTCGCGAGACACAGCGGCCCGCCGCGAAAAAAAGTCTAACGATAATGGAAAAACACCCGTGATTTTACAATTTTTAGCGCGAAATTCTCCTTAAAACACCATGCCAAACTGGGTCACGCGACGAAAACATTCAGCCAATAACAAAGCTTTAAGAAAAAATTTTTATATCGAAGCCGGCGTTGAGTAAAAAAAAGCCGACTGCTGGCATTACTTAAATTTTTTATACATCTTTATAGCAATTGATATAGACTTCAGTATAATATTATCGTAATTTTAGAAAAAGCTGGGTTCGGGTAGTTGTCTCCAGTAGATGAAACATTCTGTGCCGTCGCGCATAGTTCTTGTCGGATCAACTACACAGCGATTGTCTGATCGGTGAGTTAGAATATAATAATATTTGCGAATTGGAGTTTAGGTCTCAGAAATTTAATCAATTTGTATGTTAAATAATATTCAACGTTATTTTTGGTCGAGTTGTTTTAGTAATATTTGTCAGGATAAGTCTCTTGCAGCCAATAAAAAACTGCATTATCTGACTTGTTTTTCTCTGATTCCATATTCAAAAATGGCGCTAGGACAAATGCGGTTTTTAGACTCTTGCGGATCTTCGGTTTTTGGACACTTGCGGATTTGGGACATTTGCGGATTTTTTAAAGGTTTTTTTTTTTATTTTTTAGTTAATTTAGTTGTATTATGGTACTAAATTGTACTAAAGTTTGAATTGGTACGGTTTTAACATAACAGTACCAAAAATATAAAACAGTACCAATTTAAAATTTAGTACTATTTAGCACTAAATCATATTAAAACAGTACCAATTTAAACTTTAGTACCATTTAGTACCATAATACAACTAAATTAACTAAAAAATTTAAAAAAAAACCCTTTAAAAATCCGCAAATGTCCAAAAAACGCATTTGTCCTAGCGCCTCAAAAATGTCTCCTTTTTAGATGAGAATTGAAAACTTGCTAAAGTTTATTGTTAAATAATAATTTGTGCGCATTTACTCTGGCGCGCGGGATATTTCATGTTGATACCTAAAACATAAGTAAATTTTTTGTGTGCGTAAATTCGGGTTCAGTTTTTCCAAACTTACCCATCACTTTGCCTTTTGTTCAGCTTAAGAAAGGTTGGTTTTCATATTTCTGTCTCATTAGTTTCTTTTCGTTTTTTTAATCTAATCTATAATAATATACTCGTTAAATTCTTTAAAAACTTTGTGGTTCTGTTTGTTATTTTAATATAGCCTTGTTATAACCATATAATTAACTTATTTTTTAGATTTCAACGTCTTCCAGCACCTCGCTTATCAGATAAAATGGACGGCCCACGCAACTTTCTCTACGACGACTACATGGAAGCCGACTTCTACTCCCAAGGAGCAGTCGATTCGTTTGGAGCTGGTGGGAGAGGCGACTCGTAAGTTTTTTAAAACTTTTCAATAGTTTTACTTGTATATTTTCTTTCATTTTGTCAAATCAGAATATAAAACGTATCAATGATATAGAGATCAAAACTTATTCTATTTATTCTAGATTCCGTCGCCGTACTAACGCCAGAAGTGCCATTGACATGCCTCTGGACACTTTCTCATCTCGCCGTGCTGGTCCCTCACGTGGTCGTGGCTTCGTTGACGAAGAATTTGCTCCAAGACAACCCACACATGCTCGCAGAATGGCATCGGCTCTAGGAATTCCACAAAGACGCCAGAGATTTGACGACATTCCACCTAGAAGAGCTCCAGTACGAAGAGTGATTCGAGAGGTGGTTGATGATGATCGGTACGGTGGAGTAGAAGAAGTTGTCAGAGTAGTGAGGAAGCCACAAAGAATTCAAAGAGAAAGAACGCGGACTATTACTATCGTTAAGAAGGTCCCCATCACACAGAGAGTATCGAGAAAACCACAAGTCGTGTTCAAAAAGAAAGCTGGTGGCCGACCCGGGTAGGTTAATCACAAGATTACTTCACTTTATTTTCACTTTGTTTGTAAATCACAAGATTACTTCAATTTACGTTTATTTTTTAGATATTTTTTAAAAAAACTCAAAATTTTACTTTTTAACTAAATCGTGCTATTTTTAAATTTTTTTCTCACAATTAACTTTTTAGCCCCTCAACCGACCGTTCTGGACCATCGCCACGCCGTGTAAAGTCCGGTGGCATTGTTAAGAAAACGCCCGGATTCAAGGCTAAGAAACCCGCCAAACCGAAAGCAAATCACGATCAACTAGATGCTGAACTCGATGCTTACATGAGAAGCTCCAAGCATCCCAGAATCAACGTATAATTATTTTTTAACCAGTTTTCCATGTTTTCCTTGTTATCATAATAAATTAATAATGTAAATATATTTTGGTATTAATTTTGTATGAGATCAAAAAATGTTTAGAAAATTTAATGCTTTAGCTATTGTAAAATACGTTCCTCTATGCTTTCTGGTATCATAGTTTATAAACACACTGTGTACGATTTAGTTAAGAGCTGTAAACTACAAGAGCTCTGTAAGGAAGTTTCTTCCATTACAATACTTACTAAGAACTCATAAAAGTCCAAAGTATTATAAATAAGAAATGTAAATCAACAACAAAAAACCAAACTTTACATAAATGCAATAAAAAATCTTTATTGATAACAAAAAAAAACAGTAAATTACTTGAATAAATGGTCTGCAATATTATTTTGCCCAACAAAAAAAATAAAAATCGTTAAGGCAGAGGAACAAGATGAACAGACATGTCCTTGATATTCAGGACATCCTGAGTATAACAACTGGGATCCGACGTTGGTGTTAGAACTTATCGATAAAGTCATCGTATTCGTCTTCCACATAGTCGTCGTACACTTCCTTCTTGATCTTCTTCTTGTTCTTTTGCTTGCCTTGAGCATCTCGCGCGGCTTTGGCGGCTTCTTCCTTCTCCTGTAATCAGTATGATTAAGGAATTAAAAGGATATTTCAAATAAAAGAGAAAAATATAAAAAACGGAAGACTAAACATCGCATTTTACAACCAGTAAACTGCTTTTCAGTTTAATTTGGCAAAAGTTTTAAAAAATGTCTCACCTTTTCGATCTTCTCAGCTTCTGCCAATTGTTTCACTTTACCTTGAAGCATATTGACCACGTTTTCCAATTGGAATTTATTCACTAAATGGAACAAATTAATCTTTTTCGTATTCTTGTAAAATCAATTTCTAATTTTATAATTCAGAAGGCACAACGTCAAAACCAATACCTATCAAATCTTCACGTAAAGTTAATGTAAAATCATGCAAAACAGCTTATCAAAACTAATTTCATCCTAACAAAAATAAAATTTGTTAAACTTACTAGGTTTTGTAATTTCGTCAACTAATACCGTCACGAAGTCAACGTAGAAACCAGTATTGGATCTTGCAGTGAAAGCGGCAGCAGTTCTTTCGGCAAATTCTTTAAATTCAAGGCGAGATTCCAGCTCGCTGTATTTCTTGTCCGTTGATTCAGCTCCTAAATTGTTACTTAATTAATGTAAACAATAAAAATAAGAATAATTTGTCTAAAAGTGAATAATCATAGTTAACATAAGTCAAAGACGACGTTTAGCCCGAAAACAAGATTAATCACACATGCAAATATTCTCAAAATAAAGCCTAAAAACTTGAGAATAAACCTTTAACAACATACCAATTAAATCCGCAAACAATTCCATGTCTGACCTCTTTTGCATCTCCATGATCTCGGCCTGGCTCAGATCCTTTTGCCCACCGGCTGAAGCAGACTTCGAGCTTTGACTTTTGCTAGATTTCGACTCCTTTACTTCTTTGGCCGGTTCATCCTTCAACTTGTCCTCCAATCCCAGAGTTGCGATCTTGTCTTGCAACTGCGCGGATGGATCGTAGTCATCAGCATCTAAAACAATGTAGATTAAACTTTTTCTTATAAACAAGCTTTTATAATGATCTCAGTAACTATAAGCAAACTTATCTACATGTTTTAAAACATGTACAATGTTATAAAAGGCAACATGAACGGCACAAACTCTAAATCTTCAGTCAACCATCAAACGTTATCTGAATCAACAAAAAATAAGTGACAAACTCACCCCAATCGTCCATTCTTGTTAACTCTGAAGAGAAAGACCCTACAACAAATTCATTACATCATGTGAATTTCGAAACACGTTAAAAAGTAGCAATAATACACGACAATGTCAAAAGCGCAAAAGTTTAAACATGGATAATATAAGAACCGTAAAAATTATAATTATAAATATAATAAAAAGCCAATGGCTTGTGAAAAGCTTGGTATATTACTGATGCACCTCTTCCATGCTCCATTTTTCCGCGTGTGCCTTCTAGGTTTATTTTGGGCCATGTTTCACTACGTGTCAAGTTTTACTCCGTGGAGCTTGCAATTTGTTCAGCGCAGCTCGCAAATGTTAAAGTTGCACATAAACGAATCAAAAGTAGTAAATATAAGTTCGTAATGATAAATATATGTCGTGACTTAATTTTAACTTAAATTCTTCATTGTTTTAACATCAAAATTTGTAAAAATCTAAAAATATTAGTAATGATGAAGGTAGTTTAAGTTTTGCCTTTTTTAAATGAATAAGGGTAAACAGTCATTATAATTTGTTTGATAGTTCGACTTAACACACCCTAAAGGTTCACCATGATGGTTCTACAACTTTGCAACATTCAATATTAAATATAGAAGTTGCTGAAACTTTAAACCAAAAACCACGCAGTAACACATACCATCACAATATACAAAATAGTATATGCAAATACAGTAACAAAGTCTAGTGAAATACGTTTATTTTTAGAATCTATAATGAAAGATTTTCTAGTTCGTCTGAACCTTTTGATTTATCCCCAATTCGTTCGAACGCGGCCGTTGGAGATTGTCGTTTCATGTTTTCGAGTTTGGTGCTCTCGGCGTCTGACATGTTAAGATCGGATGTTAACGGAGGTTGAGGAGGGTTATAATTCGGGGCAGTGAAGCCACCAAGCCCGTGTGTGGGCCTCACAATTAAGCGGCCTTGCTGAAATACAAATTTTAATTTTTTAACACATGCTTATCGTAACATTACTGATAGTTCTTGAATACTTAAAAATTTTCGTGATAAACAAAGTAAAATAACCCAAACTCAGGGTTTCAATTATCGATTTTAAAAATTAAAACAAATTTCTTCCATGCGCAAGTTACTTACCTCATCACAGCTCAAGTAAAAGTCGACCAAAACGTTTCGACACCTTGCGGCAATTCTGAAATGACGTTAAATTACTTAAAAAATTACTATTTAAAAGCCTGAAAAACTATTTTACATTAATATGTGTTTTGTCAAGATACACTCATAAAAAATCTGCAATAGTCAATATTCTTAAAATAACATACTCATCAAACTGCTAAAAATAGATAAACCTCCTTACATTTTTGGTGCAATTACTCGTTTCTGAACTCCAAAGACTGTGAACAATAATATTAAAAACACGAAGCCAGTCGCAAATACAGGATGCTTCGTTAAACTTTCTGTGAATGAAATCTGAAAACCAAGTGTAATATAGGTCTAAAACCGTTTCACTTACGTATCGAATAGTCGGATCTAGCACCCAAAAGTATGCTGAGACAATTGTTGCAACAAACGTAGCCAGTAGAACCACTAAAATTTAAGATTAGTTTAAAAATAGTGGCATATCGTATGTTAGGGTAGACAATACCAATTAAAATTAATATAAAAAAGTTTCTTCTTGTAACTAACTTAAAAAGCAAGATCAAAGTCCCTTACACAATTAAAAAAAACCATTAACAAAGTTATAACAACATATATCGCTATAGTAACAAAAAGTAAACGTGACTTACTCATCCACCTGACTGCTTTTGGTTGTGAGCCAGTCACAACTTCTGTTAACCTCCTTTCAAAGAATATCATGTCTAAAAACAAAATATAAATTACCTTTAAAATGCCTTACCATCTAATCCATCTGCTACAACTTCTGAATCTCGTCGAGGTTGTTCGAATCTCATAAACTTTCTCCAAATCGAACCAAACATTATGACAAGAAAATATTCACAAAATATGCATAGAATATACGTTTGTGAGTGTTTTGAAGTCTAAAGATATAATTATTAGATAAAGAAACGACAAGAAAATATTATAAATTATATTATACATGCTAAGAATACCAAAAAATATATTATACATGGCTAAACCAAGCATTTAATGAAAACTTACAAAATATCGTTATAATATCAACTAAAATACAATTAAAAATTCAATACCAGCTTGAACAGTAGTTTATAAATTATAAGTACGTTTATCCAGCCAACAAAAATTGTTTTCCAAAAAAGTTATTAATAAAAGGAGCACTTGACGCTTTTTTAGATTTCGCGTCAAGTTTCCTTCTTGTGTTACAGAGTAAATTTGAACAAAGCTCGTAAGCAAAATTTTAAATGTGATATAATATTTAAAAAAATAAAATTTTAATTTTTTGAATTATTATTTAGTGCTCCTTCTCCAGCAGAACCACGCCAAGTCTCCCGATGTCAGCAAACAATTGCAATCAACAGTCAGAACCCCATAATACCTGGGGATGAGAAGCGTTTTGTTTAAATATTGTCCGGTTTTACGGTCTGGCCAGACCTTACGTTTGGGCCATGCCGGCTTTAAGCTACAGTTGAAACGGGCCGAGCCTGAACAATCAAAAGTGGGCCTGGCCCCTTTTACACCTCCTCATACATGCAACTTATGTTTGTAAATAGTAGGCGTTTTCACTTATCAACGTCATTGTAATGTTAATCTATTTGTAATTTATTCTGATTATATCATTGAATAGTTTACTATTTTGAAAAACTGAGAGTAAACCTCCATATTTTGTTTGGTAGAACAACATTCCTCAGTTGTTTGTTAAAATGGTTTTGTTTTCGAGGTACAAAGTCAAAACCCTCCTCGTTTGTGCTTGTAAGTTAGAGAAAATTATGTTTTTGTGCTATATGTATTAGTGACTACATAAGTCAAGAAAGCTAGCGGGAACCTTACCTGAGCCAGGTTTTTATTGTTGTTAGCGTTTATCTTTTATATTTGACATCTAGTTAAATTTTTCAAAGTTTATTGTCTTTATATTACGTTGTTCACATAATTCTGTGCTCTCTAATCCCAAAAAGTTGCTTTAATAGGAGCACAGAATTATTTGAACAGCCTAATAATTACAAATAATTACAAAAATTTCAGTTATTGCCGGTTTATGGCTGATCAATGTGAAAATCTACAATAAAGAAGCATCTTATTCATCTCTACCTTATCAACAAGAACTGATTGCTTTGTTTTCACTAAATAAAGCAAATAATTCTGATGCAATTGGTGAAAAGACTGGAGAACTTGAAACTGTAAAACCTAATGAAACCGTGAAAAACGGTACAAAGTCTTCAGAAGTTGTGGATAATGATGAACATAAGGATTCAGCAAAAACGGGAAACTATACTCCGAAGACGCTCGAGGCTGATAGTAAACAGCAAGAACCAGTAAAAGAAAGCAATAAGCCTTCAGAACATGAACAAACACCTGGAGGACCAGTAAAAGTAGACGAAAAGCCTCAAGAATCAACAAAGCCAGATGAAAAACCAAAAGAACCAAAACCCAACAATAAAGACTTGTCAAAACAAGAAGAAGAACCACCTCAAAACGACGAAGACAATAAAATTCGAGAAGATTTTCGACCGATTGGCAATCCTAATGCCAACCATACCACTGTCAACACTTCAGTCACAACCAACCGAACGATTCGTCTCGAAACCTTCGTCATGATAGAGAAGCTTCAAAACATATTGGTAGATGTGAAGGCTACTTTTAAAAACTATGAGGTTGTATATAAAATGTCAAAACCGGACAATGAAAGTTTTTGTGATGGTGTAGATGCTGTAGTCTATGTGATGGCAATGGCTGACCAGGAAGCAGTATTGAGACGGCAGGCTTTGAGGGAGACCATCTTTCATTCGGTAAGTCTATACCTTTAGTGTACCTTTATCTGTAGAAGATAGACTTCAAAATTCTAATTTTCAAAAGTTTTTTTTTAATTTTTAAATTTGCATTTGACCTTATAAATTTCAAATTTTTAGGACAACCTCCCAACAGACAAAAAGATACTATACCGCTTCGTATTAGGCCGAATGGAATCAGAAGAGAACTATCAACAACAGTACAAAGATGAAATCGAAAAGTTCAATGACATCATCTTTTACAATGTGGAAGAAACCTACCGTGACAACTACATAAAATGGCACACTATGCACGCATGGCATATGAGATACTGTAGCCAAGTGAAACATTTCATCAAAATGGACGATGACACTGTAGCCGACTTCCGGAGGACGTTTTTGTGGATGGATCGAAATTTCGATAGGAGAATATCAAAAAACCAAAAATATTTTGTTTGTCATAGAATGTCTGGCTATCGTGTTTTCAGGGATCCTGTCGCCAATCCAAGGTGGTAAGGGGACTTTTAGTTGCGTTAAGATATTATATTTTCGGCGCACCCTGTATTATACTTATATTACATGAAAAATTATAGGTCGTTCAAATAATTCTGTGCTTTCTGACCCCAAAAAACTTTGTTTTGAAAAAAGGCACAGAATTATTTGAACAAACTAATATTAGGCTTACAAATATGAAGTTGCATTTTTCTTTCTGACAAGAGAAGTGCCTGACCTGCCTCGCTCTGATTGACTTCAAACTTTTTATATAGAAAGATAATGTAAATATAACCTCTGCAGCAAAGTGCCAAATCTCAATTTCTAGCCAATCTCAAGAAAATCGGGATTAAAAAATGAATTTTCGAATTTCCTGCCAAATTGGCATTGTGTGTCAAGCTTATAACTTTGCCATTTTTTGATTTTTAATTATTTTTCTTTGATACACTAGTAGAAAATTTTTAAATCGACCTACATTTTCAAATTTGTAAGCGTAGCTTGTCTGAAAAGTTGAAACGGGCTTGAAACACAATGCCAAAGTTGCCAAATTGGCGGAAAACCAGAAATATTTCGAATTTAAATTAAAAAAGCGCGAGCTAAAATGTTTTATAGGTACTATTGGTAGTACAAAGAATTTATATAAAAATTTTGAGCTGATTCTGAGCGGGGCAGGTAGGGTACTTTCCTTACCAAAATGATATACCACAACTTATAATCTACTACAATATACAATACCAAGCTTCTAAATTTCTATTTTCAGGTACATCACACCAGAAGAATTCCAAGAAGACATATTCCCCGATTACTGTTACGGTTACTTTGTGATATACACCAATGATACAGTAAAAGACATAATGAGGGCTCAAGAAGACACAAATTTAGTCCACATGGATGACTGTTTTTATACTGGAATCGTGAGAAGAGAGACAAACTCTAAGTTGTATGACTTTGAAGGCATTAGAACAGGCATTCCTCCCAATAAATGCTCTCAGGACAATGTGTTACCCTACATGATAGCCTCAACGGATCGTAAAACACCGGACAAAATACGATTGAGGCTACACACAATCAAGAACAAAAAATGCGAGCAAGTGAAAGATAAGAAGAGTTAAATAGGCATAAAGCCGTAGTTTTAAAAACTAAGTCCTGTATTGTATTTATCGTATATTTACGGGTTTTTGTTGGTAATATGAATAAAAAACCTTATAGAGAGAAAGTATAGTCAGCATCTGAAGAGAGTTTTGATTCGTACATGTGTAAGATTATTTTTTTAAAATAGGGATTGAGTTACCTATAATAGATGAGTATGTTACTCTGTCAGTCTCCCTATTGGTATTAACCAACTAGTACCGCTAGCCTGCGCCTTGTCCGGATAGTTTGGACTCGCTGACCTATCCCACTGAGTCTTTTATTATTACTATCAAGTACTGAATCAAAATTTAGCATTCTTCTATTACGCAATATTTTTCATATACAAAAGCGCAGATAAAAAGTTTGAAAATTACAAAAAATTTGAAAATTCTAGCCCTAGCCTTCCTAACCTAATCCTGAATCATAGTCTAAATAAAAAAAAACTTTAGAGGAGGGAGGGTTTAGGCCTAAAATGTACGTTAAAGCTGAAAAACCAACAGAAAATGCCATTTTTAATTAGCTTTCAGAATCTGTCTTGGCTGTTACTGTAACGCTAGGCTAATCTTTAAGAAATATCCTAGTTTAAGTCCTTGCCTAAATCCTAGGCTAAACCATGGTCTAAACCCTAAACTCTAGCTTAAATCCGTGCTTAAACCGAAGACTAAACCCTAGGCTAACCCTTAGGATACACTCCAGCCTAAGCTCTAGCTTAAATCCTAGTATGAACTAAATATTAAATTATAAAACATAAAGATGGGTTTGAAATGAAAAAAGCTAGACACAATACATAAAAATTTCTAAACCATAAAAAAACATTGTACCGTTTTTCTAGATGTTAATCATGCAATTTTTTTCTTTTTTTTTAAAAAAAAGGAACCCCTCCCCCAAAAAAAATTTAAAAAAAAGTTGAACGTGGCCCCCCCCTGTGGATTTTAGAAAAAAAATATTTCGCAAAAAAATTGGCCCAGGTAGCTAGCTATCTAAGCTACCTGTGCCGATTTTCTCGACCCATGCCCCTTGACCAAAAGTCCCCGCCCGCCTCTGCTTGTATATAAGGATCAGTGCAAATTTTTTGTCTAGAGGATCCAAGGAAGTGGCTATAACGGGATTTTTGTTATAAGCGGAGTCCTATCAGCAAGGTTTCACTGTATTTTGAAAATGCTTCCTGGATCTTGGAAGTCAATGTTATCAGGTGCCGACATAAAGCACCCGTCATTTTTTACATGAAATTACAAGAAAAGTATGGCGGGTTCTTTATGTCAGCACCTAATAGAATGACTTACATAAAGTATGCTGGTTTTTTATGCAGCTTCAAAAACGATTAATACCTAAATTTCTGTATATTGAGGTTCAAAAATCATGATGTTCCATACCAACTTATGTTGATGTTTTAGTAGATGTTTGTGTTTTAAAAAAGCATTTCTTTTTATTTCAAAGACCATATTGCTTTACATTGTCACTCCGCAATAGCTTTTCATCGAACTGCATATCAACCTACTACAATGTTATTCTTCCACATTGTAGTAGGTTTTTGACCTAACAACCCCATTGTAATGCTAATCGGGCGGTCGGAAATGGGATTAATCTCGGTTATATAATCGACAAATAGTCTACTATTTTTTGAAAACCCTAAATGAATTTGCATTTGATTACGGGCGGGTTGGTAAAACAACATCAATTTCAGTTGACAGTTATCTTTGAGGACACTCAAAGTTCTGGTATGTGCAATTGTCCGGTGTTTTTCTAAATTTCGATTGTTGTTTTTGAAATGATGCTGTTCCTAAGGTCCAAAGTCAAATATCTACTCATTTTTGCATGTGAGTTTGGGGAGGAGGGCTTGATTTTAAGTGTTACAGTAGAACCTTTGTATAACGAATCGCTAGGAGATTTAAAGTATTGTTATACTGAAGTTTTAAATGCACTGTAGTGTTAATTGGGGACTCAAAAATTTTTTGTTACACAGGGGTTTCATTGTATTAGGTTGAAACAAAAGTAGCGGGACACTTTTCATGTATTTTTCAAATAAAAAAGTGTCCCACTACTTTCGGTTCAACCTAATATAACGTTTTAATTTTTAAATAAGACCTGTAAAAGGGCCGGACCCGGCACAATGTTTTGATCCGGCCCAAAAGCCGGGCTTTGGTTTGGGTCGCGCCTTCATGCCCAAGTGTACCGACCCTTTTGGAAGTCAAATCTTTCGACTCGGGACCTAAGTCGAAACCTTGGGGCCTTGGGATGAGCCTCCCGGGTTTGCAAGAAGTTTTGTTTTTAGATCGTCTAGGCGATTCTGAATTCTAGAATCCCCGATTTAAACTTTAGTTTAAGTAAATTTTAAAAAATATTTTTGATATTACAACTTCTTTTTCAGTTATTGCCAGTTTATGGCTGATTAATGTAAACATTTACAATAATGGCTTATCAACTCTACCTTATCATAAGGACCTAATAGCATTCTTTTCATCAGAACATAATGTAACAACGACCGACCAGACACTAGGATTCGAAACTGTGAAGCCAAATGAGCCACACAAATCACAGGAAAACGTAAACGATAAAGGACCAGAAGCAGGCAATGATAATATTAAACCTGCAAACGATGTAAAAGGCGATGATAACGTAAAGATACAGCAAAATAAGACTATAGAAAATGTAAAAAACGATGACAAAGCTTCTGATGTTATCAATGATAAAGACAAAAGCCCAGATGTTAAGAGCAGTAAAGAAGATAAGCCCCCAGAGTTAGTAAACGAGAAAAACAAACCTCAAGAACCACAGAAAACTGAGGAAAAGCCTCCAGAATCAGTTAAAAATGAAGACAAACCTTCAGAATATAAACCTCAAGAACCAGGAAAAGCTGATGAAAAGCCTCCAGAACCAGTAAAAGTAGATAACAAACCTCCAGAAGCCGAACCCAAACCTGGAGAACCCGTAAAAGTAGATGAGGAACCCAAAGAACCAGTAAAAGTAGATGAGAAACCTCAAGAACCAGCAAAGCCAGATGAAAACCTAAAAGAACCAAAGCCCAATAACCAAAACGTGTCAAAACAAAAAGAAGAGCCGCCTCAGAAAGATGAAGCCAACAAGGTTCGAGAAGACTTCAGACCGATTGGAAATCCTACTGCCAATCATACCACAGTCAACACATCAGTCATAATCAACCGAACCGTTCGCCTCGAGACCTTTGTCATGACAGAGAAGCTTCAGAACATGTTGGTAGATGTGAAGGCTACTTTTAAAAACTATGAGGTTGTATATAAAATGTCAAAACCAGACAACGAAAGCGTTTGTGATGGTGTAGATGCTGTGGTATATGTTATGACAATGGCTGACAAGGAGTCAACATTGCGACGACAGGCTTTAAGAGAGACAATTTTTCAACCGGTAAGACTCTATACCCTTACTGTACTTTTATCTATTGAAGTCTAATTCAAAATTTTAAATAAATGTTTTCAAACTTCAAAAAACGTTTAAATTTTAAAAAATTGAACTTTCAGGACAACTTCCCATCAGACAAAAAGATACTGTATCGCTTTGTATTGGGTCGATTCGAATCCGAAGAGAATTATCAAAAACTTTTCATCGATGAAATCGAAAAGTTCAACGATATCATCTTCTACAATGTTGAAGAATACTACCGCGACAACTATGTCAAATGGCACACTATGCATGCCTGGCATACTAAGTACTGTAGCCATGTGAAACATTTCATCAAAATGGACGATGATACTGTAGCCGACTTCGGGAGGATGTTCCAGTGGATGGATCGGAACTTCAATGGTAGAACAACGGGAACAGACAAGTATCTGATATGCCAACGAATGGCCGGTCATCATCCTTGGAGGGATCCTAAAGCTGATCCTAGATGGTAAGGGTTGGCCTTATTAACTTTATTTTTTAGATCAATTACAGGCTTGTAGGCCTTGTCTTGCCTTGCCTTGCCTTGCCTTGCCTTGCCTTGCCTTGCCTTGCCTTGCCTTGCCTTGCCTTGCCTTGCCTTGCCTTGCCTTGCCTTGCCTTGCCTTGCCTTGCCTTGCCTTGCCTTGCCTTGCCTTGCCTTACCCTGTGTCCTAAGCCTGATGAACAATATCTCTTCAAAACTCAAATTCCAGGTACATTTCCCACGACGAATTCCCAGAGAACACATGGCCAGACTACTGTTATGGTTACTTTGTCATAACCACCAATCAAACCGTGTCAGACATCATGAGAGCTCAAGAGAAGATCAATCTAGTCCACATGGACGACTGTTTCTTGACTGGAATTGTTAGAAGAGAGACTGATTCACAACTACATGACTTTTATGGCATTAGAACAGGAGTGACATACCCAAAGTGTTCTCGAGACAATGTCATACCATACATGTTTGCCACTACGAATTGTAAAACAGCGGCTAAAATACGATTGAGGCTACGGACGATCAAAAAGAGGAAATGTGGGGAATAGACACTTACAGAGATAAAATATATGTCATATTAAAATTAGGTTGTTCGTCTAATTTTGAGCGCACTCTCAAAGCACGTTTTCAGAGTTGGGGGCTCATAATTATTAGAACAACCTATCTATATATTGAATAAGGTTGTTGTCATATTGTATTTATTATAACTTTACGGTTCATTGGACTTTTTTAGTACAATATTATGATATTTATTAATATTTTAAAAGTTATTGAATTATAATATCTAGTCATTTTAACTCCTACTAACCCATAAAAAGATTTTTTTGAAAATTTTGAAAAATAAATTTTATCATGTTTGTATATGACTAGTAGTACCTTTTTATTGAAAATTAAGCCAGAGCACAAAAATTTTAAAAAATGTTTTTTTTTATTTCTTGTTTTTATTTCCGTTATTTTTTTGGGTATCAATTAATAAAAAATTTAAAAAAGAATGCAAAGCCAATTTTTTTTTATTATAGTTTTTTAAATTTTTAAATTTTAAATTTTTAAAAATAATCCGAGCCTGACCTAGAATTTTTTTTACGTGACCAGGCCAACCTGAAAAAATGAAAACGGGCCGCGCCTAGACATTAAGCTTCGGGCCTGGGCCACACCTAATTCGTCCCGGCTCGTTTCGCACGTATGATCATTAGTATACAATGTTTTTTTAATGAAAAAAGTTTACTTCCTAGTCAAATCTATAAACAAAAAAGGCAATTCCAATGCTAAATGTTTCAAAAATTATATTCAGACATGCAAACTCAACTTTTCCTTTCAATAATACAAATAAAAATCTAACATACATGACAATAAAATTTTATAATGTAAATCTCTCACTGCATCATGCTGACGCAAATCAATCTCCTAGTTGACAAAATTGAAATTTGATAGCAAAAGTGTTCTCAATAGTATTAAAATATTTGAAAAACCGTTCAGAAACTCTTTTTCCCCGTTCAGTTTTGCCTTTTTGTAATTCCTTTTTGATCTTTTTAGAACGAAAAAGAAAACAAGAAAGCTGATTCCGTGCTTCCGTGGCGCAATCGGTTAGCGCGTTCGGCTGTTAACCGAAAGGTTGGTGGTTCGAGTCCACCCGGGAGCGAGTACTTTTTGCACGTTTTTTAATGAAATTCACAGTAACGTAACACAAAAATTATAGTAATACAATATCAAGTTTTTATTTTTTAAACACAATAAACGTACAAAACAAATATTATGTCGCAAAGTCAAAAGAAAATGATAATATAAGAAAAATTTATAAAAAATTTGATGACTTTTGCTGAAAATTATCCGAAAACAATGCCATTTCTTTTCATACCTTTGACCTGAATGGTTGTCATTACAACATTATGTTGCTTGTTCATTTCAGTAACCTCAAATTGGCTTTTAATTCAATGTTTCAAACAGAAAAGTGTCAGAAAGTTGAAATATGTTGAGGTAGGTCATCAAATTTTATCTTTTTTTAAAATTTTTCAATTTAATAATTTTTTGAACTAATTGTAGTTTAAAAAGATAAATAAAACATTGTTTTAGATTCCAGGATTCCAAAAAACAGAAACGGATCTGGTAGCATTCAAACAGAAACTCAAGACCAAAAAGGTGGAAAACGTTCGATATTACTTTGAAAAGTTTCCTACCTACAAGTATAGGGTAAGTGATTTTAATTAGATTATAGTTTATAATTTTTTATAACTGTCTTAAAAAGTCGATTTTTAACTTTTAAATTTAAATTTTTTTATCTTAAAATTTCAGGAATTTGATGTTAACTTATTAGAGCCCCCAATCCATCCCAAAACGTTCTGTCTACGCCCTCCAAAAGCACAGGCAAATACTCCTCATTCCAAAAGTAAGCAAAAGCCAATGGCTACCCATTTCAAATAAAAAAATGCTCCTTATGATAACAACCGTACCTTTTTAGGCAAAGATACAGACAAAGAAGGCAATGATCTTTTGAATGAAATGTGGAAAGCCTTTTCTAATGTCGAATCCTCAAACGAAGTCTTGGATGCATTACAAACCTTTCATTTATCGTTCGATGGTACTGTAGTGGCCGTAGACGATGACGATGCTACGGTAGAAGACACAAAACGCCTGGAATGGGGCGATAAACTGAAGATTGATGTAAGTGTTGGTTTTTTAAAGTTATATTAAAATTTATAATAGCGTGTCAGTACCGAGATATCAGCGCAATGATGAGCTAAAACCAAATGACTGTTATGATTACAGATTGCAAAACAAGAAGAACCACCAGTCAAAAAGGAGTCCTTCGTGGTCGACAACGGATATCTTGTTATGGACAAAGGAAGGCACAAAATTGAAAATGGCTAGAATCTAATAGGCGAAAAGAACCTGCGAATTAAAAAAACTTGAAGCTAATAAATGTAATATCATCTTAATTTATTAAATTTGTCGTGGAGAAGTGTCAAAACAACGAAAATACACTTGAAAGTCCTAACTTCCATGTTTTCATCTACATTACTAGACTAAATAGCCAGTAACATAGCTTCGCAACGGTTTACAAATAAGAAAACTTAGCTTCGTCTTACTTTTGCATGTTATTCTACCCATTTTTCAATCAAATAATAAATCCTGTAAAACCTACTCTAACATCCTAGAAACCATTAACTACATCATCGAAACACATTCCCGCGAATAAATAAATGAAATCATTACTCAATTCATAAAATCAACGACTTTTTTTACTTTCAACGTTTTTTTAACAACAAACAAAAAATGACAATAAAAGGGCTTTAGAATAGTGGTTCAGGGAATTCGAAGACGACTTCCTTGCCGGTCAGTTGTTTGTAGACGGAGCTGAAAGAGTCGACCTTGTGTTCAACGTTGGTGAGTTGAGCCTTGTCGAGGTGGACCTTGTGCACTTGCTTGCCATCCAACTTGATGCGGATTCTGCGTCCGACAATCTCGGCTGGGTAGACCAAGTCGGCGAGGTAGCCATCTTGAACGGCGGTCAAGGTGCGGGAACGTGGTCGCTTTTGCTTTTCTGGCAGACGGTTTTTGCCACGGAGAGGCTTGGGGAGGATACGGCGCTGAAATAAGAGTATAGTTAGTAAGTTAACATATCTAGGAAAATGAGCTTTAAAGAAAAAGCACAATAATGAATTTTTTATGCATAGAATTTCTCAAAATTGAACTATCTTCTCCCCAGCAAGATCTATTTTCAGTTTCAGCAATAAACCAAAGATTTTTCAATAAAGCTCTAACAAATATACAAAGAAAAGCATACAACTTCCAACTGTATCAAAAAACTGAAGTTAAACCTTACCTTAGCAACGAAAACAACATGAGACCCGCTGAATTTCTTCTCCAATTCTCTGACCAATTTGCTGTGGATGCGTTGGTAGTCACGGAGTTGAGGGACTGGTACCCAGATAAGGATAACGTTCTTGTTTCCGAATTCGTATTTCTAAAAATAACATTTTTAACCAACCGTTAAAAGAAGTAGTTTAATGTTATTAAAACATCCATAATTTAGTGTTGGTGCTTTAAAAGTAAGCATAAACAACTTTAAAAAAAGCTTTGAGTTTTACTTCAACAATATTTTAAAATTATTCAATAAAATTAAAGATTTTTAGAAATTTCGTGTTATTGTCAAGTGTAACATAAACTGTGCATAACTTGTAAATTAAAGCAAAGTCTCTTAAAATTCTTACTAAATAAGCTTTAACATTATCTTAAGCATCTACTAAAACAATTATTCACCCTATTGCATCCTTAAGTCCCGACAAAGCAGAGATTTTCAGTCACCCAGCCTTACTCTAAAAAATCCAGCCATCAAATTATGTCCATATCTAAACCAACAAAAACAATATTCAAAAAACCTACATCAGCTCCAACGAAGTACAACTCGGAGAGTTGGTTCTTCAGGTCTTCGGATCCCGTGAGCTCGGTCAGGTAGTCGGCTACTTGGCGTTCCAACTCGCTGCCTGGTCCGTCGGACTTGATCAACTTTTTATAAGTGGTCGTAACCATTATTTACCCTGAAAAAAGCCTAAAATAATATTGACCAAATATAAGATAAAATTATTGTTGACATATTTTCACGAAATTACATTTTAAACACGTAAAATACATGGAAACATTAAAAGTTCAAAATTTTACTGGGATTTTTGCGAAAAATAATAAAAAGAACCAATACCGTACGTTCGAAAAGGCCGCCTGATCGCGGCGGGACCGAGCCGATGTTTGGCATTCCGTCTCGAAAATAAAAAATATTTTTCGGAAGATCTTTTGATTCGAAGATAAGTTGATCAAACAAACAACTAAAAAAAGTAAGAACTACAAATATGTTTTAAAAGTTGGCTAAAATTTAAAATTATAACTAAGTTTTGGTATTTAATTGTTAAAAGTTTGGTTTATCAGGCCTGTTTTTTTAAATATTGGTGTCGAAGAAGATTGTCTTATATACCTTCCAACTTTGATGGCTTATTACTCAAAAATTAAAAGTCGGATTGTTAAAAAATTTACCATAGTGTTGAAAAATAATGTAACGAATGAACATAAAATTTTTAAAACATCAAAGTATAAAAAAACCTGACAAACTTTAAAAAACCCGTCAGCTTTCCTGCCATGCGGAGAAAAAATTCAAAAACACATTTTGAAAGGACAACATATAGAATTAAAAATTTGTGTAGTTGTCATATATAGTATAGGCTAGGTTTATACCAGCTTTCGGGCCTACATGATTCGTACACATCGACCAATGTTCATGTAAACAAGCCATTGAGTGTAACATAAAATAACATTAATATAAAAAATATGAAGTCTTAAATAATCTCATTATATAATTTATACGCTTTTATTTACTAAACAATTTATTTTTTACTGAAAATGACTTTTAACGTGCACTTTACAAAAACTTTTCATCAACACACAACATTACGTTAGGTCCCGGCACGAAAACAAAAACAAACTTGCAACTTTTTAGCAATTTGAATGAGATTTTCTTTCACAATTTTTCCGAAGAAAATAACGATATTTCGTCTGTTATTTGTAAGATTTTTGTCAAGAATCTTCATGTTTTCTCATGTTTGCTTTATAAAAATATTGTAAATTTGAATATTCTTATTTATGTCTTTTGACATGGTAGTTTTTAGGGGTAAGTTGGTTTGATTTCAGTGAATGACCACAGCTTTTCCTTCACGGATTGTTCTTGTTGGATCAACACCTAAAAGGTTGACTGATAGGTGAGTATTAGCTTATAAATTGAATTATTTGATGATTTAGGTTTAGGATGTTGTGTTAGGTGATGGAGGTGGAAAGTTTTTAAATTCTGGAGGGATGCGTGTTGATTTAGCGGGGAAAGTTGGGGTAAGTTAACGAGAAAGATATTGTTTTACCTTTTTAAAAGTGTTTTCTAAAGTATCTTTGACATTTTTATTTTAAAAATTTAAATTTTGCTTTTGTATAATATCAGATGATGTGTAACCAGGGCCGGGCGCGAGGGGGGGGGGGGGCCCCCCCCCCCCCCAGAAAAAAAATTTTCGAAAAAATTTGAACGTGGTCCCCCCTGGGGATTTTTTGGAAAAAAAATTTTCGCAAAAAATCGGCACAGGTAGCTGCTACCTGTGCCGATTTTTTTGACCCCAGACCAAAAGTCTCCGCCCGGCCCTGTGTGTAACAAATGGCCGTTTTTGTCAAAATTTTAGGGGGAGATGTTAATGAATTATTAAAAATAGATTAATGGATTTCTTGCGATGTTGCTGTACTTATTTAATGCTTATATACGTTTAATTTTGTCGTAGAAATAAAGTTATTTCTTTTAGGTTCCAGCAGTTGTCCAAAGTGCAAAAAAATGGCTTATCATCAGTACATTGACTACGATGACCCGGCTGATCAGGACCTAAGAGAGGACGACAGATACTACGTGGACCGTCGAAGAGAGTAAGGTTTTTATTTTAGATTTTATTTTTTGATTTACTATAATATAACGTTATTTATTTAGTTGTTGTGGTAGGATTATACTTTGGTCTTTAAAAAATGGAAAATCAATTTTTTTGATGTTTAGGTTTAATTTTCAACATTTCAGCTACAGAAATGTAAACTCCGCAGCCTTCATGGACATGCCATTGGATCGTTACGTTTCGGCTAGAGATGCTCGACATCCAATTCGCCAAAATGTTGCCAGACGTTACAATCAGTACGAAAAAGGCAGTCGAGGTCTGAAGAGAATTATTGAAGAAGAAATGAGACACAAAAGCAGAAATGTTGATGTCAGAGTGATTCGAAACCCGCCACGCAGAAATACCCAGAAGATCGTCATCATCAAGAAGATCTACACCAACGGCTCCAAGGTGGAGAAGAAGAACAACAAGTAGGGAGATCTTTTGTTAAATTTTTGTTGTTTTTGTTAGGCGTGGTTACTTTTGTTGTTATTTTTGTTAAGAGTGGATACGCTGGGTATTTTGGCGATTTTTTTTAAATTTTAATTTCAGCAATTTTAAAAAGCCACAGCCATCGAAGAAGCACCAGAAGAAGGGTAACAACAAAAACACATCCAGGAAGCCAACTATAGAAGAGTTGAACCGAGAACTGGACGAGTACATGAATTCGGCCAAGAAGGGGAAGTCGAGCAAGGAACTGTTGGACGCCGAACTCGATGAATACATGAGCTATGCCTAATCTAATATTAACAATTTGTGAGCTGCTTCAGCTGCCCTTTGGATTTTATTGGTAATCTTACTTAAATTCTAATAAATTTGATGACTGTTTACTGTGTATGAACGTATAATTTATTAGGTTGGCCAAATATGGATCAGCCAAAGATACCCGCTTTGGAAAGGTCATCCATATTTGGGCAACTCAATACTTTTTAGAAGCCAAAGCCTAATTTTTGACTCTGAAACGACAAATTCTGTATATGAAACATTATGAACCACCATCATCTTAAAGCTGGTACTCGCTGCTTTGTAATTAAAGCTGATATTCACTACTTTGGGCACAAAAAATCCGCGATCAAGTGATAATTAATATTTATTAAGAGAGGTCTTTGAGTCAACATTAACAACAAACTCTAGCGTCGTCGTGGCGGAGAGCGGCGATCTCTTTTGCGGTCCGGTGATCGTGAGATGGAACGGCGCCGACGTGCTGGCGGAGATCGGCGCCGATTGTGCGATTGGGGATTTGAACGGAAGGGAGGCGTTTCCCGGTTGCGGCGTTTCTCCTCCAGGGCTTTGCGTTCGGCCCAACGACGATCGGCCTGAAATTATGAAAAATTTAGTATTTTAATGTTAATATTGTACCTAAACTTTGAAAAATTGAAAAAACAAATCGCCCGTCCAACAATAATATTAATATCATAAATAAAGAACAAATTAAATGAAATGATGACCTGAGCGTGAGTCAACCCACATAGCCTAACATAAATACCGAGCTCAATCCCTTACCTCTTCCGTAGTCAGCGGTAGATAGTAGATGAAAGGTTTGGCTTTGGTCTTTTTGAAGAGTTCGTCCAAGCCCTTTTCGCTCTTTTGTCTGGTTGGCGTTCTCTGCCGTTCGCGATGTTCTTCGCCGTTCTTCACCGCCTCCTCTGATGTGGATGGGGGATCTGGAGAGATTGGGGCTGCTTCCATTTCTAGTCGAGGCTTTTCGACCGCTTTTTCTGGCTTCACTTTACCGACCTTCTTTTCGATAAACTGAAAAAAGTATTATTATTAATTTGTTCAAATAATTATGTGCCCCTCTCAAAGCCAATTTTAAGGGTTATGGGGCACTGAATTAATTGAAAATTTCATGGGGCACGGAATTACATGAACATGTTATGGGGTACATAATTAATTGAAAAACCTAATATTATTCAAAGCTTACTTCTACTGATTCACTATTCACTTTAGTCAAATTTTCTTAAAATTACAGTAGTTTTATTCCTCTAAAAATTAAACGTCCTACATTTTTCCAAAACCCAGTATCAAGTTTGTATTTTACACAAAATTACCCTGTCTTCCGAGCAAAAATCGACCAGTAAACAGTCCGGATTCCCTGTTGGCCAAATCACACTGTGCAGTTCATCTCGGGCTTTTCTTGCTTCTTCTACTGTAGCATACTGTAACAGATAAATTAATTTAAAAAAATTAAAATGTTATTAATTTTTACTATACCAAAAACGTATTTTAGGCATTAAGATAAACACTTATTGACAAGGCCTTGTCAGAGTTGCAAGGAATTCATAGAAACAACAAAAAACCTTATTTTTTAGCTTTTATTAAGCTTTAAGAACCTTTAAAAGATTTTAAATTTCAATTTTTCAAAACAAAAACTAAAAATTTTGTAAAACATACCTTGACAATACAATTTGACTTGATAGTGTCGATCCAGAAGTCTTCATTTTCGTCAAATTCTCCAAATTTCTTCAACAAACTTATCAGTCCTTTGTTAGTGAATGGTCGTCGAAGTCTGTGTACGTGGATAAACACGTCTTCTTCATGCCTAAAAGCAAGATAATTTTTCTAAATTTTATAATTCAGAGCCACAAGTACACATAAAACTTTGAAGAAACTTCTTTACGTGAAAAATCGAAAAAAAACAGAAAATTTTTTTTCGGCATCTTTAGCAAAGTCCCTGTCTAAAACAAAATAAAGTATCCATCAAACACAGCGCTTTCAACCGCTTACTTTGCCGGAGAAACTGGAGACACCCTGACCAATCCGAGCTCAGTGGTTTCCTTCTTCGATTCCTTATCAGCATTGGAGATCTTCTTTAGGAAATCAAAGCGATCTTCCACATACGGCTTCTTTTCCTTTGGTTCTTCGTCTTTCGCATCTGGCTTTTTGCTTACTGAAGATCTACGTTCGCTTTTTTTGTTCTTCCCTTGCTTCTGCCTATAATAACATAGAGATTAGCACAAACGTCACTATAGTAATTCAGTTTTTTTTTTCAAATACATATTATCCTTAACACCAATATCTCAGCTCAGTATGTTTAATATACAATTTGTTTGAAAAAAAAAAAAAAAAAAATCAAAAATAAGACCAAGTCTAATACAATATAATAATTTCAGCAAAAATTCTATACAAACCTAAATTTTCAAAAAAAAGATAAGCAAAGCACATTAAAAACAGTGCCATACTCTTAAAAATAACCATAAAAGTGAGCGATCAACACTAAAACAGTCTCCAAGAACTTTTTCAATAAAAAACGACATAAACGTCTACTATAATATAGTAAAAATAATATAGATGTCTACACCTACCTTTGCTTCCTCCTCATAATCAAGCTCCAGATAATCTCCATCCCCAGCTTCTCCAGATGCTTTAGTAGAAGAAGATCTCTTCCTTTTATTTTCATTCTTGGTATCTTCATCATCATACTCGACTCGAACTTCCGATTCAGCTGATGGTTCGTGGTCACAAACTTCTGACTTCTCCTAAAGTAATAATTCACTTTATAATCCTTAAGATTGTTTTATAGCCTTAAAAACCATTTTCATAAGCAAAACATCCTAAAAATTAAAAGAAGAACTAAAGCAACATACCCTTTCTGGTTCTTCCGCTGACTCTTCGTCCTCTTTTTCAACTTCTAAATCGATTTCTGGAACTGTCTGTTCTTCTTCCTTTGCGGGTTCAGAAGCCTTTACTTCTTGATCAACTGAGTCTGCTTCAACTTTTTCTTGCGTATCTTCTTCAACAATCTCTGACGACTTTTCATTTTCTTTAACTGGAGATTTAGCCTGTTTTGCGACTGGTTCTGGCAAGTTTTCCTCTTCCCCAGAAGATTTATCTTCATCCACAACATCAGAAGCTGCTTTGCTATCTTCTACTCGTTCTTCTGGTTCCTCTGCCACTTTACTTTCACTTTCCGCTTCTTTTTCTTGATCGTCTACATCTTCTGGTATACTTTCTTGAATGTCTTCCGCTTTAGAATGATCTTCATCAGCTGAAAGTTCCAGATTTCCCTTTTCTGGCGACTTCTGAGGTGATTCTGAACCCTGTTTAGATGGCGACATCTCGGTGCTCTGTTCTCGAATAAGTTGAGCTTCTCGTGTCGCCGATTCCAAAGCTGCTTGTTGTTTCTCTCTGTACTTGGCTACTATACTATTCACTGGACTTTTCTGAAAGAAAACAATATTTCATTCCAACAATATAAGTTTTGATAACGCTTAAAAATAGAAAGATAAGTGCTAAAGGATGTCATAAACACTAAATTAAAAACAAAATCCACAAAAATATGTTATTCATGAAGAAAACCTTCTCTGAAATCTCAACACATTTGTAAAACAATACGAAAACTTCAAGTCTTTTTTGACACGAGGCAAAAACACATATTTGTCAAAACAAAATGCCAATTTTTATGCAGATTTTACGAAAAAATTAAAATATAATAATTTTTAAAAAAGTTATCCAAATTTTCGTGGCGAAACAAACGTTGAAACTTCTTTTCGTGGCAAACAAATTCAGAATCAACCTGAATTCTGTTTCTAAAGCTAGATCATGTAAAACAGTAAGTTATTTTGTAAACTTTATCTTCAGTCTGTGTTCTTGCCGTTGTGAAAATTAAAATATTGTTGTATAAGTTCGTAGCAAAAATTTTTTGAAAAAATTGATGTTTTGATCTAGTCATACCGCTCTAAATCTACTATTTAAGTAAAAAAAAGACAATTTGTTATGTTCTTTACAAAGTATTGTAGTTTATTCCTCAAAATTCCACCTAAACTCGAGACAAAAAGGCAAAGAACTTACAGTTGGACTAGAAGGTGCTGGAGGTTCTTCTGACTTGGTCTCATCTTCCTCTAAATTCTTTCTCAACCTCTCCACTAACTCTTTCTTAACACCAGCTTTACTCAATCCTCTGTTTTCCAATTCTTTTCTCAAATCTACGACCTTTAAGGTGCTTAACGGTACTCCATTCACTAAAGGATCATCGGACATCTTTGTTCTGAAGAAAATAGCTTTATTTGGTAAATTATGTCGAGATATATGTAAGAAAAACGTTCAAGGGTCTGTCAAAAGCTTATTTGTTGCTTATGCAAGCAATAATGAGGGCATTTATAGCTGATTTGATCAAGGAATTAGTGACTACATCAATTAAGTGTTTTAATCGTTTAAAAAATTTCAAGTCAAAGATTAATTTCAAACACATTATGTTAATTAATATTAAGACATTGCTTAACTGTATGTTGCTAAAGAGTTCTAATTGAAGTACACATTAATTTAAAGCTTCAAACTTTGTTACATTGTTACAACAACCAAGCTAACAAAAAACAGCTTTACTATCAAAAACATACATTTTTTAACCCAAAAATTATTTCAAATGATAGCTAAAATTCCGCGTAAAGTTAGTTAGTTCTACTCGCTGAAAATTCCCTCCAAATATTCTTCATTTTTGTTGAAATTCGCGAAAAGAACGCATTTTATTATTGACTATACCCCGAAACGGCTTTTGGCAGCGCAAGAAGTCTTGGCGTTTCGTTTTAATTTATTTGCATCGTCACCAATTCTCGAAAATTGTTGTTGGGTTTGTTTAACAATTGATGTAAGGCTTGTAATTAGTTTTATTTTATAGTATTTTAGAGTCTTTCATAGCTGTTTTAGAGTTTCAGCCATTTTTAATAGCTTTACTTGTGATATTGACATTTGTTATGCTTTTTATATGTTTTAGCACAACAATATACATCTTTTCTTTTCAGAAACAATGAGTTTGGTTACCGATTGCAAGTCTGACGCTGAATTTACTTCTTTCTTGGTAAAGGCCGAAGCCACACCGGTGATAGCGGACTTCTATGCTACATGGTATGTTTTTACTGTTCTTTCTTGAATTTTAGGTAAAGCAGGCTTACTGAAAGAGGTATTTGTAGGTGTGGGCCATGCAACTTGATTGCACCAACATTTAGAGATTTGGCTCAGAAGTACACTCAAGTCAAGTTTGTGAAGGCTGATGTTGATCATTGTATTCAGGCCAAGGAAAAGTTTCAAATCCAAGCTATGCCTACGTTCGTGGCCATTATTAATGGGTAAGTTTTTATTTTATTATTTGTTTCGAAATGCGGGGATTTAGGTATGATTTTTAGGTTTTTTTTGATTATTTGGTGCGATGTTGAATATCACTTTATTATTTTTTTAATTTTGATTATGGTGAACAGAGTTATATGAAAATTTGAGCGATTGTAGAGGAGTATTTGAGCTACCTTATGCATTCTTTTGTATAAGTTATTAAAAACTGTGTGTTGAGATATGTTACTCCGACCAAACACCTTAATTTAGATAATAGTTTGGCCTAAAACTGCACAACAGTGCAAAAATTTCATGCATATATGTGTTAGCATTATCAAAAAAGAATCTTTTTAGACAAAGAATGGACACAATTAAAGGAGGTGACCCCAACAGACTTCACGATTTTGTTCAAAAATGGGCCGAAAAGGCTGCTCCATTGAGTCCATGTCCAGTAGCTGGTCAAACTGATTTGACAACTTTTTTGGACAAACAAGGCATTGAGTGCTTGAATGAAGATGACAGCCAGAACATTCAGGCTATGTTGGCTGGAAGATCGGAGTTGAGGTCGGATTGTGATGAACAACTTATCATCAATATACCATTCATTACTCCAGTCAAGGTTCACTCGATTGAAATTAAGGGAAAAGGTAAGTGGGCTGGTTTTGGTTGTCAATGGGTTTTTAGGGGTATTTTAGAGGTTTTTTATTTTTCAAACTTGTTTTATCAATTTCAGGAGATCACGCTCCAAAAGACGTTAAGATCTTTGCCAACGTTCCTCACACTATTGACTTCGACAAAGCTCAAAGTGCCGAACCAATCCAAACCCTGAACTTTGTGGATGACCAAGTTCAGAGCTTGAAGTTTGTCAAATTCCAGAATGTGAAGAATATTCAATTGTTCATTGCCAACAACAAAGGTGATGAAGATGTCACTATCATCGAAGATATCCGACTTTATGGTTCAGCCGTGGGCCAAACTCAAATGCAAGATTTCAAGCGGGTAGGTACTTCTAAATAGCCGAGATTGTATTATAATGTAGCTACTACTTTGTGATATTTTGGGCGGATTTTTTTTGTTAATAGGGAGTGTTTTTTGAATTTTTGTAAAGTAAAAATGTTAATTTTAAAACATTGTGAAAGAAGCCCAATATACTATTTTAGGTAACAAAAGTGACTAAATCACGAAATTTTTCAATTTCAGGTATCCGGAAAGGTTGGAGAAGCCGGCCATTAAGTATCATAATGTTCTCAATCCCATCTGTCAACGAGGTTCTAAATTTATTTTGTTCTCACATTTTGTGAATGTATCTAAATAAATAATTAAGTATTTGATTGGAATCTTGCCGGAACATGTTGTCAGTACAGTAAATATCTTTAATTTTGTTTAAGTTTGATTTAAAATTATTTTTAAGATTGATTTATATTTAGGTGAAAAATTGATTATTATATGATTTTAGGTACAATATTAGGTATAGATAAGTAAGTACAGAGAAAACTGGGTCAAGATGGATGTGGAAAGGTTAATGAAAGACTTGACGGTGGAGCAGTTATCAGAAATCTATACTTCTTTAAGGTAAATTTTTGAAAATTGTAGTTTGACTTATCAAAATTTTAAAAATTGTGTTTTATCATCTGTAACTTTTTAAAAATGGCGTTTGAACGAAACTAGCTAAAATTGATGTTTCATTTGCTCTTGGGATGCTGAAGATCGTCTTAAAATAAAAAAATTAAAATCATTCTAAAAATCAAAACTTTAGTAAAGAGATAGAAACAAAGAAAGAAGAGCTTCGGCAGATGGTCGGACGTCGTTATCGTGACGTTCTGGAAGCCTCAAATACGGTAAAACGTTTGAATGAGCTGTCGGATGCGATAGTAAGACAATTGGGTGAGACCCGAACAGTGTTGGCACCATTCGAAAAACGACCAGTCGGGTTGGAACAGTCCAAAGCCAAGCGACTGACTACGCAAAGGTTTATTCTACTCAACGCTGTAACTCCATTGGTAAGGAGTTTGATTTATTTAAATTTGATTAAAAAGTGGTTTTTTGATGGTCAAAAAGTTTATGGAATATTCGAAGTTATTTTTAAGGTCAAAAAGTTTATAGAATTTGGATAAAGTTAGGCTTTAATCTTATGGTTCTGGGAAAAAATCTAAAAATGTGTCATCTCAAAGAGCAAATCGACCATTTATTAGTCGCTTCGCAGGGAAGAAACGACCGGTATAATTTCTCCGGCTTTTTGAACGTACGATCTAACTCTGACTTCAATGAAGCCGAGTTTCGAACCGAAACGCCTTCGAAACCGGACAACGCGCCAAGCGGGGTTTGAACTTGTCATTTCTAGCGCGTGAGGCAAAGAAAAGAACCACTCGGTCATGCGAACACGAGTGGGGAAGGGCAATGTTTTTGACTCTAACTTTAAGGGAGAGACAGAAGTAGGCTAGTAAATCGTTAATAAGAGTTTTTTGACATAAATTTGGAAAGTCAATTACTTTACTTAAAAAAAAATTAAATTTATAACATATTTTAAAAAATTCATATTTTTTTAATTTTAATTTTCAGTTAGACGAACCGATCAATGGCATAACAGACGTGTTTATATTGTTATTGGCCGAATGTCTTCAAAGATCAATCGCGTTGGATGGAACAGGATTAAGTCCAGAACTAGAAGTCTTAATTAAAGCCCTGGGAGACCAATTGATTAATCATCGACTCAAATTGAAACAAAGGTTGATGGCAGAACTTGGTGACATAACAGAATGGACGAGTTTGGCTGGTCAACTGGTCGGAATCGGAATGCTGAATCAGACAAGCCCCGAGGCTTTGATGAAAAGTTATTTGGAGGCTAGATTGGTGGGTTTAAGGGCTTTAAAATTTTGTTTAAAAAACTTTTTTAAAAATTTCAAATTGAAAAATATGTAAAATGGTAGTAAGATTGGTGAAAGCTAAGTAATATAATTTTAGCTAGCTATTACTGGAACCCTAGAATCCTCAACTTTGATCGGAATCATTGGTCAAATCAAAGAGACGACAGAAGTCATGGATAAGGTGTTTGGAAGTGGAAAAGGGCTATATTTGTGCTTTAATACTGTCACAAAGCCTGGATGGTGCCCAGGTTTGTAATTAGCCGAATTTTATAAAATACGCAAGAATTTTTTACATTATTAACGTAATTCTTTATTAGGTTTTTCAAATAATTCTGTGCTTCCTAACCCTTAAAATTTGCTTTGAGGAGGGACACATAATTATTTGAACAACCTATTATTAATATTTTTTATTACCTGGTCATGTTCAGTTAATCATAAAAGCTTCAACTATGATGTCATTCCAGATATCATCCGCACAACAGTCAACGACCAGCTTAGTATTCACACCAGACTATTTGAAACTGAACTGACCAAAGCCAACCGATCATATCGAACAGAATTCACTCAGGTACCAGCTGATCAAGTGGTACAAGCCGTAGCCCAATGGACCGAAAATTTGTGTTCAGAAGCCAAGGAAAATGTCTCAAAGATTGCGAGATTCTTTGAAAGAACCGACGAACTGGTCGATTTTGTGCTGGCTGCCAACGAACTTTTCAGAAATGTAAGGGTAATACATATATCATGATGAGATATATAACCTCTTAACGTTGACTTTGGCTTTGCTCTAGACCTAATTTTGAGCTTGAAGAGGAGAAAGAGGAGGAAGGACCAAAGCCTGGACTTTAAATTTGTGATCTCTAGCTTATATTATCAGTAATTTACTTTGCTTATGAAGTTTTGAGGTCTAATTCACAAATAATTCCAAAAATTTCAGGAATGGCCAGGAGTAGAAAACCCTCGCCTCATTTACCGTCGTTTATTTGGCGAAGCCCTATTCCAACGATTCGCTGTGCTGATTGGAAGTGAAATAAAGGAAATGGAATCGGAATTGGTCGATAGAATACCTAAAGTTAACTGCAATCCACCACCATTGTTTCACAAAAGAGCCACCAAGTTTGATGGCTTATTGGCTAGTGGCGTTTCACAGGAATTGAATGCGTAAGGGTTTATTGGGTTGTTCACGTAATTCTGGGCTCTCTAACTCTGAAAATTTGATTTGAGGGCGTAGAATTATTTGAACAACCTGATATTTTATAATTTAGGTTTAGATAAGGAATAGTATAATTTCGAATAAATTAAGAAAAAATAGGTGAAAAAAAATTTTTAAATTTAATTTTTCAAAATATTTTTTTTAATTTTTAAAATTTTTTAGAGTCGTTCAAAAGTTCTTCGAACGCCTCCGGAACCTGAACCACAGAACGAATAAGTACATCCAATTGGGACACGAAGAAAATGTAGAAGAATTGAGAAAGTTCATTGTAAAAGAAGTTATTGCGTTCTTGAAAAGGTGATTTTAAATTTCGGTTAAGCGTCATTTAAAGGCAATTTACATTTCAAATTTTGATTAAAAAATCAATTTTTTTATAGTAGGATTTTCAAATAATTCTGTGCCTTCTAATTTTTAAAATTTGCTTTGAAAGGGGCACACAATTATTTGAATAACATAATATTTTTTACGCCATTATTTATAGGACCTATGACATTACTTGAAAAACCTAATACTTTTTTTTTCATTTTCAGAATCACAGAGAAGCATTCAGAAGAAATCGCAAATCGTGACTTGTCAGTAGCCGTCCTTCCATCAGACGAAAATCAACGATGGCTAAAGGAATTTAGATTGTATTTGGCATTAGTACAGTTTGAACCATCAATCATCAGTCAGTGTATGGGTGATGACACGGAATCAGCTGTTGAAGCCAACAAGGTACTACATCAGGCGGCTGAGACTGCATTATGGTAAGGGATTGCGTTGGAGTTGGAAGCGAAAATTTTTTAGAATTATGTTAATATTGGGTTGTTAAAATAATTCTGTACTTTATGAAATTGGCTTTATGTGGTTAAGGAACACAGAATCATGTGAACAACATAATAGCAAGATTTCAGTTAGATTTTTTGGTTCTTTTGAAGATTTTTCATTGGAAACTCAATTTTTTGGACTTTTTATAGCTTTTTTAATACTGATAACGATAACATAGAGTATGAAAATTAATGTTTTATGAAATTTGGGTTAAAAAGGAATGTTTTCAGCCATTTGATGGACTATATAATAGACGAAGCAGTACAAGACACTGAGTTGAACAAGTTGAAAGAAAGTTGTGAAGTTGCCTTCAAGTTTGTGGACTATGTTCAGGTATGATCACATTCTTATTCTTGTCTTCTGTTTATTCCACTGTTGTTATCTTGTATATTTACTGTAGCTTAAGAGTAGTTTTTTTATTCTGGACTTACTCGACCCTGTGGTTACTCTGCTCTGATCTTTTCCTTGGTCTTACTCTACTCTTACTCTATGTTTTTCTTCTCTGCCCTCTGGCCTTATAGCTGTCTGACTCTAACTGCTTTTACTCATGTTTTTCTTGACATATTTTACATTGCTGTTATATATAAATTGTATAGTAAGAAGTAAATGTATACCGTTCAATAAAATACTTTCAGAATTGCGAAAGAATCCCCCTAGGAACAGTCGAAAAACCAAAGAAAGAAGAACCAAAACAAGTTGAAGTAGATCTAAACGAAGAAAACGGTGAGAAACCGGAAGAAATAAAGCTTGAGCAACCAGCAAAGGAAGAAAAGGAAGTTGAAACAGACGTTCAAGCTTTTATTGAAGTGCCAACTCAAATCAATAGGTAAGGCAATGATAATGTTGAATTATCAAAGCGAGAAAAGTTTTAATGAGTAATAGAAAATATATTACGTATATATTTATAAGCATTAAGGTCTGTGTGTACGTCTCTGGGTGGTTAGAGGTTATGTATAACATTTCTGGGTAGATTATAGAGGTTATGTGGGAAGGTGTTATATTGTAGTAGTTACAAGTTGATAACAAAGCAAGTTTTACTCGTTTTATGCCCAAATTTGTAATGGAATTGAGTGTTTTCTATCTTCCATGTATGACTTGAGCTGTGCCATAATCTTTTCATCGGTCATCCTGTTTTGGGCTCTCCATTCTTGACCTTGCTCGGCTATGATTAATAGCACTTCATAAGGTGACATAGGTTGTGGACTGAAAGGATGAAAAGGGTAATATAAAATATTTCACAGTGGAAAGACGAGTACTAACCTAATAATATATAGTTTGTTGTTTAGCTCAGAGCTTTTTGAACAACCAAATAGTTTTTGCTATAGTGTGTTTCTTAGGTTCAATTAGTGACTATAGCACTATACTGTTCGCCATAGCTGTTTTTTCTTTAGCAAATGTTTAGTAAAGACAGTATTAGGTGCCAACATAACGAACCCACAATTTTTTACAGGAATTTACAGGCAAAGTATGGCGGGTTCTTTATGTCGGCACCTAATATAATGTCGTTAAGCAAGGTGAGTAGCAAAGTTTATCGTAAACTTACATGTAGTCTCCTACAGGTTCTATTGTGGAGTTTTCGTCTTCAGAAGTGTCCGCAGAGTGTGAGGTATGGTTGTTGGGACTAACAGTAGCAATAGGTCGGGCACTTTTGTGTTGTACTTTTGCTGTTTTTCTAATAGGACGAAGAGCCTTTTTGTTGTAACGAAGACGGTGGCTATATACTGGACGTAAGACTCGTCTTCCATACCTAACAGTGCTGTTGTTTTGACGTCTTTTCAAAATATTTTGGAAGTTGTTGAACCGATGGCTTTTTCTAATATATCTGGTAGTTTTGGTCTTATAGTTGTTGGTATTGGTCGAGCTTTTGTATAGGCGATATCTTAACGTTTTGGAAATTCGATTGTTTGTTGGTCGCCGGGACAAAATGTTGATCTTGGACAGTCTATCCATGGTATACTTTACTCTTTGCTGGTAGAGTACTTAAAGTTACTGTGAAACACGGTATATTGAAGTATACTATTAGTGCGTCTAGAAGTAACAATCCGCGTTTTTTACTACAAATTTGACGAAGGCTAGCTAAAAAACATCGACAAAGGCAATATTTATTTAATAATTACTATCGTCAATAACGACTTTTTTATCAATTACTGGGCAATTTTTCGATATCATCGGGAAAAAGTTAATAAATAAGTTATAAAACCCAAAAAAATGATAAAAACTGAGCTTGCGCACCGATCGAAAGACTAAAATAAGATACTAAATGAATGTGTAGACTCTAACATAGGTTTGGTTTACATTTACCAACGCGCACACAGCTTTAAACTTTGACACACTAAATGAATGTGTAGGATGTCTAAGATAAGTTCGATTTACATTTATTAACGCGCACAAAACTTTAATCTAGCAGTGAAAGGGGAATATGTTAACTTAAGCGTTGTTTTTTTTTATTTTTACGTCATATGTTATTTATATTAGCAATGAGTGTTATAAAACAAAAAACATGTCTAAGAAACACAGAAAAAAAAATAAACAAGATTAAAGTACAGTATCTTTATTTAAAATCTTTGAATAATTTCAATTTTATAGTATAAAATTAATAAATAAAGCAATGTCTTATTATATTAGGTTGTCAAGAAGTTATTTTGAAAACCTATAAACAATTGAATTTATGCCAATCTTTAAAAAATTGTCTTTTAGCTAGGGTTGGTCGCAGGGCAGGGCACTGGCTTAGTAACAGGGCATTTTTGATTTTTTTTGGCGTGCTTTTTCTTTAAATTTTTTTGATTAAGTCTAAAAACGCAAAAATTTTTAGAAATGGGTTTTAAACAATGTTAATCTATTTTACTTTGTTATTGTCCTGATAACGATTACAGTTTTCAAGATATGAGTTTGGCGGAAAAACGAAATTCAAAAATGCCCTGTTGAAATGCCCTGCCCTGCGTCCAATCCTGCTTTTAGCTCAGAACTTTCCGGACAATCTAATAGTAAACAACGTACGGAGTTTTGTGTTGGTCACAATGTGTAGTTGTTTTAGTAAACTTAAGATGGCCTTTTTTTATTGTATTTGATGTCTGTTGCATTAGCTTGCCCACTCAGAGAGCCCATTGTTTATTTTTTTTTGTCGGTCAGATTAAAGGCTAAGCTAACTAAAACATTGCAAAATACGTTTTAATTTTGCCATTTCAGACAACTCTTCGCCTTCCTGTACGCAATATGTCGTCGAATTTCTCAAAATTCATTTGGCCATTTATTCACGAGAAACGTATCTGTTCATGTCTCCACCCGACTGGCAGAAATCATTTCTACCCTACTCAAGGACTCGGTAAATGCAGTTCCAGAACATACGACTCTCGTACTAACTCAACTCCTCTTTGACTCAAGAACGATGGCTCAAATGTTCCCAACTAAAAGGTTCGTCCAAGTAGTCGAGGTGATCAAGAACAAGATGGATGTGGTCGATTGGAAGTTGGTGGATGAACCGGTGGCTAGAAATGCGAGGGCTGCGGTCAAAAGAAGCGCGGTAATTGTTTTTGGGTTACTGTAGGGTTAGGAAGGAAAGTATGGTTCTGGGTAGATTTGAAAGAGGGCCCACTCGGTCTGGCCTGGTTCGGCCTTTTTACGGGTCTGTTTTGGAGTTTGGAGCAGGTTGATTAGCTTTAAAAAAACCTAGTAGAATTGAAAAATTAGAATTGATTCAAAATGAATGGCGCCTAAAAATGAATTGAAAATCAAAATCCACGTTTCAGATGCTGTTTGGCCAACTCCAAACCGATCCTCCAACCGGCTCAATCTCGTCGAAAGACGCTTCTCAACAATCAGTCATTGACGTGCTGCCGAGAATTGAAGGCGCTCAAAGAATACCAGCTATTCCACGCCTCAGCAAGATCAAGGAAGAGGAGAAGAAGGCCAAGCTAAAGGCCAAACAAGCGGCCGAAGCCAAGCGACAAAACCCCGAAAAGAATATTAACCTGGGCGGTATTTTCGATTACTTTATGAAGAATTGAGGCCTAGAGATTTCATTGTAAACCAATAAAATCTCTATAGCTTTTAAAATATTAAAAATGACAAAAGTTGTGATATATTGTAATATGGGTGATTTGTGTTTGATACAAAGACTAGTTTTGTAGCAATATTAACTTATTTATTTATTAAATTAACAATAAAGCTTTATTTTGTTGGACAATTGTGTTTTTGCTGATGATATGGTTGTATATATATGGTAGATAATTACTGGCAAAGTTGAAAAAGTATATCCGAGACGTCTCGAGAGGAAAAGGCTCGTCAGAAACCGGTAACTTTAATTATTAAAGGCAAAATTTAATAAATTAAGCAGTTAAAAACATGTTAACTATAAAATTTAAATACATTGTACATTAAGTTTTATAATGTTTTGTTACTACTTTGTTACTACAGTAATCGACAATATACAAATTAAGAGAAACAGTTGACATGCTTTGTCTAGACAAGTCAACTTTTTCTTTTTTCCTAAAATTCGTCGAAAATTATTTTTATTTTACAAATTTCGATTTTTTTCAAGTATTTTTTTAATTTTAACACCAATGTAATTCAAAACAATGTTACTATAGACTTTTTATTTCTAGGTTTGGGAGAAAATGACAACCGAAACCCTCGACCTTGGCCAATCTTTGGATTTTCAGCCGAAATTCGAAAAAGACGGCGAAATGATAGTTGTTGGTAAAACTATGTTAAATCCAGTGCTACCTGAATTAACTAATGAGTTTTTAACATGGAAAAAGGAGTTTTGGGTTAAAATGTTAAAGGAGAAAGGCATCAAAAACATAGTGGCACCGATGGTTGATCAAAGGTAAGATTTCTGGTTTTATTGTTGGTTTTTAGGTAGTTATCATTGGATTTTTATGTTTTATAGATAGTAGAAAGGATTGTGAAAGTTTAAATATTGAAATTAAATGAGTTGTTTTGCTAAAGAATTTTTTGCAACGTTTTTTGGAGGTACATCAGATTGGGTGTGTAATGTAACATGCATGCATTTAGTCATATCTTAGCTAAAAAGCGTTTTAGAAACACAAAGTTATGTTTGATATTTAAATATTGGTCCATTATAACTTACTTTTTAGTGAATTAGCTTTCCGAGTGCTCTTGAGACGTCACGGAGCTCATTTATGTTACACACCCATGATTCACGCTCATTTATTTGTAACTAACTTTACTTATCGTCGACAAGCTTTATCAACTATACCATCCGATCGACCTTTAATAGTACAGTTTTGTGCTAATGATCCTGACATATTCTTGGATGCTTGTCGTTTAGTTGAAGGGTATTGTGATGGAGTAGATCTTAACCTTGGGTGTCCTCAAATCGTCGCAAAACGTGGTCAATATGGAAGTTTTCTTCAAGAGAAGCCCGATTTGATTCGAAAGATGATAGAGAAGGTTCATAAACATTGTAGACTACCATTGTCTGTCAAGATACGATGCCTAGAGACGGTGGAAAGGACGTTAGAGTATGCGAAGCTATGTGAAGATGCTGGAGCTTGTATGTTGACGATTCATGGCAGGAGAAGAGATCAAAGAGGCGTCGAAACGGGTGTGGCAGATTGGGAAAAGATCAGAGCTGTGGTGGAGCATTTGAGTATACCTGTAATAGCTAATGGTAACATTCAGATGCCAGGTGATGTTGAGAAGTGTATCGAGAAGACAGGAGCAGTAGCTGTTATGAGTGCCGAAGGTATTTTAAGTAATCCATTGCTGTTTGAAGGTATTATACGACCTGGCTTTGATGTGGCTAAAGAGTATTTGGAATTGGCTGAACGATACAAAGCTTCTACTGCGACTATTCGAGCACATGTGTTTAGGATGTGTCATTATAGGTATGTTAACATTGATTTTAATGGTTTGAAATGGTTTTTAAGGAATTTTTTGTCGTTCTTTTTTTTTAAAATAAGGTTCGAACCTTATTTTTTTATATAAAAGTGTGCCTTTTTAACCATTTTAAAGCCAACTATTATAGTATTTTAATCAAAAATGGCACATTTCAGCTTCCTAAAGTATCCAGACCTCAGAGAACGGAACTCATACGTAATATCATTGGATGAATTTAAGTCAGTCGTGAATGATTTAGAGAAAAGATGTCGGGAAGAGAATACTATAGACCCTTATGATGTTAAACTGGTCGATTTGGCTTTACCGTTTCCAGAAATGGTATGTTATTGTAGACTATATCGTGGTAGGGTAATACGATATGAAAAAAAAAATTTTTTTGATTTTACAAAGTTTTGGATTAGAAAAAACTTAAAAATGATCGTTTTTAGGTAGCATCCATTCCCTACTATCTCTGTAAGCCTTATGTCAGAGCTACACAATCGTTGGAGCCAGTGGAGAAAGACTTCAGAATCCAACGCAAAGTGGAAATGGCCAAGATTCAAAACGAGACAGGTCTCTCCTTCAGACAGATCAGGAAACGAGAACGGAGAAGAATTGACATGAAGAAGGAGTTCTCAAGGAAGTGCGCATTCCCTGTGTGCAAACGATGCAACCAACCGGCTGGCGTTGGGTGCGAAAATGAAATGTGCCGAAAGTGCTGCAGATTCGTTTGTGTTCGGAATGGCAAACTTTGCAAAGGTAGGTTTTGAGTTGAAAAAAAATTTTAATTTTGTGCAGTTGATAAATTAATATAGGTTTTGTTATCATTATAGTTAAAGCGGTCCAAAATTGCTAGCTTAAACACAAGAAGAATATAAATATGATATTACTGTTAATATTAGGTGGTATAAATAATTCTGTGCCTCTCAGCAACGAAGACGTGCGATTTATTGGGTGTTTCAAATATGAATGAGCCTTTCAATACATATCTTATAAATATATTACGTTGTTTAAATAATTCTGTGCCCTTAATCCCAAAAGTTGGCTTTGCGAGAGGGCACTTAATTATATGAAATAATATTCAGAACAAATTTTGGGCTAACAAGGAAGGTACCCGGCCTGCAACGCTCAGATTTTGTTCAAATTTTTTGAGTTGAAACATCATGTAAATGTAAGACCATATACAAAATTCTAAGTTGCGGTTTGCGGCCAGTCTTGAGAAAATCGAGATCAAAAAATTGCGTTTTGAATTTCTCGCCAAATTGGCATAGTGTTTCAAGCTTTTAACTTTGTCATTTTTTGACTTTTGACAAATTTTCTTTAATATAATGTTAGAAAAGCTTCAAATAAAGCTACAATTTGAAATTTGTAGGCTTATCTTATCTGGAACATCAAAAAAGTTCTTGCAACCGATGCTAAATTTGCCAAATTGGCGGGAAATTTAAATATATTAATTTTAAAACTTAAAACCGCAAGTTAAGATTTTTTATATGTGCTACTGATACTACAAAGAATCCGTATAAAAATTTTGAGTTAATTCTGGGAGTTGCAGGTTGGGTACTTTCCTTGTAAAATACGTTTTTTTCGACCGAAAGATCTGGTTAAACTTCAATTATGTAATTCTCTAGCTGTTTTTGATTATAACTTTTTTTTAACAATGAGTTGAGAACTTGAAACTTTCGGTTTTCATAGAATATTTGTTTGTTCACCTAAATCGATAAAGATTATTTTTAAATTTTTACAATTTTAAAAGTTACAGTAAATATACCATACTCTATATTTTTTAATTTTTTAGCTTTTGGAAAATAAAATAGATTTTTATTAGGTAGTTCAAATAATTCTATGCTCGCTAAATCAGAAAACTTTCTAAGAGGGGGCACAGAATTAATTGAACAATCGAATTATAAAAATTATTATAAAAAAGGTATTGGCTTTTAAAAATGAAATAATAAAGTTTTAATGTTCTTTAATATTATGTTTTTCATTTTCAGCTCATAGGTTTACGATAGAAACTCTGAGAGATCGAAGGGACGCTTACGCTGAACAAATGGGTATAAACAAGGAAGACCTCAAGGCTTCAGATGCTCTTGGGGAAGAACAACACGCAGATACGGCCATAGAAGTTGGGGAGTCTTAAACTTGGTGCTTTTGAGGTGATGGTATTCTAATTGATTAAAAATGTTATAATTATATTTTTCAGTAGAGTTAGTTGCTTTTCTTTTCGGTAATGAAAAGTTGGTACTATAGTATTACCTTTATATGTACTTTTATGAAAAATTTTTAAAATTGATTTTTAAATTTTAAAACATATTAGAGCTGAAAACGAGTAATAGTAAAGTTAAGCTACGGTGTTTTTTATAGTTTTAGTAAAACTTTTTTTACTTTTAACTTTAAGTTGACCATTTTTAAAATTTTTGGAATTTAGAGATTTTTGATTAGTCTTATTGGTCTCATTTAGTAGTGAATTTAATGGTTATTGTAAATACATGTTGTTATGAATTTTGTCGATTTTTGAATATAAAACGTTGTTAAGTTTGGTATTTGTAATAAATTTGGATTTTAATAACTTTTTTGGGTATTTTCTGTCAATAAACTATAGATCTAACAAGAAAAGTGTTTGATCTGTCCCACTAGACATGAGAAACGGGCCGGGCCGGCCTTGAGCAAAATTTCGATTGGGCCGAGCCTAACATTCAGGCCCGGCCCATTTCCACGTCATAAAAAATTGGGCCCGGGCTTACCATCGGGGCGGGCCGGGCCGGCCCTGAGTAAAATTCTGATTTTTTTGTGTTAGGCCCGGCCCGTTTCTTATGTCTAGTCTCGCTCTGATTGACTTCAAACTTTTAATATAGGCAAATAGTGTAAATATAAGATCTTCGCCAATTGATAAATTCTTGTAAAGATCACTTTAATTTGTGATTACTCTGTAAAAACTAAAAATACCTAAAGTAAGTTAATCCTGTTAGCTAAACTACATAAATTAAATCCTGTCTCATCAAAACCTTTTGTATTTTATGTGTTCTACCTTCTGTTTACACCATGGAACTAAAAACAGTTTTCGAAAAATAAAGTTGTACTTTTAGATACGTTTTGGCTGATGTTCGAAGCCTTCAAAAAACGTCAAGATCTAATTTCTTCCGGCTTTTTTGATCGAAAACAGAGAAAACCCCTCTTTTTTGTATTTTGTATCTATCATTCGGATCGACTAGAGTTGTTCGGGCTAGTTTATGAAGGGGTTGGAGTTTGGAGTGACCTGTGGGAGCACAAACGTATATAAAGTTACACGTTTTTTTTGCTTTTTCATTGCAAGTTTGTTGTAATTTTCATCATTTTTAGTGTTTTACAGGGTTAAAAATAATTTTTTGAAATTAAATTTAATTTTAGGTGTTCAAATAATTCTGAGCCCCCTATCAAAGCAAATTTTTGGGGTTAGAAGGCACAGAATTTTTTAAACAACCTAATAGTATACTGAATATTATAAAAATAGGTATTTTACTTTATGATAGATATATTTTTTGTCAGCATCTGCTTTTTACTTTTTTAAAAATGGCAGTTAGGCAAGTCGGGTACTGGTAATGTCATGGTTAATATAAATTTAGCGATATCTAAACAACTAATAATTTTTACAAAAAATTCTTTTAAAATACAATATTTACATTATCTTCATTATATAAAAAGATAAAAAGTTGTAAGTAATACATATTTTTAAGGGGGATATATTAAGCTTTGTCATTGTTACTTCGTTGTATGTCATGGTCAATATATTTTGTACTATAACTTAAAAACTGATCATTTTTAGAAAAATTATTTGTTACATAGCTAATTTACAATGGTTGTGAAGCGTATTGAAGCTACTCCAGTCGATGTATCTCTATTGGGAGAGAAGCTGCACTTCAAAACGTCTGGGCGGTATGCCAAAAATCGGTTTATGAAGGTAAAAATTTACTTTTACAGTGTTGTAGGACGTTTATTTTTACTAATATCAAGTTGAAATACCACTTTTTATAATCACTTTAATATTGTTTTTGATTTTTGTTATCATAAACTTCAAAAAACGGTCAAAAAACACAAGAATTTTGGTGTTTTTCACCAACTCCTACTATAATATCAAAAAGTTTTTCAAAAATCAAACCTTATCAACCTTCAGGCAGCCCTCTCCGAATCCCTGGCTACATGGGAACGTGACGATCCACAGAAGACTGGTCTAACAACTCCAAGACTTTTTAATTTGTACGAAAAATGGGGCCATGGAGGGTTTGGAGTGGTGCTAACCGGCAATATTATGATCGATCATAGACATTTGGAGACAGCCGGTAATCATGTTGTTAGTCAGGAAAGCTGGAGTGAGGAGAAGGCCAAATTGTTTAAGTAAGGCTGTTTCTACAATTTTTTTGTTTCTATGACCAAAAGACTTTTTTAGCTTTATTTTAGGTTGTTCAAAAAATTCTGAGCCTTTTACATCGCAAATTTTCAGGGTTAGGGGCTCAGAATTATTTGAACAACAAATTTCTGTAGTTTGAGATTCAGAATTATTTGAACAACAATTTTTTGGGGTTTGGGGCTCAGAATTAATTGAACAACAAATTTCTAGGGTTTGGGGCTCAGAATTATTTAAACAACTCATTTTTTGGGTTTGGGGCGCAGAATTACTTGAAAAGCAAATTTTTGGACTTTGGGGCTCAGAAATATTTGAACAACCAATTTTTCTGGTTTGGAGATCAGAATTAATTGAACAACAAACCTTTGAGATTTGGGGCTCAGAATTATTTGAACAAACTAATAAGTTTGTAAAATTTTAAAGCATACAGCCAAAAATGCCAAAGTTGGCGGGAAAAGTATAATTTGAATTTTTTAAATTTAAAAAATTAAAAAAAATTAATTCAGGCAACTAGCCACTAACATAAAGCAAGACGGCACACTGGCTATTCCTCAAATCGGTCATGCTGGCCGTCAAACACCCGCCTCTGTGAATCCAACTCCACTAGCACCATCTGACGTCCAGCTGAATGTTGGCAAAGGTGGTAACACTTATGGACCTCCAATTGCTATGACCTTGGAACAAATTCAGACCGAAGTAATCGACCGGTTTGTCTTTACTGCGGTAAAACTTCACGAAGCCGGCTTTGATGGGGTTGAAATTCATGGAGCTCATGGATATCTGTTGGCTCAATTTATATCACCGACTACGAATTTGAGAACCGACCGGTATGGTGGAAGTGCCGAGAAGAGAGCTCAGATTCTGGTGGATGTCTACAATGCGATACGGTGAGGTTTTGGGTTGTAGTTGGTATAGAAGGAGGGTTGTAGGAGGTATTGAAGGGCTGTAGGAAATAATAAAAGGTTGTTAGAGATATGGTAAAAAGAAAAAATTTTAATTTGTGATACATTTTTTATAATTGTATCACCTAATCTTCAACATTGTCAAGTTTTTGTTACCTAAACTGTAACATTTTCTCATTTTTATTACCTAAACTTCAAAATTTCAGTGAAAAACTGCCAGCATCGACCGGTTTTGTGATTGGAATCAAATTGAATTCGGTCGAATTTCAAAATCATGGTTTGGGAATTGAAGATGCTATTACTACTGCCAAGATTGTTGATGTAAGCTTTACTCTTATACTTGAGAGCCCTCGTATTTTAAAAAATGAAAAAAACACTTGTATGCATAAAATGATCTATTTGTTTGTTTAAATAATTCTGCGCCCTCTAACCTCGAAAACTTGCTTTGAAAGAGGGCACAGAATTATTTGGACACCTTGAAACTTAATAGTAAATTCCGTATTTTACAACAATTTTCAAAATAATTTGAGAATTACTTCCGTATTTTACAATCCTCTACGACTTATCTTATAACAAGCTCATTTTCCAGGCAACCGGCTTTGATTTCATTGAATTTTCCGGCGGAAACTACGAAAGTTGGCAAATGGACGTAAGTGACTCCACCAAGAAGAGAGAAGGTTTCTTTGTCCAATTCAGTCAAGCCATCAAGCCTCACATTAAACAAGCCGTAGTCTATGTGACAGGCGGCTTCAGGACAGCTCCAGCCATGATTAAGGCTGTAAAAGAAGGCTCGACTGATGGCATTGGCCTAGGACGACCAATAACGGCCGAACCAGATCTACCAGCCAAAATATTAACTGGTCGTGCTCTGTCAGCCTCTTTTAATCCCATGGACACAAACTTTCAACTTGGCCATTGTGTGGCCACATCACAAATGGCACAAGCTGGCGAGTTACCGTATTCCGAATGTGATAACGACCCTGCTTATGGTATCATGGACAATAGTGATCAGAGAGAGCTGGACGAGTTTTACAACGTGTTTGATGGGTACTACAAGGAGAAGATACGACGATTGCTTGAGGAAAATGAGCCTACTCGTGGTGTATTGATCTATAAACCAAAGTTTTTGTAAATGTAAAAATAAGGTGGTAAATGTGCATAATAAAACAAATATAGCATTATGTTACTTCAATTATATTAAACTACATGATAATTTGTTGAAAAAAACTTGTGGTAGACAAATTTTAAACAGTTTTTAAAAACATTTGTATATTAACCTTAAGCTATTATATAAGATATAAAAACCTTTGATTTACATATTTGTGCGGGTTCATAAAACATAAACTTTGCTCTCAAATTACGCCAAGTTTAGTGCGCATTTGGTCTATAAAAGGCCCTGTATTCGTAAGTATCTTCATCTTCAACCATCTCAAACGTAAGTTGGATTTCTCAGTTTTTTTTATTTTTATTAATATTAGTCTTCTGTATAGCAAACTCTTCTACAACGAATTTTAAGTATTACGAACAAATCCCATTCGTTATACGATAATTATACTGTATACACAATTATCTACAGTGGATATTCCTGTATAACGAATTTTTGGAGGATTCAAAAATTGTTTGCTATGAAGAAGTTTCGGTATCGAGGAGTTTCAAATGCACTGCGTACTTGTAGCCGGGGATTTAAGAGTTGTTCGTTATACAGAAAATTCGTTATAGAGGAGCTCGTTATATTACAAGAGTTCCACTGTATTTATTAATTTTCTAATTTTACTCACAAAATTGTGTTACAAAATATATTGTTACATACCTGAGCTTCTGAAAAATAAGATACACTTTATGAATGTCTCTGAAACGCTTTAAACAGTTTTTCTTGTTTTTAGGCTTCATTTATTACTACAATGACTGTAAAGAACGTTGCCAACTCCCGCATCAGCTCCAAGAGCTTCATCGAGAAGCCTCTGGACGACTTCGTCCGATCTTTTCGTACAACAAGAAATGGCAAAGTTGAAAAGAAGGTTCAGAAACGCCACAATCAATTTGTACCCAGAAGAAACAAAGCTCAACACAAAAGCCAACAACCACTTTTGACTCGTAGAACGACCAAGAACGTCAACATTCCGCAGAAACGGCAGCGATTCAACAAGAATTTTGAAAAGAGAACAGTTCAAAGAAAGAACTATCAAAATGGCAACTTGAAGACTATTGTTATTGTTAAAGATGTGCCAGTTACAAAGCGTTTAGCAAGACAAAGACCGGACCGTTTCGAAAAAAGAACAGAAACACTAAGGACAACCTTCAAGTCAAAGAAGACAGCCAAGCCCAAAATGTCTCGCGAACAACTTGATTCTGAACTGGAGGCATACATGAAAACCTCTACAAAAAATAATTGACCTTTTATCGCTTTTTTCAATAATTGAAGACATTGTTACAATAAATTTTTATAATGTATATCTTGATTTGAAAAAGTTTTATTAGCAGCTAAAATCTACAATATCAACCTAAGAAATTATTTTTAAAAAAGAAAAAACGTCTAAATTTAGACCTTAGAACGAGCAAAGGTAGGCATGGGTAGCTAGTATGTGAAGGAGTAGGCTTGGGTAGGGCTAGAATAAGAAGAGGTATGCTTGGGTAGGGCAAGAATAAGCAAGAGTAGGCTTGAGTAAGGCTAGGATGCACAGGGGCAAGTTTAGGTAGAGTTAAAATGGGCGTGGAGGCTTAAGTAAATCTAGAAAGAGTTCATTTTTGAATTTACATTTAGCGTCCCCTATTCAGTAAGGTGATCCATTTTTTAGAGTCATTTATTCTCAAAAACGGCCAGAACGGCCAAGGTTACAAGGAAAGTACCCGACCTGCCCCGCTCTGATTGACTTCAAACTTTTTACATGGAAAGATCATGTAAGTATAAGATATTTATTAAAGTACTAAATCACGCTTTCTAGGAAATCTCGAGAAAATCGAGATCAAAAAATTACGTTTTGAATTTTCCGGAATTTGGCATTGTGTTTCAAGCTTATAACTTTGCATTTTTATACTTTAAATCATTTTTCTTTGATATACTAGTAGAATACCTTTAAATGAACCTACATTTTTAAATTTGTAAGCGTAGCTTGACTGGAAAGCCGAAAAAAGTGCTTGAAACACAATGCCAAATTTGTCAAATTGGCGGGAAAACAAAATAATTCAAATTTAAAACTTAAAAGCGCGAGCTAGAATTTTTTATAGGTTGTATTGGTAGTACAAGGAATTCATATAAAAATTTTGAACTGATTCTGAGCGGGGCAGGTAGAATACTCTCCTTGTTATAATATTTATTTTTCTTTGAGGTCTACGTCCATAAAAAAGTGCAAAATATAGTTCATAGGCATTGTGTTCCACATAGTAAATTGGATCCTAAATATCACAAATTTTGTTTATCAAAGTAAACTTGTGGAAGTTTAAAAACGTCACTTTTCAATAAGGGTTGGTATGTTCTGACTGACTACAAAATTCCATTTAAAGTTTGAAAAGTTGTAATCATTTGCGCAAACCTTAGAGCATGCACAATACAAAAACTGCAAAAAGATTACTAACTTGTTACACTAAACAAAACCATCGCAAAATGTTTAAGTTCAAACTCAAAACTTTACATTAGCCTTAAGACTTATAAAACGACAAATGTTTGGCCCAAAAGCTTTTAACTTCATAATTATGCTGATATTTTGTTGTAAAATTCAAAACGCACCCAAATAATACAAAAAAGATAAGACTTTGCGATAAGCACTCGCCCACTACAACATAGAGAGTTATCAGTCATATGTTCTCATCTCAACATAAAGCACAATCGATGTGATGATATTGTGTGTAATATAAAAAGAAGTCGGTTCTTTGGTAAAACCACATTGTTTCATTTGTTGAAAGTTTTTTGAGTGCTGTTCATAAGTTAAAATATTTATGGTTGTGAAAAGATTTGAAGTTCCTGAACCTGTAGATGTAGCCATACTGGGAGAAGAGCTTAAGTTTAGAACCTCTGGACGTGTAGCCAGGAATCGGTTTATGAAGGTAAGGTTTATTGGCTTGCTTTTGTAATAATGAACTTGAAACAATATAGCTTTAACTAATCTTTACCTGGTTTAATCCACACTTTTTATATATAAAGATTACGTAGATTTAACCCCTGCGGCAAATTACTAAATTGCGGTTTTCAGCCAATTTCGAGAAAATCGGGAGCAAAAAATTAAGTTTTGAATTTCCCGCCAAATTGTCATTGTGTTTCAAGCTTACAATTTTTTCAATTTTTGACTTTTAATTATTTTTCCTTGATGTACTAGTAGAAAACCTTTAGATGGACCTACATTATTAAATTAGCTTATCAAGAAAGTCGAAAACGTGCTTGAAACACAATGCCATATTTGCTAAAGTGGCGAGAAACTCAAATATTTTAAGTTTAAAACTCAAAAGCGCAAACTGAAATTTTTTATGAATACTATAGTTAGTACAAAGAACACGTATAAAATTTTTGAGCTGACTCTAAGTAAGGCGAGTTGGGTGATTTCCTTGTTAATTTTAAAAAATTTGAAGGCCGCCATGTCAGAGTACGTATCCACATTCGATAAGGAAGATGCTTCAAAGTCTGGTCATATAACACCAGTGTTGCAAAATATGTACGAGAAGTGGGGTCAGGGAGGCTTTGGTGTGATTTTGACTGGCAATCTTCAAGTCGACCCAAAACACCTCGAAGCCGCTGGCAATCACATCTTAAGCAAGGAGAATTGGTCTGAAGAGAAGGCTGAGAGCCTGAGGTAAATTTTTATTTTTTTTAAAATTAAATTTTAAAATTTGAATTTTTTAAAGTTTTGAAATCTTTTGAAAATTTTAAAATTTTGAAAATTTTTTAACTTTTTAAAATTTTAAAAAATTTGCGTTTCTCAAAATTTAATTTTCAGAAAGCTAGCCGCAGGCGCAAAAGCGGATGGAGCCCTATTCCTAGCCCAACTCGGAAATGCAGGCCGTCAAACCCCCGCCCACTTAAACCCCCACCCATTCTGTCCCAGTGAAGTACCACTAAAGAGTAATACCTTTGGTAACACATATGGTACTCCAGTCGCTTTGACCTTGGAGCAAATTCAAACCGAAATAATCGACCGGATCGTCTTTACTTGTCAAAAACTTCATGAGGCCGGCTTTGATGGAATTGAACTTCATGGTGCTCATGGCTACATGTTGGCTCAATTCATTTCTCCGACTACGAATTTGAGAACCGACCGGTATGGTGGAAGTGCCGAGAAGAGGGCTCAGATTTTGGTGGATGTCTACAATGCTATACGGTGAGGTTTGGGGTTGTAGGAGGTATATAAGGGTGGTAGGAGGTATCAAAGAATTGCTAGGGGATATTACAGTTCAAAAATTTTTATTTTATGGCACGTTTATGGTTTTATCACCTAAAATTTAAAATTTTAGTGAACAACTGCCAGCTTCGACCGGTTTTGTTGTTGGAATCAAGATGAATTCGGTCGAATTCCAAAGTCATGGCATGGGTATTGAGGATGCTATCACTACTGCCAAAATTGTTGATGTAAGCATAGTTTAGCCAAAACCTTCGTATTTTAAAAACTTTTTAAAAAAATTTGAAAATTCTTTTCCACCAGGACCCATTTTAAAATTGAAAACTATTTTGAACCTATACTTGCTCGTATTTTACAAAAAAAAATAAAAAATGGGGTTATCCATGTACATGTAAAAAGACTGGGACAGGCCTGATTTTCCGGCCTAGTCTAGACTTTTTTGGATTTAGGAGTGAGAAACGAGTCGGGCCGGTCCCACTTTTAAAACCGGCTGTTTCAAGTTTAGCTTCTGGCCGACCCGGCCTGATCGTAGGCCGAACTGAGCTGGGCTTACTCGGCCCGTTTCACATCTTTATTAAGAGTTGTTTTTTGCAAGTCAAATCTTTCGTTGCGAGACCTAGGCTAAACTTCTGGGACTTTGATTTGAGCCCAGCTTTCAAGAATATATGTGTCGGCAAGGCCTCGTCCTATTATGTTTGCTTCAGCCCAGCCAAGCCCAGCCCGTCTTATTCCAAACCAACCCAATTTAATATAATTTTTCAATTTTCAGGCAACCGGCTTCGACTTCATTGAATTCTCCGGCGGCACTTACGAGAAATTCGGCTTCGAACGGAAGGATTCGACCAAAAAACGAGAAAGTTTCTTCACCGAATTCACAGAAGCCATCATGCCCCACCTGAAGAACACTGTAGTCTACGTTACCGGCGGGTTCCGCACCACTCCAGCCATGGTACAGGCCATTAAAGATGGTGCAACTAATGGCATTGGACTAGGCAGACCAACCTCGGCCGAACCTGACATCCCTAATAAGATACTGGGTAAACAAGCGTTGGCTACAAGCTACAATCCAGTAGACAATGACTTTGTGCAAACATTTGCTATCACCACAACTCAGATGGGACAAGCTGGAGCACTACCGTATGCTGAGTGTCATGGTGATCCGGCTTACGGTATTTTTGATCAGAGTGACGAGAAGGAATACAAAGTGTTTTCGGAGGAGTACGAGACCTATTTCAAGGAGAAACTGGCTAGAATTGAGAAGGGAGAGATACCAACTGGTGTGTTTGAATATAATTCTAAGTATCTATAAGTATTATATGTTTGTACCTCAACGTTTGTTGTAATAAACCATGATTTGAAAGAAAAATTGTGCCATTTTACATATATTATAGTATGTTACAGTAGACTTGAAAGAGAGCCCGCAAGTCCCGGCTTGAGGTCGGGCCGAATTAAATTTGGAAAGAGTTAATCCTGTACACTGAGCTTAAGAGCCGAGACCTAAACCTATTGAAAAATGAAGCATAGATCTGAAAAACAACCACTGCACCGGTCCGGTCTAAACCGGCAGTCGCCTCTAGATCTAAACCAAAGTTTCGGAGTCTAGCTCAAATCTTGCAACGAAAGATTTGGCTTGCAAAAAGCGCAAAACAAACCTAATTTTCATAGCCAATATAAATAGGGGTGAGCAATGGGCCGTGTGGACCCAGCTTGGCCTAAATTTTTTTGTCTATACCGGTACGGCTTGAAAAAAACGAAGACAGGCCGAACCTAAACGTCCGGCCCAGGCTAAGAGTAAGGATTCGGTCCTACAATTGAGCCGGGTCAGCCGTAAGTTAAATTTAAGACGGATCCGGACCCAACTCAAGGCCCGGCTCAGCCCGAACAGACCGGCCCGTTTGCACATAAAAATTTGGGCCGGGCCAGTTTGAAGTAAAACCAAAAACGGACGAGGCTTGTAAAGGGGGCCCAACACGTTAGCTACCCTTACCCCAGTCCTGGACTGGCCTAAAAAGTCGGTCCCGCCTATTTCATACCTTTAGGGCCGCAGTAGAAACTAATGTCTACATCCCCTCCCCGCCTTCAGCGAGGCTTTTTGTGGCCTTTACAGGTCTACTTAACAGCCAAGTATGGTACCAAAAAAGTTATTATTCTTATTTATGCCTCTAAAACAAGTCATAATTACCATATCATACGATGTAAAACGTCAAAATAAGTCGTGTCGCTTTTACACCTGTATACACTAGCAAAATAACGACAAGACTTTTGGTCATTTCAAAAGTTGTGTCATTCTTATTTTGGCGGCTTATAAACGGCAAAGTCTAGTCATCTAACCCGAGATCATAGTCAAAGTGCTGATAAGTGTTGCAATTGCTGACATTCAAAAAGTGTAGCGGTTGGTTCAACAGACTGACTGGATTCATATAATTGAACCTAGTCAAGTAGTCCTCGACTTCTGGTCGATACTTCTTCTTGAATACTGTAGCATCTCGAGCCAAAACTACAGTAGGCGTTTTTAAAGGCGTTGTCATGATGACATATTCAAATTGGTTGTAGGGCTTGTTCACCGGCCCAACTTTTACTGGGATGACTGAAAAATGGCAGTTTGAAAATTAAAAAAAAATGTAAAATTTTGATTTTGTAGGGTAGGGTAAAGTATTGTCAGTCTAGGTAAGGAATAGAATAGAGCATTGTAAGGCTGGGCAACGGGTAGGGTAGAGCATTATAGACCTGGATAGATATAGAGTAGGGTATTGTAAGACTAAGTAGGGGGTAGAGCAAAGCATTTTAAAGCTGGCTAGGGCATTGTAGGGTTGATTAGATAAAATGATGAGTTACGGTAGAGTATGATCTAATACGGCAAGGTAGATATTGTAGGCCTGGGTAGGGTAGGGTAGGATAGAATAGGGTAGGGTAGAGTAGGGTAGGGTAGGGTAGGGTAGGGTAGGGTAGGGTAGGGTAGGGTAGGGTAGGGTAGGGTAAGGTAGGGTAGAGTAGGGTAGGGTAGGGTAGGGTAGGGTAGGGTAGGGTAGGGTAGGGTAGGGTAGGGTACTTTAAAGCTTCAAACTCACAAGGACAAGGATCAGCTGGATTGCCAGTATGAATGAACACACTTCCAGGGTCCGGCCCTACTTTGTTGCCGAACCCTTCGTATGTCACGACTTGTTCACTGTTCCTGGACGTTTGTTGAGTGACAAAGTTTGCCGTATACTTAGATTCCTCATTCAGTTTATAGTAATTTACAGCACAATATTGTTTATGAACAAATGGGGAATCTACTACGGTAAGCCATCTGCCCATAAGTTGTTTAATATCAATGTCATCAACAGCAAAGTACATGTTGTTCAGCGTCTTTTCGGCTATTTCTTCTGTGCCTAAACGGCGGAGCAGCTGAAATATTGTAGTAGGTATCACAGTAGCTTACGAGAGTATTGTACTAGATAGTACGGTTACTGTAACTCAAGTATCTGCCAACTCTTACATTTTTTAAAGAGAGAACAACAGTAAAAGGTAACTTACCATGTTAAGTTCATCAAAAGCATTATTCTTATCATTTGGCTTTGAGCAAGAGTCCAAATAGTACTCAAAGTACCGTAAAGCTGGTACTCTACGGCCTGGCACTGGTATACCGCCATAAAACTTTACAGCTGAAACAATATTTTAGGTATAGATATAATGAAGTGTCCAAATTAACTTCAATATATTATAATTTTTTAATGTACGACTATGTATCACATTGTAAAGATAGTTCTTGCCATGTTTTGTTCTGTAAAGACAGTTTTTATCATTTTTAGTTTTGTAAAGAAAGTTCTTGCCGTTTTTCGTTCTGTAAAGAAAGTTTTTGCCATTTTGTGTTTTGTAAAGAAAGTTCTTGCTATTTTTCGTTCTGTAAAGAAAGTTCACAAGATCTGACCCACAGTATCACAAAACTACAACTACAGTACAATTTATTTCAAACCCAAAACTTACCCTCAACATTACAAACCCAGGTAAAAAGTAGCAAAATTGCGTGAAATTTCATGTAAATTGGAATAATTTTGCCGCGAAACCACCCGAGGGCATGAAGCGACAAGATCCGAAGCGAAATGTAAAGGAGACGATGACCTTCAGATGACCCGATTCGCGCCCAAAAGTATCAGGATATGATCTCGAGAGCCGAGTAAATGCGGTTTTAAGACATCCTACCTCAAGGGTTTCGAAATTCAAATTTTGGAAACAAAGTTTTTGAAGATGCCATTGAAATGGCAAGAACTTTCTTTACAAGACAAAAAATAGCAAGAACTTTTTTTACAAAACATAAAATGGCAAGAACTTTCTTTACAAAACATAAAATGACAAGAACTTTCTTTACAAAATGATGTATATTTGCACAGTAACAAACTATAAAATTTTTTTCAAGATTTTAAAAAATAGTACGAACCCTATATTGTAGTATAGTACTACAAATATAAAACAAGAAAACTAATTGTGCGGGCAAAGATACTAAACTTTACATTGCAGTAAGTCATATGCTGTTTGATGGAGTTTAACATAACGTATGTTGATATCCAGTTACCTTCAGAGTCTTTTTTACATTACTGGGTGATCTACTCATGGATTGTGCAGATTGTTAACATGTTACTGTATGTTTTTACAATTTACATCATAGTAAAGTGGTCTTCCAATATCATGGGAGTTTATAAGTGGTAAGTTAGTTTTATATTCATTTTTTCAAATAATTCTGTGCCCCTAATATCGAAAATTTCTTTGAGAAGGGGCCCAGAATTATGTGAACAGCCTGGTAACGAGTGAATCATAAAATGCTTATTTAGGTACATGATATGGTCATTAACCAACATGATGTTCTTCCTATTGCTCATAGCCACATACGAAGTAGAACCGTTTACTGTGTATCCTATAGTGCTTACTAGAGGTGTTGTACAGTATTTTAATGTAAGTTTGTTACTAACCTACCCTACCCTACTCTACCCTACTCTATCTTACCCTACTTGTCCTGACATACCCTGTCATGCTCTGTCCTGTCCTGCCCGCCTTTCCCTGCTGAGCCTTGCCTTGTCCAGCTTTATAATATTTTAGTTACCGTAGTACTACATACCATATCCCACAAATATTTCAATATTATACCAGACCTTTCTCTTTTCAGCTACCCCTCCTCTCCCCCCTCCTCCAAACCCTCAGCTTCTCTCTGTTCGACATGCACACTATCATAACACTATGTCGCTTCGTATATCGCTACGCTCAAAGTACCGAAAACCGACCGGTTTACACTGTAATGTCAACCAAAAAGTTTTTTGCTTTTCTTTGGATTTTGTACTGTGGTATTTTGTTGGCTACTGTATACTTACGACGAGATATACTAAAGAATGGCATCGACTTTCAGCGACAATTTCCTGCCGAATACCAAGCCCAACAAGTTTACTTTACGTCGCACGTGGTAACTGCTTCTGTGGTAAGCCTAAATTGGTTTGAAGTTAAGTTATAGTAAGTACCTATCCTAGTGATAGGTGTAAGTCTCTAGTGTATCCATATTATAGTAAAGTTATTAACTGTAGTAAGCTTATAGGTCCGTTGTTCAAATAACTCTGTGCCCCTAACCCCCAAAAATATGCTTTGAGAAGGGGCACTGAATTAATTGAACAACCTAAAAGTAATCTTATCAACTGTAGTAAACACATCTTTTTAAACTGGTTTGTAGTAAACTACCAGAGTAAAAATATCATACCTGGTTTAAGTAATTGTAGCTAAAAGTACAAATAGTCATTGCAATGCTTTATAGTTCAAAATTTTAAAAGGTTTATAGTGTAATATTATTTAAATGGAGTTGGTAAAGTTTTGTAAATTATATTTTACCATAAGACCTGTTACAATGATACGAACTGTACAAAATCTGTATTATATTGTAGTAGATATAAAATCAATGGTAATTTTTACAAAAACTACACCTTACTCTCTCTCTCTCTAAAAAAACCTACCTACTCTACTCTTGCCTTGACCTGCCTTGCCTTGGATTGGCTTTCTCTGCCCTGCCTTGTCTTGTCTTGCCTTGTATTGTCTAAAACTAAGATACAATATAACACCCTCTAGCCTTATATTTAAAAACTAATTTTAGGGCGTGTCAATCAACAACTTTTTCGAGTTCCTAGTCTACCCCACAACCCTACTACTCGGTTCTTGGTGTACATACAAGTGTTACTCGTTCCAAAACAAAACCAAGAGTAAGTTAGGAGAACGTACTCGTTACCTCTACTCATCTATGGACTTATAATTGAGCAGATCGGCGAACTCACTTGTTTTATCATACCATTTGCCCTGGTTGGGCTAGTGGTACCGGTTTCCAAACAAAACATTGGGTATTACATTGTACATCGTATCTTCTACATTTACCCCACGTTTGTTATGGTATTTACATTGGTATTCTATCGACGATATCGACATGGAGTTAAGGCTACATTGGCTCGGTTACGGTACTATAAGATGGCTGCTTCTGTCAGTGTGTCACATGCGATACGGTCTTCTACGGTGGCTTCGACTAGTGTTGCGACTCATTGAAGATGAGCTACAATAAGTTGTTTAAAATACAGTAATATTCGTTCAATAAAGTACAGTAGCAACCTATATAAAACAACAATAAAGTACAGTATCCATCTGAATAATAAAGTACCTCTTTTAGAATCAAAACTTACAATAAGTTACAGTAAACTACAGTAAAACAATTTATTCAACAGTAAAATCAACAAAAAACAAGATCAACGATCGCCTCGGGCAAATTTTTCGTACAATCCAAGTAAATGCTTATCAGTTCGAGCTAGTACCATACTGAAAGACTGATCTATGTGCTCTTGTGTCACCTCATTAGCTTCTAAACTCTCTCTCATGGCACATAAGGCTGAGTTCTTGATCAAGGCCACTAGCTCTGCTCCTGAGTAACCATTTGTCCTCTCTGCTAGTGCTTCTATATCAACTTCAGAGCTGACCTTCACCTTCTTGAATTGGATTTCAATAATTTGGCGGCTGAAAATAAAGGGTAATATATGTTTTTTAAGCCTTCAAAGTCTATTTTCTATGTATTTTTTTTACCAAAAATGCTTTTTTATACCTATTTTTTAAACCAAAACATCTTTATCAACCTTACCGCGTCTCAAAATCAGGTAACGGAACATAAATCGCTCTGTCCAATCTTCCTGGCCTCAACAACGCACTATCCAGCGTGTCCGGTCGATTCGTAGCAGCAACAACAAACACTCGACTACTCTTCTCCAGTCCATCCAACTCTGTCAACATCTGAGCCAAGACTCGATCCGATACTGCATTACTTTTGTCTTGGCCACGTTTCGTAGCTATGGCATCGATTTCGTCGAAGAATAATATAGCTGGACTGACTTGTCTGGCACGATGGAATAGGTCCCGAACTGCTCGTTCTGATTCTCCAACGTATTTGCTAAAGAGTTCGGGGCCTTTAACTGATAAGAAGTTTAGGCTGGATTGGCTGGCCAAAGCTCTGGCAATAAGGGTTTTGGAACAGCCTGGAGGTCCGTAGAGTAAGATACCATTTGGAGGTTGAACACCGAGGCGTTCGAAGGCTTCTGGATGCTCGTATGGCCATACAACAGCCTGAAATTAGATGGAAATGGTAAAATATTGCTTCAAATCCTATATAAAGCATTATAACAAAAATATAATCCGTATTTTAATAAATAATCTTATAAATCTTTATAACGTATTTTACCTGCTGAATTTCAAGCTTTAAAGCGTGATTTCCGCCAATTTGATCCCAAGAAACGTTCGGAACTTCCAGTATAAATTGTTTTATTCCAGTAGGTTCCGTCTGACTTCTAGCAGCCTCTAAAGGCTTGGCATCTCCATTACGTTTCAGAAGCTCTGCCTTTTTACATAAAACATTGATATCTGCCCCAGTAAAGCCGTGGGTGTCTCTGAAAACCATAATTTTAGGTTTGAAAGGTTTCTAACATTCTCTAAAGTTTGGCATCTTCACATAGGTTAACAACGTTGAGAATACTATGGCTAACGTGCTTATTACGGTTTTTTAACGATAATAAAAGTTGATATTACCCATAAGTTAAAGTAAAGTAATCTAAACTCAAAAACAAACAAAAGACAAGAAAAAACATACTTTGCCAACCTTCCAGACTCATGTTTCAACTCATCAGCCAACAAAATTTCAAAAATAGCCTTTCTTTCAGCAGTTGAAGGTACCATAAGCTCCATTTCGACTTCAAACCTCCTTCTAACTCGCAAATCAAGCTGATCAATAGATCTTGTAGTCAATATTACACATAAACAAGCCTTTGAATCCAGCAAATCACATACAATATCCACAAAATTGTTTGAATCTGAAGTTGAAGGCTGAAAATCCAATAACAATACTGTGTCTGACTTGATCTGAGATCGCTTTTCAGACAGATCCTTCATTGATGTGAACGTTAATGACTGTCCTGGTAGTCGTTCTTGTATACATGAAAGAAACAAGGACTTTCCACATCCAGTAAAGCCCCAGATGATCAAGGAAAACGGGCGAAGGCCTCTAAAATTATGTTTTTTTAAAGTTTATAGCTTGTTTTATCTTTAACACAATATAAACACAGCCTAAAGATAAAGATTTAGCAATAAACCAGCTTACTTTTCAATAGGAGCAAAAAGATATTCTTCTACTCTTTGTTTCACAAGTTCAGCGCCTCCAATTTTGTCAAAAATGTTTGCAGAAGCCAGCTCAACGCCACCTTCAACAATATGTTTCGTTTTAAACCTAACCACTGTGTCTGGAGTAACTTTGTACACTCGTATCTTTTCGGATCCATCAAAACCAATCGCATCGAACACAACTGATATATCTTCAAGCATTTCGAAGCGATATTTCTTGGCCAAATAGTTGATTTCAATAGGTATCGACGGACTAACAAAAGCTCCGTTTAGATATACCGAGATAAACGCAGAAAAGTGAGAAGCTTGAAGTAAACTTGAGCTAATAGTATCTACTGGCTCTAGGGTCAAGGTTTTTAAATTTTCAAAAGATTCCACTGCTTCTAAGGATAACGTTCTTTCAGCAACGATGTTATCCATGCTGAATCGTAGAGGTTGGAGCTGAAAGCAATGTCTTTAGTCAAATATCTGTGCACTTTTGATTTTAAAACATCAGGTAACATCTTCTCCTTCTAAGAAAAAACTATCCATTAATCAATAATCAACCTAAACAACAATAAAAATCGAAAACCCTTACCTCAGAGCACGGCCAAGCTGTTACCAATGTCTTTTTGTCGTCACAGCCAAGTTCTCTCAAGACCAATGGACTTCTTGGCAACACTTCAAACATGTCCAAAGCTTGTGGATTCACCAATATCGTGTTAAACTTGTGCCAACCCAATGCTGAATTCGGTAATCCATCTTTCCCCTTCTCTAACTTGTGCGAAATCCCAGATAAAAGCTTTTTCGGAACGATTTTAAGAAGCCCATCCTCATCACTACAGTTATTTGGATGTTTTTGAAAGTGAGGAGTTAGGAAGAAGGTGTGACATCGTTCACATCGCGTAAAAATCGGCTTTTTCTTCGACATCTTTCCAAATTTTGTTTAAAAATTTTTGAAAAAATAAATTATTTTATAAAAAAGAGAAAAGTTGACCCAAAAAGAGAGGATAAAGAGAGAGATGACACAAATCAACGAGCTAGTAGACATAGAAATCGGGTCGACAACGAAAGATGAGACTCGACTTGTGAAACAATATTAACGTCGACAATTGGTCACATGGCCGAGTGGGTTTGTGTTTTGTTTCGCAGGAGAAGGGCGCGGGTTCGAGTCCGACCAGTTGCAGACGGTCCTGAAGCTTCAGTTTTCAGTGCCTCTTGAAAGCTGGTGAAAGTGAATTCATGGAAATCGACGGGTTCGGCTCGAGAATGGTCGGATTCGTAGGATGAAGTGGGACATTGCTTTTGGTAGCTTTGAATTTTGATTTTTTTCAAAGATTTTTTTTTATTTTGAAAATTCTGGTCGATTTTTTCAGTTTCCTTCATTGCAGCTCCTTCAAACCGCTTTTCTCGGTCAAAAAGTTTGTAGAAGCCTTTTGACTTTAGTTTTTTTATTTAAAATAATGGCAAAGGTAATTTCCTAGAATTTTTTGACCAAACAACTCAAGTTGTCTATAAGAATTCAGGTTTAAAACGTGATCCATCAAGCTTTAGTTTTCACTTTTTTGTTACCTTTTTTACTCATTTTCACTTTTTTCCCTCGCTGAATCCAGTTTTCGAGTGTGAAACCCGAGGAAATTCGTTGAAACTTTTGAAACTCGTATGTTTTTCAGTAGAATCATTACCTTTGTCTGCTTTTATAATAATCAGAGCCGGGCGGGGACTTTTGGTCTGGGGGCAGGGGTTAAAAAAAATCCACAGGGGGGGGACCACGTTCAAATTTTTTCGAAATTTTTTTTCTGGGGGGGTACCCCCCCTCGCGCCCGGCCCTGGTTATAATGTTAATATTGACGAAAGTTCAAATCAAATTTTTCAAAAATTTGAAAATTTCACAGTTTTCAAGTTCTTCAAGAGATGCGAGTGTTTATTGCATGAACGGTTGAGAATCATAGTGTATAAATATCCGTAAAACAATAAGAGAGTGAGCCAATCCCTGGACTGGACTACCAAAAATATCATCCAGTCCAAACACCAGCTTACGCTTAGTATCCTGGAGCAGTACGTGGTGGTGGGCAGTGTTCGCAGCCGCCTTGTTGTCCTTGTTCTCCGTCTGGACCGGCCTCTCCTGGCTTGCCGTCCTGTCCTGGCTCTCCTGGAGCTCCTTGGTCGCCGGGTGGTCCTTGTGGGCCTGGCGATGAGGTACCTGGTTGACCGGCCTCTCCTGGTGGTCCTGGCTCTCCGATTGGTCCTGGGGGTCCGGGTGGGCCTGGGATGCCGGGCACTTCTTGGAGGGTTCCTGGCTCTCCTGGAGCACCACGTTCGCCGGAGCTGCCTGGCAAGCCGGGTGGTCCGACTGGTCCTGGTGGGCCACGTTGGGCTGGGTTTCCTGGTTGACCGTCTTCTCCTGGGGCACCTGGTTGTCCGTTTGGTCCCTTTGGTCCTGGGGCTCCGGGTGGGCCTGGTGGTCCGGCTGGGCAGTCGAAGCAGAAGTCGTCGGCGGTGGGCTTGGCCTCTGGTGGGGCGTCTGGGCCGTGTTCTCCGTCTTTGCCGGGGATACCGTCTTTACCTGGAAGACCGTCGTCTCCTGGGGATCCGGGTGGACCGGCTGGTCCGACTCCGCACGAGCATGATCCTTGGTTGCTGGCTGGGGCAGCGGCGACAGCTGGGGCCGAGTTGACGGCTGGGCCGGCTGGAGCTGGGGCATTTCCTCCGTAGCCGGAGTCATCGCCGTATGTGGAGGCAGCACGAGCTTGAGCGCTGCGTCTTGAGCCGGCGGTGCGGCGGAGAGCGTTACGCTTCTCACGGACGGCTCCAATGCCTACGACGTGGGAGTATTGGTCCCAGAGGCCGTTGGATCTGTGCACGCAGAATTCGAGTTCCTCGTCCAACTGCGACTGTACGTGTTGCATGTAGTTGTACAGGGTGGGGACGATGATGATGGCGGTCAAGGTGGCGACCGTGGAGATGGCGATGGCGAAGAAGGTGAGCCGTTTGAAGGAGTCAACTTCGCGAAGTTGCTCTTTTTCGTGCGATTTTTGGTCCATTTTTGTGTGTTGGGCTGAAAATGAAGGTAAATTTATGAAAAATATTACCTAAATTTTAAAAAATGTTACCTAAATTTTGAAAAATATTACCTAAATTTTAAAAAATGTTACCTAAATTTTGAAAAATATTACCTAAATTTTAAAAAATGTTACCTAAATTTTGAAAAATATTACCTAAATTTTAAAAAATGTTACCTAAATTTTGAAAAATAAGGATCAAAAGTGAGTTTTTTAAATTTGGCAGGTCATAAAATGGTTTTTTGGCTTATATTAACCTTGTAAAATGACTTTTAATGAATGAGTTAGGCTTTGAAAAAAGGTGAAAAACAACTTTCTATGTTTATTATACCTTTTTTGTACTTTAAATTCATAAAAAGTGGCTGTAAAGTAATTTGAAATGCGAAAAAAAGTCTTAAAAGATCTACTACAACATCCTTTTTTGCTCTAAACCGACCATGGTTGCCCTAAAACAGTACCTATTTGAACCAAAAAAGCTAATTACTAGTACCAAAAGGACCTTTTTAGTACCATAAAGTGAAGCCCTAACTCTAACAATACCATAAAACAATATTTTAAATCGAAAACCTATCAAAAACCAAACAAAATCAAAGATACGACCAAGATACGAAACCTTACCTCAGTTACGAACGTCGGATACGACGAAAACCGAACCGATGCTGTCGAACCCCGGGGCCCGCCATGTTTAAATACCTGCAGTAAGGTGTTCCAGTGCAAGGTAAAAAGTGACGATCAGCTTCTCTCACTGATCCCTCCCCTCAGGGCATTTGCGCGCTTTGTCCTTTTATTTCGAACAAAAAAAGGGAAAGACGATGACATTCGAGCGGGGGTTCGAATGTCAGCCGACACTCTTGTATGAGTTACATAGTAGAGTTACGGAGTAATGATGACATATTGTCAGGCCTAGCAGGCTTAAGCACAGTAAATTGAAGCACATTAGGGTTTGGTTGTACGCTCATGCTGAGTACGCTTAGGCTCAGTAGGCTTAAGCACAGTAACTTGAAGCATATTAGGCTCAAGCTGAGTTGCTTAGGCTTCGTAGGATTAGTAACTGTAAGCATCAACATAGTGTAGTAGGCTCAGGCCGAGCATAATTATATTAGTATGTTTAAACACAGCAACTATAAACATAGCAGGCCCAGGGCTTTTGTATGATTAGGCTTAGTAAGCATAAGTTTATTAAGTTTAAGGCCGGTCAGTCAGTACTGCTTAGGCTACCTGGAATTCAGCTGAGGTGCAATAGGTTTACATTACTTCAAATATTTCAAATAAGCGTAGGCCTACTAGCCTTACTAATATTAAGTTTAATCTGTAAAAATTAAAAAAATCGCGGTTTCTGGGGCCCTTAGTTTGGGTCGGGCCCTCGGCCAACATCTTACAACTTGTTCGCTCTCAAATTTCCCTCCGGCCGGCCCCGGAAGCCGGGTCTAGTGGGCCTTCTTCCAGGTCTAAACTTTAACAAGCTTATCCCTTTATAAGGGTAATTTTCGCCAAAGACAATTGTAAATGGATATTTTTACTGTGGTAGGTTATTTTACTAAAATTCTATACTGAACTTTAATTAGCGATCCATTATTTCTTTCGCATTTTTTCGTCAAGGTAGTACTAGGGGTGAGAAACAGGTCTGACCCGGCAAAGGCGGTGCCCGTTCCGTTTTCATTACCTCAGGCCGGCCCGGCCTTTATTAACTTTAGCTGAAGGCGATCATAAGGCCGGGCCTATATAACCGTTTTTTGCCCCTAGACCATACCATCAGCGCTGCCATTTCTATTGTCGCCTTTTTTGCAAAATCAATTTTTTATGACATTTTACTTCTCAAATATGACAGTTTACTCAACATGTCATATCCGATAAACGGGGTGAAAATGAAAATTATATTGAAAAAGTAAAAGTGGTCGATTCGCCCTCAGGCAATTAGTGATAAAAAAGGGAGCGGCGATTGTTTTTTAGGTCGTTTGCGCGTTTCAAACTTTTTCGACCGAAAAGTTTTGAAACCTATAAGAGGTGTTCGTCGACGGAATTGGTATTGTTTGTCGCGACGTTTCAATTCTCGAAAACAAAGGCTATTATAGCATATTGTAGTAGACGTTGGCCGGGAAATGGCAATTTTTAAAAATTTAGGTAACAAATTTTTGATTTTTTTTAAATCTCGACTAAACAAAGTATCCGATTTAAAATCTTTTTTGAAAAGAAAGTTTTTGTCAAACCAAATTTAAAAAAGTTCTTGCCGGTTTAGAATAACAAGGGAAGTACCCATTGAATCAGCTCAAAATTGTTATATGAATTCTTTGTACCACCAATAATACCCATAAAAAACTTTAGCTTGTGCTTTTGAGTTTTAAACATTTGAATATCCCGCCAATTTGGCATTGTGTTTCAAGCACGTTTTTCAAGCTACGCTTATAAATTAAAAAATGTAGGTTCATTTAAAAGTTTTCTACTAGTATATCAAAGAAAAATGATTAAAAGTATAAAAATGACAAAGTTATAAGCTTGAAACAGAATGCCAACATAGGCGGGGAATTCAGAACCTAATTTTTTAATCTCGATTTTCACGAGTTTGACTAGAAAGCGGAATTTAGGACTTTGCCGAAGGTGTTATATTTACATTATATTTCTATGTATAAAGTTTGAAGTCAATCAGAGCGGGGCAGGTCGGGCACTTCCCTTGTAAGCCAATTTGACATGGACTAACTTATAAGTAGAAACAAATGGCAAGTAAAATGACACAATAATACGCTCTGAGTTGTGGCCTGACAACAAATCCACCACCAATCAAAAAATTTTTTTTTACTCCCCCCCCACATTCAGAGAAGGCAAGGTCAGACGCTTTCCTTGTATAATAAATTCGAAAATTCAATTAAAATTCCTCAAAATTTACATATTTATAGCAATTTTTAACAAATCTACACTCCCACACCCAAGTACGTTGTTATATCAACATTAGATTCTTATCTTAACATTACATTGTTAGCTCAACATTAAAATGATTGTAGCAGGTATCAGCTGGCTTGGCTGATAGCTTGTGACGCCTTTCGAACAGCATCTTCTACATGTAATACTTGAGGCTGTAGACGTTCCAGTCTATCAGTCGACAATTTGCAGTGAGCTCGCTTGGCTGTTCCATCGTTATCGTCCTGAAGTTATATTGTGTTAGGTAGTTTAGCCTGCCTACAGGCCCCTATTAGACCTGTAGGGGCCTGGTCCGGCCCAATTTTTCTGCTCGGCCGGTCTTGGGGTAAACCCAGCTCTCGGGCCCACATGTGCATCCCAGTCCAGCTCCTTTCAAATTTAATTCAGCCCGTCAAGTCTTTCGTTGCGGGACCTGAGCAGCCCGGGGTCCTCGTTTGAGCCCGGCCCCAGGCTAGCATGATTCGCCTCGGCCCCGTCCAAATTTGCTTCGATCCGGCTCAGCGTGGCCCTGAGCCAAGTAAAAGCCAGACCTAGTGAGCCCCCTTTCAGGTCCGGCCTCAATAGACAACACAACCCTACCTCAACATTTAAAGCTTCGTAGTCCAGCTTGTTTCCACTGACTTGAGAGTAGATGTCAGCCATTTTGACAAAAGTAATCACACCCGGACTGACCAGATTCACTGTTCCAACCGTTCTGCTCAACATTAGGTTGATCAGGGCTGGCAGCAGGTCAGGGAGATAAGTGATCGAGTTTTCCACATCCAGCAGTTTATTAAAGCTCGTGATCTAAAATAGGTTAAATTAAGGTCCAGAATTACAGTAAGCTTTACAAAACTTAAGTTATAGTTACAATAATCGTCCGAAAAAACACTAACCCACAAAAATCAAGTTACGAGTTACAGTAATCGCCCAAATTTAAAATTTTTTACCAAAATAAACCCCAAAAATACAGTAATCCTTGCCTTCTTCAACAAATTTCTAGGTGAATTCTCATCGTTGAAAGGTAAGCGAATTCTGGCATTCAATGAGTTTGGGAATTCTCCAATAAATCTGTCAGTGTAGCCTTTTACCACGCCATATTTGTTACCCACAAAGTTTGGCAAATCGGATTCCTGAAAGTTAAAATACCGTAATCCACAAGAAAAATACAGTAACCTTCAAAATAGTGTCCAAATCAACTTGATTTCATAGCTTTTGGCTATATTTCTCTTTGGAAGGCCATTTACAAATGGCAAAACCTTAATATTAAGACGTTCAATTAATTCTGTGCCCCTCTCAAAACACATTTTCGGTGTTGGAGGGAACAGAATTATTTGAATAAACTAATATAAAGATAAAAAGGACTTTTGATCATCATCAGGTTCCCATTCTCCACTCTTCTCCTAAACTTACAGTATAATAAGGTGCATCCTTGGCATACTTGAATAAACATCCCGTTCCAAGATAGGTAAAATGAATACCAAATCTATTAGCAATGTTGGCCAACATAAATGGGCCATAAAGATTGTCTCTGACGTTTTCTTTCAGCTTGTCCGGGCCTCCTTCCAGATAATCAATGTTGCCGCAGTCTGAAAGTAAAATTACAGAAAGATTAGGTAACAAAGATAGTCCTGAACCACTCAATTTTGTGGCCAATACTATAATCTAGTCACACCCAAAGTTTAAACCATAGAAATCAAATATAGGCCAAGATAAGGTCGTTTGAATATTATAGTAACCATTACCTTTGCCATGAGTTCTTCCGATCAGCGAAATGATGTGAGACGGAGCAATGTCAGTAACTTCCTTTCTGACATCATCATCACAACAATCTCCAGGTCTTGTTTTGCCCACAAAGTACTGTAATGTGTTGTTCTTCTTCAAGCTTTCAACAAATTGTTGACCAATCCATCCGTTCGCACCGTAGACAAGAATTCGGACATTTGGAGTTGTAGCTGATCCAGATGGCTGAAAAATAAGTTAAATTACTATCCAAAAAACACTATAGAATCTGCTTTTGGCTACTAAAATATAATTTTGACTAAAAAACAGCCATAAATAGCCTAAAAACCTACAACTTCACAAGTCTCCGCCTCCAAATTGTAAATCTTAGCCTTTTCTGTCGTATGTTCCGAAGAAATCTCAAGAATCTCCTTGGCCAAACGTTCGTAAGCACTACCAACAGTGTTCGTAGGTATTCTAACCAACCTCACATCCATACGATAACTAACGGCATAGGAATGAAGAAAAGCTTCGGTACTCATAACGGCCGCCTTATACTCGGGTACAAGGTCCGATTCCTCTTGAAACTGGCCAACTTGAATTACTTGTGGCAAGTCTTCAGTTCTTCTACGTACTTCATCAATCAATGCTGCTGTTCCGAGCAAAATTCGCCGTCCTTGTTGCTGGACATCCTCGTTTTGGTTAATTTTAGGTAACAAGAACAATCTGGTGATCTAAAACAATATAAAACTGAAATAATAGACTTACATGACAATCCGTGACAATTTTCTTGACCAGATCTGTGTTACAGCTTTCTCCATGAATGAATTCCAGGTCATCATCAACGTCGACTTGGTCCGTATCCAATATATACACCTTGGCACCGACAGCTCGAAGCTTTTTGGCCAAAACTTGACCAAAATCGCTGGCGCCACCAACCAAAAGCACGTTCTTCACCATCCTAAATATTCAATTTTGTAATTGTCTTGCAAAAATATAAAGATATAAAGCAAATATGGCGCTATCTTATCAAAAAATACGTCACAAGTGCATCTGATCTAAAATAACATATAAAAATGAAGTTTTAACTAATAAGGAACAAACTAAAACAATTAAAATGAGGAAGGTTAGATACTGCAAAGCAAGTATAAACTTTTACTCGCCTAATGATAAGGTTTTGGGTAGCGAAAAAGGAAGAAACCTTCTCATAAAGGTCAAGGTCTCGCATATTACAGATGCGATCAGAAAGAAAACTCACCTTATCAATTGTAACTTTCTTCTAATCTTTACAAAACTGATCAAAACTGCATGGAAAAGGCACAAACACAAGAATCTAACAATGGAACTCCTGTATAACAAATCGCTCGGTTTTGTTTGTTATAAAGAAGTTTAGGTATAAAGCTTAAATTCACTGTTTTGTGGTAGATGGGGAGTTGGAATCTGCTCGTTATACAAAAACTTGTAGAGAAGTTTGTTATACAGGAGCTCCAGTGTATTTACAGGCTGTAAATTACAAGATTTACCAAAGATAACAGTAAAAATGCAATTTTGTGTCAAGTTTCTCCCTCATGCGTCAAGTCTTTTTATTTGACTTTGGTTCATATTTTACCGTGGTTTAGGCTAATATACTGCTACAATCGTGTTGTTACAATCAATTTTTAATTTTTAAATATATTTTTCATCGCTTTTTTCTCATCTTTTTACCTTATAAACAACAACATAAAAAATATTTATTGACGACAAAATAATATAAAAATAAACCTAAATAATATATTAGGTCGTTCAAATAATTCTGCGCCCACTAATCCAAAAAATTTTTTTTGAGAAAAGGCACAGAACCATTTGAACAACCTAATATTAAATGCCAAAATATGTTACAAATACTGAAATAAAACAAAAGTACTAAATAGTACTACAATATAGAACCAAAAATACTAAAAAATACTGTAAAGTTCCTAAGATAAAACAAAAATACTGTAAAGTGATTAAAAATACCGTAAAATGACTAAAAATACTGTAAAATGCTTAAAGTTGCTGTAAAATCATAAAAGATAACGTTAAACAGTAGAAGATCATTAGTATGGTTAAAAATCTCTGTGACTATGGCAATTTACAACACAGACCTCAAAGTGTTATTAATTTAAGGAAGGGCATGTTGAACATGCGACAACAATTCGATATACAATAAATAACAACAATAGTAACACCGTAGTTATGTGACTGTAGCATGAGTATCATCGGAATGTAAAAAATTTTAAAAAATGTTGGTTGGCTACAAAACTTTCAAATTTGGGCCAGAATCAGCGACAAGACTGAAGTTTGGGCCAAAATCGTCTGAATTCTAAAACGTTCAGTTTTAGCGACAGAAGCGACAAGTCCGGGCACAGTCGTGACTCATGTAGATGGTCGATTGTTCGCATAGCGATGGATTCTGTTGTAGCCAGACACCGCACCATCTGGAGCGATCCATGCATTGACCGGTCGTTCCAGATGATTGACTTACTGAAATTTCGAAAAATTAGTTTTTTCTCAGCATTGTTGTTATCCTTGTCATTTTTAATTTAAATAGTTTCATTTCCCGCCAATTTGGCATTGTGTTTCAAGCACGTTTTTCAATATTTTTTACAAATTCACACCACTTTCAGAAACGTAAAATAGGCGCTAGGACAAATGCGGTTTTTGGACATTAGCGGATCTGCGGTTTTTGGACACTTGCGGATTTTGGACATTTGCGGATTTTTAAAGGTTTTTTTTTATTTTTTAGTTAATTTAGTTGTAGTATGGTACTAAATGGTATTAAAGTTTAAATTGACACTGTCTTAATATTTCTTAATGTTAAATAGTACTAAATTTTTAATCGGTACTGTTTTTATATTTTTGGTACTAAATAGTACTAAAAGCCCAAACTAAAAAATAAAAAAAAACCTTTAAAAAATCCGCAAGTGTCCAAAAACCGAAGATCCGCAAATGTCCAAAAACCGCATTTGTCCTAGCGCCGTAAAATACACCACAAATCAACCAAAACCACACTACAAATTTACAAAAACCATAGTTAAACACCCATACCACCACAAACATTACCTCGTCGCGACTGTTGCGCATTCTGAATGACTTGTTGCCGGACAACTTGTTGCTGTCTCAGCCGCTCTTCAAACCTTCTTCTGGCTTCAGTTTGAGTGATTTGACCAACTGGTGCCACATTACGATTGATTGGCATACTGTCACCAGTCCGTTGGAATGTGACCATTTGGGGTACTGTAGTGGCGACTACTGTAGTTGGAACAGCTGTAGTGAAGGCTACGGTAGTTGCTGGTACTGGAGTTGGAGTGGTGGCATCGGTGACTAAAACGTTAGTGGTTACAGTAAGATTACAAGGTTTAGTAATACAGTAAGTTAGCCGTAGTTACAGTAAGAAAAGTGAATATTACAGTAAACAATATAAAGTTAATTTTGCGTTATAAACAAGAATATAGTAAATTTAGAGTATAAAAGTCATATTAGTGCCGTAATTAGTGATAAAAAAAGTTACAGTACGAAAAGTGAGTACGGTATTAGTTTTCGCAAAATTTCAAAACTACCGTAATATCGATTTATAACCATAAATAAATTAACAAATATGTGCAGAAATACGACGTATTTTATAAATATAATAAATATTATCAGAGTTTAAGGTTTGCACTGTGCAAACAAAAATAAAAATTCATTGCACGGTGCAAAGTTATCGATAACCGCTGAATCTTGTTGTGCTAGTAAATATTTTAAGTTTAAACAGCGCTACATACAACTTATCTTTTTGGAACAATCTGCTCAGTACCAATCAAAAAGTGAAATTCATTGCACCGTGCAAACAAAAATAAAAATTCTTTGCACCGTGCAGACGCTTAAGAACCCTCGGAGACAGTCCAGTCAAATAAAACAACCCTTTTCCGATTGACTATGAATATATAACTATAACCAAATACAATGTTAAACTACCCACCGATTCGACCGGTCAAAAAGCGTGGTGGCTCGACCGGTGGTGATGGTCGTCGAGGCTCAGGAGTTCTGAAGTTCATCGATGGCCGAGCCTTGGCCATAACAGCGTCGACTACGGTCTTCACTCCTTCCCAGGTCTCTCGACCGGTCGGTATGAGTTGGCGGCGGTCCAACAGGAATCCATCCCATTCTTCCTCTCCCGGACGCAGCTCGAGCAGGAACACATACTTGACATTTGCCTTGGCTTTGGCCCAGTCGTCTGATCCGCCAGCCGATGGGTACAGGATGTCAGCACCAGTACCAAACCGGTATTTTGTGCCGTATACTTTTTCGATGGCGTCTACGCCTTTTTGGCCTACGTTGATCTGAAAAATGAGTTTATATTACACTTTTATATTATACTTGACCTAGTGTAATAAAAACTAAAAAATATACCTAAATTTATGCAAATTTTGAAGAGTCCACAAAGAAAAAACACAAAGAAAACTTCAAAATTTCATTTTCAATCAAAAAAATTTCCAAAAAATAAACACCCACTTTAAAAATGGCAGAAGTCCAAAAACCCTTACCAAATCCTGAATATCGTTGGGGAAGCTCTTGCGTTCATGGTTGAACGGATGAATCCACATTTGGGAGTACGTGTGAAGAGTTATAAAAGCATCAACTTTGCCCCACAATTCCGGCGACAACATTTTGTCACGGATGGCTCTGGATTCGGGCTCACTGAAGGCGCTTGAACCTTGGTAGATGTCTGAACAGAGGTCGTCGCTGGAGCCGGTTTCTAAAACAAATAAGTAAATATTGCTTTAAATGAAGGTTAATTTAGTTTTAAACTTAAAAATAGCTATAACTTTCTTTACAACTAAATCAAAATAATTAAAAAAGAGACCAATACCTAAAATAGTAGCTACAACAATATATACGCCTTTATTTTATTGCGTAATTTGCTTGGAGAAACAAGCAAAAAACCGATGAAACTTTAGGTTATAGTACCTAATATAATATACGCGTTTTTGTTTTATAGAAAAATACAAAAACAGCTCACATTCCCAGTGTCCATACCTACTATAATATATAAACTTCAAGATCTCCCACTGTAAACTCCGGGTTATAATATAAGTCTTAAATATTTAATTAAAATATCTACTACAATATAAAATTTTAATGTCAATATCCTTTTCTCTATACCTTCAATAGCTTGCCGAATTCATATCCAAATACCCTATAATATTCAATTAAAACCTTAAGCTTAAGCCCCACTAAATTCAAAATCTTTAGTCCCATCAAACTCAGACCCTTAATATCCAGTAAGCTCAGACCTAAGTAGGTACTACAATTTCCTATTCAAAACCTTAAGATCCACCAACTTCAGACCCTTCAGTCCCACCTCCTTACCACCCCAATGAAAGTCGAAATTCCTGTTCAAATCCACCCCACCACAGCATCTTTCCCTTCTCCAATGGTCCTTCTTGCACACTTGTTTCCCTCTGTTCTTTCTCCAGAACCTGGTTTGAGGTCCAACGTCTGATCTCGAATATTCATATCCATCAGGGTTGGCTTGAGGCAGAATGTAAAAGTTCAGAGTATCAACGTAAGCGGTGATCTGAGGGTCAATTCCGTACTTCGAGATCAGTTGTTCGATGAAGTACAAGGCTGTATGAGTTGAGGCCCATTCACGAGCGTGAATTCCGGCATCTACCCAGATGATTCGCTTGTTCGTGGACTGGATTGGACTGCCAATCTGAAAAAAGATTGAATTTTAATGTTTAAATTACAAATTTTAACACAATTTGAAAACAAATAAAATTTTTAAACTTCTAATATGTAATTTGAGTAATAATCATGTGTTTGAGTACGTTTATAGCTATACGCCAAATAATTTTAGCCAAAAAGCTGATGTGTGTCGAGTCTTCCCCTACTATTCGATCAAGTTTTTCCCTGTTATTATTCCAAATGTTATTGACAAAAGTAATTAAAAACTACAGTCTTTAGAAATTCCTCTGACTAAAATGTTTAAAAGCCAACAATTAATTGTCTTACATAAGCAAATTTTCAAAAAAAAATTTTTTGACTGTTTATTCATAAAAATCTGATATAAATGTCGAATTTGGTGTCTTATAACCTCAAGTACTAGTACTGTGTTTTAGTACGTTGAATAGTACATTTTACAAAAACGCATATTTTAAAAACTTACCAATACCACCATAATTTAAAAACCAGATATTTGTGCGAATCAGGATTTGTATCAAAGCCCTTAAGATCAAAAGACTTACTCCTAAGTATTTAGTGCGCATTTAAAGATCAAAGGGTCGTAACCTGAACTTTGACCCTTTAGCTCATGACCTCTTGATATAAATTTGTACCGATATGAGTCCGGATACTATAAAAGGAGAGCGGATTCCATATTCTGCCATACCAAACCTCAGTTTAGTGTTCGATAGGTGAGTAAGGCTCAGCTCTTAGGTTTTCTCTATTAACAAGACTTAAAAATATACTTATTATTCAGTTTCTCAAGAGGTTGTTATTGTACTTGACTGTTTCTGTCAAATATCGTATTTTACCATACTATAACTATTAACTTTTCAGATTTTTCAAAAATTACTATCAGTTAAAATGCCTGGAAAGATGGCTTTTGCTAGCCAAATCAACGCCAAGGACTTCATGGACAAGCCGCTGGATGCTTTGGTCGCATCGGTTCGTAAGGCCGCTTCGAAGTCCAAGAACAACAACAAAGTTTTGAAAACGAAGCCAGCTGGCTTCAACCAAAAGGCCAGCCATAAAAAGCCAGCCGGCTTCAACAACAAAACCAGCCTTAAAAAACCCGCCTTCAACAACAAGACCAACCTTTACAACCCAGAGAAGCGTCAAAGATTCAATGGTCAACAATGCAGAAGACCGGTCCGAAATGTGCTCCAAGAGATCGTTGGGAACAACAGACGTGGCCAAGTTGAAGAAGTTGTCAGAGTAGTCCGGCAACCAAGAAGAATGCAACGACAACGCCCCCAACTCATCACAATTATCAAGCACGTGCCGGCTACCCCTAAAGTAACTAAAAGAACGCACAAGCCAAACAAGATCGCCAAGAAGGGACCAGTGTTCAAGCACAAAAAGGCCCCCAAGCAAAAGATGACCAGAGAACAGCTCGATGCTGAACTGGATGCCTATATGAGCAGCTCCAAGAAGACCCAACAATAATAATCTATGTATATAACTAATAACAACTTTACAATAAACAATAATATTGAAACAATAAACTTTCTGAAACAAATATCCTTTAAATTTTAAAATTGAATCCTAATCATTTAATATAACCTTGAAATAGATAAACTAACTGATAATACAGAAAGTACCCACCTTTATTCCCTTGATCTGTCGTCCTTCATAAGTCGTGCCAATAATGAAAGTTTGAGCTAGATTAGGATAGAATCGTTGAATTTCGTCCAGCCATTGAGTTATCGTGTCGTATGAGTGATAGTCACCTATAAATTGTAATTTTTTATTATATTGTTCAAAAAATAATGAGCCACAGCTCCCACTAAACATAAAAAAAGGTTACCAAGCCCAGCTTTTTCTCACCCCCCCCCCTTCCTGACATAAATAAACTTTTCTAACCTATCATAATCCAAAAAGCCCATCCCAACCTCAACAAACAATCTTCACCCCAACCAAACCCACCAAATCCGAACTTGGCCTTGTTGGTGGTGACAAAGTCATCTGCCATTCTTTTTCGAAAGAACGAAGCCAGAATCGGATCCGAAAAGTTGTGTTTCGCCCAAGGGTTTCGCTCGGTTTTTTCTCGCTGAATGATCAGCTTCTGGACATCGCCAATCGTTATTTTGTATTCGATTCCGTGAGCTTCGAAGTAGTCGGTCAACATCTGTTGAGCTGATGGTGGTGACATGATATCGACATAAGCATCGACGTCTGTTGGCTCTTTCCAGAAGTCGAGCTAAAATACGAAAATTTTATTTTATTTTTAAAATTATATAAAGTTAACAAAAAAGGAAAATTTAAAAATGAATTCTTTCGCCAAAACTTTCTTTACATTTTAAAAAATATATTACCTAAAAAACACAGTTTTTTATAAATAAACTTTTCATCGTATAACTTGCCACTCGCAGACTGCAAAACTCAAAATATTTGATTCCTTGCTTTGAAGCGGCAATAACTTTGTTTACATGACAAAAATGAAATGAGTTTTCTTTACAAAGGCAGAAAATAGCAAGAACTTACTTTGCAACACAAGAAATGGCAAGAACTTTCTTTACAAATCTTAAAATGGCAAGAACTTTCTTTACAAAGCTTAAGACAACAAAAACTTTCTTTACAAAGTAAAAAAGTACCAAAATATTAAATGTCGAAAGTCAACAAAAATGTAAACTATTGTAATGTAAACTCACATCCAACTCTGTAGACCGTCGATACATTTCCGTGAGTGCTATAAGCTGATCTTGGTTTTGTGGCACCGACCGGTAGACTTTGTACACGCCATCCTTTACAGCAGCGTTTACTCCCCATATCACGAGGGCGAATGTAATCAACCGAGGTAACATAGCCCTGAAAATAAGTTTAATATAAAATACGAATCAGCCTCGTAAACTTAAAAATTAAGATAACCACAATAGAAAGCAACAAAATAGTATAAAAATAGATATAAAAACGACGTTTTCTGTAAGTATAACAACTAAAAATTAAAGTATATTATCATAGAATATCAGAACGGTCAAAAAGTATGAAGGAAATCCATAAAGCACCAAAAAATACACGACAAACTGAGAAATCGCTTTCAGTGCAAAAATCCCTGAAATCAACCACATTTTCTTGTATCATTTTGTTCAAATAATTCTGTGCCCCATAACCCTACAAATTTGCTTTGCAAGGGACCACAGAATTATTTGAACAACCTAATATCAGGCCTGTTTACCACGAAGTAACATAAAGATAAAAATACTTATAGCAAATATTAGATTGTTCATATAATTCTGTGCCCCTGACCCCGAAAAGTTGTTTTGATAGAAGCGCAGAATTATGTAAACAACCTAATGAACTAACACAATAATAACATCTGTTTTGTGGTCGAACTATAAACTCATACCCAACTTGAAACCTAAAAAAATGTTTACCTCAACCCTTCCAAAAACAAACAAAACTTTACCCCTCCCTTTTTCCATCAAACCAAACTGCCCACCTCACAAAGCTTGTCCCATATATCCCTAATACCTTCATACAAATTTATAGCTATAATACCCTACCCTATCCTTTTCTACCTTACTCCGCCCTACCCTAACTTACCCTACCCTACACTACCATGTCCTACCCTACCCTATATAATTCCATACCCTGTCCTACCCTATCCTACCACTATCCTACCCAACCCAACCACACCTACCTTAACCCTACCTCTAACCTTCACCTTGCCGAAGTGATCACTCTCAATGTCAGTCGATGGATTACGTCGCTGAAAAAACAGGAAAAATAGGTAGAATTCCTCGTCGAATTTTTTTATTTCAGGTTTAGGCTAGCTGTTATGAGTGCGCGAGAAAAAGTTTAAGGGACTCGAAATGATGAATAAAGTAGTAAAAGTAAGAAGAAACCACACCCAATTCGACAGGTAAAGTAAAAAAAGGTGTCTACTGAAGAAAATAAAAAAGATACTGTTAAAAAATGGCATTCTTGTCATTCTACCGCAAAACGACATGTAGTTTATTTAAATTTCAATTATAGAGTCGTTCAAATAATCATGTGCCCTTTCTCATAAGAAATTTTCAAGGTTAGGGGAGCACATAATTATGTGAAAAAACTAATAAATTTGTCACAATTATAATATACAAGATAATGAAAAAAATAAAAAATTGTTACCTAAAAAAAATTTTTTTTGGATTTACTGTCTAAGCTATGAAAGAGTGACTGAATTTTAGCTAAGTTAGCCACAAATATAATTTTAAATACAAGTGTTTAAAAAACTTAAAAAAAACTAAATTTTGTTACCTAAAATCTGTAAAAAACAAATTTTTAACAAAATTGCTTGAGAAAAGCCAAGTCCATACTATATATATATATATACATATACAAAGAAACATAAACTTAGACATGAGAAACGGGTCGGGGCTGAATGTTGGGCCCGGCCCGATCGAAATTTTACTCGGCCCGTTTCTCATGTCTACATAAACTTAACTAAAACAGAATTAAAGCTCAAGATAAAGATTCTCCAGGCAAAATAAACAGGCAAAGTCGTCAATTTGTTACCTAAAATTGCAAAAAATAATAAAAAAAAAAGCCTCAAAGAACCATACAATATGCAAATAAACATAAACTTAACTAAACCAGAATTAAAGCTCAAGATGAAGATTCCCCTGGCAAAATAAATAGGCAAAGTCGTCAATTTGTTACCTAAAATAACGACCAAAATCAATAATACATCCTAGTTTTCTAACAAACCAAATAAAATTAATGGGCTAAAAAATTATATTTTTCGTCCAAAAAACCGAAAACTTTATCTTTTTCTGGCCAAAAAGTTTTGTTGTTTTTGGTAATTTCGAAATGTTTCAAAAAGTTCAAAACAAAACAACAAAACTCCTGATAATTTTTGGATAGTATTCTCGACCAAAACGCCTTTATACCATACATGTACAAAAAGGTGGTTTTTCTTCAACAGGTGATAAAACTGTATATTTTTATATTATTCATGAGACATCGACCTTTCATGGCTGTACAAAAACAATAATATAATAAGAGAACGTGGGGTTGATGATTTATAAAACAAACAAAAAGATTTGTTTGCTAATTTGAGTAATTTCGTCTGAAGTTTGGTGATTTTAGAGATATTATATTGTAGTAGATCTTTGGGATATTATAGTAGGTTTATGTTGTATTAAAATCAAAAAATGACCATTTCTGGAACTCTCGTTACAAGCAGCTCTTATGGCTTAGCATTGTGTATCTTTCTTGTTAATATTAGCTACAATAACATAAGTAAACAATATTCAGTAATACCTACAGTAGCCAAAGAAAGTGCAGTACGTTAACATAGCCCAGCCTACAGTACCACCCTTTAAGAAAAACCCCACGATAACCTTCTCGATATCACGTAGCCAGTATTTACTATAGTACTACTGGTCTATAAATACACCTTCTAACGATCGCCGAGATACCATACCCCAATGTCTGAACATACCAACAATAGGCTACGTAAAGGAAATGACCGCCGGAAATACGTTGTTGTGACGAAAACAGGTATTAAAGAGCCGTAAATGTAGGAAGTAACAGTTATTTAGGTCACAAAAAGTATATTTTGAATCAAAAATGGTTATTTTGGGGCGGGTTACTGTAGGTTTTTGTAGGGTTACACGTAGAGGTGGTCAGTTTAGACTGTAAAACGAAGTTACAGTAAGTGGGTGTTCAACTAATTCTGAGCCCTTTTCAAAGTAAATTTTCGGAGTTAGGAGGAACAGAATTATTTGAACTTAATATGTTGATCTACTCCCACAATTTGCCCCCCCCCCCCCTCCCGGTTCCTTTACAAAATCAGTACTTGTAGTAACTCATATATTACTGTGACATCACTCATATATTACTAATAAACCAATTATGACCAACATATGATGTTAACATTGCCCAGACAGCCCCCTTCCCCACCCTTCCCCACCCTTTTTTCACTCTTCTCTACCCTTCCTCACCTTTTCCCCACCCTTCCCCGCCACTAAACCGCGAACGTTGTAACAGGCGTGACAATGAAAATACTGGTAATTCGATTATTACAAACTTGAGGACAATTAACAGAGTCGCGACTGAAAGAGGCAGTGTCATATTGGTTATGAATCAAGTTTAAGCGTTCGAAAAAATTGAAAAAAATGCAAAAAGAAAGATCGCGAAATTAAAATACAAAGGTTTCAACGTTATGTCAAAGATTATGAACATTTGTAATTGTCAAGGTAGAGTCTAGTGCTATATTTAGAGACTAGTGCTATATAAGGTGCTATACAAAGCGAAATTTTATTATGTTATTCAAATAATTATAAACCCCCTAACCTCAAAAATTTGCTTTGAAAAAAGGTACAGAATTATTTGAACTGCCTAATACGAAGGCAAACGAAAAATTTGGTAAAAAACGCAATAACTTTCTTTACAAAACAAAAAATGGCAAGAACTTTCTTTACTGAACAAAAAATAGCAAAAACTTTCTTTACAAAACAAAAAATGGCAAGAACTTTCTTTACTGAACAAAAAATAGCAAAAACTTTCTTTACAAAACAAAAAATGGCAAGAACTTTCTTTACTGAACAAAAAATAGCTAAAACTTTCTTTACAAAACAAAAAGTTGCAAAAACTTTCTTTACAAAACAAAAAATGGCAAAAACTTTCTTTAAAAAACGAAAAAAACTCTGTTTTGAAAAAAAAATTAAATGATTTGAAAAAATTAGCTTTATAATATGCAAATTTTCAGCTTATTTTTTAATTTTTTTTGGTTATTCACTTTTTGAAAAAAATTTAAAAATTTTCAAAAAATATGCCCAGCGCTCAAAAAAAAGTTAAAAAACTCAAAAAACGCTTGAATTGAAAGCAAGAATGAAGTAGAAGAAACCAAAAGTGTAAAAACAAAAGTTTTTTTTGTAAGAACGATCGCTAATTGTAATGTTTTCTCATTTATGGTTCAAGGAACGGGGTCCAGGTTAAAAGTCAACTTTTTAATGATTACACAGACAAGAACTGCAAAAATAAAAAGTAATTTTTGGAGTTGGAACTTTTGGACTGGGCGCTCTGTCGGTCTAAATTGTATAGGAACTGCATTAGGCCTAATATTAGGTACGATTCTAAGCAAACAACGTTGTTTTTTGTAAAAATTGAACATTTGTAAATTATCGACTGGTCGATAACAATGTTGCTTTCAAAAACATAAATTACTGCCTTTATGTGTAGCTTATAACAAGTAACAACTTATACACTTAACTACATATTTCTATCTGCTAAACTAACAAAGTTATTGCGTCCGCCGATTATCGACTGCTCGGCAGAGGCGTTAGCCAAAATATATTCAAATGCCCTGTAAATACCCTGTAAGTGCCTTGATGCCATGCAGGGCAAGGGCATGGTCGGGCAGGGCATGAAAGACGAATGCCCTCAGGGCATTGCAGGGCACAGGGCATGACATTTGCCAATGCCCTGCCCCGTGTGCAAGCCTGGGCGCAAATCGAAACTTCCTTAGAAACCTTCAGCGTCTAATCTTCATTATAGCAAAGCGATTCAAGTAAAGAAAATAAATACTTGCTACAGTAAACTTAAAGTGCCTATCTCTTTGTGAAGATATACTATATTCATACCTCTTCAAGTAAAATAGTAAAAATCGTCATTTAAAAATCTTCGGTAATTTTCTTGCAAAATAACACCGACCAATACCGTTTTTCGAACACAAATATAAGCATTGCAGACAGGATATAATAGTCATAACATCCTGTTATAAGACCACATAGAACAAGTAGTAGACGTGGGTGTCTCCAACTCACAACACTTATTTTTCTTTACAGTAAAGCATTAAAAATTGTAAAATAATTCTTCCTGGAAAAAAAAAAGAGTTATTTATTATTAGCCTGTGGCGGGTTTAATGTTGCTACAACAACTTTACAAAAAATGCAAAAAAAATTGTTTTTGAAATGACTTTTTATGACTAAAAATGACAAAAAATCTTACTGTTGCTTACTTACAATACTGTAAAGTCAATTTTAAAAATTTCGTAGCTACATTATGTATAATATAGTTAATATATTGATAAATAACAAAATTTACTAAAAAAAATTAAAAAATTATGCCATTAGTAACCATTATACCTCTTATCAATCTCCATGGTTTCATTTATCAACTACTATGGTGTTCTTGACCACCTTCACCTCAACCAAGGTCGTCGCGTGATAAAGTTGAAATACGTCAAAATATGACCCTAATTTCAAAAGAACCAACATTTTTGTGACTCAAATTTGGGAGAAACCGGTAAAAGTGTAAATTACAACGTATAATCAGACTAGAAAATAAAAAAATTGGCCGATTGAAAACCCAATTTACTCTACCATACACACTACACTCTACTCTACCTTGAAAATCTTTATATACTGTATATAGTGTACTATTCTTGTAACCTTTTACTTTTGAAAGTAGTATAACATAATCTCTTCTCTCCGTCTTCTCCCTCTCCTTTTCTTCACTTCCCTCACTTCCCCTCACCGCCCCTCTTACTTATAGTACTATACAAAACATACCATGTCTTCGGAATGCAAACTATAGATAAAACACATTCACGTCACAGACCATGGTAAATCATATATACTACCCTTTCTTAACTATACAAAAAATACCTTATCAAAACATACTAATCTTATAAAAAGCAAATTTTACAGTTTTTACTAAAGTAAAGCATATAACACTCTTTTAAAACTATACAAAACCCGGTCAAAACATAATGAAGGTGGTTTGAAAAAATGCAAAATTTTGTTAGTCAATTAGAGACATTTTTCGATTATAAAAACAATTTGAAAATTAGCTAAAGACTTTTGCGCTCGACTGTCAAAACAAAGAGCGCGACAAATTTAGAGGTCAAAAACAATGATTTATCGAGAAAACGGCTGCGATGCTTGCAGTGTCATAATCGACAGTTTGAACTCTTCAAACCGGCTGAAGGTTGGCGAAGGTGATTGAGGTGTTTGACAAGTTAAAAATGAAAAATTGGGCTTGAACAGGAGTCTTTTCATGGTAGGTTGAGGCTGCGTATTAGGTTCAGTAAACCAAAGCATACTCAGATAGGTAATTACGGTTTAATGAGTTCATAATTTGTAAGCCAGTACGCCTTAGGCTACTTAAGGTTGAGCTAAAGTACAATAAGTTTACATTAACCAAAAAACTTTAGTGTACCCAGCCTTACTAATTTTAGGCTTAAGTATTTCTGTAAAAAGTCGGGCTTAGTGGACGGACTTTCAGGTCTACAAAAGAGAATTAAGTTCAAAAGGCTTTTGACGGCTTCTTTGAACTTCCTGGCTCGTACGATCCGGCGTGTTACTTTTAAAATTTGATGCAGTCCGACCTCCTTTCAGGACTAGTCAGTAAAGTAGGTAAAAACGTTAGTATTTTTAGGTTATATTATACATATTATTCAAAAGATCAAAAAAGACCTATTGAACAAAACTGAGAAAGAGTGTCAAGTTAATTCAAAAAAAAAAACGCCAAAAGCAAGAAAAAAAATTAAAAATTTCAGTTTTAAAATTGATTTTCTCAAAATTGGCTAGATATAAAACCCTAAAACTTTACTCATGTTTTTACAGTCGTATAGGCTAAAACCAAAATTTTATAAAAATACAATTTCGTAGTTTTCAGTTTTGACAAAATATACAAAATCCTCCCTAAAATCAAAAACAACCCTACAATAAACCTCCAAAGATGAACTTGCAGAATTTGCAGCTAAAGTTGGAATTCCGTTGCAAATTAGCCGAAAATCCAAATTTTTGAAGCGACAAAACGAAGGAATCGAAAAAAACGTCAAGATACAAGAAAAACGAGACCGGTTTAAGGAAGCACTGGACTGTGAACAAGGCGCGCGCCTTCCTGGCACTTCTTGAAACTTTGTCATCGTGATATTGGGGGGAGTTTGTAACAATAAAAAAGGGTTTAAATATACATTAAATTGTAAAACATAATGTCATATTTCATAAAAAAACGTAGTAAATGTCAAATTAAAAAAATTGATAAACTGCAGCTCGCGGGAGACATTTTATACGATGAAAAGATGTCTTGTGTATTGTAAAGAAGCATGTTGGCAGTGAATACTTTGTAAAGAAAGTTTTTGTTGCAAAAATTATAAAATTTATTTGTTCAACAAAAAAGAACAAATAATAATTTTCAAATAAAAAAATTTGATAAACTGCAGCTTGCGGGAGATATTTTATACTATGAAAAGGCGTCTTGTGTATTGTAAAGAAAGTTATTGCCATTTTAAATCTTGTAAAGAAGTTTTTGTTGTTTTAAATTGTCAAATTAAAAGTTTATAATATTTCTTACCTAAAAAACAAAAAATTTTTCTTTCATGTTGCAGGTGAAAAGTTATACAATTATATTATAGTAGGTTGTAGTACTTAAAAAACTAGATTTTTTAAAATTATAGTTAAAACGATTTAAAATTAATTTTTTATATTTAAAATCATTCGAAGATCGAATTTATTCACTAACGTAAAAACAACTTTCACTGCAATAAAAACATCTTCTTCTGTTACCTTTAATCGCAATAAAAACCCCTTACTCACCCCAAACTCATCTCAAACTAACCTCAGCTTCATAATTTTTCAATAATTTTAAGAACTAACTACTATATCACAACAAACATAAACAATATCTACACCATCCCCAAACATTACCCCCGCAATAAAGTACAAAAGACGTCAGTCAACGAAGGCAGACGTTCCGAATCCGGAAGCGATTGGTTTGCGCAATAAATAATCCAAAATCAGCTGGATATGTTTGGAACAGAGTCGCATCACTTTACATTCTACTGCGCTTTCACTGAAACCGAGACCGATGATAAGACTATGTTATCAGAGTAAGTCACGGTGATCTCAAGACTTATGATAAATTTTGGGGTTTTCTATTAGAATGTCATCTTTTGGTCATGTTTTTTGATTGATGCTCGAGATTGTGGTTACATGTTAAGTTTAGAAGTGAAGAAAGAGTGTGTGAGGGAGGAGAGGGAAGAGGAAGAGTCAGAGAAAAGAAGACAGAATGAGAAAGAGAGAGAGAGAGAGAGAGTGAAAGAGAGAAAAAGAGGAAAAACTATAATGAAAAAAGTAGTAAATTTAAAGGAGTTTTTGGTAGTTGAAAAGAGTGTGTGTGTGAGAGAGAAGGAAGAGAGACAAAGTCGGTGAAAAAGCGACACAAAGTCAGAGAGAGAGAGAAGAGAAAGAAAAAGAAATACAGAAAAAAAAGTAGTAAATTTAAATGAATTTTTGAAAATCTAAACAAAAAGTACTAACAAGGAAAGTACCCGACCTGCCCCGCTCTGATTGACTTCAAACGTTTGATATAGAAAGATCTTGCATATAAAGATGACATCTTGACCAAAGTAATGAATTGCGTTTACCAGTGAATCTCGACAAAATCGAGAAAATAAAAAATATGCGTTTTGAAATTTTGTCCAGATTGGTATTGTGTTTCAAGAAGGTAGATTGGCATTGTGTTTCAAGCTTATAACTTTGTCATTTTTTTAGCTTTTAATCAGATTTCTTTGACTATAAGGTTAAACCAAAAAGATTAATAGTAGAAAACCTTTAACTAGACCTATGGTTTTAACTTTGCCAGCACGGCTTGTCTCAAAAAAAAGCTTACAAAACAATGCCAAATTTGCCAAGAATATCAAATATTCAAATTTTAAAACTTAAAAGCGCAAAGTGAAATTTTTTATCGATACTACTGGTGGGACAGAATACCCATATAAAAATTTTAAGTAGATTCTGGGTATGGCAGGTCGTGTACTTTCGTTGTAAGTTTAACATACTAACAAAGTATGATTTAAAATAGTCTTTTATTATAAAATTCAAAAGAAATTTAGATTAATTTTTTACCGAAAACCTTCCATTCCAAGTCAAAAACCCTCTTAAAACACCCCTAATATCACCAATATCACCTCAAACGTTTACAACATCAAAACTACAAGCTCGTTCTGTTTCTGACTCACAAAACACCCTTAAATTACGTTATTTTATATTGTAACCATCCTTCTTTTGTCTGAAAAAAGTGAAAACAGAATCCACGTTTGTTTTTTGGAACGATCACTGCTGGATGCCGTTCCAATTTCAACAAAGCATCAAACATATGTAAAGTATTGTTGTTTTTGTAAAACAGTAACACTTTACATATGTTATTGTGACGTTATGCTCGAATTAAAAGCATTAAAAATTTTTTAAAATGTTGCTTTAGATGTATTTTTGTTATTTAGTAGAAGTTAAGAACACAAAGAACGCAACAGTTTGTAATGCGTTGTGCTCTTATCTCGCGATCAGTGGCGACGGCCACGGAAAGCGGAGGCCGGCCTGCCTGGCCACATTCCTTAGCGGCCAAAGAGGCAGCCGAAAAGACGCCCTGCACAGAAATGCGAGGCTGCCTACGCTGTTGCTAGCCCGGAAAGCGCTGAATGTTGCCAATCGACCCCTGATCTTACTCGGTACGACCAGCCCCATCGCCTCAACACTGTCCAAATTAGATTTGGAAATTGACCTGCTGTGCTTAGACAAGTGTGGAGTTGTATCAACTTCAGCGGCCATCACAGTGATGGGTCCTTCAAACAAGTGTAACGTATGGTAGTTTGTGGAGATAGGAAGCAACTGCTAAGTTGTTCAGACAACAACCTGGCCACCATCCGCCGGTTTGGGGAACTTTTGCTGCTGACACATCTGGAAAGAGACGACCGTACCTCGTAAGCCGCCCTGCAGTACACGTACAGGTTATTCCGGCCACTGGCCGTCTTGATAAGCCAAGCTGCGTATAATGGAGTGCTCGGCCATCGGGGAACCACGGTGCCACATCCAGCTGTTCAGAAAGCAATCAGGACCGACCGACCGATTGACCAGTTTCTCTGGTAGATGTCCCCCAAGCACACACAGCGGTCGGGACCTCCTTTACAAACAATGCGTAAAATTGAGGCCATGTCCAACGTAATGTGGACCCTAGGCTCAGAGGTCCCGGAATTGGCCACATGCTGCCTAAGCCTCTCCATCGTCGTTCCCTACTCCGCCGCCAGATTCGATGTTCAAGAACGACTCCGGGACGTATTGGCCCCAAGTTCGTCTCTCATCTATGACTATCGACTCCAGTCAAGGTTTGCAACGTGATGTCGTACTCCTAATGACCATACGGAACCACGCGGCTGGCTTTCTCAGAAATACGGCAAGATGGACCGTTGCAATTTCACGCGGCCGAGTACACGTAGTAGTCATTAGATTGGCTGGGAGTCTGCTCTCAATAGCCCGTCACACTTTGCCGATGGCGGATATGGTACACGTAAACTTCGCTTTGCCCATTGACCATCAGTAAACCGACTCGGTATTGTTTTGTTTTTGAGTTATTTTATCTTATATTTTTAACCGTTTTGCAATAATTTTTAGTTATCTCGCGATCAGTGGCGACGGCCACGGAAAGCGGGGGCCGACCTGCCTGGCCACATTCCTTAACGGCCAAGAAGGCGGCCAAAAACACGCCGTACAGAAGAGAGACGGTCCACCTTTTTCACGATTGACCGCTTTAAAAAGCCACATGAACGAGAATCGACTCGGCAGAACGATAAGGTAGACTGTTATTTTGCTGAAAGTTTAAGTTCAAGAAGAGATTCATACTTCTAGAGTAATTTATCTTTCCATGTCTTTTATTTGTAGTATAATAAAATTAAAGTGCTATAAAACAACAACACCGTAGTAATAATGTTCAAGTTTATTTGTTTTAAAACATTATAGGTTTGGTATAATAATATTAGCATTTAGATTACTTAAAGTAAGCTTATGACAACTTGAACTTGCAGCAACAGATTGCACGGTTAATTAACTAAAAAAGATAATTATATTATTGACTAGCTATAAAAGTTTTATTAAATTAAAGTTAAAACTTTAATAACGTGTAAAATATAAAAACGTAACAATAACTATAGCAAATGGTTTCTCCTTGTATTAGGGTAAAATACTTTGGGAGTTAAGTTACCTATTTACCCCTTAGGGCACTACTGTCAGTCCCTACTAATACTATAAAGATAGTATATCTAGCCTGCGCCTTGTCCGGGTAGTTTGGACTTGCTGACCTATCTCTCCATTCTATCATTGGGTAAGGTGATAAGGTTCCTTCTTATTGATGACATATAATATTTATTATATCCTAACTACAATTTCTGTTTATGACACATTAGAAAGACTAATATACGGACAATCTACAGTACCCTTCAGATAAACCCTCAAAAGTCCCCAACTGTTCTTCCCGTTCCCCAAAACCCTTCTGCCGTTCTCTCGAAGGCCGAAGGCTTTTTTGGCAGCCGGCTGTTTCAAGAGTTCTTTTTACAATCTTTCAATATAATATATAAATGATAATTTGGTCAATCGTGACCATAACACTTGCGTATATAACTAAACTCATTTGTAACGAACTCGTACATACAGAAACTCGTGCCTGCATAATGAAAAAACTTTCAACCCCCGAGCAATTCTTATACAGAAGTTTCACCGCACAGCTTGCTCAATATAATATGAAATTTAACCTTACCCGGCACGACCAAGGAACCGTTTAGAGTTGTCGACTGAAAATGACAACATTCAATTTACTATAAGTTCTTAAATTAGAATTAATTATGGTTCGGAAAACTTTAAAAAACGTCAATTATGTATAAAACAAAAACTTACCAAGCTTTCCACTAAAATCTTTAAAACCACTTCCGAAATCCTCAAAGACTCCACGTCTGCGACGAATGTGGAAAGCTCTGGCATCAACCACTGTAATATAATATAAATATACATAGGCAAATGTAAACTCAAAACATACCAAAAGCTCCAACAAAAAGCAACAACAGTACAAACATCAGTCTCATGTTCATCGTGGTAGTATGTAACTCTTAGGAAAGTCCGACAAACACAATGTAAGACAATGCAGTATCTGTCTTTATATACTACGCTAAAAAGCGAAAACAGATCATAACCAAAAGATGATTATTTGACTGAATATGATGATGATTAAACATTTATTTTTAATATTTTTTTGCTTTTTCAATTGACGTATATTTAAAAGTGATGTGTCTTACATTGGTAAGATACGTTGTATTTCAAAGTTTGTAAACCAACTTAAAATTTTGAACAAGACAAATACTAAAAATTGAAAAAAAACATAATTACCATTTTAAGTCGAGTTACAGTAAAACAAAGTAATCCATTACTATATTATACATGGTAATTATACGATTGAGTACCACGAAAAATATATATGTAATATAGCACACAAAAACCAACAGAAGATGTCATTTTTAATGGGCTTTCAGAATCTGTACCGGTCGTTATTGTAGCTTCGTTACTCGTCGAGTTACAGTAGTATAAATATTTCCTTACTGTATTATACATGGTGAATATACGATAAAGGACAACAAATCAAGAAAACAAATGTATGCTAATTTTTCTTTTATTGGTTGCTATTATATATATTGTATATATTTTCTTTATTGTAACGCCACAATCAAGTGACTTAAAATTCAAATATTTAAAGTAAAAAAATATTTATTTTGACATTTTTTTGCTTTAATATTACATTGTAATATTATATATTGTAAAGCTAGTTATATACATATAGAATATTATTGTTGATTCTTCTCTGAGCTTCTCATATAGTCATCCAGTTCAGCATCGAGCTGTTCTCGAGTCATCTTTTGATTGGGAGCCTTTTTGTGGTTGCACACTGGGCTCTTCTTTGCAGTATTGTTTGGTGTGGCTAGCCTTTTAGTTACTCTTTGGCTAGCCGGTTTGTGCTTCACAATAGTGATAGTTTGGGGCCATTCTCTTTTGGTTCTTCGTAGTTGTGTCACAACTTTTTCAACATGTCGACTTCTGTTGTTGCCAACTATCTCTCTCAGAACATTCTGAGATGATCTTCTTCTTTTGCCATTAAATCTTGGACGGTGTTCTGGCTTCTTAAGGATGGCTTTGTGGTTGAATCCGGCTGGATTCTTAAAGCTGTTCTTGTTGTTGAAGCCGGCTGGTATCCTTTTCCATGCTTTCTTGGTGTTTTTGGTATTCGAAGCGTCCTTGCGAACTGATGCTTTCTTTTTTTTTTTTTGCATCCAGAGGCTTGTCCATGAAGTCGTTGGCGCTGATTTGGCTGGCGGAGATAATCTTTCCAGGCATATTAATAAGTATTTTTTAAAAACTGAAAACGTAAAAGTTAGTGTAAAGTAAACACGATATGTTACAAAATCAATACGATAAAGCATTTGTTTAATAACTAAATTAAAGCATATTTGTAAATGTAATTAATATAGAAAACCTAAGAGCTAATCCGTACTCACCTATTAAACACTAAACTAAAGTTTGGTATGGCAGAAGATGGAAATAGCTCTCCTTTTATAGTATCCGGATTCAAATCGGTACAAATTTATATCAAGAGGTCAAAAGTTAAAAGATCAAAGTTCATGGTACAATCCTTTTGATCTTTAAATGCGCACTGAAAACTTAGGCTCTAGTCTTTTGACCTTAAGGGCTTTGATACTATTCCTGATGCGCACAAATATCTTGTTTTTAAAGTAAGGTAGTATTGATAAGATTAAAAAGATTTTTTTTGTAAAAAGTACAATTTAAACTTACTAAGTGCAGTATTACTACTTAAAATATGTTACAAATATAATTAATATTTTTTGAGTCTGGTCGATCATATAATAAAGTTTATTGATTTTTCAGTATAATAACAATATTATTAATATTAGTGTTATAAAATACTTGATTTGAATGTTTATTCATGGTTTGAACTTTTGGCAACGATCACTTTGGTTCAGTTAGTTATTTACCTGAAAATAGACAGTAAATAGGATATACCATGTGTGCTTCTTGTTTGAGGTAATAATGTTATAATTCACGTCAACCTCTAGTTATACTATGTTATACGTGTAAAAAGACAGATCATTACCATTTCATATAAAAAAGATGATTAGACAGCAAGCAAGGTTTATAGCACCACAATGTTATGGTTACTGTTACTTACTCATATAAATCTTAAAGTTATTGTCCAGCACGCATATATGTGTAAAAGAAGTACATATACGTATACAAGCCGAAGAGAGTATCAGTAGTAGCAATAAGTACGTGTTAAAGCCACATCACAAAACAAAAGCTAAGTACTGTAACTTACTTTGAATATGTATAGTTTACAAGATAGTAAAGTCTTTAAAGCAAATAAAGCATGGAAGTTTTACAGAGTAAAGATGCTGACTTCTAAACATTTAGTAGTTAATAGTAGCGTATTCATTTTGAGGTAGCGTACCTTCATGCGTAGCACCATATGGTTGTTGTTCGGAAGAGGAAAAGATTTTGTCGACTGAGACTTCTGAAGCAAAGGTATAGTAAAAAAAGCCAAAAAGGTTGAAGCAAACAAACAGTGGTAGTAAAAAGAAATTTTTAATTTTCTTAAAAGTTTTTTAACCAAAAATAAAATTAAAGTTTTTTTTGTAAAATTAGGTATAAACGAGACATATCTAGCCAATTAGCACGGACAAAACTTACTGAACTGACTCCACATGTCTTTAAAGAAGTCCGTGGTGTTGTCTACCGCCTTATTGAAGGCTTCTTGGTTTTCTGAAGAAGCAAAGCGATAGAATGCGAGAAGATTCAGCACTACGGAAATAAATTCACTTGGACAACCCTAGTAACACCACAGTTTATTTAAAATTCAACGTTACTTTTCCTTAAGGTACAAATACCAATCTAAACTACATATTTTGGAAACTAGACTGAATTTTTATTTGCATCACTGCTTAAACTGAAACGCGAACATATAAACGTATTAACACAAGTATAACAATCCACATAACAGCACAGTAACAATTACAGTAACACGAGTTTATTAGTATCAAAAACATGTAAAAAAGAAGTAGAGTAATGTAAAGCAGTACACATAAGTTAAAACGTCATAAAATACAGAGTTTACAGTTAAAAATATATCATCAAGACAATATCTAGAGACAGGAGATTTAAAAAACATTTACTATTGTAAATAAGAAACATATACCTATAACAAATAATTAAAGACCACTAAAAACCCTTCAGGTCTTTCAAGTAGTAATAAGATTGCATTGTTAACAAAAATAACACTTTTTGCTAGAATTTCGACTAATTTTTACTTAAAATAGACCTTATTACACAAGAAAGTCGTTGAAATACGATGAGAATACTAGTTAACCTTAAAATGATAATACTGAACTTTGTACAAGATAGGGAAGGCTAAAGATTGACTTTAGGAAGTTATAACTCCCTTGAACAAAAAGTAGGTAACACAACATCTTACTGGTAGGCCTTGTTAAACCAAAAATAGGTAATAACCCGCCTAGGCCAATAAGTATAAAACGAGACCACTTAAGCCAAGAAGTAAGTGATAAAGACAAGAGAAATGACGTTAAACATCAAAAACATCTTATCCACACCCGCCGACGCCTTAACCATACCCTCGTTGTTGACAAAGTCCTTGCCAGCCTTGTATCCCTTTTGAGCTTGCTCGCCAGTCCAGTTGGCTGCGTCCTGAGCTCCTTGGCTAATTGATTCTCCGGCTTTTTCTGAAAAAATGTAATTTTATATTGACATATTAGATCTAGAAGTATGAACTGATAATGTAAAAACTTAAATGATAACATAAAGTTAACATAACAAAGCTGTACCATATAGTACAATATAAAAAAAAGATAAAATAAATGAAAAATATTAATGCCTAAACTACGTTTCGGCCGCCAAAATCAGAGCAAACCGACCAACCAGTTTAGATCACCATCACAGACCCCTACCCTATCAAAGATAAACTAAAATACCATAGCCAATTCAAAAACAAAATAAGCATACTTAAAATAAAACATTTTTATTATAACATTGTTTATATAATTCTGTACCCCTTCACCTACAAAATTTGCTTTGAGAGAGGCACAGAATTATTCGAACAATATAATAAGTTGTGTAAAAAGTTTTGAGCCTAGACCAAAATTTTTTACACAACCTATGATAACTAAAGAAAACCAAAGAATTTAAGCTTTTGTTTAGCTCAAATTACCGAGATTGTCTTGTGGATGTTCCACAAGATCTTTGGTGGCAGTGTAAGCCGATTTACCGGCATCTACAGCAAAATCACCAGCTTTTGCTGCGCCGTCTTCAATCGCCTTTCCAGCGCTTTCTATAAGTTTTTAAAGTAAGTTTATACCTTTCTACTTGCTTTAGGCTTTATGTCACACAAATCTTACTGATTTCTGAGCTATACTTACGTTAATATTATAAAAATGTAAAGTAAAATACGTAATCTAACCAAAATACTTTCTTTAATTTCAAAACCCCCAAATTTACTAAACTTTTCCGTAAAAACACGCTAAAATACGAAAAAAAACATACGAAGATGTTCTCCTGGGCGATCAGCAAAGTCCTTGGCTCCATTGTAAACTGATTCTCCGGCTTTGCCAACAGCGTCTCCAACTTGTGAAGCAGTTTCTTTGATGTTGTCGAACCAGTCACGTTTGGCACGAAGACGAACGTCATTTGCGTATACAGCTAAAAATTATCATTGAGAAAAGGTTTAGATCAATATTGTTAAAGTAAATTATAATTTACATCTATAAAGCCACCGGATTTTAGATAAAACATTAAAAATGATGTTATAGTAGGTAAACTAATAACTTTACTATGAAAAACCAAAAATGCCGCAAATGTTAAAGTAAATACACGAAAATAGTCTTGAAACAACATTTTTTAATTTTAAAAAACTTACAACAAGCAGCAACAATAAAACAAACCAAAGCAATCATGTATTTCATGTTGATCAACGCTTCTAAAAAACAAAAGTTAGGCAATTGAACACAATATTATGTTTATATAGCTCGCAAATACCACGGTAAATAACAAGATTAACTCGAATTTCAATGTTCAAGCAGCTGATAAGCAAAAATGGGGCAGTGAACGGCGAAAGTAAACCATTTCATGTAAAATAACATCAAAAAGCGAGAGGAAACTGATCTAGATCACTTTATATCTATGTCATTGCTTTGTTTTTAGATATTTATTCTAAAGATTAAGATATTAGCATTGTCTTACGTGAAATACAGACATTTTGAAAAATTGGTAAAACAACAAAAATAGTAAAAATAAACAAGTATAATATCTATAACATGACTTTTGACCCTAAAATAATTAAAAACCACATAAAAATCATTATGATACACTCATTCTACATATAGCTTATCTTTTATACTACAAAAAGCCTACAGTCAATGACTATGCTCCACATATTCAAAAGATGACTATTATATGATAATGATGAGGAAGAAGCCTATGATAATTAATATTCGGCTATTCAACGTTTCAATTCTACTTTTTGAAAAACAATCATAAGCTACAAAAGCTGTTCAAACATTTGCAATAGCTAATTCGTAGATTATTGTTTTGCAATTCAAATTATTTTAAAAATCATATTAACCATGATGGTCAGAATAGTGATGTTTGAAAAATAAAGGTAAACCGTATTTTTTTGAACTTTAGGTAAGCTTGAAATGATTAAAAAGGTAAAAAAGCAGAGTATTCTAAAACTTTCAATACAGAAAGTTTTGCATCGTAAAACTTGAAGCACAGGAAAACTCATATTCTCCTTGAAAATCAGATGTGACCAGCAAAAACCTCAGTGAAAACGCCATTTTTAAACCTTTCACATAAAAATACATGTTACAAAATATTAACAAGAACATTAGGAACGTTTTACGAGTAACTTTACTTCCCCACAAACAAATTACAACGCGTTTTATTAACCTTATACCTTCGAAACACCAAATTTGACAAACTTTCTTCCGCCCTTCGCAATACGTATTGTAAATAACTGAAAACGAAGCGTTCGACCCAAGTTTTATACTTTTTATAACCTCAAGAGAACCCACTTCACGTCACATTACTCATGACTCATCCACAATAACTACTAGGACAAACACCAACCTTAACATAGATTGGCTCAAAGTTTCGCAAATAATCCCTGAACTTTTGTCGAAAATCTTTGCGAACAGCCGTTGGAAGCGAATTTTAATGAGGAGGGCAAATGAGTCAGCAGTAAAAAACAGGTCAAAGCAGCTGCTAATCATCTTTCATTATTCATCAAGATGGATAATATGTTATGACTGGGCTTTCGAGTGGCCATTTTGCCACAGGTCACCCAGCTCAGCCAGACAGAGGAGATTTTGAAAGGAATTGATACGAATACGTTGAAAACTAACAAAATATAAACGATTCTCAAAGAAATTTAACCAAATTATCGAAAAAAACCTTATTTGGATGAGATTCTTTCATCCGCAGCTCGCGCATTTCTAGTTTGTCGGTTTTGCAACCTGCGGCACTTTTTTATACGAACAAACAATTAAAAATAAATTAATTTTACAAAACAAAGTTAAAATTATGCAAATTAATTACGAAAACAAGTGAACGAATAAAAGACAAGATGCGTTTGAAGTTTCGTTATTTCTATTCTAAACTTTGAGAGTGAAAGGTGTGTTGATGAACAATGGGTCTTCAGAACCTCATCAACAAGCAAGTTGAGAAAGGCATCGAGAAAAAGGCTAAAAATGCTGTTGATGGTGCAATTGGTACTGATGGAGAATCAGGAGGAAAAGAAACTGACGGAGAAGAGGAGGTACGCTTTATTTGAGGTGTTTTGGAGTTTGGGCTTGATGGCATGGATAATATCGGGCTTTTAGGCAGAACTTTTTTAGTTACGATGTTTGGGTTATGAAAATGGAAGCACTGGGACTTTAGGTTATGCTGAATGTTATGTAAAAAATTTGTTGAGGTTGAAGCCTTTTTTGTTGAATTATTTAAGATTGAAGTTGGACGTTATGGTTAATATCGGGGACTTGGTCAGAACTCTCTTAATTCTTAGTCTTTTAGCACAGTTCTTTTTTTATAGTATAAAATAGAATTTTGATTCTAAAAAAATAATTTTAAAGACAAAGTTATTGTTTAATGAAACCTAAAATGGTGGTATTGTTTCAGCAAGACGATGGAGGACGTGGTCGCAAGTTTTTCCGCAAATTAGGCAACAAAATTCGCCGGAAACACGATTCAACGTCACCGGATTCTGATGGACACCAGAATATTAGAGGAAGACCGAAACAGAAGAGAAAACGAAATACAAGTGGCAATTCTTCACCAGCCACACCCGTCTCTTCTATACCTGATGTGGACACTGGATCAAGCGCCGGTTCTGGTACCAAACCGTCGTTTAGTGATACTGAAACTCCTATCGAGTCTTCTGATGGTGGTAGTAGTGATACGGTGAGGCGAAGGTTTCATTTTTTGAGGGGAAGAGTTTTGAATTTGGTGTTTGCTTTGATTATATTGTAGTAGATGAGTTGTTTCGAGAAAATTTTGATAATTAGTTTAAAATCTTTGGTATTTAGGCAATAGTTTGTAATAATATTGGTTTTTTGGTATTGTACTGTAATTTTTCGCTTTAGGACAGTGCTCGCACACCATCAGGAAACTCCAGAGCCGGATCAGATTGGCAAACCGACTCCACAGCTTCAGATCAATCAGAGATTGATGAACGAAAGAGAAAAATTCATGAAAGGGAAGAAAAACGTCTCAGGGAAATGAGACCGGATGGTGCTGTAGCCTACAATCCGCGAACTAATACAGAATTCACAGTACGAGTCAGAGTAATCGAAGCCAAAGAGCTACAAGGTGAAGGTCTGAATCCGCTGGTCAGAGTTAGTTTGGGAACAAAGACGAGAACAACAAGGTCTGTCAGAGGAACTGATCGGCCGTTTTGGAATCAGACGTTGGGGTTCACGGTTAAGACTTCTATCGAAGAGCTTGCTATGTTAACATGCGTGTTTAACGTTAGTTTTGTTGTTTTTGATCGGGTTTTTATTTAAAATGAGATTTTTTGATAATTTTAGGAATAAAACAGCACTTTTTACGATGTTTTAGGTCTACTCAGCCCGTCGCCTCATCCGCGACTCTCTAATCGGCACCTTTGGCATCAATATGGGTGTAGTATATCACAGTAAAAACCAGGCGGTAGTGGAGAAGTGGGTTGCCTTAATGCCAAGCCAACAAGAAGACGAGAACGGTCTTGGAACGGCGACTGAAATTAGAGGATTTTTGAAAATTTCAATTTGTGTCTTCCATCCAAATCAGATCCCACCGAGTTTGGTGTCAAGAAGGGGTGGTGAAGATGAGGATGCGGACGTTTTGTTCAGGTCACAGTTGTTGAACTACTGTTTACGAGTAAGAATATTGTGATTGGGGGTATGGGAATGGTAAAAGACAGTTTAAATTTTTGGTCCCACCACGAAAACTTGAAGTTATTAACGGCGGTAATTGAAACGTCGTTTTATATAAAATTAAAAGGTTTGAACTTAAAAGTAAAAAATACGAGGTTTTCAGATAAGACTATACAAGATTTGTCAACTTGCCGATCATATCCGCTACCCGTACAATTCAGCACCACAGGCACCAGCTGAGCTGGCGGTGGAAGTGGCTTCAGGTGCCTACCATGCATTGTCATCGTTTCAAGAAGCTGGAGATGAATCAGTCATGTTTGGAGAAGAGATTCAGATTCCAATCATGTGGCCTACGGTCATAAAACAGGTACGGTTTGGTACTAATGGGACTTTTTAATGTTTGGTACTAACAGAACTTTTTTAACGTTTGGTACCAATAGTACTTTATAACAAAATAATTTAGATCCGATTTCGATTGGTGGCCAGAAACAAGCGTAACAAGAAGCGAGTACTGTGTACCGAGTTTGTCAGTATGAGAGACATGTGTCAGCCGGGTGAACAGGGATTTCTACCCAATTTTGGCCCAGCTTTCATTTCTTTTTATGGCCCAGAACCGAAGAGGAAAACGTGGAAACCATGGGAAAAGAACCAGATCAAGGAGGGCAGGGTTCAGGGATCACAGTATGTGGTTTGATTGGCGTATTTGAAGAAACTGATATAAAATGAAAAAAATGAATTTTCAGTTTTTGTGGCCGAGTCTTTTTCGAATTGAGTTGTGAAGAGTCTGGCATTCAAAAGACTCATGTTGTCAACATCCCAGCAGCCATTGTCCAAAGCGCCGAGAACTTTTACCGACAGCAACGATTCTCACTGTTCTGCTCGTTCTTCGCTGCCAATTTGATTCATTCGGACTTTAAGTAGGTTTATAAGGGATATAGTACTAATAGTACTCTTACGGTACTATTTATTGCACTACTAGTACTATTTTGATACTATTGCTAATACTTTATGAAAAGACATCATATAACTTTTTTTTAACTTTTTACTACTTTTTTTTGATATTTGTAGTAGTGCTTATGGTGCCATTTTAATGAAAATTATATAAAAAATTTTTTTTTGATGTTATGATTATCATTATGGTGAATATTATATATTTTCAGATCGAAAAACATTCGTTTTTTGGTGTCCATCGGCGAATACGGTAGTCAGGACTACGGTAATGTGTTAACATCAACAAATCAAACATTACCAGTTATGCCATCGTACGACACGTCATGTCTGTACGCGATGCCCTGGGGAAACGAAAAACCGATTTGTGAAATTTTGTGCGATTGGGAGGAGATCTCATGGCGATTCGAAATTGCCAATGTTTTACATAGGGTAAAGGGGGTTTTTAGGCTTGATGCTTATATTATAGTAGGTGAAAATCCTAAAAATGAATTTTTATGCCATTTCTACCTCTTTCAGACCTCAGACCTTCTACTAGAAGTCCAAGAAGAAGCTCGAATGAAAGCCGGCTCAAACCCAGAACAATCAGAGCTGGGCTCATTAGTGGTCGAAGCTCTGGAAGAAGCCGCCGATTGCTTTGAAATCTTGAACAATATTATCAAAGTAGTCCTCAACTCGAGTGCATCCCTAACAGCACTTGATACTATGCTACTGCACGCCAGATCAGAAGCCTTGTATAAGTACTACAAGACGTTTGTCGACTTTAAGTTCTCCATGATCGATATCACGGAGATGGAGGAGGATACGATCAATCAATTGGGCGTGTTCGCCAACCAGCTGAAGGACATTGCTCAAGACCCACAGGTCTCGATACCTGATTTGTGTGTTCATATGATTGTGGACAAGAATGTGGTTGGGTATGCGAGGATTCCAGTCAGTGAGGTGAGGAAGAGTACTATGGCCGTAGTTATGGATGGGAGTTTACTGTAGATGAGGACAGGGCCGTTTGCTCTGGGAGTACTTGTTAGCTTGTTCAAATAATTCTGAGCCCTTTAACCCTGAAATTTTTTTTTTGAAAAGTGGTTAGAATTATTTGAACAACCTAATAATAAATATATCGTTAGATACTTATGATAATATAAAAAATGAGGCTATAATCTTAAACAACCTATTAGAAACATACGAAAGGATTTTTATAATTATGATTTTTCTAGATTTACTACAGTAAATCATCGATGAGACGAGGAAGATACGCCGGAAAAATTCAAGCAGTTCCATTGGTTTGGCCGACTGCGCAAATGGCCAAGTTTAAGGTAAGAAGCATGCGTATTTCAATTAATATTTTTAGTTCTTATATCATAATTTAAATTGTGGTACTAGTGTGCATGTTACTATTGGTAGCATGTATTTAAGTTCAGATTGAAGCTCTGAAAACTTGACTTCTTTATGTTGTAGTAGCCTAAAATGAAAGTTTTTTAAGTTATAGTAGCTTAAAATGGAAATTGTTAAAGTACCGGCTAATTTTGGAGCTTGGGAAATACTGTACTGTATATAATGATAGTAATGTGCAGTATTTGCTGTAAAAATTTTAAAAAAACGGTTTTTAGCGCCACGAACTGCCAGCAGTAATCCACATGAAAGCCTGGTTTGGGAAGACAAAATATCGAAAGGCTTGGCTGGATCTGATCAAGCCGGCATTCATGAAGTACTATGCCGAATTGTTCTACAATGAAAAACGGGCCATTCTAACATCGAAGTGGAAGAGCACAGAGTAAGGCTGTACTATGATAATGTACTTGATATTGTTGGTTTAAAGTAGTATTAGGTTGTTCAAATAATTCTGTGCCTTCTAAACACAAAAATTTGTTATGAGAAGAGGCACAGAATGATTTGAACAATTTTTGCGACAAAATTTTAAAACTTTACTTTAGTAAGAAGCCATTTGCCATATCGGATGAGACTGGCCAGATCGAGTTGTCCGAATCTGCCATCTACCCACCCTCAGGCTGGAAATTCGAAGGTCAATGGCAACCGAAGCGATGTCACGACATGTGGGTGGGGGCGGATGCTGGCCACACCTCATTTGAAGACGAGTTCTTTGAAGTGAACGAGAAGAACATGGTGACTCAGGAATGGAAATTCCACTCATCTACTGGCTACTACGGTGATCAGATCAACACACAAACGCTACATGACCCACCTCCTGGCTGGGTGTATGTCACCAAGTGGAATGTGGATCTGCATTGTTTGGGTAAGGGGGGGTTGAAATTTTGAATTTTGAAAAAATTTTTTTTTTATTTTTATAATTTCGGAAAATGGTTTTAAAAATTTTTTTTAAGTTTTGAATTTTAAATGATACCACTACAACAATATTATTGTAGGTGACACAGATGGCTGGACCTACTCAAGCGGACTGGAGTTTTGGGACGAGCAGAATGTGGACACGGTGGAACGAATCAGCCATCGCTATCGACGAAGACGACACGTCAGGAAGAGAGTATTCAAGAAGGAGGGCGTGGGCGTGGCAGAAATGTTTGAGGATCTGAGAGAATTTGCAAAGAATCTGGACGAAGAGGGATGGGAGGTGAGTAGAATTGTAAAATACGGAATTTATCGAGTTTTTGAAATTTTTTAGGTATTATATTTGTAAATTTTAGTACGCAGCCAGATTCGGCGAGCCAGTCCATCTACTACAACAAGCCGTGGACAAGTTCAGAAGACGACGTTTGGTCAGAGAGTTGGTGCCACTTGAGGATAACGCTCGATAGTAAGCTTTTTTGATATACGAAAGTGAAAGTGTAGAAAGTAATTGGAATTTGGAGGGTTTCCTTACAATGCTTTATTTACCTTTAGCAAGCTGGAAATGGGCGTAGACACGAACAAGGACAAGCTCGAGGATCTCAGGTTCTTGTCGCCGCGAATCTACGAAGTTCACGACCAAGTCAGTGTGTTCCAACTACGAGTCTATGTGTTGTGGGCCAGAGAGATTCACTCACCGAAGAAGCACCTAAGCAGAGCCTTTGTCAAGGTCTTCTTCCTCAATCGATGCCAACAAACCTTCATCGTCAGCAACTCGCTGAATCCGATTTGGAATGAAACACTCATCTTTAAGAAGGTAAAATACGCTTTTTGAAAAAACATAAAAAAATTTGAAAAAAACATAAAAACATTTGATAAGAAAAAATAAAAAAATTTTAAATTTTGAATTGTTTAAAATAAAAAAAGGCGCTAGGACAAATGCGGTTTTTGGACATTTGCGGATCTGCGGTTTTTAGACTTGCGGATCTTCGGTTTTTGGACATTTGCGGATTTTTTAAAGGTTTTTTTTTATTTTTTATTTAATTTAGTTGTAGTATGGTACTAAATGGTAATAAAGTTTAAATTGGCACTGTCTTAATATTTCTTAATGTTAAATAGTACTAAATTTTTAATCGGTACTGTTTTTATATTTTTGGTACTAAATAGTACTAAAAGCCCAAAAAGGTACTGTTATGTTAAAACCGTACCAATTCAAACTTTAGTACAATTTAGTACCATAATACAACTAAATTAACTAAAAAATAAAAAAAAACCTTTAAAAATCCGCAAATGTCCAAAAACCGCATTTGTCCTAGCGCAAAAAAAAAAATATTTAGATTTTGATACCCGGAGGCTCAGCTGCTCTTCAAATGAACCCGCCAGGAGCTGTGGTGGAAGTTCACGGTGAAGAACAGAACGGTAAACCCGTTTTTTTGGGACGTTTCGACTTGAAACCTGTGGTGGTGAACTCGGCAACCGATTCCAGGTCGCGTCCTGGCTGGAGACCGTTGAGATTCCCAAACAACAAAATTAAGTACGGTACTAGTTGGAATAGTACTGAAGTTTTTACTTTGTGACATGATTTTTGAAAAAATTTAATTTTGGACTACTGCAGGGTTACTGTAACTTGATTTTTAGTATTTTAGGTTATTGTAGGTTACTGTATTTTGATTTTTGTGTTTTAGGGTTACTGTAATTTGTTTTTATATTTTAGGATTCCGTAGGGTTACTGTATTTTGATTTTTAGAGTTGAGCTTACTGTGGGGTTACGGCACTTTGATTTTTATGTTTTTTGTAATCGTACCTTGGATTTGTGTTACTGTAGGGTTACTGTAGCGTTAGAAGTAGATAGTACAGTATCATTTTCAGAGGAGCCCTCCTTCTTCACATGGAACTCTTCATCAACGACCCAGCCTACGAAACCCTGGCCCCACCCCTGCCAGCCCTTAAACAAGACTTGGACAACCGCTTCGAGGTCCCAATGGACTGTCGACCACTGTTCACCAACTTTACCGTCCAAATACTGGCATGGGGCGTCCGCAACCTATCCCGACATCAGCTAATGTCAGTTCGATCGCCCTTTATCGAGATTACAGTAGCCAGTCGGAAGGACACGACCGATATCATCGACGATACCTCCATCAACCCTAACTTCACCCTGCCACTGCTGACCTTCACCTCGGTCAAAATGCCCGCTGAGCTGGGCTTTGCACCGCCCATCGTACTGAATCTGCACGATCGCAGAAGTTTTGGCCGGAAGCCATTGGTCGGGTCGTGTATCGTGAAAAACTTTCAGAAGTACATGACAGGCCCCACCAAGCAGAATCAGCAAGATGAAGATGCCTGGGAGACGTTCGACAAGGATATGCAGGATGAAGTTCAGAAACAATCAGAAGACACGAAAGCCCTGAAGAAGGTGGAGCCAGAAGAGTATCTCGCCTTCCCCGACGACCCAAACAGCCCCAAAATCGACTGGTGGTCTCGGTACTACTTTTCGAAGAACGTACTAGAGAAGGCACCAGGCTACAAGGAATTGAACCTGGCCAAACTCTCCATCTTCAAAGTACCATTGGAAGATGTAGGTGAATATAGAGGGTTCGAGGACTTTTTGGACACCTTCACCTTTACCAAACCCTATGCCAACAAGTTAGATGCGGTCTCAGACAAGAAGGGCGAGCTGAAGGGCAAGCTGTTCATCACAAAGCATGAGGAAAAGCAGGGTAGGTTGGTTTGTCTGGTGTTGTTATTTGATGTTATAGTAGGTTGTATCAGGTTGAGGATATTTTTGATTGTTATGGTAGTTTAGGCTTGGAGTTGTGGTACTTTTTATGAAAGTAGAGTTATATTATAGTAGTTTTTAAGATAATTTACTTATATTATAGTAGTGTATGGGCAGATATAGCTATATAACGACAGATTTTGGACCATAGCGTCTATATTATGGTAGTTTTTGGTCTAATATACTTAAATTATAGTAGCTTTGTTGAAAATATAGCCATATTGTAGTAGTTTTTAAGCCAATATGCGCATATTATAGTAGTTTATGGGCAAAAATCACTATATAATGATAGATTTTTGACAAAAACGCTTATATTATGGTAGACGTTAAGCCAATATACCTTTATTATAATAGTTTTTAGCCTAGTAAACTTATATTATAGTAGATTTCTTCAGAATATATTGAAAACTGTACCATTTTCTGAACAAAAGGTCTAAAAAGTACCATTTTAGCCCCAACAATAATGTTGTCAGGAGTGGAGTTCGATGGACCGGTCGAATGTGTAGTCCGTGTCTACATCGTCTCGGCCTATGACCTGGTGAGCAGACGAAGATCAGGCCTGTGCGATCCCTATGTCAACATCAGATGCGGAAACAAGAAGAAGTACAAGGGCTACAAGAACTACTGTCCGGACACGCTGAACCCGGTGTTTGGGAAATGTGTTGAGCTGGAGGTTATGATACCACAGGAGAAGGACCTGACCATCTCGGTCATGGACAAGCGATTGGTCATGTCGGGTAGGGTTGAACAGATTTTTTGGTTTTTATATCGCAAGTAAAGTAATAGTCTAAAAAAGAAATGTGGTGCATTATGCCAAGATAGTAATTTTGTGGTATGAATGTTTTCGTGGTGGGACTCAAGTTAATCATAAAAAGTTTAAATACATTTTTTATTAATGTGAGTTTAAAAAGTCAGTTTTGATGTTAAAATAGGCTTTTACGGAGATTTTTATGCTTGAAAGGTTTTCGTGGTGGGACTCAAGTTAATTCAAAGTTAATCTTAAAAAAGTTTAAATACATTTTTTATTATTAATAACAGTTTAAAAAGGCAAGTTTTGTGTTAAAATAGACTTTTACGGAGATATTTTTTGATTTAAAGTTTTCGTGGTGGGACCAACTTTTTTGATTTTTCGAATAATTTTTTTTAAATATGGATTAAAAAAATTAAAAAGTGGGTCTCACAACAAAAACTTTTATTAGGTTGTTCAAATAATTCTGCGCCTCTTAAACTCGAAAATTTGATTTGAGAGGAGCTCAAGATTATTTGAACAACACAATATTTAAAAAAAAATTTTTTTTAGAAATTTGGTAAGGGTAGTTATGACAAGTTTCATGTGATATTGTGATAATTTTAAAAATATTTTTAGACAATGAAATTGGATCAACAACGATCGATTTGGAAAATCGATTATTGACCAAATTCAGAGGAACAGTCGGCTTGCCAAGAGAGTACAATGTGGTAGGACCATTGCCGTGGAACGACCAGCTGAATCCACTACAGATTATGCGACGGTAAGGGGTTTGGAGGGATAGCGCGGGGTAGGGTAGGGTAGAGTACGGTAGGGTACGGTAGGGTGTTGTAGGATAGGGTGGGGTACAGTAGGGTATGTTAGGGTAGGGTTGGGTAGGGTAGGGTAGGCTATGGTAGGAAGAGGTAGGGTTTGATAGATATTGCTTTATGTTTTTACCATGCCATTTCCAGATACTGCAAGAAAATGAACCTCCCACCCCCAAAAATCACGAGCAGCGACAAGGGCGTGGGCATTGAATGGGCAGGAGTGACATTCCACGTATCAGAAATCGAAAAAGAACCCTTCAATCCAGACTTTGCTGGCCGCCCAATCCAACGGCTAGCTCTTCACATTCTGCACAAGATTGGACTAGTACCAGAACACATTGAAACGCGACCATTGTACCACTCTGTCAACCCCGAGATGGAGTGTGGCCAGTTGGAGATGTTTGTCCACATCTTTCCGAAAGCGATCAGCGACAGAATACCAGCGACAATCGACATTTCACCGCGAGAACCGAAGCCTTATCAGTTGCGATTGGTCATCTGGGGCCTGAGAAATGTCATTCTGCCCAAAGTCAGCTTTGGCCGGCCGGTAAGGGGTTGAAATTGAGATTTTGAAGGGGATTTTGGTACAATTTTTTAATTTTTTAGAGATAAAGGGGGGGGGTGTTTTTTAGAAGCGGGAGGTGTTTTTTAAATTTTAGTATTTTATGAAGAGTTTAACCTTTGCACGGTGCAAAAAAGTAATATTTTACTTTTGCACGGTGCAGAAGAATAAAATTTACCCTTTGCACAGTGCAAATTATAATTTGACCCTTGCACGGTGCAATCAAAAGAATTAATCGTTTGCACGGTGCAATCTTTAAAAGTCCCTCTCTCATTTCATTGCACTGTGCATTCCTTCGTAAACAATTGCAAACCAATTGCACCGTGCAGATTTACCGACCAATGTTTGAAAGTCTGCACAGTGCGATCGCCACGACTCCTTCACTGTTGTCGCACAATCAACGCTGCTTGCGACAGTCAAACAAATGTCTGTCGCAGAAATTTGAGTGAACATGGAAAGGATGTTGTCGTAGCGACAAGGGTAAAGACATTGTTGCAGCGAAGGGGGCAAAAGTTGTTGCAGCGGCACGAAAAAAAGCTTTGTCACAGCTACACTTGCGCGACAAACTGTGAAAATTGCTGCAATTGCTTGCACTTTGCGACATTTATCGTCAAACACGGTGTCGCAAGGCCTGTGCGTCTGCGACAAGGCTTGCTCTGCTTTTTGGAAAACAATGCGACACAATCTTTGAGAGCGACAAAGCGACAAATTTTGCAAAGTTTTGTTTGACAGCTTGCGACAAATTTGTTTTGGACTGTCGCAAGTGGGACTGGTTCTGCGACAGACGGATTGTTTGGGCTGCACTGTGAAGTGGTAGATAGGAATGCACTGTGCAGGGAGTGAGGTTTGCACAGTGCAACGAATTAAACTTGCACGGTGCAAATGATTAGGTTTGCACTGTGCAAAGAATATAATTTGCACCGTGCAGTCTGTAAGAATATAGTTTGCACTGTGCAATGGCTAAAAAGGGAATGGTTTTTGATTGCACCGTGCAGAATTTTAATTTGTGTTTTGCAATACTGAAATCTTTAGCGACAAACTGGGTTTGTGGGAACATTAAATTACTGTGTATCGTTATCATCGTTCTGAAGTTTTTTTAGGAGATTCGCACTGTGCAAAAGGATAAAAATGCTATTTTTCTTGTGTTTTGCACCGTGCAGAGCTTTTATCTTTAAAAAAACATTTTCGTTCTTGGTTTGACTGACATTTCTTGTAATAGGTACTTACGTCGTCCTTTTTAAAAGTATAATCTCATCTCTTTTATTTAAATTAATGGTCTTATTCTCCTTCAGGCCGGCGATCTGTACGTGCGTTGTTACCTAAATGGCATGGAGAAGTCGCAAAAGACGGACATTCACTTCCGTTGCCTCGATGGAGCGGCTTCTTTTAATTGGCGCTGCGTCTTCGACTTTGACTACGACGTCTTCCAACGCCAGATCCAGCACTACAAGAAGAAGCGATGGTTCAGGAAGAGGTCGTCCGAACTGGTCGACCCAATCCTCGTCGTCCAGATCTGGGACAACAACAAGTTCAAGAAGGACCGCTACATTGGTCAAGTCCAGCTGGACCTACTCGGCTTCGAAGAGGGACTGGTCGACGAAGAGGAGATTCAGGCGGTCGGCTACGAAAAGGACCCGGACGCATCTTGTACATGCTGCAAACTGTGCACGTCTGGTGCCAAACTGTGCGTTAGGACTAGATGCTGCTCGAGAAGGCCGTCCAGACAAAACAAGCTGAGGAAAATGCCTAGGGCACCGGTAAGAAGGGTTGGAAGTTGAGGTTTAAGGGGTTTTAAAGGTTGTTGGAAATTTGAAGGTTTTCGTGGTGGTACCCAATTTAAAAAATGGAAATTAAGTTTTTTATATGGGCATAGTAAGATGTAAAAAGTAGTATTATTGGTAGAACAAACTTTAACGAGTATTTTGTCGTTTAAAGGTTTTCGTGGTGGGACCAACCTTTTTTTTTTGAAGTTGTGATTAATCTATTAAATATGGATCAAAATGGCATATATAATGTTTGTATCTTAATTTTTTTTCCAATTTTGCACTTTTTTGATTTTGAAAATGAAAAAAACTGAGTCTCTCCGCGAAAATTCTTACAGTCAAGATTTTGGGTAAAATGAGTTGAAATGTAGCCAATTTTATCAAAATGGCTTTATAATGACATTTATAACATAATAATGACAACTTATAATCTTGTAATGACATTTCTCAATATAAGATGGCATTTTTTACCTAAAATGATGATTTAGCGCTACATACCGGGCGAAATGGGCGACATGTCTCTCTTCCAACAACGCCATGCTAACGGCTTTTGGCCAGCGATTGCGACAAACCTCCCAGCTCAACAAAGGGCAGATGCCGAGGAAAGGGAAAAGAAACACGATGTCCCGAAGCCGGACGGAACGGGCGATCAACCGGTCGATGACGTGGAGTATGTGACTGGATTGGTCGAAATGGAAATGCATTTACTGCCATTGGAAGAGGCACAGGCCAACCCGGTGGGCAGGAAGAGGAGAAAACCAAATCATGTAGGTTTGGTGGGGACGTTGGTTCGGGGTGGTGATTTTTGGGGGAGGTCAATTTAAAAAAAATAAATTTAATCTCATAATCTTTCAGTCCCCTCACCTGCCCAAGCCAGACCGCCCCAAAATGGATTCGTTCTGGATTACGTCGCGAGCCAAAGCGCTGTGCCGAATCTGCTGGAAGAAGACCGGAGGCTGGTCCTGCGTTTGGATGGTCCTCTGTGCCTTAATAATGACCTTGTTGATTGTTGCCACCATCTACGAGCTGCCCCAAATCATTGGCGACTTTTTTACTCAAGGTGTCCTGGCTCTGTTTGCTTGATTTGGATGTAATTATTGTATTATTGTATCAATACGGGTATTTATAAATATTGTTTTATTTTGGAAGGTGGTGTAATGATTTATCATTGGTTTGGGACCTTTTTTACTTTTAAAATCACGATTTACTGGGTAAAAAATGGGTTGAAAAGTTGATGTAAATGAGGAAAAATATCGAAAATGGAGCATATTTGAAAAAACTGGTCATACTGCATAGAAAATGAGGTTATATTAGGTTATGTTAACGTAGAAAACAAAATAATTTTGTTTTATAATATTGATAAGCTTTTTGTTACCTAAATTTAAATAAAAATTAGCGAAAAACCAGCAAAAGGTTTACTTCCCATGCCGGGAATCGAACCCGGGCCGCGTGGGTGAAAGCCACGAATCCTAACCACTAGACCACATGGGAGACGGGGGTTCTCTCTTGTTTTCCGCTCTGTATTTCTCACGGAGTAAAAGAGCGCTTTTCGTAGGGAAAAGGCTTGAAAACAAGGGGTTTTTAGCTTGAGAAAAGGCTTGTTTTAGCCAAAAAGTTAAAAAAATGTTGTTAATAAGATTTATTTATTATGAGAAATATGAAATGTTACAAAATTTTGTTGAAACATGAGTATAAAATGCTTAAAAAGCTCAAAAATGGCCGAAAAACCATGAATTTTGGCTTTAAAATTTAAAAAGAACAACTAACAACGAAAGTACTTTTTATGCCCCGCTCAGAATCAGCTTAATTTTTCTACTAGTATAGCAAAGAACAATGAGTAAAAGTTAAAAAATGACAACGTTATAAGCTTGAAACACAATGCCAATTTGGCGGGAAATTTAAAGATTAACTTTTTGATTTCGATTTTCTGGAGTTTGACTGGAAAGCGGGATTGAGTACTTTGCTGAAGATCTTCTATTTACTTTGTCTTCCTACATAAAAAGTTTGAAGTCAATCAGAGCTGGGCAGGTTAAGTACTTTACTCGTTAAAAAATGCGAAATGGGCTAAAATTAATGAAACAACTTTTTTTTTTAAATTATGAATAAAATAAAAATAAAAAATTTGGGTTAAAAATCTCAAAAACGAAAAAGATTAACTCAAAAATCCATTCAAATCCGTCTCATAAAGACTCGAGAACCCATCAATGAGCACTGTCCAAACAACTTCATTACCTTGTGGCCCTCCTGAAGGCATTTGCAAGTATCTCTAGTGTTATCCAAGACAATCTTGCCCAATCCATGACATTCCTTCATAATAGTCACCATGTCCTCGGGTTCTGGGTACGAAATGGCACAGTTGAACATGCCATGACAGGTTTGTTCGTACCTCTTCATACAGTGAATGTAGCAGTGTTGGAAGCCTCTGAAGGCGACGAAGGCTTTGCGAGCTTTTTTGAGGATGACACCGCCAGTTTGGGTCTTGAAGCGGTCGTATTCTTGGTCGAGGGTGTAGTTGAAGCGATTGATTTCGGATTCTGGGACTTTGACGCTGGTCGAGAAGAACCTGAAGTTGAATTTTGAAATTTTGTGAAAAATTTAAAGTTCAAATGCTCAACTTCCAGTATAATATGAATTTAAGTTAGCTTACAGATCGGTGTTGTCTTCGAGACACTTATCCCATCGCTTTAGCTCTTCTATCGGCGCAAAACATTCCAATGACTTTTCAGTTGGGAGGAAGCTTTGGAGATGGTGACTACACTTGCTAGTACAAGCTGCATTCTCCTTGCCAATACGTTGGTTGCAAATCTTGTAATGTAGTTGGTTGCAGAGCTTTACCTAAAAATTCTTATGTTTACCATAATAGTTGACTTTACTCTACTTTATTTTTTTTCCTTAATGACTTACTCTTGTTTTACTCTTCCTCACACTAGCCCTAGCCCAGAGCCCTAGCCCAGAGCCAGAGCTTAGAGCCGTAGCTCCCAACTGCATCATAATGCAATAATTTTGAAGTAAAATCTACGTATGACAAACTTCATAGCCCAGCACTATCTTTAGCCTTATCCCTAGGTCCGCCACCTTTAGGCCTAGCCGCGTCTTGGTCTTGCTTTACTTTTTTCACGTTACCCTATCATACCCTGCTCTAGCCCTAGCTTTACAAGACCTACTGGACATACACCCTACTTGTGTTAGACTTGCCTTACTCTTGCTTTGCTCTTTACATAACTTTTATTACTCTGGCCATACCCTAGCCACATCTTTTCTTTTGCCTTAAAATATGCTAACACTTACATATCTAACAGGCTGTTCGTCTTCTTGAAATGACAAAGAATATGATGGCAGACTGGTTGATGAAGCTTCTGATACGGAAGCATCAGCTACATCTTCTCCACTGCCTTCAACACTTTTGGCACTTTGAATAACATGATTTATTAATAGCAAACAGAGTAGAAACTTCATTATTGCACAGTAATTTTAAAAAGTACTGTACTGTAAAAAGTACTGTATTGTATTTCAGTTAACAAAAGCTTAACGTTGAAAAAAATAGGTTGATACGGCAAGCGTTGTCGTATAGAAGAGCTAAATCTTGAGAGTCTCGAGTGTAATAGGGTCGTTTGATGTGTTGCCATGGCATAGTATAGATGGTTATCAGCAAGGTTGATCGGGATCTTTAAAGGTTGATTATATTATAAATAGATATGGCTTTGGTGGTAATAAAATTATAATTAAGCCGTTCAGTTAGTTCTGTGCTTTCTCTCCCCCCCCCCCTCTCTCCTTAAAAATGAAGATTTAGGTAACAAAACAGTCTGAACTTGAAGTTACACTATATTAGATTGTTCAATTAATTTTGTGCCCCCTTTCAAAACAAATTTTTGAGGTTAGGGGGCACATATTTATTTGAAAATCTAATACCATAAAATAATGTGATTTACATTACTTTTGCAGTTTTTTGCCCTTTACAGTACCAAAAGCCCATCGCCCTCGCATAGTACAAGTCAATAAATGCTATCTTGATTATTACGCAACACTTTGGTATCTAGTCCGTATCATCAGTTCACGTTATCAGTCTTTGCACTTATGAAAATGGCCGTCAATAAGCGATACGCAGACAGACATTAATCAACACACAGCGATCGTATCTTGTTTTTCGAAAATTATTCGAATTCATCGAACGAATCATTGGTAAATAAACTTTTCGCTGGGTTCTAGGTACGTTTGGCAGAGTATGTTGTAGGAATGGGGGGGGGGGTGAGGGCGACAAATGGGAAAGGACTGGGGATGGAGAAGGTCATAAGTAAAGTAAATTATGATACGATAATTAAATAGGGCAGGGTAGGATCTGAAAAGGTAGAAAAATGGGCAAGGCAGGTCTTTAAGCCAGCGAACGTTTATAGGGCAGAGTAAAAATGGATAAGAGGGTAGGGCATGGTAGTATATCGTAGGGTAGGGCAATTAAGTAGGGCATGTCAAGGTTTGAAAAGGTAGAAAAATGGGCACGGCGAGTTTTAAAAGCAGAGAAAATTTATAAGGCAGGGTAAATTTTTTGAGTAGCATAGGGCAGGGATAGGGTAGTAAACTTTAAGAATCGGGTATTGTACGAAATACAAAGTTATTGTAAGGAGGGTCAGTTAGGGTAGAGAAAGGTAAGGTAGAATATCGTAGGTAAAGTAGAGAAGTATAGTGTAGAGCACGGTAGGGTAGTAGAGTAGAGTAGGGTAGGGCAGGGTAGGGTAGGGTAGGGTAGGGTAGGGTAGGGTAGGGTAGGGTAGGGTATTGTAGGGTAGGGTAGGGTAGGGTAGGGTAGGGTAGGGGTAGGGTAGGGTAGGGTAGGGTAGGGTAGGGTAGGGTAGGGTAGGGTAGGGTAGGGTAGGGTAGGGTAGGGTAGGGTAGGGTAGGATAGGGTAGGGAGGGTAGGGTAGGGTAGGGTAGGGTAGGGAAGGGTAGGGTAGGATAAGGTAAGGTAAAGTAAGTTGGAGTAGGGTAGTTAAAAGGCCGACCAAATCTATTTCTTTGCTCTACAGTAACCCAGACAAAAAAACCTTTCTTATAATAACATCTGGTACGATCTGTTTTCTGCCATTTCCATGTAATTCTTCACGTTTTTTGCAAAGAAAAAGGCGCCAAAACTGTTGCTTAAAGATCTTGTTTTTCGAACAGTTTAGGGAAAGGAATTTTAACTGATTTTCTTTATTTTTGCTTGTTTTGAAGCGTATTTTAAGCCTGGGAAACGATCGCAAAGCGTGGGATCGGTATTTTTGTAATGTGGGTTTAATGTCATCCTTGATTGATATAGTTTAAAAATTAATTTTTAATATTTTTAAACAAAAAAAATTAAAAATGATATGGATTTGTCTAGGGTTATCGTCAGGGATACGGTAAACTAAAAAAATTTTTAAAAATTTATTTAATTAATGTGATGCAAAATCGTATTTTGTTAAGGCTATACAGGGTGCGCTAAAAGTTGTGTTACAAAAAAACTTTACCGGTTGTTTTTTCTATGTTGCGGTAAAATTATTTTATTTTAGCTAATTCTCCGTGTTTTTTATTGTATAATCATAAAAATTAAGTCTTAATTATATGTTTTTTTTATAAATTTTGGCTTAAACTTTTAAACTGCTTTTAAAACAATCAGATGTTATTCGTATTTTACATTAAAAAAATTTTTTAATTTGTATTTTCCTTATTCATGACTATTTTTGTTTTTAATTTTATGTTTTTAAACATTTTTGAGCGTAATTTCCGGCAATAAAACTGTCTTCTGTATTTGTCACAATGAACAGATAAGGAGCGATATTATTGTTAAGAGGGTTTTGTAATAACATTAAGGAATTAGGTCCTTTAAAAAAACGAAAATATGTAAAATACGAGTGGTAAAGTATTTTTAAAAATTTTTTACGACCAAACCAAATGAACTATAATATGTTTAATTATGTCCGGAATTTGTGACAGACCCGGATAACCAAATTGAATTCAAATCCGCGACAAAAGGGCGAACGCCCATTCCTTTACGTGACTTCTTCAATTTTCTTATAATAATGAACAAAGTGATTAAAAAAGATTTTTGTCTGGAAATAGCAAAAAATTGTGTCCATTTAATGATGCAACTTTTAAAGGTTGACAGTTTGTCTAGTACTGAAGGGTAGAGTAAACTATAGTAGGTAGATATAAGCAGGGTAAAGCAATTGTAGAGTAGGGTATTGTAAGGTAGGGAATCGGAGCGTAGGGTGGAGTAAGGTAGAGTACGGCAAGGAAGAATACGTTAAGCTAAACTAGTCTATAATGGGGTAGCGCAGGGCAAGACAGAGACCAGCAGGCATGGTAAGGCGGGGGTATGGTAGGATAGAAAAAAGTAGGGTAGGGCAGGGCAGGGCAGGGTAGGGTAGGGCAGGGCAGGGCAGGGCAGGGTAGGGTAGGGTAGGGTAGGGTAGGGTAGGGTAGGGTAGGGTAGGGTAGGGTAGGGTAGGGTAGGGTAGGGTAGGGTAGGGTAGGGTAGGGTAGGGTAGGGTAGGGTAGGGTAGGGTAGGGTAGGGTAGGGTAGGGTAGGGTAGGGTAGGGTAGGGTAGGGTAGAGTATGTTAAGGCAGCAGCAAGAGTAAGAAACGAGACGTGTAGAGCCGAACTTGAGCTAAATTTGAAAGGGGCCTTACTTGAAAGTTAGGCTTGGCGTGCGGGCTTGAAAAGTAGGCCCCTTGGGCCATGCCGGGCCTAGAATTTTTTTGATTGGGCTGAGCCATACCTCAAAAGTGGACATGAGAAAAAAAAGAAAACAGGCCAGGCCTGAGCGTTCGACCCTAGAGAGACATGAGAAACGGCCTGGTCTTGAAAAATGCGCCCGGCTTGTTCCTTATGTCTAGTCTCAGACTTTCTTGTTCTCAGGTCTGGTTCGGCTTGCTTCTAACTTTTTCTGGGCAGGGCACCATAATGCGAATCAGCGCAAGTTAAGGTAGGGTAGGGCAGTCATTTGTCCTACTTTTTCATTTTTAAAAACTTTCTAAAAATTTTATTTTTAAAGCTTTTGAAGAATTTTTGTTGTTTGATCACCTAAAAATGATGACAAAATATTCGAACTTGATCTGATTGACCACAAAACCTCGCGAGGAATTCAGAACATAATATGAGTAATGTATATGGCTCATACATAATGTATGGTCATGTGATTTGTTTCGTGCATAACTTGTTTTTCATTTCTTACATTATTACGCAACAATTACAGTGTAAATGTATTTTGTGACATTTTCAAGTATTTGTAACATTTGTGGAAGTTACATTTATTGGAACTTTTACTAGGCACGCTATACTATAAAGCTTGTCATACGTAGATCTTACGTCAAAATTTTCGGGCTACTGTACGACAGAGAGCTGTTTCTTAGTTTTTTTTGTAAAATACGTCTTGGATCGTTGGCTGCAATAAAATTTTAATCTAAACTTTAAAACGACATAAAAAGATAGGGGCTGGGAAGAGTACAGTCAAACCTCTGTTTAAGAAACCGCTGAGGCTGGGAGGGGGGTTGCTATTTGGTTGTTATGAAAAGGTGTCGTTATATAGAGATTTTAAATGCATTTTGTAGTTTTAGCCGAGGATTCAAAAGTAGTTTGTTATATAAGAGTTTTTTACATAAGAGTTCCTGATACAGAGGTTTCACTGTATGTTATAATGATGTTTCTATTCTGTTTTTTATTGATAAACCATGTTATTGATTGTGCTAAAAGTGTTGAAGGTAGCTGTGAAGAAGCAGCAGAAGCTTCAGTATCAAAAACTTCATCAATCAGTTTGCCATCTTATCCTTTGTTATTTTAAGAAGACGAACAGCCAGTTATTTAGATATGTAGATTTTATCATAACTAAGGCAACAAGAAGAGCTGAGGCTAGGGTATGGCCAGACTAAGGCTTAATCCATAAGTCGAGCTAATACTAGGACTAGAGGTAAGACTAGGGCAAGGTATGATAGGGTGAGGAACTCGAGTAAAAACTAATGAGAAAACTAAGGGTAGAGCAAGTGTAGGATAATGTCCGAGTAGGGCTAAGGCTATGAGTAGAGGTAAATCTAGGTTTAAAGCTTGAGATAAACATAGAGCTAAGACTAGAGATAAAGCTAGGGCTAGAGATTAGGATAGATATAAAAATAAGATAGCGTATGGTAAGGTAGGATAAGGAAGGGTACACCAAGAGTAGAGCAAGAGTGGGGCAAGGCTAGGAGAACGCTAGAGTAGGGCTAAAGCAAAGGCTGAGGCTAGAATTTAGGTTTCTAGGGCTAGGGCTAGGGCTATTACTCTAAGCTAGGGCGCTGGACTGGGGCTATATCTTTGTTGTTTGATCACTCTGTAAATTTCAACAATCCACCATAGTCTAAGATACCATTAATGGTGTTTTAACACCATTATTGGATTATGACTAATCTTTTTTGCTAGAAATCTTCCACAAATTCGATTATGCCACTTGTGAAGACTACCTTCTTACTACTTTATACTATTTAAGAGGCTTAGCCACCCCTCAACTAGTATACTATAAAAACAACATAATCTGGTTAAGTATTCCCCTGAAGGCAATTACTTCTTTTTGCTATTTTGTTACAATTTCTGGCTTCCACCTACATGTTTAGACTCCGCCCACTTCCCGCCTCGGGGGTTTTAAAAGTTTTGCAGAGAAAGCCCGCCTTGTTTTCAAAGAATTTTGCTTTATTTGGTCAAATTTTGTTTAATTTGATAAAGGGGTGAGGGTGGGAGGGTGGTTTATATTAACTTGAAGGTAGTGGGTGAATGATTAGTTGGGGCGGGTTTTTTGAAGTTTTAGTAATTTTAAACTAAATTTTTGAAAAAAATTTTAAACTTTGTAATTTTAGGCAAATTTTTGAAGTTTCATGTTGCTACAAGTAACGTCAAAGCTTCCTTATTACCTATTTTTAATAGTTCATTTCGTATTTATTGCTGAGCAGGGGATGAATTGTGAGGGGCAGATCATGTGAGAGCAGATAAAGATATTAGGTTGTTCAGATAATTCTGCGCTCCTTAATTTCGAAAATTTGCTTTGAAAAAGGAGCTCAAAATTATTTGAACAACTATTAAAACTTGTTTTAGATAAAAGTTGTTTGGTCTCAACACGAAAACATGATTGTTGAAAAAGTCGTTATAAAACCTAGTTTTTCGTTGAATTTTTGGGTATAAAACTGGACATTTTTTAAAAATCTTTGAGAAATTATTATTTTTTCAATAAAAAAAATTTATTTTTGGTTTTTGCTTCAAACTTTATTTTAAAAATTAACTTTTTTTTAATTTTTAATATTTTTTTTGCAAATCGTTTTGCGTCACCTGCCGTATTTTACACTTTTGGTATATTTCGACTTTTATTTTTTAATTTCAGCTGCAAACTTGGCCGAAGATCGAGAAAGAAAGTCGTTTTCGGAGCAAAGTGAATGAAAACAAATTGCAAATAACAACATAACAACGGTCCGCCTTGATTTTTACTACGTTGTAAAAGAACCGATCCCAATTTGCAATCAATCATTACGGAATTGAAACAAACCATCATGATACGTTTGTGGACATTGCTCGGATCTTGGCTCTGTTTGGGTTGGGTTCAGGTAGGTATATCTACTTTTGTGTTATATGAATCGTCGTTTATATTGTTTTAAAGTTTAAGGGTTATGTTTTTTTTGGATTGAGCTATAGGTTCAGTATAGAGCATTGCTCAGGGTTTTAAATTTTTTTTTCATGAAAGAGTTTCAGTATAGAGGTGTTTGTTATTCAAGAGGTCGTCTGTATTTTCATTTTTTTGACGCGATAATACTATAATTTTGGAAGCATGGTATTTACACTAGAATTGTTACAAAAACTCGATAAATTTAAAGTGGTAATTTATATTTTTTAAAAATATGAGACATTTTGGTTTTTTAAAAACTTTTTTTTTGAAAATAATCCACAAAACTCCTATATAACGCGATTCGCCTACAAATCTAAAATTTTTTAGTTAAAAGAGGTTTCGGTATGAAGAAGTTTTAAACTTACTGTTCAGTGGTGTACGGTGATATTAAAAGTTGTTTGTTATACGGAAATTTTGTTAGAGAAAAGTTCACTATACAGAGTTCTACTTTATATTATGAAAATTATGTAGCACAAAAGTAATAACACTATAAACACTTGTTCAAACGCTTAAAACTAATGTTATTTTTCCAATAGTTGAATCGTTTTTTGAATTAATTATTTTTTGTGGACTCCTGCGGAGGCGAAAATGCAGTTTAATGTAGTTCAAAAAAAGCTTTGTATTGTGATATTTGATATTGTTATCTACAATGTATACATATGTTTAATGACTACTAAAACTTGTATACACTTTGCAAAGTTATATGTAGAGGTATATGCAAATACTTTTTTTTAAATATGGAGTTGCTAACTATGAGTATTGATTTTCCTGTACTGGTGTTGCTATTTTAGTACCATTTTTATTTTTTGGAATTAGTATTGCTTTTTTAACACTGATATTGATTTTTAGGTACTATTATTGTTCTTTATCACCAGTATCGCTCTTTTAGTACTAGTACTGTTTTTTTTAAGTTAATGTAGGGTAAAATAGGACGGGGTAAGGTAAGAAACGTAAATGCTCGATAGAAGGTTTATATTGAGAGTAGTTACGGTACTAAAATACAGTATTACAGAATGTTGTTTTTGAAGGAATTTGGTCGCTACAACCAGAACCGGAAGCGGTTTCTGGGAAAACAAAATCTGTTTTCCAAAAGTATTGTTTGAGAGGATGATGGTGAAGGTCGTTCGATAAGCTTAATACATCAACAAATAATTAATTAACTTATCGAGTCGTTGCCTGTTTATACTGTAACAGGACATTCTTTGCTCTTTACTGTATATTTTGATGTAATTTTTGTCTTTGGCATACCGTAACATGCGGCTGTAAGGATACAATAGGATAGGTTTAATTAGAAGTTTTGGCTTTGGGATACTGTAATATTGGCTTTAAAGAGCACAGTAAGATATTTTTTAGATTTGTTAAATTTGGCATACTGTAACATGTGCTTATAAGGATACAGTAGAATTGGTTTGATTAGGATTTTTGATGTTGAATACTGTAACAAACATTTTATTAATGTAGAATTACTTTAACAGGCATTTTTTTTTGCTTAAGAGATACTGTAGAGTACCGACTTGTAAAATTTGTACTTTTAGATTACAGTAATATGATTTTTTAAAATTTTTTTAGCATTGGACATACTGTAACAAAAAAACGAAAGTAAAAGTATATTTATACTTTACGGTTACTGTAACATATTTTTTCATAATTTTTCGTTTCAGTAAACAAAATATTTTAGTCATAATGTTACTGTAACAAAGCACAAATGCCGGTTTTTTTCAAATAAAAAAATCTAAAAGTCATTTTAAATAGTTTGTAGCGGATATTGTGCAGGTTTAATTACCCAAAAAATGTCAAAACAGGTATTGTCTTTGAGTGTAATGTAAAGGGCACACGACATACGTGACACACACAGGAACGCGTGGTGTCTTAATAGAGGAAACAAAAAACTGTGGTAATTAGGCAAAATGTTACAACAAGCTATAGCGTTTTTACTGTAGAGTAAGGGTACAATATTGTAGGAAATGTAAAATACGATGACCACTCTGGCTATTGAATATTTTTAAAGCTTTTGAATTCACACAGTAAAACCATACTTTATCATACGGTAATTATCAGTTAGTTCAAATAATTCTGTGCTTCACCTAAAAACAAATTTGCGGATTTAGTGGGCACAGAATTATTTGAATAACATAAAAGTTACCGCGCGATAACGTATAAACCTAATATAATATGTATAGTCTTGCATTTGTTAACTATAAATTAAGTTATGTTGCATATTAACCAGCCTATAATAACAGCTTACTATAATAATGCTAAATCATGGATTAACGTATTTTACCTTTTCAGGCCTCTCCATTCCTTGATGTATACCTCCGAATCGAACCTACTGATGACTTTTGCGGGCCACGACAATGCAATATCAGCTATGCTATGTCTGTGCTACTGTCGCAAAATCACTTTGATTTACAGGTAAATTTTTGTTTTTAGTTTAAAAAATTAAAAAATTGATTATTTTTAAAACAGAAAATTGGCTTTATTTCTAATTTTTTTCTAAATTTGAAGGTATTAATGGTAACAGAGTTTACTTTTAAAATTTTGGCTCTGGCGCTAGCTCCGACTCCATTTTTTTAAACTTTTTTTTTGGCTCTGACTCTAGCTCTGGCCCATTTCTTTTTTTAAATTTCCTGTTTGGTTTTGGTTACAATTTCTGAGCCAAAGGTGTCTCCGAGCTGGAGCTGACTTTTAAACTCTGATTGATACCAAAACGTTTATTTTCATTATTGTTTTTGACTCTTGTGGCAAAGTAAAACAAGTAAAAAAGATTTTTTAGAGCAGTAAAAGAAGAATGTTTTTTGAAAATTTTTAATAGGTATCTGAAGTAATGGCAGAGTTATGTTTATTTGAAAATGGCAGAAATCATAAAAAGTTGAAGTTGCGTAAGAACTTCTAACATTTTTTGTTTTTCAACCGGTTGTATCGTTGTTACTATTAATCGTATCTTTACAAAATTAGGACAAATTATACTATAAGTTATGCCTAAGGATTTGCATTACAAATTAAAAAAAAAATTCAAAGTTAGGACAGAAAATGCAGCTCGTGATCATAATATCGGGTTCTTCAAGTCATTCTAAGCCTCTCTCAAAGCAGATTTTCAAAATTAGCGGGCATAGGATTATTTGAACAATCTAATATTATAGCTCTAGACAAAAAAAATCTTTTTTTGAATTAAAAAAGTAACTTTAGAGTGTGATGTTACAAGAAGGCTCAATGATCAGGATCAACGATCGGGTCTTCCAAGACAACACTGTGATACGACTGTCGCCAGATGTGATAGCAAGCGACAAGATTTATCTTGGGTTGTCTTTGCTCGATGTTCCGGAAGATATGCAAAGTAAGTTATTATAAACAGCATGTAGTACATAGCAGTATATAAGGCTGTTAATGATTATTTAGTGCATAGTGTTAGGAGGTTCAAATAATTCTGTGCCCATCTCAAAGCAACTTTTTGAGGTAAAGGGCACATAATTATCAACCCAGTGTAATAGTATGTTTTAGTACTATTCTTTACACTCTTAATTGCTATTTTAGAGTACGTAGTAGCAGACGTGAGTGATGTGATATCAAAAGGCCGTAAGTCGAGGATGGAGTTCATATCAGAGACGGCTAAAGTAATATTGGTCATTTACAAGCGGACGGAGTCTAATAACAGTAGGTTTTTGTCTTTTTTATATTTTTATACTTAATATAACATTAAAAAAAGGGTTTTTAACTTTAAGGCATTAAAAACATAAAAAGAACAGAATGCCAAAAATGGCGGAAAAAATAGAATTTGAAAAACTTTTGAAAAGTTGCTTTAAAATGAAGTTTTAATTTGATTACAGTAGTGAAAATGACATTTTAAAACATTTTTTTTGTTATAAGGCATTGAAAACCGTTAAGAAACAGAATGCCAAAAATGGCGGGAAAAATAAAATTTGAAAAAAATTTGAAAAATTGCTTTAAAATGAGACTTAACATGTTAAACTAGTAAAAATGCCAGTTTAAAATCAAAAAAAGTCATTCTAAAATCATTTTCAGTCTCCGACGACCGTGTGGAATCCGAAACCCTAAATCCGTGGGAAGAGTCCTACCATCATTACAGTAGGAAACACACAGTAAACGAAGGCTGCCAATGTGTTCAGAAGGACTGTGGATGTTGCAAACGACTGACGGTTAGGAAGATTCATCTTGATGACAATGTCTGTCTCAATATGTCATATGTGCCACAAGACCTGGGAGTACGAGTGTCGATGAGTGTGGATGATAGGATCTACTACAACAAGGAGATATCAGGTATGGTAAAAACTTTTATGTGGATTTTTTACATGGTTTGGTAGTGTTGGATTCTATATTGTACCAAAAAGCTCAAATTTACAAAAACTGTCTATGATAGTATTTCAATTTAATTACCGTAAAAAAAACCATGCTAAGTAGTACAAATAACTATGAAATATCAAGTTGTATTCAAAATAACTGTAGTACCATCTTTTGAATGTCATTGTACAAAACTGTGTTATAGTAACACTCAATTAACTATTGTAATTTCCTGGTAAAACAATGGTATCACAAGATACATTGTAGTACATTGAACATAATGTTCTCATACTATATGTATAACATTGAGTACATTTTTGATTGTATTATAGTATGTATAATACAAGGTTTACAATAGTTAATTGGTAGCTGTTACAGACGATAACCTTTACACTTTTTACAATTTCAAACATCTTATGTTACAGTAAATTGGAAAATGTAACTTTAGGTAACAGTTTATTAAATTTTGCTGTAAACTAGTCACGAGTTGGCCAAAGGTTACATTGTTGCAAAAGTGTTACAAAACATTTTTTGTTTTTCTGATTGTGCATGCTAATGCTAATGCATATTTTACCATAATTACCCTTCTCCTTCTCTTTTTTCACTCTACCCCCTTCCCTCCTCCGGCATTTTACCACCCCTTCTACTAACTCGTACCTCTTTTCTTGAATACATTAAATCTTTTTCTCTTTTTTACTTTTTTCTACCCTACCCTACCCTACCTTATCTTGCCGTACCCTTCTTTCTCCCCCCCTGTCCCCCCCCCCAAACCACAAAAAAGGTTTTCTCTATAACATGTTTACCATGTATATACGATCCATTAAACGTATGTATCTTGTTTATGTTTCGTTTTTCGAGAACGTGACCCAAATTATCACGTGATTCAATTATTTTTACGTCGTTGGATTCATCAAAACACAGATCAAACAATAAACTACATTACACTAGGTGTGTGTAGGCATAAACACGTCAACATGCATAGCATTACCTTAGATATAGAGTGTTTAATATGTCATGTTTGTTACACTTTACTGTGTTATACTATAGGCATGCTATTACACTGTGAAAGTAAGGTGTTGTCGTATACACCTTACATTGATATAGTAAGGTGCTGGTATTATGAGATAGAAGTAGTGTAATATATGGGTGATACGAAGTTATGAAAGCATGATACAACATAGTGTTATATCATGGTTATGGTAGCTACATATATAACGCGATACTGAAGGTTACTGTATACCGTAACATACCAAAAGTTACTGTGTATCATAACATAACACAGGCTACAGTATACCGTGTCATAGCAATGAATACTGTATTTTATGACATACCATGGATACTATATAACATAACATACCAAATCCTACTGTATATCATAACATACCAAACGTTACTGTATTTCATAACATATCATAAGTTACTGTATATCATGCCATACCAATGCCATGACAAACAATAACAGCCCTTATCAATGTTATGTTTACTTCCTCGGTCAGTTCGTCAAATCACATACCAGACTATTCTCTATTACTACGACAATTGTTTATTACAAAGTTTCGTCGAATTCCATATAGTATAATATATTATATGATATGGTAAACAAGTAGTGGTTCGATCGTATTCAGCGCTCAATCACACTGAAAACAGTAGGAACGGTGTGTATTACGAAAGGCATAGTAGATATTAAGTTGTTCAAATAATTTTGAGCTACCTAATTTTAAAACTTTGCTTTTAGAAGGGGCTTAGAATTTAATGAACGCTTGATAATGCAAGAAAAAAATTTTAAATTTACAGTATTACATACAAAAATAAATTTATCGTAATATTGGGTTGTTCAAATAATTTTCAGCCTTCTAGCACGAAAATTTGGTTTGAGAGAAGACTCAGAATTATTTGAACAACCTAATAGTAAAGAGAAAACCAAAAATTACAGAAATTAAAACTGAACATTTTAAAGTTACAGTACCACCCTACCACAAAAAATACATCAACTTATAATTATTTTGAGATTTAAAGCAACATATGTAGTATGATTCTGATTTTAATTCTTTTTCAGTGACCGAAAGTATGCCATTATGTTTTGCCGTCCCACATCTTCGGGAGTATGCTAGCCTGTGCATCAAAATGTACAATGTAAGTTAAGGAGACATTATGGTAGATTTGTAAATAGTTAATTAAAGCTCTGAAGCTGTGGTTAGAGTCGACGCTTTAGTTTCGAAAAGGGCAGAGCTAAAGCCGAAGTTGAATCTGAAGTCAAAGCTAAAGAACAGGCTGAAGCCGTAGCTGAAATCAAAGGCAAAGTTGAAGCCGAAGTAACCTCAATGTCTACTATAAATTTACAAATTAAACATATTATAATTGATAATTTCAGTTTGAAGAACACAACAAGCACGTTTCGTTCTGTACTGAACTTGAAGCTCGATTGTATCACTTGAAAATAGCACGGAAGAAGATTGGTTGTGTTAAAGTACCTATATAAGCTTCTAGCATCACGGGCACAAAACGTTTATAACTTACTATAACAACAACAGTTGCTTATGTTGCTTTAAATTGCAGCACTTACATCACCGTCAACTACGTAGTACGTACCTACTGGTTTCTAAACAATTTTTATCGTTAATCAAGCTGATAAGGCTAGAAATGGCAAAAACATTTAGCCAATTTAACAAAATTTGTATTTGATACTGCTGCTAGTTCAAATACTACAAAACTAAATAATTTTTTTTGCCTAAAACTACTGTACAAGATATTATACTTGGCTTGAATAGTGTTAATCTTGAACTTAAACTTTGTATGCCAAGTGTCTACATCTTAATATTGCTTTTCTTTTGTTATCAATTGTACTTCTAGGTTCATATTACCATTGTTAATTGTCTACTGATTTCTTTAAGTACAGTACTTTTATAAAATTTAATTGTTTTAAACTTTATTTTTTTTCAAAATTTTAAAAAATTTTTGAAATTTTGAAATTTTGAATTATATTATAATATCTATTATCTTATTGTGGCTACAAATTGATACCTAACCTTATTGTAACAAATATAATTGATATAGGAACTACAAACCGTAACCTATTGTACATAAAACCTTATATTCCCATCTCAATCCAACCAACCGACTCTGTAACGCTTCTTTTGTTATCCATTCATGTTTTTATTATATACCTACGAATTCACTTTTGTATCATGTGTAACATTGTTTCTTGTAATATAACTTATTGTACACAATTGTCAAGTGATATGTGTTATTGTTAACGAATCTTTCAACTTTGGAAGTAATAAATTTTCATTTTGAAATAGTACAGCTATATATGATATAATAATTACCTTAATTTACCCTACCCTTGCCTTGTCTTGTCTTGTCTTGTCTTGTCTTGTCTTGTCTTGTCTTGTCTTGTCTTGTCTTGTCTTGCCTTGCCTTGCCTTGCCTTGCCTTGCCTTGCCTTGCCTTGCTTTGCTTTGCGTTTACCCTACCTTCTCTAAACTTACTCTCGAACTCTACCTTGCCTGACCTTATCTCCCTAACCTACTCTGCTTTGGCCAGCTCAGGCCATCCCAGCCATGCTCTGCCCTGACCTGCTCTACTCCTCCTTACTGTGCTTTTCCCTACCTTGCCCCATTATACTCTAATATTAAATTACCTTCCTTTAGTTTGCCCACTCACACCCTACCTTACACTATTCTACCCTATTATATTAATATACCTAAAATCACCCTGAATGTATCTTGGTTTACTGTAGTAAAAACCAGTTGAATGACAAATAATAAAATGTTTATTTACCCGTTCAATCCAAGTTGTGTATTCGAATACAAAATGAGATAAAAGACAATACGATGAAGTCAAAATACATAATATCATGGCCAATATAATACCATAGTATACATAATATTGTGTATTTCCGTGAAAATATATTATAGTAAGTTTGTTTGGCGTTTAAAAATTTCGAAATTTCGTTCAAATGGCGAAGAGCTTGATTTAAGGAAGGATAATGTACAAACAACAGTAGATTATGGTACTAACTTTGAGTATGATAATGTAATATACTACATCGTAAAGAGCATAAAAATTGAAAATGATGTTTACCTTGATTTACTAGTACAATTAGTACCAAAGGTTCAAAAATTAGTACCAGCAGGCCATTTTTTAAACCTTTAGTACTACAAATCCTATTATAGTACCATAAATCCCAAACAGTACTATGAAGTACAAACTTAGGACTATTTGGTACTCATAATAAAAAATAATATCATTGGTAAAAAATCTTCTTTCAGTGCTTATTTTTTTAAGCAGTACTTAAAAGATAGTACCATTTTGTTGTAGGTACTACTTAAAACGCTAACATAGTACTACAATATAGTACTAAAAAATCAAAATTGATACGGTAAGACCCAAATTTAGTACCATTAGTACCATTAAATCAGTAAAAACATAAAACACTACCAAAGATACAAAATTAGTACTATCAGTACCAAAAGACAAAATTAGTACCATCAATGCCAAAAATAAAGAGTCAGTACCATCAGTACCAAAAATTCAAAACCAATACCATCAGTACTAAAAATAAAAAAACTAGTACGATCAGTACCAGAACTCATACTCCATTCAAATTTTTCCAATGCTCATGATAACCCTGCCTCGAACTGCCCAAATTACTACCCTGCCCATTCGTCATCACTGACAATGGTATGTAGTGGTTCACCCCGTTTATTGCATTTGGTATCATCTGAGTCACCATCTGATGTTGCTGAGGTTGAGCAGCAGCAACATATGTTTGCGATGGCAAAAGTAGAGGCTTGTCCAGGCTTGGATCGTCTTCTAGGTTACCACAACATAACACTCGGCGCCAGGATCTGCAGATAAAAAAATTTTTGAATGTTATCGTGGTGGGACCAATATTTTTTTGCGATATACATAAAAAAAAATTTTTTTTACATAAAAAGAGAAGAAGCGTATTTTACAATAATAAAGCCTTTTGAAACCAAAAATTGAAATTCAGGGTTTTCGTGGTGAGACCTACCATTTTGTTTTTATTATATATGTAAATATATTTTTCTCGTACAAAAAAAGTTTTGTATTTTACCATAATTACATGCCACAATCCGTATTTTACAATGCAGTTAAGTCTTATCTAGTAGTTAAGTCTTTTAAACTCATAAATTGAAATTCAGGGTTTTCGTGGTAGGACTAATTTTTAAAATGATTTTTGTAGTAAATCGCAAGACATTATAATTAAAACCCATAAAAAATCGAGGTCTTTCAACCAAAAAATTGAACTCAGGGTTTTCGTGGTGAGACCAAACATTTTTAATATTTTGCAATGAATGAATAAAAAATATTATATTTGAAATCATGATACACTAAAGCCTATTTTACAATAATAAAGCTTTTTCAAATCATAAATTGAAATTCAGGGTTTTCGTGGTGGGTCCAAAAAATTACTTTTTTTGTAATAAACAGCAATATATTACACTTCAAATGGTATAATGAAGCGTATTTTACATTTTCAAGCCCTTTAAACAACAAAATTGAAAACCAGGGTTTTCGTGGTAAGACCAAACAGTTTCTTTCATACAATGCCACAACCTATCTTATATAGCTTTCACTTATCCCAAACCTACTTCAAAGTTTTTGAGCTCAGAATCCACAACCCAGTTGCCAATCCGCTAGCCAGACTCATAGCCAACGCTAACATGTAAACCTCGGCTTGTGGTTGTTCAGCCCTCGGGCAATGTGAAGCACCGCCATTTCTTTTACAATCAATTGTAGTTGGGTACCATTTGGTTAGCACGAACACATGGTAACTGTCACATATACATAGGATTACGGTAGGTACGATGTACAAGGTTGAAAAAGAACCCATTTTGAAGAGTAATGTGTCTAGTCTTGAGGTGTCCGTGCCCTGGAAAGAAAGTTTTTGTAAATAACCATTACTCCGTTGTACCCTACTATAACATACTTCGCCTTATATTATCCTACCCTTATCACAGCCAGCACGAAACCATTTTTTACAAAAATAAGTTTTAAACTGGTTTGTAAAGAAAGTTTATTCACTTACCCGTCGCTTGAAAGACTTCCTTTCTCCACACATACTCGAGAAGCCAGCTATGATAAAACAACTACCAAAGAACACCAATATTAACCTTGGTATTAACACAAATGACAGCAGCGTATACGGATTTAGATTCCCCACGGAGCAGATTCCTATCAGTTCAGATGCATCTACCTGAAAAGTTATTTCTGTCAAAGCAACAGTTGTCACACATTTTAAAACAGGCATAGATACTTTGGCGTATTTTACATTAATATAATATTAAAAAATTTTTTTTTTAAAAAATTGAAAAATAAAAAAAATTTAAAGAAAGCTCCTTCCCACCTTTTGAAGAATCAAAATAGTAATTGAAGGTATCGCTGGCAACCCCCAAGCTACTGAGTGTAAGTAAACTTCTCTCTTTTCGATTTCTTCTTGGACCCACTTCCTGGCTGTTGATAGGTACCTACAACAATATATTAATCATAACTTTTGTTTTGGACCTTTTTGTGAATTAAACTTGTATCATTAGATAAAGAAAACATTAATAATTATATTCTAATAAAATTTGTTTTAATTATCAACGTTATGATAACAAAAAATGGCATCAAATTTAAAAAGGTTTGATATTTGCTGGTACCTACAACAACATATTGATCATAGCATTTGGTTTTGGGCCTTTTCTTGAATAAAACTTAATGTAGTAGATAAAGATAACATCAGTAATTATCTTTTAATCATCAATTGCTTCAATTTTTTAAAGTTATCTCAATGAAAAATGGCATAAAATTTTAAAAAAGTGTATTTTTTTGGTACCTACAACAATATTGATCATAACTTTTGTTTTTGAGTCTTTTTTTGCATGATAATTAATTTTGTAAGTACAGAAAACATTAATAATTGTCTTTTAATAAAAATTTGTTTTAATTTTTAACACTTTGTCAATGAAAAATGGCATAAAATTAAAAAAAAATTACTTTTATTCATACCTACAATAATATATTGATCATAACTTTCGTTTTTGAGTATATGCGTGCATTAAGCTTGATCTAATAGATAGAGAAAACATTTATCCTTGTATTTTTCTAATAATTTATTTTAATTTTCAACGTTATGTTGATGAAAAATAGTAAAAATTTCTCCAAAAATCCCAAACTTCTCCAAAAATTTTGCTTTTTTTTAAAATAAAACTCAAATTATGCCATTTTTTATAAACTAAATTTAAATTTTGCACTTTATAGCTAAACCCAGTTCCAATACCAATCTTTTTTGTTTACTTTCCCTGCGGGCATCGAGCGAATCGCATTAAAACAAGATGTCCTTTTAATGGAATTTATTGTTTTTCCGTTCAAATTGCATTAAAATGTCCCAAAAGAAAGTCTCTCACCATCTTTTCGACCACAAATACCCATTTTAATGAGATTGTGTCAGCCGTTTTTTAGTTTTTGAAGAAAATGTGGAATTGGAAGGGTTTCGTGCTGGGACCGAAGGTAAGAACGTTAAGGAACTTTAGGTCTTACCACGAAAACCTTGATTTTCTGCTGTTGGCTAAACTTGCCAATAATAAGTAAATTTTACAGTTTGCTTTACAGAAAGCCGTAATTTGTGACGTATTTTCCACAAAAAATAATATAGTTTAGGTCGTACCACGAAAACCCTGATTTTCAATTTTTCATTTTAAAATGGCCACAATAAAAAAAATTAAAAAACTTTTAAAAAACAAAGCAATTCAAACCTCAATTTACTAAAAATTACAGTAATCCACCCCTAAGTATTATTGTAACAAGCTTACCATATAAACGTCGACATAAGCCACCAAACGCAGCCTGCCATTCCAAAATAGTAGTTGAACAGGAACGACAACACACAGACAGTATTGTCAAGTCCAGCATGGACCAAAAATAATCGACCGGTCGGCATTTGGTCGCAGCCGGTCTGTTCGTATGATAAGAAGTAACGGCTGAGGTACGGTAACGAAGATGTCAGAGAACATAAGGCAATGTAAAATACGGATCTAAAAGTTAAAAATAGTTTTGAAAGTTGGTCTTAGGGAGATTTTAAAGAAAGTCCTTGCCATTTTTTGTTTTGTAAGGAAGTTTTTGCGGCGCTAGGACAAATGCGGTTTTTGGACATTTGCGGATTTTTCAAAGGTTTTTTTTTATTTTTTAGTTAATTTAGTTGTAGTATGGTACTAAATTGTATTAAAGTTTAAATTGGTGCGGTTTTAAAATAACAGTACCTTTTTGGGCTTTTAGTACCATTCTGTACCAAAAAATATAAAACAGTACCAATTTAAAATTTATTACTATGTAGCACTAAAACATATTAAAACAGTACCAATTTAAACTTTAGTATCATTTACTACCATACTACAACTAAATTAACTAAAAAATTTAAAAAACCCCATTAAAAAATCCGCAAATGTCCAAAAACCGCATTTGTCCTAGCGTCGTTTTTGCAATCCTGAAATAAAGAGAAATTTATAAGTTTTGCAGCCTGCAGATGACAAGTTATACGGTAAATAGTATTTTTCGTTTTGAAAAAAAGTTCTTGCCGTTTGTTTGTAAAATACGATAAATCCGGTCAATGCAGTCGACCGGTGGCAAATCATACAATAAGTTCACGTTTTTTGTTTTGTAAAAAAGTTCTTGCCATTTTTTATTCTGTAAAGAAAGTTCTTGCCATTTTTTGTTTTGTAAAGAAAGTGCTTGCCATTTTTCATTCTGTAAAGAAAGTTTTTGCCATTTTCTGATTTGTAAAGAAAGTTCTTGCCATTTTTTTTTGTAAAATTCGGCAAATTGCCAGTTGGCAGCCTGCGAGTGACAAGTAATACTATAGGAAGCATTTTTTGCTTTGTAAAGAAAGTTCTTGCCATTCTTAAACAAAAAAACTAATTTAGTTTTGCAGCCTGCCAGTGACAAGTTATACGATAAATTCCATTTTTACTCTTCATAAACTAAGTTCTTGCCATTTTTTCATCTTTAAAAGAAATCCATGCCATTTTATACCATATAAATCAAAACTCTCAAAATATTATTGTTCAAAAAAGCCGTCGTATGTTCAGAAACCCATGTCGTAATAATTTATTGTCGTTTTTTGGCGAGATTTATGGCCGCGCGCCCTCCCATTTATCAGCGGCGTTTCCCTTTGAAGTCGCTGCGAGGCGTTAACATTACTTTTGACGCCTTTCAAATCACTTTTTAAGGCTTCTGGGTTTACTTTCATCATGAATTATTACTCATTTTAAAATGTTTTGTCATTTATCAAATTTGAGAAAGTGGAAAGAAAGTTTTTGTCATTTTCTAGCTTGGAAAGAAAGTTCTTGCTATTTTTTGTTCTGTAAAGAAAGTTTTTGCATCTTTTTAACTTGTAAAGAAAATTCTTGCCGTTTTGTGTTTTGTAAAGAAAGTTCTTGCCGTTTTTTAACCTGTAAAGAAAGTTCTTGCTATTTTTTGTTTTGTAAAGAAAGTTTTTGCCACTTTTTGGCTTGTAAAGAAAATTCGTGCCATTTTAAATATATATACGCAAATTTACAGTTATTCTTGATAAAAATTAATTTTTTTACAGATTCGTAGCCTGCGGGTGACAAGTTATACGATAAATATCATTTTAGCTTTTGGAAAGAAAATTCTTGCCATTTTATGGTGTGCAAAGAAAGTTAGGAACATTTTTTGACTTTTAAAGAAAGCTTTCACCATTTTTCCGTTTAAACTCACCGTTCCGGGAATCTAAACCGTTCTCGATCAATTAAAAATGTGCAGAATGTAAAAGCAGTTACCATAACATTGATCAAAGCTCCGGTTAATAGCCATCTCTCGGCTAATTCGCTCTTTTCCTAAAAAATGAAACTTTAAAATTAAAATTCACTTTTAACTGGAATTTAAAAAATTTTGTTTTTGGAAGATTTTCGTGTTACAAAATTTTTGACATTTCGTTATCGGAAAAATTAGAATGCAGTAACATGTTGGTTTTTTAAACTTATAGTGTACAAGCTTAATAAAAAGGTAATTTTTATACAAGCGTTATTAATAAATGGCATCTTTAAAAGCGCTGAAATCAAAACAAGGTGTCGTGACATTTCGTCAACGGAAAAATTAAAATGCAATAACAATTAAGTTTTTTGTAGTAGTCTTGTACTTAAAACGTCTTAAAAAGTTGATTTATATATAAACTTTATTAAGGAATGGCATTTTAAAGCGCTGAAATCAAACTGAGGTTTTATGACATTTCGTCATCGGAAAACTTTTAATTTAAAATCGTAAAAAACCAAAAATAATTTTTTTTGTAAAATACGAATGGGCAAGGTTTTGCAACATTTTCAAACAAATTATCATAAATTTAAAAAATCCATAGCGAAATGTCAACTTTTTTTATAATCCAGAAAAAAATCATAAAATCGTATTTTCTAATTAAAGCAACAGTTTCTTATTTCTAAACTAAACTCAAATTAATATCTAAACTTACTGGAGAGAAAAGAAAGTGTCGGTTACATGGTAGAGCACATTTACTGTTACTATCCGTAGGGTCCAGGTTCAGTAAATCGGCTGGACATGAAGGTAACTGATGTGGGATTGGGTGAATATGACTCTGTCTTTGTCGATTATTGTAGACTGGTGCTCTGGTAGGCCTGGAAATAGCAGCGATAACACGGTAAAACAACTTACAGAGTAGTCATCCTAGCCTCAGCCGGCTTCATACACAACTCTGGTTCCTGAGGAAAGTTGGTACAGTTGAGAAGACTGGGCCATTTTATGTCAAACTCCGTCAATATGGCCACACAGTCACGTTTTACCTGAAAAGCTTTGTTTTAGCTACAAAGTTAGTAAGGGATATTGTTTTAGGTAGAAAAGTCTCGATTTTAGGTAACAAAACATAGATTTTTTTAAAAGTTTTGAAAAACAAAGCAAGATAATAAGATAACAGGTTAAAAGAAATGTGTTTTTAAAATTTTAAACACTTGATTATCCCCAGCAACTTGAAAAAGTTGGCATTCTGTTTCAAGCCCTTTTTTCGACTTTCTAGACAAGGTACGTCTACAAATTAAACAATGTAGGTTCATTTAAAGATTTTCTACTAGTATATCAAAGAAAAATAGTTAAAAGACAAAAAATGACAAAGTTATAAGCTTAAAACACAATGCCTTCACCAATTTGGAAAATATGGCATTGTGTTTCAAGCACTTTTTTTACTTTCTAGACAAGTTACGCTTACAAATTAAAAAATTTAGATTTATTTAAATGTTTTATACTAGTATATCAAAGAAAAATGATTAAAAGACAAAAAATGGCAACGTTATAAGCTTGAACCACAATGCCAATTTGGCGGGAAATTCAAAACGTAAGTTTTTGATCTTGGTTTTCTTCAGATTGACTAGAAAGGGTAATTTAGTAATTTGCTTAAGATCTTATATTTACATGATCTTTTCATATAAAGAGTTTGAAGTAATCAGAGTGGGCAGGTCGAGCACTTTCCTTGTAAAACAATATTCAGAAAATGGCAAAAATTAAAATTTTTTGACACTTCGTTGCAACTTTTTTACATTTCGCAACAACAAAAATATAGTCAAGTTTGTACAAAACAAGAAAAAAAGTGTTTCCTATACCAACATATTTCTAAAAATGAAAAAATAATGTTTAAAATGACACTCACCTCTTCACAAACTGAACGACAACTTGTGACCGCCTGAGGGATTTCTGGTGGACACATTGGAGCAAAAACGCTACAAACCAAGAACTTGAGATGAGGTGAGCATTTGGTCTTGAACAGTGGGTTGAAGTGGCGGACTTGTTCTTCTAGCTAAATTTATAATTTTCAAAATTAAAATTTTTTAAAATCTTAAAATTTAAAATTTTGGGTAACAATTGCATTATTAGGTAAAATAAGAGCAAAATAATAAAAATTAAGACTCCTAAAGGCTCAAATTGGTTTTTACATCAATTTTATCACCAAAAATTTTAAAAAATTCAAATACCAATTTTGGCGGGAAATTTGAACATGAATTTTTAAAAGTGCATATTTTGAACTCAAAATTTTTTCAATTATTAAGTATACCAAAAGAATCCTCTACACAAAATTTAGACAAGATCGGATCTTTACCGGTCTATTTATCAACATTTAAACTTACACTTTGTTCAGGTTTGGCGGAAAATTTAAGCGTAAATTTTTAAAAGTTCATATTTTAAGCTCAAATTTTGTACAATGACTAAACTAAGTATAGTCATGCTCTTCACCAAAATTGGTATAGATCGAACCATTACCGGTCGATTTATCGACCATTAAACTTACACTTTGTTCATCGCCAAATATGTTTGATTTTGGTGCAATGGTACTGTTGTATGGTAGATCCATGCAAGAATCGATGTGAATTGGTTGGCATTGTTGCTTGTGGGCCTGGAAGTAGCAAGTTTGAGTTAAGTTTTAATGAAAATGGCAGTTTTGTTAGATTTAATTTTTTTTTAATTTTGGAAAATTTCAAAATGATTTTTTTTTTCGAAAATTTAAAAAAGATAAGTCTTGCAAATAACATTTTTAATATTTTTGATACATTTTTAGCTTACTTTTTCAAAAATGGAGCAATTTACGAGATATTTGGATATAAAAGCGGCCAATATGAGGCCAAGTCGAAGTGTGTCGTTCATGCAAATTAACTCGTATTTTCGGACTGAAAACAAATATTTATACAAAAAAGGCAAAAAATTTAGGTAATAGTCACAAAACAATGTTATTGTAAAACACGTGTTGAAAATAACTAAAAAAACAACAAAAACGTTCAATTTTACCTTTTTTAGGTATAAAAGTGAATAATAACGCAATAAATAGCAATAACAATATAGCACTAGATGGAACGTATAAAAAACGATTGAAGAGGTATCAAAAACGATAAATCTTAAAAAAAGAAGCCAAATCTCTATTAAAAATACCTTTGCACCGTGCAAACAAAAGTTAGTTTTTGACTGCACCGTGCAAAAAAAAAGCATTTCTTGATTTTACCAAAGTTCTTACCAAAGTATAAATTTTTGTTTTATCATTTTTTAACAGTAAATTTAAATTGTAAAAATTACGTAAACAATAATTTTTAAAAATTAATAATTTTCGCGCAAATTTAAAGGTTTTAAAATTTACTGCACGGTGCGAATAAAATTGCCCTTTCAACTGCACTGTGCAAAATTTAAAAAAATTATTTTTTTTTGAAAATTTTTTAAACTTTTAATTTTTGCGATATTTCAAAAGTTTTAAAATTCGCACCGTGCAAAAACTAAAAAGCCAAATTTTTAAATTTAAAATACCTTTAAAATTAAAAAAAATATTTTTTTTAGCTAATAACATTGATTTTGTCATTTCAAAATAACCAAAAAATTTTACAAAAAGGTATAATTGGTCGAATCGCCACAAATCTAGCCATTTTTCCCATTTTCCGCGATTTTTTACCTCGAAAAACAATCAGAATCTACCAAAAAACTAGTAAATTATAAACATCTCACTTTCTTTACATTAACCTATGTTCTCATGAACAACTCACTTTGCAAATCCAAGTTTAATTAAGCTTTTCAAGTCTTAATTAAGATTTCTTAAGCCTAAAACGGAAAATAATCAAAAAAGGGGAGAATTAGGAATTAAGGGTGGGGGTTTTGGACGAAATACAATTGGAGAGAGGAAAACAGAAGAATCGGATCGAGAAAAAAGAATTTTATTGGCATCCGAGTGAGGAAAAAGTCGGGGAAACCGGCTCCGCCCTCAACGAAATGAGCCCTTTTCCAACATTTCTGGGTTACATTTGGAAATGGCAGGGGTTTCTGGTTTTTAAATTAGTTATCAGCCATGCCCTTTCCTTATCTTTAACCCTAGCCTTAGTCCTAGCCCAGAGCCTAGAGCCTTATGCTAGCTCCTACCGCACCTTAGCTTTTTCATGCCCTACCCGGTATTATTATGCTCTACTCCTAGTTTAACCCTAACATGATCTACACTTGATACCCATGCTCTACTCTTACCATACCCTCAGCCTATCCTTGCCCTAGCCTTGCTTTAGCATTTCTTTAGCCTTGCGCTACCCTTGCCCTACCCTTGTTCTACCCTGCCTCTGCCCTTGTTCTACCTTTGCCCTACCCATGTTCTACCCTTAATCTATTCTTGCCTCTACAGAAGCCGTTACCTTACCTTTGTCCTTTTTTAGTACTTAATCAGAGCAAACACAAGCATAAATTAACTTAAGTTCTTCCCACTTTCCCACATAACCATGCCCAATAAGTTTACAACCGCCCTTTTATGATCTGGTAATCGCCAAGTTCATGGTAAGCCAGAGATACGGATCTGACCTCATAGAACTTTGGGCGAGGGTCGAGAGCCGCGAGATTTACGACACAGGTGCTGCGACATGTGCGTCGCATTTGTCGCCGTATAATGGCGACGCTAAATTGCATTCGAAACGAGAGAAATGCAAATTTCTTCAAAGATATTGTCTTCTAGTACTTGGGCAAACAAGCCTTCTGGATTCAAGGATTTAGGGGGGTTTGAAAGAGAAAGAGCAGAAACTTTCTTTACAAACCAACCCATAAAGACCGCATTTTACAAAATTAAAAACGGCAAGAATTGTCCTTACAATACTCAAAAGATACAAAATTTCAATTTTAATTTTAAAATACCAAAAAAAAACATTTATCGTATAAATTGTCACCTGTAGGCTGCAATAAGTAAACTTTGACACAATTCGTATCCAAATGGAAAGAACTTTGTTTACAAGATCATGAAAAGCAAAAAGAGTGCTTAAAAATAAAACGTAACAAAAACTTTCTTTACAAAACAAAAAAAAAACCAAAAAAAGTTGACAAAAACTATGAAAATAACCTATCGTGTAACTTATCACCCGCAGGCTGCAAAAAGTAAACTTCTACATATTTCATTTCCAAATAGAAAAAAACTTTGTTTACAAAACAATAAAATCAAAAATTTTCTTTCCAAAATCAAAAGATAACAAAAACTTTTATTACAAAGCCTAAAATGACAAAAATTTAGATCACAAAAATCGAAAAAATACAATCCATTGTATAACTTGTCACCAAAAGCTAAAAAATAAAAAATTTGATAAAAATAGAAAGAATTTTCTTTACAAACCACTAAATTTTTGACAAAACCTTAGCCTCGCAAACAAAAGATCTTATTTGTCGTATAACTTGTCACCTGCAGGCTGCACAAGGCAATATCGGCTCTTTCGTTGAATAACTGCCATAACTTTCGTTACAAGACAAACAAAAAAAGCTAATAGACCAAAACAAGTTCAAAATACACAAAAACACCCCCTAATTTTAAAAAACACCCCCTAATTTCAAAAAACGCCCCCTAATTTCAAAAAATACCCAAGCTTTCTCAAAAAAGTAAGAAACTAGCCAGAGTACCTGCTTTCCCATGTGATTCTTTACAATTCTGTAATGGAAAAAGCATTCGAAACGAGTTCGAAGTGTTTAAACAGAGAATCAAAACACAAAAGCAGCAAAGGGCTTTGTTGTTATCGGATTTCGTTTATGCAAAACAGGTTACAATTAAAGGTATTGCTGGTTTTTAATGGAATATCAAGTTTCAATTTTTTTTAATTTTTGATTTAAAAAAGTGAATTTTTGGTTTTTTTACAAAAAATAGCAAAAACTTTCTTTACAAAACAAAAGTAGCTAGAGTAGCCCTAGCCCATATGACCCATCGTATAACTTGTCACCGGCAAGCTGCAGTTTTCTTCATTTCTTTCATCAAAAACTTGAAAGAAATATAAATTAGCAAAAACTTTCTTTACAATCTGAAAATAAGTAATTTTTTTATAAATTTAAAAACTTTAAACTTATAAAACCTCGAAGATATAGGTACAGCCCAAGACAGCTAAAAACCAGTAAAAACCGGTCAGAGCCGTGCCGTTCTCTTGCGTAACCTTAATAGTTAGTCATGCCCAAACATGGAAATGACTTTTGCCAAACAAAAAAATAACTCAGTTTTGGCATTTGCGACCGAAAATGGCAGAATTGCAGCCGGTTTTTTGAGAAACAATAATATGGGTTACTGTAAGTTTTAACAAAACTTCAGAAAATGCTACAGTAACTTAATGTACTGTAATTTTCAGCGAAAATACAAAAAATACTGTAATTTTTTAAATAATTTAAAAGTTCAAAAATATTTTTTAATGTAACCCTAACTCCAGCATTTGAACTAGCATTAACCCTAGCATTGGCCCTAGTCCTAGCTCGTACACGTAAAAAACAAAAAAATTTTAAAACTACAGTATGCAAAACGTAATGTAACAAAAGCTATACTCCTCGTATTTTACACATCTACTTAACATATAACCACACCCTATCACGCAATTACATAAATTCCAAACAAAGAAATTTGCTTACGACCGTTTAATGGCCTTTTAACGCGCAAACCCATTAAAGGATCCAGTTTGGTGGATAATATTTACAAAATTAATCGAATAGGGCTAATTGTACACAAATGCCTTATATCTCTGCCAATTTGAATAAACAAAATCTGATACAGTAAAAGATAGACATCTTAAAGTTGTTATGAAAAAGGCTAGTAGTTAGGCTATAAAGAGTACGACTAGGGTAAAGGGTATAGCTAGGATAAAAGTTAGAGCTAAAGTCGAGGCTAGAAACAAGGCTAGGGCAAGGTATTGTAGAGTAAAGTGAAGACGAGTAAAACAAGAGTAGGTCCAGAGTAAGGCATGGCTAAAAAAAGCTAAAAAAAAACTAAGCTAGAGTTAGGGACAAGGCTAAGACTAGGGCTACAATCTCTGAGTTTTAGGCTCTGAGCTTTAGGCTGTGGACTAGGGCTCTCGGCTAGGGCTCTGGGCTAGGGGCTAATTCTCAAATGTGACCTTTTCTTTTAAATTCAAAACTTCAACCTGGCCTTATTAACATTATATCGCAATCGAACTTTGTTACTATTAAGCTTTACATAATGTTAATATAATCCAAAATTATGTCACCAAACCGCTGACTTTAATGGGCAAACATTGTCATGATGCGTGTCATTAAACGATCGCCGCGTTTCTCAAAGAAGGAATAACCTTTTTATGGCACACTTTATGCATTATCGGCTACAAAAGGGCATACATTGAGTAAGACATAAAGGAATATAGAGGAAATCGGAGTTATGATTACATAAAACATCATTTTTACTTACAAAAAGGGTGGATCTTTACCTAAAATAATCAAAAAAAACCTATGTTTCACTACAACTAATCAAATAAGGCCTATAACATCAATAATAAATTGTTCAAAAAATTCTGAGCCCCCTCTCAAAAAAAACTTTTGAGTTTTTTTAGGAGGCTCAGTATTATTTGAACAAAAGTAATTGCTTTTTTGCCCTAATCTGCACTGCCCTATCGTGTTCTGCTTGACCCTGATCTGCCCTACCCGTTACTGCTCCCTCCACACTCAACTGTTACCTAAAACAATATAAATCCGCAGCTCAAAAGAAACCGCAAGACAAATAATTCCAAAGAACTGACAATGCCAAATAAATTAAACTTTTGGGCGTAAATTTACTGCCAATGGCTATAAAAACCGGCTCGCTGCACCTCCGCCGATCACCCACCGAGGCCCCAGATTTACGACCAAAAAAGAGTCATAACGATATTGTTTTAGGTTTTTTGAGTGAAAAAAAAATATTTGAATAATGAGTTTTGAGGAAAAAAGTTGAAGAATCTAAATTTCAAACAAATTTGAAAAAATTTTTTTTTGTAAAGAATGTTTTTTGGTATGCCAACTTTAAAAAAGCTCTACCATTTCGAACCAACAATGAAATTACCCATCCTTCCCAGAATGATCTAAAAATTTGTATATGATCTCTTTGTACCACCAATAGTACTCATAAAAAATTTTTAGCTTGCCCTTTTGAATATGAAAATTTAAACATTTGCTTCTCCCGCCAATTTGACAAAAATGGTATCATGTTATAAGCACTTTTTTTGAAGTTCTTGACAAGCTGCGCTTACAAATTTAAAAATGTAGGTTTATTTAAAGTTTTTCTTGTAGTATATTAATGAAAATAATTATAAAAGTTAACAAATGAAAAAGTTATTAACTTGAAACACAATGTCAATTTGGCGGAGAAATTCAAAACCTTAATTTTTTGATTTTAATGTGTTCGAGATTTACTGATAAGCGCAATTTAGTACTTTGCTGAAGATCTTATATTTACATGATCTTTCTATGTAAAAAGTATGAAGTCAATCAGAGCGGGGCAGATCGGCAGACTCTCCTTGTAAATATTTGGCCAAAAACTATTATTTGAAAAAGCTCCTGCCATTTTTGAATCCAACGGGATATTAAAGCGAAAAAAATTGAGCAAGACCATTTTTGGCTACAGATATCATCGCATGACGATAAAGACGAAGGCACACCGCAAAATTTTGTATTGAAAAATGGAAATAGGAATTTTTCTAAAATGTCGGCTGCAAATGGGATTTTCCATTTTATACGACAAAAAAGTGGTCAAATTTATGGTTTAAAATGCACTTTATAGGCTACCTAAAGCAATATAATAAATGTTTTTTTATATTCTGTATGTTTCTATAATACATGGCTAAACTTGTCATAAAATAATTTTTTAACTAAAATTTTACTTTCTTTGTAGATATCGCGAAGGCTTTGTACTTCTTGAATCAAACTACATAGATATTATAGTGAAAAAAAATAAAAATGCAACAAAAAAAAGTAAAATACGAAAAGCCAGAGATAAAACCAACATGAAACAACTTGAAAACATATGTTTTCATTTTATTTTATATTGAAGTGGCCTTTTAAGCCATTAGCCAATTTTGACATTTTCAAATTTCAAAGTTTTTAAATTTATCTGAATTTGAGTAGAATGGGCCAAAACTTTGTTTCCAACAGTAAAATTTTTAAAAAATTAATATTTTTTTTAAATTTATTGAATTTTAAAACTTTTTTTGCTTTCAAACTACTGAAACTGCAAAAACTTTGTTTACACTTCAAAAAAAAGCTTTCAAATTTTAAAAAACGCAATAACTTTCTTTCCAAAAAGCAAAAAAAAAACAAAAAATGATGTACAATATTATACTAAAGTTTACTTTTAAAAAGACAACCTCTGTACGAAGCGATCGAAAAAAGACACCTCATCTCCATGTTATTCATTGTCTGAACCCATAAACATGCCTTCTTTGAATTATTAAGACAAAATTGGCCATACGATCGGCCTCAAAAACGAAATTTGCATTTTTACTCAAGTAAAATATGGGTTTCGAGATTCAGGACTAGCATGTAATTTATATAGTACTAAATTAAGTCCGTTTAGATAATAAATTTGAAATTTTTTTAACTTTGATATTGGGTCAGATATTATCTTAGGTATGAAACCTTGTTTTTATAGTCATACGGTAACTTTTGTGACAAAAAGTAATGTTAAACTACCCTACCCTACCCTACCCTACCCCACTCTACCCTACCCTACCCTATCGTACCTTACCCTACCACACCCTACCCTACTCTACTCTATTCTACCCTACTCTACCCTATTAAAAATAACTTTAGAAATCGAAACTTTTTTAAATTTTCAAATTTCAAAACTTCAAAAAAACCAAACTCCGACTGTTATACCATATAGAAATGTTGCTTTAAATTGAAGCAGGTTTCAATCACATTATTCCGAGATCAAAGATTTCCCGCCCGAACGTGCCTTTGATCACGTTCCGCCCGTTCCACGCACATTATCAACCGTCAAGGTGAATTTGATTAGTGCGCAACTTTTCAAACGCAAAAAAAAATATTTTTCAAATCAATTTTAATGTTTTGGCGGTAGTTTTGAAAGGTTGTGATTACCGTATAATGGGTTTGAATATAAAAAGAATTACGGTAATTTATAAAAAAACTTGGATATACGATATGTTTCTATGGATTGAGGAAGATGGGGAGGGGGTAGAGGCAAGGGGTAAAGAAGGGAAGACAAGTTTATTTTTATTTACCCCCTAACCACAATTTACTTTACCCCGCCTTGTCTTTGAGCAACCCTTTCTATTGCTCTTTCCCCTATCTACCCCCTGCGCTCCCTGCCCTGCTTTTGCCCTTGCCTTGCCTTGCCTTGCCTTGCCTTGCCTTGCCTTGCCTTGCCTTGCCTTGCCCTCCTCTCCCCTCTTCTGATCTCCTTCCCCCTCCTCTCAAACCCATAACCAGTAGCCCCTTGATGCCCACCTCAGTGATAACCGGTCACATAAAAAACACGCAAAAGCCGGTCGAATTCATAAAAAAGTGTCATTGGCTTATCAAGTCGAAACGAAAAGTGTGCGGTCGGCCCCTTTGAAGCCAGCGAATCTCATAAAGATAACGCGTAATGGCCGAATGTTGTTGTAACGATGTTTGGATAAATATTTATGACAGAGTAAACATTCGCGGCCCTGTCACTATGTCAAACATTCTAATGGAATCCGAAAGTGAATATTGAAATTCGGATCAAATTTCGTTGTAATCATTTTTTTCAAATTTTAAATACGAAATATATATAAAATACAGTAAAACCTTATCATGATCCTCAATTGTGTGACACTTTCGTTCGAGATCAAAAACTTTTAAATTTCTCTCTAAATTGGCATAGTGTTTCAAGCTTGTAACTTGGTAATACAAGCCTATTTCATAGCTAATGTTTCTTTTCTTTCGCCCGATTGTAGCCTAACTCAAAGCCTATTTTTATTCAACTACTATAGCCGTAACCAGTGTTTTGCCCGGACCGGTCCGGAGCGTTTTTCACCGGTCCGGTCCGGCGATTTTTTGGGTCCGGTCCGGTCCGCAAAAAATTTTTTTTTAATTTTTAAAAAAAGCAAGGAGCGCTAAAACTGCTTTCTTTTTGCTTAAAAACTCATAAAAATATGTTTTATTTGCAATTTTTAAAACAGTTTTTTCAAAATAAAAAAAAAAATTCTTCCGGACCGGTCCGGAGCTTTTTCTTCGGTCCGGGTCCGCAGGTTTTTGGGTCCGGTCCGGTCCGGTCCGCAAAAATTTCTGTTTCGGTCCGTCCGGACCGGACCCGTCCGCGGACCGGACCGGTCCGGCAAAACACTGGCCGTAACGAATATTTATAGCCGTCTTACCTAAACTACTGTTGCCTGTTTTATTCTGGCCTTTTTTATACCTATTCTTTTATGTCAGTTTTATCTCGTGTAGTACTTAACCCTTATTAGAGTTTGCTAGCCGCTGTAGCTAGACATGAGCTGCGGGCCGGGCCTAACATTTAGGCCCGGCCCGGTTCGGCCCGTTTTAAAAATTTAAAAAATTTTTTTTTCTGGCCGTGGTCCAATTTTCAAGACAGGCCCGGCCCATTGCTCATGTCTACCTGTAGCTGCCTGAAAAACGATCAAGGAAACCTTATTATGAATCTTTTAAACATTGTACTCGTTATAATTTCCTATTTATAAGACCAATTTTTAAATACTTATAAAACAGTATAAAATAACAAAAAAATTCAAAAAATAGTCAGATACTATTATATATAGAACATACACTAACCAATTCCAAATGATATACTATAATACACCCTCACCAATTCCAAGCCCATTAAGCCCTAGCTGAAACTTGAGGGGTAATATGGCGTTAATTTATATTTTGGCTGGAGATGGATTAAAATGGCCTCAAACCGGGGGGTCCGCACCTGTTTTTATGGCTTTTCAAGTGAGAATTTATGGTGTTGCTTTAAAAGTGTTGACAGTCTAGGAAGCTAAACTTGCTTTACGTATTTTAAGCTTACTTAGAAAAAGCAAAAATTTGAATATTTAGTGTTAGATATTTGAATATTAGATGAAAAAAAAGAAAAAAATTGAGAAAAAAACGGAAATTAAAGATGTTAGAGGGTTTGTGCGCCTTTAGCGACATTATTCTCCGGAAATTGCGCTGTCGTAAAATACGGAGATCTAATAAAAAATATTTTGTGAAGTAAGGGCTAGCTCTGACAGAGGGAGAGAAACGGGCCGAGACGGCTTTAAGCTAAAGTTGAAACTGGCCGGGTCTAAAAGTTCGGCTTGGCTTACAGTTCCAGCTTGAAAAGTAGGGCGCAAACCCAAAAAAAAATTTTAAATTTAAAAAAAAATAAATTTTATTAAAGCTGTGTGATTACATTTCAACAACATATAAAACTTTGGCAGTAAGGTCATGTATTAATGGTTGATATATGTTACAATGTACGTATTACAAGCATTATAGCCAACAGGAATGAAAGTAACAATGGAATTGTCATTGGATTGCTCGAACTTTGAGCAAATGGACATTCTCCAGGCTGAAGGAAGGTTCGGCACAGTCGAAACCGGTTCCGGGAACCGCGCCAGACTAACTAAAATATTGCGTTTGAAAATGTTTAGTTAGCCATGAGCCCTAGCCTAGAGCCCCGTATAAACCATCCACCCCAACCCACCTGAACGCAAACTTCTTGAACTCGGTCGCTTCGTTTAATACCAAAACTTCCACTAAACCACTGGTCGATTGTTCCATTACCCAAATGTTGTGAAAACTTGACAAAGTTGCCTTCACGGATACGGTAGTCAATGAATACAGTAATCGGCAAGGGCCAAGATTCGTCAACTCGAATTAGGTATCGCACCTTTTTACAATGTTTTTGACTAAAAACAGCAGGTGTAATAAAGTTTTTTATGTTTATGTACTGTAAAGAAAGTTTTTGCAATTTTTTTAAATTCATTTTCAGTTGTCAGTTTGTAAAGAAAGCTCCTTTAGTTTCAATAAAAAAGAAACATATAGTGCAAAAGGCATCCTGCAAGTGACAAGTTATACGAGAAATTGTATTTTTTTGTAAATTTAGTTTTTTAAAAAAAATTTTTGCCACTTTTAAACTGTAAAGATAGTTTTTTTTCCAAAGTCTTCTTATTTTCAAAAGTACTTTGCCATTTTTTTCTGTAAACAAAGTTTCTGCCATTTCAAACTTACGTAGCCTCAAGAGTGATCAGCCTCTGTAGCCAATCCAGTTCATTGCCCGTTCTCTCAATAAAATTGTCTGGCTTGAACATATAAACAGTAGAGTAGTTAGCCCATGACTGATAGTACCTTCTTTTATGAAACACTTCGTATCTGACATGACTATGGTATATCAACTCATACCATCGATGACGTACTAGGTCACAGGATAGGTAGTCCTGAAATGGAGTTGAAAAGGTTTGTCATCTTATTTTGATTTTGTAAAGAAAGTTTTGTCAACTTTAAGAATTTTTTGATTTGCAGTTTGCGGGTGACTTTTTATACGATGAATCATGTTCTTGAAAATGTAAAAATTCGCATTTTTTGTGTTGTAAACAAAGTTCTTGCAAAAAACTTCTTTTTAAACTTACCCTCTGTTAGAAATGTCATTCTTAATCTACCCTATCTTAAAGGACCAGTTCGCCCATTCAAATATCATTGGCATTCTGTCGCAAAAAGCGTCGAAAACTAGGCAATTTCAATCAAAATCATTTTTCTCAAAAAACGTGAGTGGGTCGGTGTCGAAATGAATTTTCCAATTTGGGACCGACCTGCTCAGGTTTTTTTGCGAAAAAAAATGAACGTCGAATTTTTGCGACAGAATGCCAATGATATATACTGGTCCTTTAAAAATGTCATTTCTATCTTATCCTATACTAAAAATGTCATTTTTGACCTACCCTATATAATAAATCTCATTTCTAACCTCCCCTAGATTAAAAATGACATTTTTAGCCTACTCTATATTAGAAATGTCATAACCTATTCTATAATTGAAGTGTCATTTTTAACCTAGCCTACAATAGAAGTGACATTCTTAACCAACTCTATATTAAAAATGCCATTTTGAACCTATCTTATTTAAAAATGTTCTACCCTATATTATAAATGTCATTTGTAACTTACTCTAAGTAAGAAATGCCATTTCTAACCTATCCTATACTAGAAATATCATTTCTAACCTACCTTACATTAAAAATGTCATTTCCAACTTACCCTATACTTTTTCGGCAAACTGTGAATCGGACATGAACTCATAGTGACATTGAAGCTCGGATTCTCACTTCCCAATGCCAATTCATCAGTATACTTGGACAATGGTTTAGCACAAGTACTGTAGAATCCAAGGTCCGGTGCCATTCTATATTCACCACCATAACCCATAAAGCTGAGGTCACATTGATGCGGAGAGCCGATCTCATGTATAGTAACTTCAACCACCGGCTTCAAGTAGGTTGTCTTATTCTTGTCGCGGATATATGACACACCGTTCTTTGTAGTACGAAGAGAGGCACAGTAACGAACGTTCTCGGGGAAGAACTAAAAAAAATATAATTTGAAAATTTTTAAATTTTTTGTCTTGAAAGGTAGTTTTCGATTTTTTAAGGGAAAACAAGGGTAAAGGGAGGCAGTAGAGAAATTAAGAAAAATTTTGCAGCCTGTCAATGACAAGTTATACGGTAAAAATGATTTTTTACATTTAAAAAGCCGTTATTACTATTTTCCTGCTTTAAAGAATATTGCTAATTTAAATATTTTAAACAATTTTTTTAAAAAGTAAGAACCGACTAAAAATTAACATTGTAATTTAAGTAGTGGCACACATATTATACATTGAATAACTATTTTTATCAAAAGAAAGATCAACCGACCGTATTTTACAAAAAAAAACATTTTTTGACCTATAAGAATACTTTACGGCATTTTTAAAAAGGCGTTTCCAAATTGAGTGTTTTGTAGCTTGAGACTATATAATAGATATTTAGTCTTATTGCTTTCGTAAAGAAAGTTTTTGCAATTTTTTGTAATACAGTCAAAGCTCTTTATTATGACACTCAAGGGACTGGTCCAAACATTTCTTTATAACCAAGGTGTCTCAATATCTTTAAAGACAGTGGAACCTCCGTATAAGGAACCTCTATGTAACGAACAGTATAACAAACAATTTTTGAATCCCCGGCTATCATTACAAAGTGCATTTTAAACATCTCTATAACAAAACCTCCTCATAACAGACAAATTTTAATTCCCCTACCGATTCGTTTATACAGAAGTTTTACTGTAAGTAAATTTTGATAGGTATTCTACAAAGAACATATTACAAAGAACGGTAAGAAAGCAGTCATTATAGAGAGAAGTGTCATACTATCGAGAAACTAAAAAAAATTTTTTTTATTTTTCAAATTTTTTTACAAAAGCTACCCTTAGGTAACCAAATAATGTGTATACAATGTAACTCCTGTAAAACGACAAACTTTCAACCCGCAGCCAAAACTAAAATCTAAATTTAAACTACCTCAACACCGAAACTCCTTTATAACAAACCATTTTTAAATCACTTCAAAAGTTTTAGTTTGTAGCTTAGAGCAATTCGTTATACACTGTAATATGTTAGCAAAAGGTCCTTACCAACATGGTCTCTTCTCTCATCGGATTCTGTTCTGATGAACAACTCTGAATCTTGAATTCTAATGGCTTTTCTGGCGTGATCTAAAACATGAACGCTTCCGTCACCGTATTTTACAATTCTATTCATGTTTGCAAAAAAATTTTTAACTTAAGAAATTTTAATTTAAAAATTTTATTATACTTCATTAAAATTTCAAGAAACTGCCATACCTGATAGACCCCAAATACCCGTGTCAGTAATTCGGTAATGATGACCAACTTGATAGCCAGCCAACATCCATGGCCAACCGTAAAACCCATGGTAATCACATTGACGCGTCGGACGTTTTCATGGCCAAAAGTTTGCTTTGTTTAGCCACGCTTCTCGAAATGGCGACCAAATGTGGGACGATCTTATACTAAACAACTGAAAAGACAGGAATATATTGTAGTATGCAAAGAATATATGTAAAATACGAGTAGATTTAATCGGCGATTTTTAGGAGTGAGAAATAGGCCGTGTAGACTCGGTACAGCTCAGCCCGGCTCTACAATAGGGTCGAACTAATAAATACCACGCCCAGTTAGGCCTGCAAACAGGCCCACTAGTCCGGGGGGGGAGACTAGTAGGCCTTCACAACTAGTCGGAATTTAAAAAAGACCGGACTAAAAAGTAATACCCAACCTGAACCCTTTACAGGTCTACTCCCAGTCCAAAACCACTTCCCCAACCCTAGTTTTAGCCAGTGGCCACTATAACCGAAAGCAGTAAAGTGAAAATGTTCAATTTTTGACGGAAATCAAAACGGAAATACGAGAACGGCTTGGAAACTTTTCTGAATTAAACCAAAATGAACTCTATTGCATTACTGTATATACTGCAACGTTTTTTGAAACCATATTTTTTACACCGTCCTGCCCTATCTTAACTATGTTATAAGATAGCTTAACTAAATAATCAAATATGTTATTAAATTGTTCAAGTAATTCTGTGCTCCTCTCAAAACCGAGTTTTGTTAGGAGCACAAAATTATTTGAACAACCTTACAACCTTACATTAACTATACAATCAAATACCTTAACTATAAAACCAAAAATTTAAAAAACTAAAGCTTTAGGGTTGATTACCCCCTAAACCTACTGTAACAAAAAGACCACCCATATCTAAAAAGTAGAATTCATAGTGCAAGACTGATAACAATAAATTTCAAAAAACATTTAGGAAGATTTAACGTGGTGACAAGTGTAATATATTGTAATCGCCCCCCGAGGGTCATTACGACAAATAGTAAAAGTAATACAACAAGCTGCAAAGAAAAAGTTTTTATTTTAATAAAGTTAATTTTAAAAAACTATTTTGAAAAAATGTGTTCAAGGTATAAAATAGCACCCGCAGGCTGCAAAAATGGCTTAATATATCATTTATTTCTAAAAATGGCAAGAACTTTTATTACAGACCAAAATATTAGATTGTTCAAATACTTCTGCACCCTCTGTCGAAACCAAGTTTTGGTGTTATAGAGCACAGAATTATTTGAACAACCTAATATACGATATAACGAAACAAGCCATGAATCTTCTTCAAATGTTAACAATAACCTTTATTTTTAAGATTTAAAAAAAAACAGCAAGAACTTTCTTTACAAAACAAAAAATTTAAAAACTTTTTCACAAATTTTATATGAAAAACCTTTAGCTAGGAAAAAAACATGTTTTAAAGGAAAAGTTGTTAATTGACCATCTTGAAGTCATAAAATAAGAAATGTCACAAATTGTTACGCTGCAAGCAAAAAAAATGACCTTAATTTTACAAGAACATGGTCAAATATTACCTAATCTTCAAAATAATCACAAGAAAAAAAGAAAACTGATAAATTTTTTAAAATCTCTCTTGCCTAAGCCTCCTCCCCCCCTCCTCTCCCCTACCCTTCTCGCCTCTCTCATAAAATCAGAAAATCATACCTTTCTCTTCTCTACACACTCCCTCTCCCGCCCCTACAATAAACCCCTCCAACAAACCCCCATATCTTCACCATGCCCAAGCTTGAACCCAAAATGCCATTCCCTTCCTCATCCAGTCCACAAACACTTTACTTTGACACTAAACCCAAAATAGCGCCGCGAATTTAACAGAGTTTTAAATCCTTTATTCGCTTTGGTTTTTGACTCCAAAGTTTTTGTCCCGAAGCCGGCTTCGGTTTCCAACGTTATTTTCACAGATTTCCAAAACAAACGATAAAATTCGGCGCACCGGAAGACGGGCATTCGAATGAAACAAATCTTTTCATAAACCGTTTATAAACATGGCCTGAGGAAAGGAGGGGGATAATGCACTGTTAGGTTAAAAATAGGGAAAAATTTGAAATTTTCAAATTTAAAAAAAAGTTTTAAAATTAGCAAAAGTCTTTAAATGATAAGTTATCAATTCTATTTTAGATTGAAACTCAAATTGTAAATCGTTTTTGATATCCATAGTCTACAGGTCTACTACAAGACCTGAAAGAAATCCTAGTAGTCTTGACTCGGTCTTGGCTGGGCCTCAGCTCGGTCTTGACTTTGTCTTGTCTTGCCTTTGAATTGGCCTTGGCTCGGTCTGGGCTCAGTCTTGGCTCAGCCTTGAGTTGGCACATGTAAGCTCAATAACCGTCCCAAAAACTAAATCCCACAACGAAAGATTTTACTTGCGAAAAGTGTAAAATAAACATGATAGTAACCCTACTTACTTAACAACAATACTAAAACAATAACTACAAAGTAATAATTTTTTGTAAAAAGCCCCCATTTCAAGTCATTTTGACGTTTTTGTCGCTGTAAAAACTGTATTTTTCGTTAGCTTACTAATGAAAACAAAATTTCAAACTTTTGCAAACTATATTGTAGCGTTTTTTTTTATTTTACGACAAAAAATGTGTGATAAGTAAGGATTTTTGAAAAGTATGCATTTCCTGAAGAAAAAAACGTGTTGAAACACGCGAAGCATTTCAAAGATTGAGGGTGGATAATATGCACTTCCAACAAAATAAGAAAACGGAAACATTTACACTCAAACATATAATGCATTATAATAGATTGCATGGTTTGTAGGTCTAAAAAAGATTCTACTATGCTCAATATAAGCCTAAACAAATTTGAAAGGGGTCAGGCCAGGCAATTCTAAAAGTTGAAAAAAATTAATCACGGCCTTACAGGTTTAATGGTTTGAAAAGGAAATTGTAATTATCCCAATTCTTAATCACGTATTTTACAATAAGAACACATGTTTTTATGAAATAAAACAAAAAAAAACCATTTTTTAAACAAATTCAAAAAGTGAAAAAAATTTTGTCTCTTCTCAAAGCAAATTTGCATGGTTAAAGAGCACAGAATTACTTGAACAATCTAATAATTTTAAAAGTTTTAAAACAAAATGAAAATTAATACCTAAAACAGTCTTATTTTCATGCTCAGACAACATACACCAAAAACATGTGAACATTCAAAAAGATGAGGCCAAATTGGCCGAACGTTTCTTTTATGAATCTCTCAAAAATTCGTAATTAGATTCAATTTCTTCAACAAACTGTTGCGCAATTCATAAAAAGAAACATTTTCTACAATTATATTTTTATACTACAAACTGAGCTGGAGACCAGGAGCAGTAGAGATGCGGGTAGTCTGGGAACCTCCTCCACAAAAAATTGGAAAAAGTTAAACGTACTCCCCCCTGTTAGTTTTTGAAAAAACATTTAAATAAAAACGAACGTCTATTGTAGGCCCGGTTTGGTCCGGCCCGTTTAAAAATTACTTTTGAAGCCTGAACAGCGAGCCGTGCCTGGTGTTTTAGTCCAGATACTTTAAACTTTACCTCAAAGTCGACTCAGTATGTTCCGATCGCAAGGCCAAGCCTACAATTTTACTCCTACTCTTCTTACTTGTATAAAGCAGACTAAAAAATTTTCCAATCTTTTCTCCCCCTCCCCCCTTCTCAAGACCTTTCCCTAAAATTAAGTTTATTAACTCAAAACTCTAAGAACATTTAAAACAAACCCTAGAAAACGATATAATTTAGAGCTAGATAGATAACTACTCAAATTAGCCGCCCATCAAACAGAATTTGTAATGTGGCGATGTCGCGCACAGCACGAAAGCCGCAATTCCCTCCGGCCAAATGCATAAAACATTTTTTATATTTTGAAGACTCGTGTCAGAATCAACATTTTTTCAAAAAACTTCTGAATACATTTTTAGTTGTTGTTAATTTAGGGGTTAGTAACAGTAAAAGAATGTAAAAAATTACACAAAATTCATATATTAATGTAATTATTAATGTAGCTCTTATACCCGCTTAAAGGTAAAGGTAACAGATATATATATACAGTAATACAAACCATGAAATAACTTGTAATAAAAGACATGACATTTTGCATGTTTATTAGCCTTGTAAAAAGACCGGGCCAGTCCCAATTTTTTGATACAACCCGATTTAAAATATTCTTCTGCTAAGCACAACCCGGCCCGGTGTCACATTAGGTCAAGGCAGTGCCAAGCTTAATGGATTCTTCCAAGTCTAGCGGTCACAGTCTGAACTGTTTTATAAAAAAAGCATAAATTTTAAAAACATTTAGAAAAATAAACCGTGTTGGTACTCTAAAGCAATAAATGCTCCTTTTGGCGATAAAAAGTGAAATTCGAAACGTATTCATGACATTAGCTATTTTACTTTCGCTTTGTCTAATATACAGTACTTCAATAGTAAATAAACAATAGTATAGTCTTGCCTAACAAATCAATATGAAGATATTTAAAACTGAGAAAAGAGTGTTTTAAGTTAGACTTTTCTTTAAGTTTAAATATATTTCTAATGCTAGTTAGCCAGTTCACAGCACCCTGAACCGAACGCTCAAGAAAAATGGAGAATCGTTGAATCGTTATCGATTCCTTTTCGAAAATTTCTTTCCTTCCGTTTTTCGCTTTGTTTTTTTGTTTTTCGGTCGGTTTTGCGTCCTATATTGAAACTTATTCTACCAGATTGTCTAAAATGTAGCAAAAACTGTTTCTTTCAGCAACATTTATCAAATTATTACACAGTCAAACGTGTTAATTTTGCCAATTTGACCGTATAATACTTAGTTAGCTGTTGTATATTAACGATAGAGTCTGACAGAGCATTGGTAAGTATTTCTCATTGTTTTCCCATGTTTTAGGTTTAATTTAGCAAGATCATAACCGAAATGGTAGTTATTAATAAAAGTTTTGACTATATATCGAAAAAGAAGATGTAGAAGGTTTTTTTCAAAACTGAAATGATCAGATGGTCTACTATAATATCGGAAAGCAACTTCTTCAATATGAAACAGTTTTTCACATAAATAGACGTTTCTGGTACCATTTTAATCGTCGTTTTTTACTGATTCAGCATGTGTAAAGCCAGAATCTTGTAAAATAAAAGATGTAAAAGGAATTGGATGTTTATGTTATTTATCCTTAGATCAATCAATATTAATATGGAGTGAAGAATGGAAAAGTTGATCAGATAAAAAAGTATATTAAAATCAACATATGATTTTTGTTATTTCATAGTTGTTTCATAAAAAGGTTTCTACAATTTCGGTATTTTTTATTCGAAAATCCAACCCTGACGCGGCGAAATGTCAAAAAAGAAATGCGTTTGTTTTTTATTGGGTCAGGGTGCCGTGCAGTTACCGAATAAAGAGAAAAGAACTTTAAGAAATGAAACGTGCTCTCAAAGGCTGGAGCTTAAATCAAAGCTCCGCTGCCGAAAAGCTTCGGCTTAGAAAACCGGGCTAAAAAATTAGGCCTGGTCCTTTTACTATTCTTTGGAGATTTTTTAAATCGATAATTTACTTTTTTTTATATTTTTTTATTTTCTGTAAAAACAGCATATTTTGAATAATTTTTGAATATTTAACATTTCGTATTTTACACTTGTTCAATGAAGTCTTGAATTGCATACAAGTGGTATTTTACCTTCTTTTTGGATAGAAAACTCTTTCATAAAGCATAGTTTACCTTCCAATGGATCAGAAAACCTTTCATAAGTCATATTTTACCTTTCCAATGGGTCACAAACTCATTCTCCATAAACGTATCTTGTTTTCGCGGCCGTCAAAACTCGTGGTTATTGACCCGATCCAAGAAGTCTAACATAAAGCCGGGAAATCCGGTTGTGTGAAGCGGCTACACTGAAGCCGCAACCGTTTCGACGGTTTAGCGACCTGAACATGTCCCGGTCTTGTTTGTCTTCGCGCTCTTTCACATCCAAAACGGTCGGAACGCGACTCTAACGGATTCGTCTGGATTCTAAACTCTTGCAAGCGTCTTCGACGTCGCAATCAAGACGTCGGATTCCGGCGTTGGGTTATAGGGTTTTTTGGTAGTTGGGCAAAATTTTGTTTGAATTTTGTTTTTGGTTTATATTTTTTAAATTAAAAAGGGTTAAAATTGATCATTCCAATCGATTTGTATAGAAATTTACGAAATAATGTTTTGGAATTGTGTTCCTCAGCTTCAAATGGAACGTCTGGTACATCATAATTTAAACACCTAGGAACATTTATCGTATTTTACATTTAAAGACCTTGCAACTTAAAGTATTGGCGCTCGTGCAAAATCGTTCTTCCAAAACCAAAGAATCGTTCCCCACTCGTAAAGGCATAATCTTCCCCCGCGTGAAAACTTTCATGATGGCTTTTTATTTTTTTTTCGGTGTTGAAATGTAAAAATGAATAAAAATTGGGGGAACGGTTATGCACCGTTGGGAACGAAATGCACTGAGTAACGATTCTTCATTAACCCCAAAGTATTTATCATTTTTAAATGATTAAATAAAAATAGATTTTTATATTTTTTGAAAATTTAGTCCTGAAGCGACGTTTTATTTTTTTTTAACTTTCAGAAGTTTTCTTCCTTTCAGCAACTCTTTTTTACTTTAAAAACCTTTTTGGTTTTTTTCAAACCAGTGTAGTTAAGTGGTTAAGAAAGAGGGTAGTCTGGCGTACAGAAGAGGATAACATCGAGTCTCGTCGGTTTCATTTTGGCATTTTTTAATTATGAAAAAAAGTTTTGGATAGCCAAGGCATCACGTTATAAAAACAATATTTTTTAGTCATAACTTTCCTTTTTGATTAATTTCTTAAATTTTTTACTTAAAAAATGATATTTTTTGGACTTTAAAGCTATATTTTACAAGAATATTGAGCGTACCGTAAATTTCTTGCTAAGACCACTTAGCAGTTTTTAAAGCTAGGTTTTTTGGTAACTTTTTACGCAGTTTCATCCTATATAGGTCTTGCTATAAAAGTCGAGGGATATTTGTGCAATTCCCTTGTCAGGCCTTACATTTTTCGATCTGTTTTTCCTACCCCTTTTCCTTCACAAACAAAATTACCCTGCTCAGCGCTAAATTCTAACCAGTACTAAACTTTTTTTAAATAAGTAGTACTAATATTCCATATTTTTGTCACCCTATTGTTTGTTATTTTCAAAACAACGAGCTAAGCCCGCGAACAATAATTCCATCGCAATTTCGATTATTTTTAATTTTTCCGGGTTCTTTTCCTCTCATTTCTCTGGCAAACTCTCTCGTTTTTCCCCAATATTTATTCATATTTTGGTCGAACTGACAGAACGAAGATGTGCAATATCCGTCACATCAAGTGTTGTTAAATTTGGGTCCAGCTCCATGTTTAGCGTGTCGGAGGGTCCTTGAGAAGCGGCTTCACAGTTCCGCTCGGATTCGACGCTAAACCTTCGTGGAAGCGAAAACTTTTGGTTTTTTGGGCTTGCACGTTTCATTTTGATCAGAATGTGGGCCACTGGGATAGTCCGGGCTCGGGTTGGGGTGGGGGTGTGGTGGAGGAAGAGGAGTTTTTATATAAGGGATGGGAGAATATTATAGTAGCTGATACTTGTGGCAAAGGTATACCTTAATTCAACTGTTAAGTATAGTTGAAGCTACGAAAGCTTCCAATTATTATAGGATCTACTTATTTCATACTAATTTAAAATACGATAAAAACAATTGTTTTTACCTTTTCTATAACATTCTTCTTCAATCAGAGTTCACAAGCTTTTAAATTTTTTTGAACTTTCAAAAATTTTTTTAAAAAATTTATTTTACTTCTGAAAAATAACCTGTATCAGTATATATCTACAGTCTTTTTTCTTGTTTTTATCACTTTACTAAACTGTAAAGCAGAAAAGATCAAGGAACTCTTTCCACTGTTCAAGTGGACACACTTGAACTGTTGAAAGCCGTCTGAAACAAGTGATTATGACCTTGCGACTCTTCTGGTCATTAGTGTTAAACGGGTTTTCTTAATTTTTAAATTTTTTAAAATTGTATTATAGGTAAAAATAAGCAAAAGGTATTCTTTTACTACATCAATACAGGAGCTTATAAGAAATTAAAAATTAATAATTTTTACTTTTTGTCCGTTAAATTGCTAAATGATTTTACACTAGGGTTGGACTTTTACCAGTAAAATGTTTGTTTTTAAATCTGGCTTAAAAATTGGTTTTGCATTTTTTAGATTATTTATTAATTGTGGTATTTAAAACAATAAAAAAACTAATTGATATTAAAACAAATTCTTAAAAAATTTAAAAACATTTTTTTAATTTTATTTTCTTTAAAATGTCATTTTTACTTTAACTGTGATATATAATGACACCCCTAACTCATTTTAAGCTTGGTTATAATATTTTTTAAAAACTTTTTTCAGAAATCAAACATTTGGCCGATAATTGACTAGGCCAACCCCCTATAACGCCTGCGACCATAGTCGCACTAACAGTATGAAGCCAAGGTCATGGACCTTAAGGCCGTATTACCTTACAATACTTTTACTTTTGTCAACATTCACAAGGTGTTATGGTAAGTGTAGTACATGAAATTTCATTTTTATACTTGTTTCTACCAGGTTGTTTAATTAAGTATGGGCCCTCTTTTAAAGAAAATTTTCGGAGAACAGAATTATATGAACAATTTAATATATAATTTACTTTTGCTTGTTGGCAATTTCAAACCGGTCGCTTAAGTATAAGGAGACTTGACACATTGAGTCAAGTGTTTCCAGAAGTATATACCGCGATATCCGCGTTTTACGTCAAAATAAGGTTATCACTAACTTATCAGGTCATTATCATTTTTTATTCATAAAGAAATACTTTTTTATCACTGTATATTATAAGTATTGGCCATAAATACTATTTTTTATAATTTGTTTACGATAATTAGCTCCTGCTGTCTAAAACAATAGATTTTAGCTAGTCCAAATCCTCAATGGCCACAATCAAATTCAGAATTTTATTCGAATTCATATCAAAGTCAGAATGGCTATGTTCCACCGACTTCTTTTGGCAACAGCAACTATGGAGGTAAGGAAAGGGCATTTTAGGTAACAAATCTTGTTTTTTTGCTAATGATTTTAGTTTTTTATGCGAAACTTAACGTATTTTAGCTTTTAAACAGCTTATTGTATCTATACTCATGTTATGTTAGGTTGAATTTAAGAAGAAGGTAATATTAAAACTTTTCAGCCTTCAACCGTCCGTTCATAACCCGCCCAATGAATGGTAATGGCTTCGTATCCTATGGCAATGGATTTGGCGGATCATATTCGGGAATGGGTACAGCAACAAACAATGAACCGCCCCCATCACCTCACGAGTCCGAGGTAGGTCGAGCTTCAGTACCAGCTGCTCCTGATCCAGTTGGTCCTACTATGCCAGCTGTACCACCGCCTAGTCCGGGTATGAATATGGAAATGGCGGGTATGGGGTCGAATTCACAGCCAACAGCGAGTAATATGAATAGTGGCAATATGAACAACATGAATATGGCTGGCGGAGGAATGAGTCCGAATGGCATGGGCGCGGCTGGCCAGATGGGGCAAATGGGCTATGGTCAAGGGATGAACAGAAACATGTGGAACATGAACAATAATGGCTATGGGAGCTCTTGTAGGTTTATTTTAGAGGACTTGTAGCATTTTTCGTTAATTTTTTTTAAATTTTGAAGTTGTAAAAATTTGTTACCTAAAATTTCTTTAACGATATTGAGGTTGCTAATAGATCATTTTTACTTTTTTGAGTCGTCTAAATGGTGTTTAAATTAACTTTTTTAATTTTATTAGTATTGTTATCTAAATTTTCATTTTTTGTTACCTAAAATATTAACTTTTCACAAATTTATTACCTAAAACATTAATTTAGTGTACAATCAGCCCTGCTATGGCCCAAACTGTCCTATGCAAGGCTTAAACACAGGTGGTTACGATCTGACTGGTCTTGGCGGTCTAGGTGGCTTGACTGGAATGGGCTCCAACATTGGTCAGAATCCGACCGAAGATTCTGGCGAAGAATCAAATGAAATAGCCGCAGGGCAGGACATGGAACAGTCGAATCTTCAAAAGTACGCGGAATATCTTGATCTAGTCAACCGGAGGTATGGGATTGGCATGCCTGGGCAGGGTAACAACAATATGCCTGGACCGACACAATCGACCGGTCAATGGAACAACATGAACAATATGGGGATGATGAACAACATGAACATGGGGATGATGGGCATGAACAACATGGGCATGGGCTACAATGGCATGCCCGATGGTATTGGTATGAATGGAAATGGTATGGGTGGGCCTAATGGTATGAATGGTCCTAATGGTATGGTAGGCGGTATAAGTGGTCTTAATGGATTGCCTGGTCCTAATGGAATGTCAGGTCCGAATGGAATTCCAGGTCCTATTCCGAATGGCTTGAACGGTCTAAACAGTGGTACAGGCATGGGTAATGGCCCGAGTAGCTTAGCTGGTAGTGGTGGCATCAGTACGATGGGTGGACCGGGAGAACCATCAGCTGCTACTGGCTTAAGTGCAGGTGTGGTTGATGGTGGTGCGATTAAAAGTGGCAGTATTTCTAGCACTGGCAGTGGGGCTGGTGGGTCAGGTAAGGGATTTTGGATATAATGGTGGTAAAAATGTGATTTTAAAAAATTTTTATGACATTTTTCAAAAAAGCTGAACAATACGTTTTGTGGAGTATGCAATGGTGTATATATTGTGAACGCTTTGAGTTTCTAATTGTTATAACAAAAAAGTTATATTAGTTTGAAATTGGAATTATTATGATTTTCCAAGCGGAGTCGAACTTTTTTCAATTTTCGACATTTTCAACTAACTACTAGTTTTTTATATAAAAAGATATAGCTATGAAATTTACAATATACGTACTTCTGATTATTCTCTACAATATATATGACTTATTTTTCAAAAAACATACCCATATAAGAAAAAATTTCCATCAAAATTCAGACGGCGCAGTGCCAGGCCCAACCCCGGCCGCCAACGCTCCCAGTGGAATGGGTTCGTTGTTAATGGGCCGTAACCTCGGCTTCGGAACCTATCCATACAGTGGCACATCCCAAGGTGGATATCTACCCAACATCTACGAAAACCCATACCCAATTCAATGGCCAATGCAAGGCAACTATGGCTCACTAACCAACATGGGACCAATCAACACCTGGGAGAATCCGTACGGCCAAATGGGAGGTCTTATGGGTAGTCAAGGAGGTTTGATGGGTAGTCAAATGGGACAAACTGGGACAATCCAACCGGACTACATACCTTATGGTTACTCGAACATACGATACCCACTACAACAACAAGTTCGGCCATCGATCAACTACCCGGTCAGGTGGAATGTGGAGACGACTGCTGGACCTCCAGTATTACCACCTGAGGTCCCGAGCAGTAAGTCGAAAGAAAAGAGTGCGGAGATCAGTGGAAGTCAGGAGAAGACACATCAACCGCCCAACACACCTACTGCAACATCTATTCAGGCATTGACACAGCAGGTCGGCAGGGGTTTTGTTAAGGATTTTGAGGATTAAGGTGTTTTTGGCAGACTTAATGATATATAATTCTTAAAGGTTTTAAAAACTTTTATTTTTTCTACAGTAGAATGACATGCTGATGATATTATTATAAAGCCGTATTCTTAGATTCGCCGTCTGCCAGCCGTTTTGTACGTAGATTCTAAGGACCAAGAAGGGAGAAGGATAGAGAATATGTTAAGAGATACCTATGGTCTACCTTTGGTATCGTTCTACGTCGACAAGATTGACAAACCGAAGACAGTAGAGAAGTATCTACATCAACTTACGGCTCACAAAGGAATGCCATATCTTTTTATTTGTGGCACTTTTATTGGAAGTAAGCTTTTGAATTTGTTTTTGTTGAGCATGGTATTGGGCTTTGCGTAGTACTGTAATGTTTTACTATTTTATGGTACTTTTTTGTATGGTACTAAAGGTGGTACAGAGTAGCACAAGACACTAAGTCTATTGTATTTAACGTAGAAAGTAGTAAAAGTTACATATATAACAAAATATTTAGGCTTGGAACACGTTGACAACTACCACAAGAACAAGCAAATCCCACAACTGGTGGAGTATGTTTGTGGAGAGAGTAAAGACAAGAAAACTCAGCATTCTCACAAAGACAAATCCTCTAAAAAGCCAAAGGAAAAACGGTCTAGGTCTAGGAGAATACCTGGTTAACCTAACATCTTCTCCACTTTACATATTATTTCCTCTATATATACCATTGACTCTACTCTATATAATGTTGGCACTTTTCTTAATAATATTTCAATTGAAATTTAGTTATCTTGTTGTAAGAGGGCTAATAAGGTTTTAAAAGTCAACAAATGAATTGTTAAGTTAGAGTTGTTGGCTTTAAAGGATAATACAAGAAGCATTAACTATATCAAGCTCAAAGTGAATGTTTCTTGGTAGGGGTGAGGAACTAAACGGGCTTGGCGGGACTTATTTTTAGGGCCTAGGATTCAACGTTTAGGCCCGGCCGTTTTCATTTTTTTTCAGGCCGGCTTGGTTTCGTCAAAAAAACTAGGCGTGCACCGTTTTAAAAAATTTTTAAAAAATAAAAGAAAACTGGGCTTTTCCTTGGTTTTTAGTTAAAAATTTCGTAGGCCTGAACCAACTTTTAGGCCGGGCTTGTTTCAACTTTAGCTTAAGGCCGACTCGATCTATTCTTAGAACCAGGCCGGACCTACACGCTCCTTTTCTCACCCCTAGCTCTGTGTTTTTTGTAGCATAACCTTACTGTAACTAACACGGATATAACTTTAATTTACTGTAACTAAATATACAACTTGTTTCTTATGTCTTTCTCTTCAACTTTTACCTTGCAATACCGGTATCTCGAATACATTTGTTTAACTTATCAGTTTATAATATTATGTTACTTTAGCTTTTAGCTATTATTTTTATTTTTTAGTTTATCTACAGTTTAAACTTTATTTCAGAATTTTAGATTAGTCACTGTTGTGGTCTATAAACCTACTTAATAGATGTATATTAATATATATTTAAACTTTTATTACTTTCTAATAACTTTTCGTATCTTGTCTGTTAATATTACGGTAAATTATTTTGGTTTTTATACTGAAACTAATAAATTTTATTTTATTTTTCTGACGTGCTATTTAGTATCAGTACTAGTTAGTATCAGTTTAGGTTTTGTAATAACAAGACAATGTGACGTATTATATTACTGATGTACATAAAGCAAAAGTAGTACGGTATTTTATACATAGAGTTTTGGCTTAGTACAGTTTAGTATTATACTAATTACAGTATTATTTATTATCATATAGATTTAAAAAAATGTTTTTTGTAAAATACGTTTGGAACAACAATCACATTTGGAGACATATGTAAGTGAGTTTAGCTTTCACAAGCTAAAGAAACCCTACAATTAGATTGTCAATATCATCAAGACACTCGACACAATGTCGGTTACGTAACCACAATCGATGTCAAATAGACAGGTGACTCTCATGAACATCGTTGACCTCATCCTGTAGCTCCGAGTTTGTTGTGTTAGGAATTAACGGATTTGGCGGATTAAGGAAGCGCGTCAACGGCTTACAAAGATGTGCAGAGTAGATTACTGTAATATATAATTATATGATTTTCTTGTTTTCGCAACAGCAAGTAAATATTTTGGTTTATTTACTATCCTCCACTTATTCTGCCCTACCTTACTTTACTGTCACTTTATCCTACCCTTTCCTACCCTTTCCTACCCTACCCTACCCTACCCTACCCTACCCTACCCTACCCTACCCTACCCTACCCTACCCTACCCTACTCTACTCTACCCTACCCTATTCTATCTTATCCTATTTTATCCTGCCTTAACATTCCTTACCCTATCCCACTTTACCCATACTATACCATTTCCTAATCTATTCTACCCTACTTTACCCTATCCTACCCTATCTCACCATACTCTGTCTTATCCTACCCAACTCTACTCTTTCCCAACTGACTCTACCCAACCCATACTACCCTGCCTTACTCAATAACACAGTCTTACCCTACCCTAATTTATCATACTCTAACCTACACAGTCTTATCTTACCTTACTTTACACTTCTCAGCTTTACCCAATTACCAAACTCTAATTTATTTACCTTACCTTAACCTACTATAACCTATTTTACGTGCCCCTACCTTACTTACTTGCAGTAGCTTGTCCTACTGTACTTTGCTCTACTCGACTCTGTCTTACTAACTCAACTCTACCTTAGTTTACCGTACTCTACTTTACCCTGCCCTAACTTACTCTGTCTTGCATGATCTTGCCTTACTCAATTACCCTACCCTACCCTGTTCAGAAAACATCAAAGCGTGTCAAACACTAAAATCAACAAGTAATGTGAGCTAATTAACAGCCCATAAAAGATACCAAGAAGGTATCGGTGTTTCCCTTTTCCCAAAATTAATTTATTCGAATTCGAGGCATGGGCTCACTTTTATTGGGACATTAACGAGTGACACTCAGCTGGAGGTGGTCGGAAAGTTTTATGCCTTTTCTGAAAGGTCATAATCGACCAGTTGAATCCGAGATGCAAATTAGGTCTTTCAAATAATGTTTAACCTAATTTACGGGTTTGTAAAGAAAGTTTTTGCGACGTTGATGGGGGCTGAGTTTTAAAAAATGGGGAAATATAATAAAGTGGAAAGAAAGTTATTGCGGTTTAAAAAAAAAGATTTTTTTGGTAAAATTTTGCTGTGTAATTAAAGTTTTCTCTTTTTTGATTTGTAAAGAAAGTTTTTGTCAGTTAGTGATAAAATATGTGCTTTGCAGAGTGCGGGTGACAAGTTATACGATAAAAATTTAAAAAAATTATTTTCTGTTTTGTAAGGTGTATTCCAACGATATCAGCCCAAATTTCAAACTTTTAAGTCTGTAAAGAAAGTTTCTTCAAAGCTAGACATTATTGTCGCCTGACCTGGCAAGAAAGTTCTTGCGGTCGCCTTTTTTCATTTGTTTTGGTCCGAAAACTTTTGAAGGTTTCCAATTTCAATAACAAAAGAAAACTGTAATCGGGGAAGATCCATAAAATTAATTGTATTCGAATTAAAGAGTCAAGATACCGGAAAACGGTTACTGTAAGTTTAAACCAGTTTTTTATCTTTTGGAGTTTTGTAAACAAAGTTCTTGCTATTTTTTGTATTGTGAAGAAAGTTCTTGCCATTTTATGACTTGTAAAGAAAGTTCTTGCAATTTTGTATTTTTTAAAGAAAGTTCTTGTCATTTTTTGTTTTGTAAAGAAAATTCTTGCCTTTCCTTGTCTTGTAAAGAAAGTTCTTGCCATTTTGTGTTTTGTAAAGAAAGTTCTTGTCATTTTTTGCTTTGTAAAGAAAGTTCTTGCCTTTCCTTGTTTTGTAAAGAAAGTTTTTACCATGTCTTGTTTTGTAAATAAAGTTCTTGCGATTTTGTGTTCTGTAAGCAAAGTTCTCGCTTTTTTTGATTTGTAAAGAATGTTCTTGTCAATTAATGTTTTGTAAACAAATTTCTTGCCATTTTTTGTAAAATACGGATGATTAAATGGTTTCTTTACAAAATTACCGTCTGTTTTGCCGTTATGAAGATCACAGATTTACTGGATTAGAGAGGCGCCAAATGTCGCTGTAAAATGACTCTTTAAGTGCGAACACACCATCTTGACAGGTGGTCGTATTTTACAAAACACTCGCCCATATTTTAAGGACTTGCCATTATATTATTAACGAAGATTATTTAATATCAAAAACTTTCTTTACATAACATAAAATGGTCAAAACTTTGTTTACAAAACTCAAAATTTTATTTATCGTATAACTTGTCATTCGCAGGCTGCAGAGCACAAAATTGGCAGTTTTTAAACGAAAAATTGAAAAAAAAATAAAACAAAAAAACGTAAGAACTTTCTTTACAAATTAAAGAAAGGCAAAAACTTTTTTTGAAATTTTAAAATTTACAAAATTTCAATTTTTAAAAAATTTTAAATGTCGTCTTGCCATTTCCAAACCCATCTAAACCCCCAAAACCCATCATGATAAGACCCATCTGCCTTGGCCATTGTGTGCCTACCATAACATGCTTATTAGTTAATCCGAAGGTGAGAGGAACGACGTAATGCGATTGGCCCGAACAATCGGAAACACTCTCGACATTACGCAACGACAAATTGTGTCAAGAAGTGATGGGATAATCTACTGCGTGTTATTTTATTGACAAATAAAAAGTCAAGACTACTCTCAATTAAAGTGGACATATGGCCATGTTCAGCAGGGAGTAGGGGGTTGATATTGGTAATTAGGGAGAGGATACTGAGGGCAGTAGGATGAGGGTAGTAGGGTTAGGTAGTAAGGTAGTAAAATGAAGATAGTCAGAAGAGAGTAGTAGAGTGAAGCCAGTAGAGTAAGCAATTGAGGTGAAGGTAGTAAGGTACGGGTAGTAGAGTGAGGACAGTAGGTACAGGGTTGTAGGTAGAGAGAAATAGAGTGATGGTAGTAGAGTAAAGGTATTACAATTAGGGTTTGAATAAAGGAACCTTATTTACTATGGTAAACGGTAATGTAGATAATATAAGGTATGATAAGATAGAATATTCATAGTTCTGTACAAAGTAAAGGTAGAAGTATAGTGCAATTTGCCAGAGAATGTTATGTGGCCTTGTTTAGTGGCAAACCTCTAGTAAAGCTATATTTTAGAAATTGTAAAGCAAAGCATGTTAAAAAGCAAGTTTTAAGAGAATACCTTATTCATCAAGAAAATAGAATCCTTCTTTCTCCTAAACAATTTTTTTTTGAAAAAACGACCGGTATCATTCAAAATTACAATAATTTACAGTCAACCCCATTTAGTAAACACCCAAGGGACTGAATCACAGTGCCATTATAAACAAGGTATCTCACTAATCAACTAATTTGTGATATTACAAAGACCAAAAAACTGACACAAGATCCAGATAATTTTTAACAAAACTTCCATTACAAAGGGCGGTCAGAAAGTTATCATCATAATAAAAATGTCATACTATCAAGGGTCATGCTAAAGATGCTTCGCAATATACAGTGAACTCCTGTATAACGAATCGCTCGGGGACTGTAAATTTGTTCGTTATAAAGGAGTTTTTTTATACTGGGTTTTTAAATGCACTGTGCAGTGGTAGACGGGGATTGAAAAGTTGATCGTTATACGGGATTTTCGTTATAGGGGAGTTCGTTATATAGGAGTTCCATTGTATATCCTTTTCTACAAACTTTCTAACCCATTTATAGTCCATATCTTTAGATTTATTCGTAGGGAAGCATCACACGTATTTTACATTCTACTACGAATTTTCTAGTATTAAAGTAAATAGAGTAGAACCTCTGTATAAAGAACCTCTATATAAATAACAAAACTCCTGTATGACGAGCAGCTTTTGAATCCCCGGCTAACACTACACAGTGCATTTGTATCCTCGGTATAACTAAAACCTATATCCTCGGTATAACGAAACATAACGAGCAAATTTTAAATTCCCTAGCGATTTGTTATAAAGGTATTTCACTGTATTTATTAAGTAGACAACCATATAACGTATTTTACATTCTATTACTAATTTTCTTTTATAGTAAAGTTAAAAGTTAATAAATTAATATGGTAAAATCCAGTAAAACATTTAAAAATATTATAGTTTGAACAGTGTTTCAATTTTATTTTTATAATAAGGAATATTACAAATATGTTAATTTACATAAATAAAACATCGCAAGGATATACACAATAGGAAAGATAAGTGATGGTTTTGATAGATCATTAGCACCTGGCAATTAATAAGACACAAAAAGAATAAAATGAAAGTTTAATATAAAAAATCATGAGACAACTAAACGTATTTTAAAATAAACAGGCTTTGGTTGTAATCTAGAAGGTCATGAAAGTAAAAATTAAATTATTTATACAACATGCATATGTATACTTATACATATCCCATAAATATTAAACGTATTTTACAAAACAATGCAAAAAAATTTTATTTTCAAATTTTTAGCAAGTTTTTAGGTTGTTCAAGTAATTTTGTGGCCCTCTCAAAGCTTATTTTTAAAGTTAGAAAGCACAGAATTAGTTGAACAACCTAATATTAACAAAAAATAATTTCAAAAACAATTTTAAACTCAATTTTTTTCAAAAGTAAAAGTAAAAAATTTCAAAAAAACCACTTTTTTGTCATTTCATACCCCACCTACTCATCTAATCTTCATAAAACACTGATGACATTGACAATTGGCAGCAGGGTTGATCATTTTCATACAAGTTACTCGAGACATTTGACTCAAAGACAACCATAAAGAGACGGGGTTTACTGTAGCAAACGGCAATGGAAGGTTCGGAGCCACAGTAGGAGTAAACTGAGGCTTTGGGGAATCGCTTTTGATACTAGGCGTCTGAGAGCGTGACGGTGTGGAGTGGACTAGCTTTGGCTCTGGGGGTAGCTCGATTCCATTTTGTTTCAGCTCTTCCATTAGGCAACGGCTGTGCTCGGCTAGTTGGCGGATACTGTAAGATAGTTAGTCAACAAACATTTAATAATGCATTAAAAATGACATTGGAAAAAGTTTTTAATTTTTTATTAGATTGTTCAGATAATTCTGTGCCCACTTTCAAAGCAAACTTGTAGAATTAGAGAGCGCAGAATTATTTGAACAACCTAATACAGCGTTTTAAAACTTTTAAAAAAAATTTTTTTAATTTTGCTAATCCTATGCCATTTTAAATCAAATATTACTCAGAACACCACAAAATTTTCAAAAATTGAACTTACTAGTTTGTAGCCAATATAATTGTAGATATTTTGCTCAGTTTTCGAGCAGTTGGAACTTGTTGTTGAGGTAGAACTGACCTCAAATCGTCTAGAGCATCATTCAGGTCATGCATTCTCTTCCGTTCTCTCGAGTTTATACAGGTTCGGAGAACGTTTTGTTCCTAAAACAATATTTTTAATGGTTTACTTGCTATGAGCAAGCAGTACTTTACCATGAATAATAATTGGCGTCGTATTTTACAAGCTTTAATACTAAAACTTAGTATTATTAGGTTTTTAAATAATTCTAAGCTCAATTTCAAAGCAAATTTTCGGGGCTACAGAGCACATAATTAGTTGAACAACCTAATACAATGTAAAATACGGCTTTGATCCTTTGATGGAGTATATAAAAAAGTATGAGCTATAAATGAGTCAGGAAGTATGTAGAAAATGAGAGAAAAGATATTGTACTCACCTCTTCATTCAAGTTTTCCAACCGTTTTTTGGCTCTATCACTGTCACCCTTTTTCCTTCTTACATAAGGCTCAATCTCTTCGACACTCAGTTGTTCAAATGGCCGCTGAAATTGTCATGTTAAAGAGAAGTAAAGGTAAGTAAACTTAAAATAGCAAAAAATAACTACCCTGCTCTGTAAATGATATGCCTTACTTTGCCCTGCCCTGTAAATGCCATGTCTTGCTTTAACCTGCCCTGTAAATGCCCTGCCTTACTTTACCCTGCCTTATAAATGCCGCGCCTTGTTTCACCCAGTTTTATAAATGCCATGTCCTACTTTACCCTGCCCTGTAAATGCTATGCTTTACTTTACCCTGCCTTGCAAATACCATTCCTTGCTTTAAACTGCCCTGCATATGCCATGCCTTACTTTACACTGCCCTGTAAAAGCCATGACTTGTTTTACCTTGCCCTGTAAACTTCATGCCTTGCTTTTCCCTGCTCTGCAAATTGTAAACCACGCCAAGCGTATTTTACAATAAAAAGCATCGAACATAAAGTGTTTTAAAAAATTATAAGCCTTACCTTCCGACTAGAAGATTCATCAGAGCCACTGCCAACTGATAGTCGTGAATAACTCATTGTACCAGCAACGTCCATAGATTACTGCACAATAATTTTGATAAGTAACAGCAGCTTCAAGATATAGTAGTATTCTTAACAGAAGTTTCAAATTACAGTAACCTCCGAAACCAATTGAAACCGTTTCACAGCAAGAACACCAAAACTGTAAAAACGATTTTACAGTAGTGTCAAAAATGAAAGACTAATAGCAATGTCCACAACTTGAACTAATGACTACAGTAATCCTAGAGGTTAAACAGATGCGCTCAAGATGTACGTCTGTGCCTGATTATATGTTACATTGACAATAGCATACGTTCGGACACGCCCACAATATTCTTCATCCTGAAAACCGCTCATTTAATTCGTCGAGACGAGAAGCGAGAGATCGCGGAGAAATGAAGAGAAAGTGAAGAGACGGACAGAGAAAAAAGAGAAAGGGAGACTGCACTGTGCATGGAATAAAATGGTAAATTCCAAACAAAATTTCAAAAATCTAAAGGATTTCGTAAAAAAATTAAAAAAGAGATAAGATAGGATCAGAGAAGAACATTGCACCGTGCAAAAAAATTGAAAACAAAAAGTTATATATTATAAAGAGTAAAGTGCAAAAATTATATAACTATCTACATTAACTCGACCAGAGCAATGAGATCACCGTATTTTACCAAAAAACCTTCAAAACCCCAAATAAACAAGGAAAATCCAAGGAAAGTAGGCGGAGTCCCATCCAACCAATCCACGACAACCTATTCTTGATTAGCGTGCGCCGAACACCGCGGGAAAGCACGCCAAACAAAACGAGTAGTGTTGAAAAAGCAATTCGTATTTAAAAAAATGCGTTACAGTAATCCAATTCGTCGCCCCATTTACAATATATTAAGGATGTTAGGCGCTGATTTATTCGCAAAGTTTTATTGCATCGAAGAGTGGATGCAAATTGAAGTTGTATTGATTAAAAAGGAAGGATGGTATTGTCACTTGCCTTTCCGAAGCTAGTTCGAAGGTTTTGTAACAAAATCAGATCAGTTTTCAAAATTTCTGTTAAAATTTATTTTCGTTTATAAATAATACTATATTACAGTAGATTTTTTACAACTTTATAATAATAACCGGCAGGAAACAGGCCTTGAAAATACTGAATATCAGCATCATCTACAATATCCCATAAAAATACAAATATCGTCCCAAATAACAATAAAAAATCAATGTTCTTTGTCGTGAGACAGAAGCATAAAGCCTTGAGATCCAGGATAATCAGGCAAATTCAACTCATACTTATCGGCCAAGGCTTGAGGAACGAATCGCCCGCCTAAATAATGCGTACCCTTAAAATGTTTGGCACATTTCTTTGGCGCAGTCAATGAAATCATTGACTTTGGCAATAACTTTACTGTTCCATCTTCTGGAGGTCCATTCTCAACGTCCCAACCTGACGGAATGTCAATCGAAAACACTGTAGCGTTTGCTTTCACTATAGAATCCATCATCTCTCCAAATGGCTCACGTAGAGGCGGTTTGAACGAAAATCCAAAGAAGGCATCTACAACAAGATGATAGACAGAACTGACGTCTTCTGGAAGCTTCTCAATGTAAGGAATCTCCATCAAAGTTGTTTGTTTCACTAAGTTTTGCATCAACTGAGATTTTGAAGGTTTTGGATACAGAATTGTTGGTTGAAATCCCTAAATTTATCAATTTATAAAGGTTTCATTACCTAAATGTCAACAAAACAAAAATTTAACTTACAAAAAGCCTCAAATGTCTGGCACACACTAAGCCATCTCCACCATTGTTTCCTGGTCCAGCTAGGACCAATACAGGGCCTAAAAACAACGTCTTTAATACATAACAACAACAAAAACATCGCCATTCAAACCAAACTTACAGGGTCCGTAGTTATGATGAATAGCTTGAGCACAACTCAATCCAGCCAACTCCATCAACTGATCCACACTAAAGCCATAGTCCTCAAACAATTCTTTGTCGATAGCAGCAGCTTCTTTCTGTCTAAACTTGTAAATAAACATCAAAAACTATATTAACATACCCCAAGAACTTCAAACTCTCTGGCATCTTCTTAAAACCAAAGTCACGAACGTTAACGTGCGTTACCAAAGGCTGGTCAATCAGTTTCTTTATCATGTTTGTCTATTTACAAGTTGTTTACATTAAAAATATTGTTTTTGTTTCTTTTTCCACATACATCTAATATTTAATTTGGTCCCGCCAATAACGATTGAAAAATAATACGAAATGCCAAGAAAAATAAATTTTTCGTTAAAATCTCGTTTTTTATGTTCAGGAACTCGTGCTTCACTGTTTTTTGACAAAGGTCAGCTGTTTTTATATTGTTTTGTTGTATTTTTAGATTATTAACATTACAATTGTCATTACTAATGTGTATGCCGTTGACTATCTGTGTTTTTGTGGATAAGACGTGTGTAAATGAAGTGTTAGAGGCGATTATAATCGAACAGTTGGGTCTTCTTTGTTATGCTCAAGCTTTTTGTTTACGAAAAGTGTGGTTATGCCGTGATTTTTAAAGTTTTCATGAGTTTTTTGATAAGTATGGACAATATTATAAGTTTCGATGTGTTTTGATTACATTTTTGGTGTTGGTTGACATTTGGTGTTAACATAGGCAAAAAAGGTTCTTCTCTTTGAAGTAATGTTGATTTTAACACATTTTTGATGTTTAATCTTATGATATTTGATTTTAAAATTACTACAGCTTAAAATATTCGAAAAATTGAAAAACGGGTTGTTTGATGGTGTTATGGACCAGTAAATTATGCATTCTGAACATGATTTACACTGTCACGCTTTTCACAACCTGTGTTATCTTCGTAATTTTGCCAACGCACTTTTTATACGTATTTCTATTATGTTTATTACTCTTGATCGTGATTTTTAAGCGTCGAAAATAAAATGTTTTTTGATCAAAATTAAAAACCTTTTAGTCGTTTCGTCTCACGTGCTTTTTTGGGTAGAATTGAAATAAAATAATTTTTTGTTGACTTTCTTTTGAAAGTTAATCTATTCAAACAAGATTTGATATTGTTTTATATGTTTTGTATATTAATATTACTTTTATGGTAATATGTTTTATATTGGTATAATAGTTATAAAGTTTTGGCTTTTTCTTGTGGAGAATTTTGTGATTGTTAAAGTTTATTTACTTGCAAATTTTATAATTTCAAATATATAACGATTTCAAATCAATTAAAATATTTGACATATTTCACTGCATGTGAAATGTTGTCTGTGACGAACTCAAAATAACTATTTCAAATGTCATGGATAACATTTGCACACACTCAATGTCGTTAAATATTAGTAACTTTAAGCCATAAATTTTAACTTACGTGTTCGGGTTTAAAAATAGAACAGTATTCCTGAAATAGAGCTGCTAATCGGCTTTTTAAAAAGTCATACTCGACCTTTATACGTCATGCTAACTGTTGTTTGATGTGAGTTTCTAATTTATACGCTTTTATACTGTTTACAGAGTGATGTATGTGTATACAACAATAAACATTTACTTGTAAATATGTTTTGAGTGTGTACGTAAGTGTATATGTTTTGGTGAATGTATGTATATCTGTGCATGTAAAGGTGTGGATATATTTTGTGTATGAAAAGGTATGTATGTTTCATGTAAAAAGGTATGTATATACTTCTTGCATCTACGTCAAACTGGTTCATGATCGCTTGACGTCAGTTAGGTATTGCTTAGCTGCTTAAGGAAGAAATTCTCCTAAGATTTTAAGTATGTTTTGAATTGCCAGAAACATCTGATGTATTACTTATGGGTTTGGGAAAAGAAAATGATGTGTGAATGTTTCCAGAGGTTTCATTTTGTTTAAGTTGGCATTCTTGATTTACAGCCGTTGTCAAAAAATAGTAAACTTTTTTATTTTCAACGTAACTTTTTTCGTAATTGTCCGATTAGTATGAAACAAAATTTGTTTTGATAGTTGTTATACCTACTATCATACCCACATGACGGATTTTATAAAATATGTCATCGTGACTCATTATATAGAACCAAAAAATTGACAGTGGACAAAAAATAGTAAACTTTTTTGAATCCTATCCCAAACTTCATTAAAAAGGTAAGATTTAAGTTTTTGTTGTTATTACTTATTATTATAGTTACGAATGATTGGAAAACGACAAAAATCGTTGAGTTTAGAAGCCAAGAAGGTGATCTTTCAAAGCATCGAACAAGACGACCTCATTTGTAACATCACAGAAGATTTTTAGGTAAACAAAACTAAAGTCTCTTTAATTTGGAAGCATTGTAAGAAGAATGGCATCCAGAAAAAGTTTTAAACAACAAAAGAACAAGAAAATTGACAAATGTCAGGATAAGGTGATTGCAAAGTTGTCTTAGAAAGACCCGATGAAGGCTGCACCCAAAATAAATGCTGAAATAGTGTAGTTTTACAACTTTAAAGTACCTGATCAAACTGTAGCAAGAAGACTAATTAAAGACAAGCTCAATGGACGTGATCCGGCAAAACAACCGTTGACCAGGAAGAAGAACCGGACGATCCTATTGAAATGGGTAGGTGAACATAAGAAGTGGTCTGAGAAGAAGTGGGATAAAGGCTCGTGGACCGACAAAAGCAAGTTTGGTTTGTTTGGATATCAAGGTAGAGTTATATAAGACAAAAAAAAGGAACAATATTTGCCTCAAAGCACCAGGTACCAAGCGTGAAACATCAAGTGATCAGTATCATGGGATGGAGGTTCTTTACTTCGTCTCAAGTCGGTCCGTTAGTCTTTATTGCTGGTTCGATGGACAGTAGAAATTACACTGACAGTATTGAGAAGCTTATGCTTCCGTTTGAAACATAAAATTTCCAATGATGTGGATTTTTTCAACAAGGTAATGACCCAAGGCACATATCAAAACATGCAAATTCCATGTTCAGTAGACAAAAAGTTTGTGTTTTGCCCTGACATACACAAACTTTATATTTTAAACAGAATGAACACATTTAGAAACATTTAAGACGAAACAATAGTCTTATATTTCGAAAACTCTTCTGTGATGTTACACATGAGGTCGCCTTGTTCGATGCTTTGAAAGATCATCTTCTTGACTTCTAAACTCAACGATTTTTGTCGTTTTCTATTCATTCGTAACTAAAACAATATGTTATAACAACAAAAACTTAAATCTTACCTTTTTAATGAAGTTTGGGATAGGATTCAGAAAAGTTTACTATTTTTTGTCCACTGTCAATTTTTTGATTCCATATAATGAGTCACGATGACATATTTTATGAAATCTGTCATTTGGGTATGATAGTAGGTATAACAACTATTAAAACAAATTTTGTTTCATACTAATCGGACTATTACGAAAAAAGTTATTTTGAAAATAAAAAAGTTTACTATTTTTTGACAACGGCTGTATCTGGCAAAAAATGATAGTGTAATTGATCTGTTTGGGTTGATTTTGAAGTTTTTGGTTATGTTTTTTAGATCTTTTGTGTTTTACCGATCTTACTGAGCCTTTTGTACTATCAGTCTTTCCACTAAAGAATTTGATAAAATCGCAAACCCCAATTCGGAGGAATCGCTGTCGCACCGAGAATCGGGAGACGTCGCGCGACATTCAGCGAGTCGTGCGACATTCGCTTGCACCCTGCGACATCGAAAGGGGAATCGCAATGTCGCAAGGTGCAAAACCTTGCGACAAGTTGTCGCATCGCGATTTAAAGGGCGATGCCATAGCGTGTGGCGATTGTCGCAACGCTCAAGCCACCACTGTGTTCAATGGAAGGTTTGCGACAAGATTTTTTTGACTGTCGCAAGTCCCCCTGACTCCTGCGACAACTGGCCAGTGCGACAATTGGGGGGCTTGCACTGTGCATTCTTTCTCCCATCGTTTGGGGTCGAAAGAGGTCGCGGGGGGAACCTGCACGGTGCAGTGGGATAAAAAAAAGGCGCGATTTTCCCAGGGACTGCACCGTGCAGTTGTCAAATTCTTTAGTGGAATGACTGATATTAGGTCATTCTATACTTTTAACAAAACACAGTGGGTTATAAGATTTATTGAAGGCGTGTAACATATTACATGCTATTTTAGTTAACTGCACCGTGCAGTTGATCTGTTGGCTCGTGGGACAATTTAGTACGAGATTCAACTAACGAAAGTAAAACTACAGTTTTTGTTTAAAATTTTTCATTATGATTACATTTTATGACCTATCAAGACTTTATTTTAAGACTAGCCCATCAAGACCTCCATCCCAAACTTTTTTTTAAATCCGTAAAGTAATGAAGCCGTGCCCTTTTAAATGAAGACGGCGTACGAGTCGATGGCCGTGTCGTCATCTAATATTCACCCGCCATTTATCCGCAAAATTTTGTCTAACAACGGTCGGCAGTAAGGACGCGTGTGTTGGGGGCTTAAAGACTCGCGGGCTATAAGTCTTGTATCTCTGGTGTAAGATGTAAATGGAATGAGGAGGAGACGACGAAGATGCGGCCGGGTTTCGTTGGGGCCCCAAACGTTTTTTTTTCGTTAGCTTTGTCGAGGACTTTCTCGTCTTCTTCTCCTGCCCAAATGAAGGTATCGAAAGCCGGGTTCGGGCGCGCTCTGGTTTTTTTCTCCCTTCCTCGTGTTCAGTTCCTAATCGTACTCGTTCTCTCTGGCCTCCCTCAGCACCACTACATTTTTCGCAGCCCTTTTGGCCTTTGTCGAATGCAAAGTGTAATTTCAGCAAAGAGTTGGGTTGTAAATCTGCTGCAACTCGTGTGATTCGGCCGCTTTTTGTTTCTTGTTTTTGGGTTCTTATGAAGCTTTAGGGTTGTACTTCGTGCTTTAAGTTTGTAAGGAGTTTTGGTGTGATGTCACATGTGTAATCTTATTTTGTGTATTCTTGGGGTTTTTTCGGTTGCTCATTTGTTGCTTGAGGTATCTTTGAAACTTTGTGGGCAAGGTTGTTTGTGATTTAGTCGAACCTTTCGATGATTTTGTATTATTCGCTAAATGTTTTATTTTTTCATTAATTTCTGTTGAAAATACCAGCATAATTTGCTTGATTTCTGACTATACTTTTGTACATTCCATCACAGTACGAATTCCGAAGCCCTTTTATAATTTCCATTCTCAATACCAACACTTTGCCTCGAGTAGGTACGCCGCCCTTAATCTGCAAAGCTGTCTACTTACTCGTTTGACGTTAATTAAAAGATTTAGTATAATCTACAATGTTTTACAAGTTTTTCTGGCTTCCATAAAAATGTTGTGAGTCGATGCTTTTGGGGATCCGAACTCCCTCTTCATCGCTTTCGCTCTCTCCCCCTTCTCTCTGCACCCCGTAGGCTTTTTTTGGCCAAACAACCAATTCAGCCATATTTATTTTCGCCCCGCTTCTAATATTCTTGTTTTCTTCTGGTCTCCTGTTGAATTTTGATTCCGGAATAAGAAAACGCGCCAAGTTTTTTGCACGTTCCCGTGCTCAAAAAACAATGGGTCATTGTGACAGATGTACACGTAAAAACGACGTGTTTTTGTTTGATTAGGGATGGACAGACTTGGAACTTTGGAATTTCGGGGGATTTCCGAAAACACAAGCATGATTGAAAGCAAAGGAATTTTTGAAAAAGTGTGGGTTAGGTATTGACAAAAAGGGCACTATTTTTTGTATTTAGGGTATAGATGAATGTTTTTAACTACGTTAAGTTGAGTTGTATGGTATTTTATGTGATATTATTCAAAAATTTGCTGTCAAACGTCATCCTTGTTATTGTGGATGTATTAGTGAAATATTTAACTTGTAGTTCTTCATTGAAAAATTTTAGCACATTGATTTTAAATTCCTCTTTTTTGATGAATTTTTGCTAACTTTTGAATTTGGGTGCTTTTGAATATGTTGTTAGCTAGCAGAGTTTAAGAAATCGTGTCTAGAATTGCTTAGATCAAACATTCTGACTAATTTCAAGTTTTAAAACACATGAATAAATACGTGAGATTGGTATATTCTTTGGTCTGAAGATAACGAACATGTGTATGTGTTAAAGGTGTTTAATGACTTTGGGGCTGCTTTGATCGATAATTGTTATTGTTGTTTGTTGCAACTTTTGATGGCTTGATTTTTTTACTGAACGGGTGAAAGTACTCTGTAGCTTTTGACCTATCCCTTTTGCCTTTAGCAATATTATTGTAGTCAATCTATGCGACATTTTATTTAGAAATATTTTGGCTTATTTTAGTCTGGTATGGTTAGAAAGAAGGAAAAACTTAATGAAATATTTTTTTTCAGTTAAGTTTACCGACAATTAAACAATTTAGTTGATGTGCTTAATAATTTAGTTCTTGTGAAGTGAAACCCGACGAACTGTAAGCCATACATTAAGATTTTAGATGCAAAACCCACAAAATAACGTAAAAAGTCTGCGTAGGTTGAAGGAAATTATTCTAACATCTGATACTTCCGACTCGATAATATATTAAATCTCATATTGTGGATATGGTCTAATCTGGTCGTTTAAAAAGGAAAAATTGTAAAGATGAATGTTTTTTGTAATGTTTATCAAAAGGGATGTTTGGCTAGCATTTGCAGATGTCACGCATTATAAACACAACTCAAGTTATGGCTAAAACGATGGCTCAAAAAGTCTTCCTTATTTTGCTTTAAGCAGGTCCTAAATCGTGTAAAATTGTCTGTAACTTTGTTTATTGTCTGTGTAGGTATTATATGTTATTCACCTATTGTCTGTGATGGTATTATAGGGTAAATTAGACCTTTGATTGATATAAGTCAAATTTTGATGGCTTTATTTATTTTCTTTTATTACTGTTATGACTTATTCGTCATTATCAATGTCATCATAGTGCTCTAATCGTTAATGTTTTGGCATTTGCGAAGTCAAAATTATTCCAAGTATTCCAAAAATCTATCACTGGACGTTTACTTTATGTTTTTGTTTTGCGAAAAAGAACGTTGAAAATAACAAAAAAAAGAAGAAGAGGAAGATTGAGATTGCTGTTGTGGTTTGAGGTCCGGAACTGGAGTTTGGCAATTGTGTGTTACATGAAGGTCTTTAATTTTTGTTATTGTTAATGGTGTGAGGTTTGATGACAGTTTATTTCATCGCTAGCAGTGATCTAATTGTGAGGTCGAATATAGTCAAAACTTGAAGGTTTTGTTGTAGTTTTAGGTTTGATTTCTAAAGCTTAGACTGCCTTTTTTGTGGCGAGCTGTCTTTTTGAAGTAGTTATATTTTGTGCCGTTTAAAAAACAAGTTTTATATAGTCAGGGTAAGTTTTATTTGTATGAAGCTAAAACTTTTATGAAGATTCAAGAAATAAGTGAAAAGTTACTCCAGACAACCAAAGTTTTGGCCGATTCAGGAAGGAAGGCGCTTGAAAAACAACGTAGTAGGAGTATGTGCGCGATTTGTCATCCTCAATGGCTGTAATTGTATTGTTATGTTAAGAAACTAGTAATTTTTCGAGAAAATGAAACAAGCTGGTCTATATTTAAAAAATCTGTTTTTTAACGTTTTTAGAACATGAATCAAGATAAAATCTATGATTTTTGCATAGATTTTATTTATTTTTTATTTTATAATATTGTGTCTTAAAATATAAAAATAATGAACATACTAAATGTTATTTTAGACGCGTTTCTAACTTATTTTGCCATCTTCCGTGCATTTTTTAAACTTTTATATTTTTAGCCAGCCGGTTGTTTTTCCCACAAAAATTCGCAACTAAAAGCGATTTTTGTACGAAAAGTTGTTGCTACATCGTCGCAGGATTGTTGTTGTTTTTCGGAACATCAACAGGACTCAGAATAATCAGCACGCAGCAGGAGGACTAGTCGCCGGCCGATGCCCGGCTCAAACCAACATGAAGGGGAGGGAACGTCCCAGCCTCCCGCCCAGACCAGTCAGGACGTCTCGTCCGAGGTGGCTGGAGAGGTGAGTTGTTTTATAGCAAAGTTTTAAGGTTTTATAGGATTAAAACAGGCATATTCACATTGATTTTTCAAAAATGTTTTATTTTTTAGGTATAAAAAATATTTTTTGTTGAATGAAAATCACTTTTTCCACTTTTTCTAATAGTTTTATGTAAAAACAGGTACACTTTTACATTTGTATTGTAATAAGCTCCAATTTACAGGCCCAAAACGGCACAGTGACGGCAGGAACGTCCTCGACTACGGCCACATCATCTTCAGCAGCGAATCAAGCCGATCCTCCACCTGCGATACCAATTCCAGTTGAAACTGGTCCTTCGTTATTCCCACAATACGGTACAACACGATCAGAAGCACTGTTCACAGTAGCGACGAATACACGACCGGAACGACGGCTTCAACTACGACTTTTCGATATTAAAGTACATGGAAACGGATCTTTTGGATGGGTAAGTTGATTTTTGGTGGTTTTAGTTATAGAGAATGGTCAAAGGATTGAGTACTGATGCCTGCTGGGATATTTGAAGGATGTTGTAGTTGATTTTCGATATGTAATAAGCTAAAATGGCAATTTTTTGAGCAAAATAACAAATTTACCCCGATTTTTACCTTGTACGTTTTAAGCTGTTAGTAACACCTAATGCAACATTTGTGAATACTTTATAATGTTTTATATTATTATGTTTTAGGTCTACGTAACTCGAACAGAAAGCGGCGAGAAACTGGCCATCAAAAAGGTACTACAAGATAATCGTTATAAGAACCGCGAACTGCAAATAATGCGTCGATTGGATCATCAGAACGTTGTAAAATTACATTACTTCTTCTACCACAATCAAGACAAGGACCAGAACAAGGTGTACTTGAACCTGGTCCTGGAATACATGCCCCAGACCATCTATCGACTCACCAGACATTACACTAGGCAAATGCAACACATTCCAATGACTTTGGTCAGAGTTTATTCGTATCAGGTAAGGCGTTGTGTTGTTTTTGAAGTTTTAGGTACTAAAATGAAGTGATTTGTTATGTTGGTCCAAAAGTTTTGGAGCTTTGCACGGTGCAGGTCTTAAACTTTTAAAAATAGTATCATTAGACTTATTAATATCAAACCTTTCAGTTATTCCGCGCCCTTGCCTACATTCACTCCATTGGCGTCTGTCATCGTGACATTAAACCCCAAAACCTGTTAATAGACCCCGAAACCGGTGTGCTGAAGCTGTGCGACTTCGGCTCGGCCAAATACCTAATCCGCGGCGAGGCCAACGTATCATACATTTGCTCAAGATACTACCGAGCGCCGGAGTTAATATTCGGCTCAACTCACTACACGAACAGCATCGACGTGTGGTCGGCGGGCACCGTTCTCGCCGAACTCATCATATCTCGGCCCGTCTTCCCGGGCGATTCAGGCGTCGATCAACTCGTCGAAATCATTAAAGTAGGTTGGGGTGGATAAGGTGGGGTATACTTTTGGAGGTACATAGAAAATTTTGATTTTGTTTATATTGTTGTAGTGAATTTTGCTTTTTTTTGTAAATTTTGATAAAATGAACTATATTTTTCTGAAAAATTATGCATCGTAGTTTATGTTTTGTATTTTCAGGTACTAGGAACCCCCACCCGTGAACAAATCCAACAGATGAATCCGCACTACCGTGAGTTCAGATTCCCCTCAATTCGCGCCCATCCTTGGAGCCGAATCCTTCGACCGGGTGCACCGTCGGAAGTAATCGACCTGGTCTCAAAACTGCTCGACTACAATCCAGAAGGTCGTCTCACACCCCTACAAGCATGTGCACACAACTTCTTCGACGAACTCCGCCAACCAACGACACGGTTGCCAAGCGGCCGCGAACTGCCCCCTCTCTTCGACTTCACTCCTCAAGAATTGCAAATTCAGCCCGAACTGAACCGCGCCCTCATCCCACCGCACATCGAAACCGCGCCACGGCCCACCAGCCAGCCACCCGAACCCGCAGCACCGGAGAACCAGTAGCAGCACGACGTTTATTTAATTCCAACACATTCGGCCGATGTTTGTTATTGTGGATCTGTAAATTAATGAATATAATTAGTATATCATTCGCACAATTTATTATATACGGAGATAAAAGGCGGCAACATATGTAATTGATGGTATTTCGGGGTTTTCACATGGTTTGGGAAGGAAATTTGGGTATAATTTGAGGTTTTTGTCAAAATAAAGCAAGAAAAACGATTTTTAAAATTTTAGAGAAATCTGACATGTAAATCTAATAAAAATTAAACACAATATACAATGATTAATATCTTACCGGTTTACATCAAAAAAATCCCGAATTTTAGCATAAACGACCGCTGAACAAAAATTCCACCACGATTTATTGCATTGCCAAAATTCCTTGGCGTTCCGTTTTATTCTATCTTGTTTTTTGCGAAAAATCAGGACAAACCACCTGTTCCTCAGAGACAAAAGCATTGAAACAAGAAGTCGGAATCGATTTGACATTCTCGAGCATGTCGAGATTCAGATTCCGACGGAACTCGTCCGACGATGAAGGCCCTTCGAGGAGACTGGCTCACAGTGCGGTGGCGGCGGCCGGTAAGTGGTGTTTTATAGTGTTTGAGGGAGGATTTAATACTGAAGGTCCTGTTAGTGGAGTGTTAAGAGTCTTTGGAAGGTTTTGAGTTGTCTAAACAGTAGGTGTGGCAGTTCTAAAGTATGTTACAGAGGTTTCAAATTGAAGTTTAATGCAAAAATAAGTTTATTCTGGAGTAATCATATAATTTTGATGATAAACAGTAATTACTTTAAGGAAAATTGCAAAAGTAATAACACATAAGTATTTCGATGTTTGTAAAATACGAAGTTCTTATTTCTATCTAAATTAATCTAGTAATAACTTAAAATTTCATCAAGATGATCGTGAATAACACTGAGCGCATACATGTTTAAATTTCAAAAAGTGAAAAAAGGCTGTTAGCATCTCGTAAACTTGCTAAAAGTCGAAAAATAAGGAAAAAGTACTTTTTTACAACAGTTTCAGCTAAATTGCAATTGAATCTGATAAGACTTTTCAAAGGTTCGAGCTCGGTTTTACCCGGAAGAGCTTTTGAATGTCATTGAAAATTAATATTATTGAATTTCACTTTTTGAGAATGGTACGAACCCCACAAAATGTTGTTGAAGAAGCTTGTCCTTCAAGATTTACGCAGGTAATGGTAAAAAAATCAAGTGTAAGAGAGGGGTAAAACAAACGATAGATTAGGTTGTTCAAATGATTCTTTGCTATCAGATTGTTTAAATAATTCTGTACTTCCTCTCAAAGCATTTTTTGGGGTAAGGGGGCACAGAATTATTTGAACAACCTAATAAAAAGTTTAAAAGATGACGTGTTAAACGTTCAGTTCATGATGTTGGTATAATAGGTACTCAGAAGAAGAAAATAAATATAGCATGAAATAGCATGAGCTAGAGATTAGAGATCTTGAGTTAAATTCGAAGCGCAAAGAATATTGAACTTTTTGAAATGTTCGTACAAAGATCAAAAAGTATTTTAAAATCTAAAGAACGTTCAGATTATATTACATTTGGCCAAACTTAATGTTCTTATATATAAATAGATGCTTTGGTGAGGTCAAGGGCTTCATGGGATCAAAGTTTTTTAAATTTAGTTTGCCAACATTCAAGAAATTCTGTTTTTTTTTGTTGTAAAATACGTTTATAATACGTTGCGGGTTTAAAATTAATTTAATAATTTAAAAATATGACTTTTGTAAAATACGAACCTGTTTTCTAAGTCTACCATAAAAAATGCGCAATTTTAAACCTATATATAATAGCATAAATTTTACTTAATATCGTTTCTAAAGAATAAAAAATGAGTCAATTTAAACCTGAACTTAAAAAACAGATGTCTAAGTGGACATTTCAAAAACGATTGAAAAATGAGTAAGCTCTGGTCAAGTGTAACATAATACTTGAGAACTCAAAAAAGCCGAGAAATACCACGGTGTTCCATTAGATCAATGGTCAGCGGTTCACATTCCGGAACGTTGAGAGCAAATAAACCATCTGAGACCTCATGGCTCAGGATGTTAAACTGTGGGGATTTTAAGCTTGGGGTTTTGCGAGGATAGCTCTCACTTAATTTTAAAGGATTTTAAGGTTTAATTAGAAGGTTTTCTTTAAGTTTGCGTTAAATTTGAAATTTTCTTTAAATTTGAGGTTTTAGACTATGTGATGACTTTAGTTTTGGACTATAAAACCAAGCCCAGAAGAAGGAAATGAATTGTTAAACTTGTTTTTTTTTGAAACTATAAATAAGCCTATAGGAACGCTTATTTGTTCTGTTTAAGCCTATAAGAACACCTACAGTTTCTGCTGTTAAACTTCAAAAATAGTGAACAGCTTTGAACTGCACATGAAATAAAGTCAGAACACTAAATTTTTATGATTAATTTGGCTCAGCGGCTCTTGGTTTATTAATTAGAGACGTGAATAACACTGTTAGTTCAAATAGAAAAGTCTTGAGAACGGTGATCAAGAGTTTGTTGCTTGTTTCTAGTGGTTTTTAAAACATAGCCAATTTGAAAATGGTTTTGTTATAATATAGAGGCTTATTTTACGTAAAAAACAAGGTTTTGAGGGTTACATATAGGTCTGGCTTGTTTTTTACTTTGCTCAAGTCAGGCTTGAGTTTCCAAGGCCCAGTTGGAGGGACGGGCCTAATTGTGAGGCTCGGTTTGTTTTTCATTTTGTTCAAGCCAGGCTGGAGTTTCTAAATCCTAGCCAGAGGGCCGGATCCATTTCTTAGGCTCGGCCAGTTTTTCAGTTTTCTCAAACCAGGCTCGGCCCGGTGCTTTTGTATAGGGTTACTTCTGGGCAGGATAGTTGAAGACTTTTGAAAGTAAAGTAGGCGCGGCAAAAATCAAAAAGTTTTGTTAAAAATCTAAGCGTCAGACTACTATAAACCTTGTTAGCAAAAATTTAATGTCATAGACGACCTTACTTAACCTTATACTATTTCGTTTATTAAGCGTACTATAAATACTATAAATTTGACCTCGTGCACCAATCACGGTATTTGGCGGGAAACCATTTCACTTGAAGTCATCTTCGATGTTAAAAGTTTGCTAATGGGCGTGACATTGACCTGTGTCTGCTGTTTTTTCTACTAAAATTATCAGTTTTTATCTGATTTTGTGGGTCATCTCAAGAACAACACGGCTTTTCGAGAGGAAATTGCTAATAAGACTGTTTTTTAAAGTTGCTAAACAAGAATTATTACCGTGATTTATTGGAAAAGTGATTAATATTGTGCTTGCAATGTTAGAAATGCTACTTTTTAACTGAAAAATTGTAAAACTAATGATATTTTACTAAAAAACATTGGTTTTTGGCTATAAAATTTGAATTATTGGTACTTTACTGCGATATATTTCACGAAAACATCAGTTTTCACATAGATATACCTCTCTATATTACCTAAACTTATTATCTAATAAAAATGGTATTCTCATCGTTTCCTATTTTCTTCACTCCCACTGTCTCACTACAACAAAAACTGTTGATAAGCAACGCTTTATACACGTTTAACCCAGATTGGTACTCGCCGGATGCGGCCAAACGCATCTATCGTGCCTTCAATCGGAACCCGGACGGTTTGCGGTCGGAAGATCGTCTGAAGAAGCTGATCAACGAGTTTGGAGACGACAAAATGTCACAGACCGAGATTCTGGAGCGGCTTCTGGCCAACGCCGACTTGGAGGAGGAGCTGAATGGGGGCGAAAGTGACGGACGGGAGGTAAGATGAAGAGGAAATTATGGGGGAATGTTATGGAAATGTGTAATATATTGCTTTACTGGTGTTAGAATAGACGTTTCGTATTATTGAATAGGTCAGGGCTGCTTTTTGTAGGAAGGGCTTGGCGGAGGGGATAGTATTTCCCAAAATTTTTTGAACGTTGTTTACCAGGATTTTTTTTGTAAAATACGCACGGGTTTTGTCTAATTTTCTTAAAAGCTACAGTCAAACCTATTTAGTATGACACTCAAGAGACTGATCTAAACCTGTTTCTTATAACCGGGATATCACACTATCCAGGTAATTTTTGATAGATTTCACTGTATTTTCTTTGATTTTTTGGTTTTTCAGGGAATGAAAAAGTGGGTTTTTCAATATTTTAAAAAAGCAAAATTTGTCACTTTGATGGGACGAAGTTAAAGAAAAGATAAATTGCAATCCTTATCAGTTTCCTTAAAATAAATCAAAAATATGCAATAACAAGCGAACCAAAGTAGCAAAAGTATAAATTACAATTTTTGATGCTTTTTACTAATTATTATGAAAAAGTTTAGAACAAAAATCAACTTTTTTATTCACTCTAGTTTTTTCAAAACGAGTTTTTTCTAAAATTATATTAACAAGATAAGTACCCAACGGACAAGCTACGCTTAGAACTTGAAACATTTCGGTTTTTTTAAAGATTTTCTACTAGTATATCAAAGAAAAATGGTTATAAGTCAAAAACGACAAAGTTATAAGCTTGAAGCACAATGCCAATTTGGCGGGAAATTCAAAACGTAATTTTTTATCTCGATTTTCTCGAGATTTAATGTAGAACGCAATTTGCTACTTTGCTGAAAGTCTTATATTTATAGGATCTTTCTATATAAAAAGTTTGAAGACAATCAGAGCGCGGCAGGCCGGGCACTTTCTTTATAAACCTTAAAATTTTAAAAATTCTCCACTTTATTATAAAACCTAGGCCACTTTATCATAAACCTTGAAACCTAGATCAAATTCAGACATAAAACACTAATTTAGGTCTTTATAGGACGCGGATGAAAACGAATTCATTGAAAATGTGATGCCAAGAGTGATTGAAGAGCGGATAAAACAAAACAAAAAAGTGAATTCGTTGGACAGCTTGGTGGAGTACTTGTTGGACAAGTTGCACGAGCAATGGAGAACATTGATCTACGCTGTTTTTCCTTTACATCAACTTCAGACTTTGGTACTCATCTGTTTGGTGCAGTTTATAAGGTCAGGCTATTTAAGGGGGTATAAGGGTTTATAAAGTTGGTAATGGGGTCTTATAATGATGTAGGTTGCTTGTTTATAATAATTCTGACTTCCTAACCTTGAAAATTGGTTTTGAGATGGGGCACAGAATTATTTGAACAATATAATATGATAAAATAATGTCGAAAGTAATGCTTTTAGTACTAAAATAATTTAAAATTTTTTTGTCAAACTTCAGTGTGGGCACTATCGTAAACACTTTGCCAATCATCGCAGCCTACATCTCTTTCTTCTTCATGTTCTACTTCACCTTGAAGATGTTCCACGATAAGACCATTGTCAAAGAAAAGCTAGTCTGGAGTCGAGTATTCAGATTATTCGAGAAGAAAGAGTCAACTGACACTACCTCCAGCTACTTTCAACTGGTCAATTGGGATCCGTACATCTACTTCTTCATCTCTTTGTTCTTCTTCCTCTTCTCGGTTGGAGCGGCGGAGAAGGTGTTACCTAATTCTATTTTGTTTTGTGGGATCTCACTGTTCTTGGGAGCACTATGTTTTGTCGCATTGGCTGATGACAGTGATAAGTATGCGTTGTTGGCGATTTTGGCTAACTTTATGTCTTGGTAAGTTTGTTTTAGTTGCTATGGTAAAAGTGTTATATTATTTTTGATTTTAGATGAAAAGTCTTATGTTAACAATTTTTAATACTTTCAGTGTACCGATAATACTGTCTAAAATGAGGATACCAATTGGTTATTGGCGCTTGTGGAAGCCTTTGTTTGAAATCAAGTTTGGTAAGGACTTTTAAATTTTTAAATAACCTCAATTTAAATATATATATACGTAACTTCAATCTTTAAATCTTTTTTAACTTTAGGCATGGTCAGAATGTCCTTTTCTCTTCCAGCCATTTCGCTTTTGGCCGTTCCAATCATCTACTTGATCATGGCCAGAAGACGTAATCAAACAGCCGACTTCTTTAGAATTGTCATACCACAAATCGTATGTATTGCGTGGATGGACATAGCCATGACGATGTGGTTGATCGGTTACAGACACTTTAATCTTCCTGGATTGGTACTAACTGGTGCTTTAGTATCCTTACTGGTCTTTCCATCGTTTGTTGGTATCGCATTGGCTTTAGGTATTGGTATTAGTCAACTAAAGTCGGCTATTGAACTGGTGAGTGGATTACGCTATTTTTGGGGTTGTTTTGGGTATGATAGTAGAGGGTGGGTATTTTGGGTATAACGGAAAAGGGTAGGGGGTTTTGGGTAAGAGGGGGTGGAGAAATAGAAAGTTTTAACGTTTTTTGGAATGGAAGCGTTGGTGAGCTCAAAAAAGGCTTTTAAATTTAAATTTTGAAGCCATTTAAACCTAAAACAACATCAGATGACAAAAAATAATATTTTAAAGCTATTTAATACCTAAAACAGCATCAGCCGACAAAGAACGCATAAACAAGTTCAAGAACCTAGTCACTGGCGCGATTACTGATAAGCCTCGAGCAAAGTAACACGTTTTCTCTTTTCAGATCACAGCCATCAAACTCTCGATTACCATTGCCGTGTTATTGTTGCCCTTCTTCTTTCGTAAAATCTACCAAAAATTGTCGAAAAAGTTCAATTTTAAAAGTAAGTGAAGACAAACTTGACAAGCTCACTTTTTTTGGTAAAATATGTTATTATCACTATCAGGAACTCACAAAAATTTAAATTTGAAGTTTAAAACTTTTTTTTTTTAAAAATTTTTTATTGTTTTCAATAGGAAAACATTGGTCATTGTTAGCCGTATACCTGGTAGCCCTAATCATGGCTATATCATTCATGTACGATGGCACAAATGCTTTTGATTCTAATCAAGAAGCCACGAACATGTCGTGGGCGCAGTTTGAAAAGTTTTGTGGATTCAATGGGGCCAACATCATCAAAAGTCAAGAACAATGTAGCCAGCTGAAAGGAACTGCCGTCAATTGGAAAGGGCAAATCCAGTCGGTTCGAATTGTGTCAATCGATAATTCTTTTGAGACTTTGTTGGACTTCTTGCCTGATTCTATTGGACAGACGTTGAGATGCTTTTATGATACGGATTCGGCTGATACTGAGAGTCTGCCTCAGGTAAATAAGCGGTTTTGATGGGTTAAGAGGGGTTTTGGAACGTGATGAAGGTTTTTTGCGATTTTGGGTTTGTAAAGAAATTTTTTGTCATTTTGAGTTTCGGAATGAAAGTTTTTGCTGTTTTATGTTTTGTAAAGAAAGTTTGCGACATTTATTTTGTAAAGGAAGTTCTTGCTATACTTTGTCTTGTAAAGAAAGTTTTTGCGACTTTTCATTTTTTAAAGAAGGTACTTGACTATCTCCCTTTGTAAACAAAATTTCGTCATATATTATGTATAAAAATTTGCAGGGCATGAAGCCGAACGAATGTTCTCTAACCATCCACAACCTGTACACATTCGAAATCGAAGTAACAGGACCGTATGGGGAACGACTAATCAGTAGTAACAAAGGACAAGTACTACTACAAGCTTCTAATCTGTTCAAAGATATTCTACAGTTGATAGAAGAAGGAGATGTGGTACGGTTCGTGGGGTACTTTGATCAATACCCAATCTTCAGTTACCCTCCGCGGCTGAAGCTGATGCAACTTGAATGTGAAACTTGCAAAAAGGTGAGTGGGCAGAAAGTGTTGGACTTTTTTAGGGAAAATGAAGTCAGGTGTTGGTGTTGCAGTCTGCGGTTGACAAGTTATACGATGAATAAAGTTTTAGTTTTAGAGAGAAATTGTTTTTGCTCTGTTTTAATTTGTTTTGGAATGAAAGTTCTTCATATTTGAAGCATAATTTGTTTTTTTAGTAATTTGTAAAGAAAGTTCTATCCTTTTTACGATAATTTAAGAAAAACCTCATTTTAGTTGATCAACAACAAGAAGAATAAGGCCCTGAAAGTGACCAGTGTGAAGAAAGAAAACAAAAGAATCTGGAACAGAATTAACTACGCCTTCAGGTTCATGTTCAACTTTATCTTCTCTCCGGTGTTGTACATGAGCTAGATCGTAAATGAGAAGAAGTAGTGGGTCAGACGTTTTAGTACTGTAACTTCTGGCCCCTACTTTCTCTAACTTCTGATCCTCTACGGTATCTTCTATCGCTACAAAAATATTGTACTTGAAATAGCTTTAGAGTATAATATCGGTGAATATAGACCTCCTACTTCTTCTTCCACCGCTAGAAGAAATCTATGTACTTTACCTAGCTATAGAGTATGATATCGGTAATTGACATAGCTTTAGAGTATGATATCGGTGAATACAGTAGTTTAAGCTCATTTGGGTAGTGTCTATATTATCAGTTACTGTTACACGATTATTTGATTGATACAATGATCTTTAGACATTTCCCAGTGCAATGAATGTAAATAACAACTCTTATGGGTAATATTAGGTTCGCATCTTTACTTTGACAGCTTTATATTGTACATTTTTGAATAATAAAAGTAAAAATTTAAGTTTTTTGTTTCTTTTTTTTTATTTTTGAAAAATTGAGAAATTTTCGAAATTCCTATTCAAATTTTTTTTTCGATTTCAAAGCCGGTTGTTGATTTTTTGTATTTGCATAACTTGTTGGTTATAAGTATGTTGGACGGCAACGCATTTGCATACGAGTTCAGTGTGCCATACGTTCCGGAATCAGGGTAATTTTTCATGTAAATTTAGTCTTCTGAAATTTTGTAAATTTTAATGTAAATTTCTTGGTTTTAACTTAAGTTTGCACATAAATTAAAATTTGAGCTCACAAAAATAATTATCGTAGCTTTGAAATGATAGTTATTCATCAAAAATTTGAATTTTCGCACAATAAACACCTCAAATTTGACATAGCCGACTTATGTCACTTAACAGAACTGTTTAGAAAGTTTCCTCCTGAAATAACTACGAATAATTATCAAAAACATATTATATATTTGCTAATAAGATCCTTCTATCCAATTTACAGATTCTAGACAAAAGAATTATAAATCACGGTTTGGATTGCGCGCGCTTTTCATGCAACGACGGTCTTTTTGGCGTTCTGCAAGAAGTTGTTGCAGATTTTTTTGAGCTGGCATAACTTCGTCGGCCGATTTATACCTGGAAATGCGTTTTTTAATTATTTTGATTCTATTTGGTTTAAAATTTTATTTATAATAACTTTATGACCAATTTTTGTGTTTCTTAACTTTTGGTTGTTTGATGGTTAATATAATTTGATGTAACATGAATAAAAATTGTCGGAATATAATTCTTTGTTTTATAAAAGATGTACTAGGCTTTTGTGATGTTATTAAACAATAAACCTTAGCCTTGAATGGTTTTTAAAATATGTCTTTTTTATTTTTTGCATGCCTACCTCAAGTACAACATAATTTTCAGGAACATAACAGAAATGCGAGTACAGCGTTATCATGGAGATGAAGATCTAGAGTTTTTCTCTTTGGATTTTAAAAGGAAGAGGTTGGAATATGGTAAGGTTTCTTTGTGATATTGTTTTAGGTAATAGGCACGAGAGTGATTGGGTAATATCATACAGGATTTTTGACATAAAGGCGTATTTTTTGTGAAAAGATAGAGTGTTAGTTGGTGAATGTTTTACAGTATTTAGATCTGGCATACGCTTTGTATTTTTTAGGATTAGGAATGTTGTTTTAGAGGTATCAATTTTGTCGAAGCCTTTTGGTTTGTTGATTGAAATCGTAATGGGTTATTGATGAGTAGCTCTAGTTTTTTAAAAAAAGAGAGGTTATTACAGTATCTTGAGTATTTGTGAATGAAATGAACGTTCTCACTTCTGGTTTTGCTAAAATTTTCTATATTGTTTTAGGTATCTGTCTGATAACCTTTTTTTTCAATTTTGGAAATCAATATTATGTAAATATAGCTGATCGTAGATAAAACTGAAATATTTTAGCTAAATACTATATACAGTCATTTTAAGAAGGATGACTTTAGTTTTGTATCCGTATTTTCATTTATATTACTTTAGGCTACTCGCAATCAGATGTTGGTCTTTCAATTGGCCGTCGCTTTGGGATGAGTTTATCGCAAACTACAGTCTCACGTTTCGAAGCCTACAACTTGTCGATGAAGAACATGCTGAAGTTGAAGCCGATTTTTGAGAGTTGGATTGCACAAGCTGGCGAAGCCTTCAAACGTGGAATTCCAGCTTCAAGATTCTTGAAAGCTGACATTATTGCTGGTCAAGAGAATCATTTTAATGCGAGCAATATCAATGGGAATAACCTTAACATGAACGATGCCAATCAGGTCAACATGAAAAATATTAATTTAACTGATACTAACATGAGTAACATCAATGGAAATCATGTCGCCATGAACAACATCAGCCCTAACCAACCTATCATGAGTAATATCAATGGAAGTTCTATTGACATGAGCCATATCAATGGAAACCAGCTGGACATGGAAAACATTAATCTCAAGATGTCTCAAGTCAATCAACTCCAGGACTTTCAGTTTGCTCCGCCATTCCATTTTGAATTCTTTAATTATCCGGACGTGAATTACGAAGTGGTTCCGAATGTTTTCGTGGCAGGAGACCCGATTTATGTTGGCAAAAGGCGGAGAAAGCGGACGGTGATCACCGAAGCCCAAAGATACGTGCTGAAAAGAGAATTCAAAGAAAATCAGAATCCATGCCTAATGACAATCGATCGGGTGGTAAAGGAGACGGGATTGGAGCCTTTTGTAGGTTTAAAGGTTTAATTTGGCAAAAAAAGTTGACTTTTCTTTGAAATTTTGATTATTAGGCTGTTCAAATAATTCTGTGCTCTCTAGCTCCGAAATTTTGATTTTAAAGGGGCACAGAATTTTTTGAAAATCCGTATATTTAAATTAAAACAAGGTTCACCCAAGAATCAGACATAGGCGATGAAAAATTTCAAACTATTTGAAAACCGCTCATTTTTTGATAAGAGGTAGCACTTGGTATAGAAATGCAAAAATATAAAAAAATTTTAAAAATTCGGGTTACGTTAGGATTACGGTAGGTTTTAAGATTTTTTTGTAACTGTTGTACTGAATGTCAGAATGGAATGGGACTTTTTTTAAATTGTTTGTTACTATAAGACAATCATTTTATCTGTTGACAACTTTTTTTTATTATGCCCGGAAGGCATTGAAAAAAAATTAAAGTTTTCAAAAAAACCATCAAAATTTTGAAAAATTTGAAATTTCTCGAAAAAAAGTCACTATGTAACAAACTTTTGACAACAGATAATGAAACTACATGCTCTTACAGTTCTAATGACACCGCGCATGGGTTATCTTAGCGGGGCCTGCGGTAGCTACGAATTTTCAAAGTTGACACCCTAAGGTCAATTAGCACAGAATTTGACTGTAATATGGTTACAAATGGTTAAAAAAGGTGTTTGACACATTTTGAGCGTTTTATAAGTCTTTAAAAGCAATTTCCTTTGTATTGCCTCAGGGAATTTGTAATTTAAAAAATTATTTTTTTTTAAGTTTAAATTTTAAAAAATTTTTAAAGCTCGGAAATTAAAAGAATATGACTTGGCTTTTAATAAATGATCTATTTTGAAAACTTTAATTTTTTTCAATGCCTTCCGCGCATAATAAAAAAAAGTTGTCAACAGATAAAATGATTGTCTTATAGTAACAAACAATTTAAAAAAAGTCCCATTCCATTCTGACATTTAGTACAACAGTTATAAAAAAATCTTAAAACCTACCGTAATCCTAACGTAACCCGAATTTTTAAAATTTTTTATATATTTGCATTTCTATACCCAAGTGCTACCTCTTATCAAAAAATGAGCGGTTTTCAAATAGTTTGAAATTTTTCATCGCCCCTGTCTGACCAATGTTCGATTCTTACGCGGACGTTGTTTTAAGGAAGTTGGAAGCGACGGGAAAAGGGTGTTTATAAGACCTTATACGTGAATACGGTGCATTACTATTTGAATTGGTTTCATATTTCAGGTAGTCCGAGTATGGTTCGCCAACCGCCGACAAAAGTACAAGAGGGAACGAATGTTGAGTATGTCGGATGATCGCAGCGATGTTGACTATGACTTGTTCAGTGAACCGCCTTCCTTGAGCCGACTTAAGGAGGAACCGGAGACGTTTACGAAAGAAGAACATGACTACAAGAATGAACTTACTGAGGTATGTTATTTTATTTTGTAATTTGATTTTTGATTAATTGGGAGGTATTAGGACGTTTGAAAAGCTTGTAGCTGATAAAAAAAGATTAATTTTAAAGTTTCAGAGTCCAGAATCATGTATGCCAACAGTACCACAATATTATCAACCTGAGGTCCCAGACCAATACGTTCCAAATGACCAGACTTTATTTGGCAATGACTCTTACTACCAAAAGACTTCAACTTACCCAACCTACTTCACCAACACTGGTGGCTACTATTTTACTTACCTATAACATCCGACGTCTGTATCTTTAGCCTTTCTCTGTTAATGTTTCTTCAATAACTATTTCGGTTATATTCTATCATATCTCGGCTAAAATTGTTTGTATATTTGAAGGTGTTGATCTTGTTTAGCACTAGTATGACTTTTTTTACCTCGTTTTGTCTAGTAGAATTACCATATCTAAGTTGAAATTAACCGTATGTTGAAGATATGGGTCATATTCGACTTACAATCTGCTTTTTCTACAGTTTGTGGTAGGTATATTGTAAAAAATGGCAGCACACAATAAGCACTTAGCTAAAACAGATCAATATCTTCGAGATACATCCTCAATATTTCATTACAATAGCCTCATATATGACTTTTACATTAACTGGTCTAATCTTACTTTATTGTTTTATACACTATTAAATACCATGCTATCTTTAACTAATATTCATATACACATACACTTCTTATATCTCTCTTTTCATAACCATATTGTTTTAATATTGTCTTCAAGACTACGATTTATAGCTTACTATGTGTTTAAGCTCATATTACTTATATATTATTATTTTACTATTGTATACAGGACTATAGACTATTTATGGTCATTACGACTGTGTATTGTCGTTCTGATTTGTATGACTATATATTGTCTGTGAGATTGTATATTGTCGATTGGTTTATTATATATACATGTAATGGTTGTTCATTCCGGTTTTAACATATTACGGTTACTCATTCATATTAACGTTGATTCGGGTCAACCAAAACATTACTTATATGGTTAATAAATAGATAATAGTAGAAATAGGATCCATTTGTCTAACTTGTATACTATACTATCACGACATGTTTTTGCCGTTCCAAGGTACTACAAAAACTACTCGGTGTTGTAAGATACTACTACAATATACTCGGCTTTATTTCGTTTGGAACGAATATTGTAAAACTGTTAGAATATTACTGTAATATTAATAAAATTGTAATATATAAATCTTTAATCAGAACTGGGGGTTTTTGGCGATCAATTTGTGTAATTGGATTCGAATCGGGCCTATGGGCCGAGCTTTTAGGTAGTTCCAGGCCTCGATTTGTGTCATTTTCTCGATCGACTGGTCGTTGATTTTGGTGATTTTGTCCCCGATGGCTAGGTTCTTGCATTTGGCGGCTTCGCCGGCTGAAATTTGGAAAAAAATTATTTTTTTTTCAAATTTCAAATTTTTAAGTTTAAAATAAGCCTAAACTCCATAAAAATCCAAATTCTTACCCAAAAATATCTTTTTCACAACGACCGGTCGTTTCCCGTAGTGGCTTTCGGCTCCGCCGGTCACCGAAAACCCAACGCCGAGGTCCGACTTCTCCAGCACGATATCGACCGGTTCTTCCGAGTATTTGTACAGATTTGGGTCTTCTTCGAAGGTCTGCGACGATTCCTGAGCCATCCTCATGCCGGCCTTGATCTCACGGCCTACAATTAATGGCACTGAACTCGCTTCGCTTTTTAATAAGGTCCGAGCTTCACTTATGTCCATCTGAAGAATGACAATGTTAAATGGATTGGTCAGTAAAAGTTAAACATGAATTATTCTGTAAAATACGTATCAAAAACACGTAAAACCAACTTACATTGCCAGTAAACTCGCCATGAATGTAAAACACCAGGTCGCCCTTCTGAAGGCGGTCGTCACGGTCGGCGATGGAAGCCGTCGTTACACGTTGGATTGAGATCTGATTCGTGGTGGGCGGTGAGATCAAGAGCAGGCCCACACTGCCGCATTCGTAGCCGGAGGGCCGGTTCAGGGTCACACCGAAAATGTGGTACTTTTCAAGGGTTGCACCGAGGAACGACTGGATTTCGGCTAGCTGAAAAGTGGGAATTTTAGTAAATACATACGAATATGAAATAGAACAACTATCCTTTACTTTTTATATATAAATTCGTTGCTTTGAAAGATTTTTTGGTTTAAAAAGTCATTTTTAGTCAACCAAAAAATTTTTTAAAAAATTTGAAAAATTTGGGTACGGTAACTTCAGGAATATATTAAACTTTAAAAATTTTTTTTGGTGTATGTAACCAAGCTAATAGTCTACATTTTATTAAATTTTCCAGTCCGTACCTATCTTGTCAAAAAAGTTATAACAAAAAAGGTAAGCTCTACTATCTTCTTCTACTATAATATAATTTCCTGAATTTGATCTAAAAGTCTTTAAAATTTACCTGTTCCTCCGTAGGCCGCTCCTCGACATTATGCGTTCTTCGAGTCTGCTTCAAGTTGGCTTCTTTGTCGAGTTGGGAAAGAAGTCTGTGGTTGTTGGAAGGCTGATGGGTCGAAGAAGTGGAAGATAAAGGGGAATTGTACAAGCCTCGTCGTGTCGACGTTGACACAAAACTACTCTCTGACAACGTTCGCGGTGGTGTTAACGTCAAGACTTTGAAGCGATCGTCCAATTTTTGTTCGTAGTTCTCGGATGACGCTTCTGAACGAATTTCATCGTTATCAGCCGGTCGATAATTGAAATCATTCTTGTCTGTTGGTCGATATGAAAAATCGGGCTTTTCCGTCAATCGATATTGGAAATCAGTCTTTTCAGCTGGCCGATATTGAAGACCATCTTTGTCTGACCCTAAGGGGAATGTGCTTTTATCTACCGGTCGACAATCGGACCTCTGCTGACTTTTTGAGCGATGACGAATTGGAACGGATGCTGCTTGATTCTTGGCCTGTTGGTCAAATCGTAGAATCAGATTTTTGACTGGAACTGATTGCTCTGTTTCTTCTACCTACAACAATGTACATAATTTTAACACCCAAAATTCAAAAAAATTTACGTTTTAGTATCAAAAAAAATTTTTAAGAACTTCAAACCCTTTTTTATGCCTCTCCAAATAAAAAACATACCTGCTGTTGATTTTGCTCACTCTTCCACTGATCAGAGCCACTAGAGCAGCTGATTGGTGATAACGAAGCCAATTCGTGTGGAACGGCAGAGTCCTCGGATTCTGAAAGCCGTCTTAAAGAAGACTTTTGATTCCGAGTCAATGTGGCATCATTCATGTGCAAATTCCCTTCCGTTCTACTTGAGGATCTGTCCGATTCATCGTCGTCTTCATCAGCTGAAAATTATATTGTTATTGGGGGACTTTGATATAAATTTTTTAAAACTTGATGAACGTTTTAATGAAATAAGTAATAAAAAGATAAAATACGATGTATATCTTCTTGTTTTTCTGTAAATTTAGAACTAATCATAACATTCTTGGCCAAGATAAATCAAGTTTTCTTATCCATAATAGCTGTTATAGATATACCTTTTTAAAAAAACCATAAGTCACATAATATTATTGATATGACAAAGATAGATAAAAATCTTAAAAACCATGGCTTTGACGAACTCTATATAAATTTTCATCCAATTTACGCTACTAGTTAAAAAGTTATGACATAATTACTAAAACCTATCGGATTTCAAAGATAACATAACTTTTTCTTTCTTTCTACAATGTTCCTGCCTTTTACCACACTTTAATCCTATTAAAAATCCTTCAAAAAGCCAACTAACATCTATTTTGCACAAACTTACTCATCAAAGAATCGGCACTCTTGCCATTACCCATATATTTACTGGTCGGGGTGTCAGACACCAAAATCGACTGTGTTTGTGTTTCTGTAGGTTTATTCAGCTGCCGTTCGTATCGGCTATTCAGTCCATCTAACGGGGATTCTCGGCCATTATGTTCACTTTGTGATCTGTGGCCAGAAAACTTGCTAAAATACAAAAATTAGGTAACAAAAAACAAATTATATTGTTTTAGGTAAAAATGGATGTTTGATAAAATTCTTGATGAAAAATAAGGTTAAAGATCAATAGACCTAATAGCATCGAGTCTCTATATTAGTGAACAATACTTTGAAGTACCAAAAAATATTAAACACAACCATATTTCTTCAAAATCCCGCCAAACCCCAGCTAAAACAATATATTGCCCCAGAAATTTTCATGTCCAAACCAGGAACCTTACCTCAACACCTTTCGGTCCATTTCATCCAAGAATGTTGAGTTTTGCGACGATGTGGAAGTCAAAATCCCGCGGCCCGCCGTCCTGAAGCTTCGATTCGAAGCCTCGGATGATGAAGATGGCTGTTGAGAGAAGACAGACACGTAACCGAAACCGTTTGAATTCTCGGTTCGAGTCCGGCGCATCCCAAAGAAACGTGAGTCTGAAAAAATTTGCGAAATTAGTAACTGGCTACGAAATTTTGTTTTGGAATTCTGAAAAAAAATATGCGTTCTTCACGTTATGGACGAGAAACGTTAAATTTTATGCATTTCTGAGAGGATTAGGGAAAAGACGTAAATTTGATGGACTGACAAAATAAAATTTAAAGTTGCATATTAATATGAAGATTTGGATTAAAGTTGAGAAGAAATTAACTGTAAATACATCATAAAAGCATTTTCTTTATTTAGTTAAGAATTTTGAGTTAAAATCGTAGAAAATAAGCGCGAAATTCAAAAATGAATTTTTAAAAGTGCAAGTTTATAATTATGTAAAATAAGGTTAAAATACACGTAGCATCAGTGGCAGTATGTTATAGTATTGGATGTACCTAAAAACTTAAAAAGATATGGAAAAAGCAGCGTTCTTTCCAAAAGACAAGCTTGTTATCATGAATAATATAATTATTTGACGTGCCACAAGACGAGTTCTCAAAATATTGGTTTGAATTTTTGTTATATACTAGACTAGACTTTCAAGAAACCTATTGTAATATCACTATGATCATCAGCCCTTTATATCCATTAATAATCGAAGTTAACCATCACCTACATCCAATAAAACCCCCAAAACTGACAAATAAATCATCAAAATGAATACAAAAACGAATGTATCATATAAAACAAAGCATAAAATGATTTCACACTGCTTTCGACTCCAATGTTAACCATTTTAAAAAGGTTTTTTCACTCCAAACTTTGCAAATCCAGAAAAAACGTTTTAATCCGTTGACTCACACAGCTCTCGTGAACAATATCGAGGTCAGCTGATCATTGGTTTGTGGTTAAACTCGCACGGAAATTGAGTTTTATTGTCAAATTTCATGGCTACTTTCAATTTTTAAATTTAGTTTTGAAAATTTTGCGTGAAATTTAAAAATTAGGGATCTGCAGGTTTTCGTGTTGGGACCAGGCTTAAGTCAAAATAAAAACCTAAAAAAATCAGTTTTCAATAAAAATAACGCAGTTTTTTTGCAAATTACACTAAGCTTTTATAAAATACGCCAAAATCGTGATTTTAAAAATTTCAGGTTTTCGTTGTGGGACCCAGCAATAACAAAAATTTACAAAAATAAAAGTTTTCATAATTGCCATTTCTTCTAGGACCTCAAAAATGTCAGTAAGAAGTTATATTAAAGTAAAAAAAACTGAATTTTTAATTAATCGTATTTTACCACCTACCGTAACCTCAAAAATTAAAGGCCAGCTAAATATTACCAAAAACTAAAATTTGACTTCTTTGATATCAAAACCACCCCCTGGTTGTTTTTTCATCGTTAAATTTGTACCATATGATTTGATAAAGACTTATCAGGCGCCAATATAAATAATCAAATATTATAAATTGTAGTGACATTGTTTTTGCCAACTAATCCTTCGCGACCTTGTACCATAAATAATGTGTTCACATGGTAGCGTATCATATGATTTTCGAGGTTTTATGATGAATTTTGGCAGTTTTTAAAAGTTACAGTACTAAAAATTTTGAAAAGTACAGTATTCTTGAAGAAAATGAAAAAAAAGTTACAGTAACTACAGAAAAATTAAAAAAGTAAATTTAAAAAGATAAGAAAAATTACAGTATACCCTACCCTACCCTACCCCCTCATGACATTTGCAGCAAGGAAATGTCGCAGAGTTGTAAAAACTTATGTTTAGTAAAAGTCGTGGTTATAACAAGCGTGACACAGTGAGCGGAAGCGTTCTCGAATTAATCGGATTCAGCGCGGGATGACTGCTATTGTTCCCAGAAAAACACTGTCATTTTGTACAGTTCCACAGTTGGAATCAGGAGTGACATGAGGTCAATTAGGTGAAACATAACGTTATATTACATTACTGTTTCGGGTTACAATGGCAAGAACTTTGTTTACGGAGCAGAAAATAGCAAGAACTTTCTTTACAAAACAAAAAATGGCAAGAACTTTCTTTACAAAACAAGAAATAGCAAGAACTTTCTTTACAAAACAAAAAATGGCAAGAACTTTCTTTACAAAACAAGAAATAGCAAGAATTTTTTTTAAAAAACAAAAAAATGGCAAGAATTTTCTTTACGCAGAAAATTTATTACTATATAACACAAAATAGTACTGCCAATATCAAAACAAAAATTAATCTCGATTACAATGTCCATAAAGCAGTAGTCTTGAATGCGAGATTACCCATTTTATAACGATATTATAGTAGTTTTTTATTGTTTTGGGTCAAAGAAGCGGCCGAACAGCCAATAAAGTATAAAATAGACCTTGGAGAAGGAGGGTGTGGAGGTCACAATTCTCTGTTTAATAACTTTGAATCGTGTAATTAACCGTGTCAAATTGGTTGTTTAATCTTGAGGTAGGTCTTACTGACAGTTAGGGGAAAAGTGACACAATTCACCAGCACATCCTCTAATAAACCTAAAGATCTATTAAGTTGTTAAAATAATTCTGTGCTCCCTCTAAAAGCAAATTTAAAAATATACAGGGCACAGAATTATTTGAACAACCTAATATCTAAAACAATGTCCAAGAATCAACCCCAATCCATAAGACTTCCCTCTTCAAAAACAAAAATTTCCACAAAACCCCTAAGGCAATGACTCAAACCTTCAGTCTAAAAACGTCTGTAAAACCGAAATTTCAAAATTCCCATCTATTGTCCTCCCCCCATTTACCACACCCTTTTTAATTTCTCGAAGACAAGTCAAACAGACCGAAGAGTCGAGGCCCATTCTCAAGGCCACAGAATTTGCAAAAAAATATTTTATTGTATTTGTCGCGGGAGGAATAAGCGGCGAGGGAAAAAGATAAAAAAAACCGGAGGGGGGGGTTCAACTCGGGCAAGGGGTCATTGAAAAAGTAAGCAAGGAAGGGGGGGGAGGGGAGTAAAAGTAAGGAGAGTGTAGACATGAGAAACGGGCCGGGCCCATTTTTCAGATCCGGTCCGATCGAAATTTTACTCAAGGCCAGTCCGGCCCTAAAAACTAAGAGAGATGGGAGGGGTAAAACGTAAAGATAAGGGGGATCTTCTAGACAACCAGGGGTAATTTCACGTAAGGGGAAGATCATCTAACGAGTCATTTACCAAATGTATTATGATTGTAGGGGGGTTTCTAACAAAGGGAGGAGGTCATTGTAAGTAAGCGATTGCTAGGGGAGGGGTAAAAAGTAAGTAAAAAGGCTCCTCTAAACACTCTGGGAGTCATTTAACGCGTGGGGGGGGTGTTCTAACAAGGGGTAAAGCCATTGAAACCACGCGGGAGAAGGCGGGGAGGGGTGAAAAGTAGGGAGAGGGTAAAAACTAAATTTAAGGGGAATCTTCTAAACAATCAGGGGGTCATTTAACATAAGGGAGAATTCTTCGAAAGACTCAATTAGAAAAATTCTTCTGGTAGCGGGAAGAGGGTTCTGTCCATTCCGATCTCTTTTTTCGAAAAAATAGTCAAAATGCGAGTCCATTCTCTTCGCTTTAAGTCCCCGCTCTCATAACAACAATATTATGTTGTCATACAAAACTCTTGCTACAAGAGGTTCAACGCGGTTTACACGTCTAGCGGCGTGTCCGCAGTAATGTAGTAGTAAAAAGACAAAATTGTTTCAAAACTTTTCAAAATAAAAAAATTTAAAAGAAATATACAAAAACGTTCTTTTCAAAACTCGAAAATATTATCTATCGTATAACTTGTCCCACGCAGACTGCAAAAAGAATAAATGGCTTATTTTGCTTAGAATTAGTAGACCTTTCTTTACAAAGCAAAAAATAGCAAAAACTTTCTTTACAAAAAATAATATCTATCGTATAAATTGCCCCACGCAGGCTGCAAAAAAAACAAGAAATATTAGGTTGTTCAAATAATTCTATGCCCCATAACCCCACAAATTAGTTAAAGAGTGGAGGTAGAGAATTATTTGAACAGCCTCATATTTTGTTTGAGTTAGCAAAAACTTTGTTTACAAAACTTAAAATAACAGAAACTTTGTTTACAAACCTAAAAAAAATTTAAAAAATATTTTTTTTTTACTTTTGCAAAAACTTCCTTTCCGCTTCCATCTTACAAGGAAAGTGTCAAAAGGTGTACCTAACGCCCAGACATGTGATATACCTAAAAAAAGTTCTGTGATAATCCTGATTAAGGATCCGTTTTCAAAAGTTGCTAAATTTTTGTCTCGACCGACTTATGGTCGTTTAAAGTTTGCACTGATTCCCTATTAAATTCCCAAAAGGGGATGGAGAGAAACGAACGAAAAAGTGAACGTAACCGAGTGGCCGAATGGATAAAGCGTTATCCTTCGGAAATGCCGCCGCAGGTTCGAATCTGGGTGCGTGGAAACTCTTTTGCAATTTTATTTTGCATTTGAAAACTGTACCAAGTGTACCACTAACCAAGTAAAATTGTATTTTATTCAATATTATGTTATAATATAGTTGATTAATTGTTTTTTAAAAAACTTGAACCCATTTACCAGTTCAGGGAAATCTAGACAAAAAAGTGAACGTTAACATTATGACCAGAGTTCCCAAATTTTAAATTTCCAGCTCCGGCGCCAGCTCCGGTTTTGCTTTTTTTTAAATTTTAGCTCCGGCTTCAGCTTCAGGTATTTAATATTACCTTAATATTAACAACTTTCTGTGGAAAAGTACGCACGAAGGGTCTACTACCTTTGGAAAATATACCTCGTGAGGTAGTCTAAGTACGACATATTGATTGCGTTTTAATATTTTTATAGCGTATAATAACATAATATTCAATAAAATACAATTTTACTTAAAAAATAACAATTTTACTTGGTTAATAGTACACTTGGTACAGTTTTCAAATGCAAAATAAAATTGCAAAAGGGTTTGCACGCACCCAGATTCGAACCTGCGGCGGCATTTCCGAAGGATAACGCTTTATCCATTCGGCCACTCGGTTACGTTCACTTTTTCTTTCGTTTCTCTCC